TTTTAAATAACTATCTCTCTTATTTTAGTAAGCCTTACTAGAAAATTTAACTTAAAATAAATTAAATTTAATTAAATTAAAATAAATTAAATTAAATTAAATTAAATCAAATCTAATTAAATTAAAATAAATTAAATTAAAATAAAGTAAATTAAATTAAATTAAATTAAATTAAATTAAACTAAATAAAACTTAAGTAAGTCTATCTCTATAATTAGTACTTAAGATTAAAATATTTTTCTTATCTTATTACTAATTATTATTATAGGCGCACTATATTAAAAAAACTAAATTAATTTACTATTTTTAATTTATATCTATACCCTATCTAATAGATTAGTATCTCTAGAATTAAAACTAGAAAGATATTATTAACTAACTTAGACTTTTTAAAAGTTTTAGCTCTCTTAGGCTATTAAAAGTAGCTCTAATCTACTCTAGAAGAGTACTATATAAAAGTGCTCTAATCTACTTCCTGCTCCTCTTTTTCTACCTATACTTAAGCCTTTATATTACCTACTAGTCTAATAGATTAGACCTACCCCTATAGGATAGAAGTATATCTAAAATATTTTTTATAAAGTAATATATATATATTTAAGAATATATATTATATCTTATAATATATATCTTATATATAATTAAGGTATTAGAACTTTAGATTTCTTCTAGTTAAAATCTTAAGGCCTTTAGTACTACCTCTCTAGGGCTACCTAGATATATATATATCTTTAATCTTAGACCTTAGGAACTCTAGTAGTCTCTAGATCTCTTTTCTCTCTAGGGCTCTTAGCTAAATAAATATCTATCTAAATACCTACCTATTATTAGATATTTTAACTCTATTTAAAAAGAAGATATATATATATTACTAAAATACGTATTTTATATTATATTAAAATATGAAATATATATAAATTACTAGATATACTTATAATATAATAGTTTTTAAAATATTATACTTATATATATTTACCCCCTAATATATATATATCTAAGATATATACTTTTTTAAACTACTATATTTTTTGAAAAAATAAATTTTATAAAGAATGTATAATTTTAAAAATATTATTATAGTACTATACTTACTAAAAATATAATAAGCGTATAATATTTAGCTTTAATACTATTAGACTATTATATTCTCGATCCTTAGGATTCCTATATAGTATCTAACTCTAAGGCTATAGTTTACTATAAATATATATATCTAGAAGACTTTTACTTTTAGGTTTTACTATAGATCTATATTTAGTTACTATTATAATATATAGTAACTTTAAATAATAATTATAAGCTTAATATATAATATAAAGAGGATTTTAAAATATAATTATAATCTTAAAAATCTTTTCCTTTTATAGTATAATAATTAAATTTCTCTAACCCTTTTATAGAATTATTAATTACTAAAGTCTATAGTAAAGATAATTAGGTTCTATTACTAATATATAGTTACTTTAGATAATAACTATTAGCTTAATTTATAATATAGAGAGAATATAAAAATATAGATATAATCTTAAAAGATTTCTCCTCTTATAATATAAAATTAAAATTCCTTTAATCTTTTTATAGAATTACTAATTACTAAAGTCTATATTAAAGATAGTTAGATTCTATTATTAATATATAATAACTTTAGATAATAACTATTAGCTTAATTTATAATATAGAGAGGATATTAAAATATAGTTATAATCTTAAGAATATCCCCCTTTTATAATATAAAAAACTAAATTTTTTTAAGTTTATTATAAAATTATTTATTACTAAAGTCTTTATTAAAGATAGTTAGGATCTATTACTAATATATAATAGCTTTAGATAATAACTATTAGCTTAATTTATAATATAAAGGGGATATAAAAATATAGTTATAACTTTAGAAGTCCTCTCCTTTTAATAATATAAAAATTAAATTCTTATAATATTTTAGTAAGCTTATTATTAATTAATATTAAGGATAGTATAGATTATTATAAGTAAGATAAGAGCTTATCTATTTAGATAATTAGGGTTATTTAGTATAGAAGATAAGAGCTTATTAGTTTTAATAATTAGGGTTATTTAATATAGAATTATAGAGTTTATATCTTTACTTTAGGTATATTTTTATAATATAATAAAAGATAAATTTATTTTATATTAGCTCTCTATCTAGCTATATATCTTAAAAAACTATTCTAGAGATTTAAGATTTATCTTTTCTAATTTAGGTATATTATTAAGGAATTTAAGTATTATATATTCTTACTATATTAAATATAGCGCCTTTTAGTCTTAGTTATTATATTAAATAAAATAATTATATAATATATATATATAGAAGTTAATTAATCTAATATAAGAGTCTTATACTCTCTTTAGTATTATATTCTAGATTAATAAAAATTAGGACTATCCTATTTAAGAATAGTAAAGGTATAATAGGAAATATAATATTTAAGTAATCTATTTTATATCTTAACTTTTAATACTATCTATCTATATAAATAAAAATAAAATAGATTTACTTTTTAATAGAGAGTATTAATAAAACTATTAAAGATATATCTAGATTTTTAGATAAATATCTAGTGATTTTATAATATAATTAAAGAATTTAAGTATTATACTTTTTTACTATATTAGGATTAGCGTACTTTCTATAATATTAGTTACTATATTAAATAAAGTAACTATATAATATATATATATAAAGATTAAATAATCTAATATTAAAGCCTTACTATCTCTTTAGTATAATACTATAAATTATTAATAAATAAGATAATATTTCTTAATAATTATAAGAGTATAATAGGAAATATAATATTTATATAATCTATTTTATATCTTAACTTTTAATACTATCTATTTATATAAATAAGAGTAAAATAGATTTATCTTTTAATAAAGAGTACTAATAAAACTATTAAAGATATATTTAGATTTTTAGATAGATATCTAGCGCTTTTATAGTATAATTAAAGAATTTAAGTATTATACTTTTTTACTATATTAGGATTAGTGTCCTTTTTTCTCCTCTTATAATACTAAGAAATAGCGCTAATAATATTAACTTCTAATAATCCTTATAGCTACTAATATTATCTAATTTAAATAATAAACTATATTTTAGTATCCTAAAAGTAGAGGCTTTTTACTAGTATTAGTTTTAGTATATTTAAAGATCTAGTTAGTAGTAGTTACTTTAGTAAATTATACCTATAGATATTATAGTTTAATTAGGACTATATAGTATAATTTCCTACTTTAGGTATAGAAAACTATAGAATTCTATTAGATAGGGTACCTAGGATAGATAGATTACTTAGGGTAGATAGGGTACTCTAGGTAGGGTAAAATATTAATATTAAATTAGATAGAGTAATTAGATCGCTCTAGAGAGGGTTTAGAAACCCTAATTCTAATATACTAGGTATATAGAGCTAAGAGAGAGCTAGGATAAAAGGATTTTTAAAGATATTACCTTCTAGAACCTAATTAATTAGATAATATATATAGGTCTAGTTCTATAGCTCTAACTAGTTACTACTATAGTGATCTTACTTATATACTATATAATTAGGAATACTAGTTTAATTAATCTATATTTCTATAGAACTCCTATCTAAACTAGTTAAAATAGAGCTTTTAAGCTTATATATAAGGTTATTACCTTTTAATATAGCTTATTCTTTATTTAAATTATATATATAAAGGGTGGTTAGGGCGAAGACCTAGATATATAGTTAGTAAGCTATATATTCTATATATATATATCTCCCCTATTAGCATAGTAGATTAACCACTTTAAAAATTACTACCCTATATTATAACTAGCCACCCTAAATATAGGATAATCTAGGGTAATATAGTATAATAAGCTTATATAAAGCTATATTATATATAATTATAATAGTTAGGGTAGAAGGTTCTAGAAATAGTGGTTACTATATATATATAGACTAGAATAGGCGTAATTAAAAAAAAAGTCTTAGCAAAAAATATACAAAATCAGGCAAGAATAGGCAGGAATCAGGCCAAATTCAGGCCAAATCAGGCCAAATCAGGCATCTACGCTAACCTCATTTAAAAGGGTGCCCCCATTAGGGCCCATTAGGGCCCCCAATAGGGGCATAGATTTTTTGGGGTGGGGTGGATTTTGGAATTTTAGAATAGGGCCCCATTTGCCGAAGCCTAATTAGGTGGCATACTATATCCGTAGTTTACGGAGAGGATATATAGATATCTATGGATATTAAGGATATTACCGTAGTCTAGTGACTAGGGCGTATAAAGAATTAACCGTGCGGAATACCTAGCTTAAGTACGGCTAAGCGGATGGGAAGCCCTGTTTTCTATACCCTATGGTCGTATGTAGTGAGTATATCTTTAAGATAGACTATATTATTTGAATATGATGACTGTTTTTACTACTGCCTAGACGAGAAATCTTTAAGTGCTGCTTTAACGTCACGTAATCAGGTTGAGAAGTGAAGTAGGTAATTGATAAGGTGGCAGGGAGAAAGCGGCTAAGAAATGTGAGATCCGGCGCATAATCCGCCATTTTAATTATGGGTCCCATATAGTATTGGCCTCAGTGTCCTATCACCGGGTTTCACTGAGAGAATGAGAATGGGCATTTTTCATAGTCGCAAGAACGGGTAAGAAGCAAGGGGTTATTGTCTAAAGAGAGGGGGCAGTAGAAACGACTGCTAAGTAATGATCACGGATGAAGAGTGAGTTGTTTGGGACGTAGTTTGCCTCAGGCCTCCGGCCCCCATGATCCCTCGCTTGGATAGCTTGAATTTATTCAAGCAGGTCACCAGTCAAAAGAAGTTGAACCGATGTAAAGGGGCAAGAATATCCCAATAATTGCCCTGGAATGCAAAGAATATGTGCAATGGAACGTTTTGTATCTTTCGCATTCCGGAGACAAGGGTAAGTGACTTTAAATTAGCCACAGCGTTTGCATGTTCCAGAAAAAAATACAATTTTGCAATCTCAACATGGAGCCTCATACTCGAAGACAATCTTCACAGTCATCGTTGATGCCACGCCAGGCTCGCGACAGACGGCGAATGGTCGAGATGTTTATCGCGCTCTCCGTAAGAAAATATCCATATCTATCTCCCTCACAGACTCTGACTATGTATGGATAGCTAGTACTTCTCTCTTCAGGAATAGATCAGACTGCCATTGCAACCGCGATTCCCACTATTTCAGCTGAGTTGGGGTCATCCACCGGCTATGTCTGGATTGGTGCTTCTTTCCTACTGGGATCAGCGACAACTCCAAATCTCTGGGTTGGTCTGTCGGACATCTGGGGTCGGAAATCAGTGCTTTTGACCTCGGTGTTTGTCATGTTTGTCGGTGCTCTTCTTGGTGGGTTTGCCCCAAATATGCCCATGCTCCTTGCCGGGCGGACGCTGTCTGGAATGGGAAATGGCGGAGCCATCCAACTCATTACGGTGGTCATATCCGATATGTTCAGCATGAGGCGCGTTAACCATTCCCCCTTCCCCCTCCCCTACCCCGCTCTCTTTGTTCACTATATCACCCGTTGGCTAATTGCTAATTGTTTGCAATTATTAGGCATCGAGGTGCATTTCTGGGAACACTTGAGGGAGTGTTCGTTATTGCTTCCGCCTTGGGACCTCTGATCGGCGGCGCTTTTGCGGAGAAAGTCAGCTGGCGATGGATTTTCTGGATCAATCTTCCATGCTGCGGACTAGCATTCGCATTGATTCTCTGGTTGATGGATGTTAACCACTCGAAGACTGATATGATGACAGGCCTTCGGATGATGGACTGGCTGGGAGCAGCTGCAATAGCCGGAATGACGAGCTTACTATTGGTAGGACTCAACTTGGGTGGTGCCTTCGCTCCTTGGGGGTCCGCCTTGGTAATTTCTCTCTTGGTATCCGGGATACTCGTGGCTTTCCTATTCATCTATATTGAAGTCCACTATGCGAAGCGGCCTATCATACCTATGAAAATGTTGCAAAGTCGGTCTGTTTTGGCTTGTATGGTATTAATACTCTCGCAGAATATGGTAAGATAAGTCCTTTCTGTTCATATGGTCTAGAGAACCTCTTACTGACCTGTCGGGCTTGAGAAAATAGGTCACCATGGGACTTCAATATTACCTTCCACTCTATTTCCAAGCAACCACTGGGGCAACCGCCCTGCAATCGGGACTGTTGATTCTTCCTTTTGCAATTGCTGAGTCGCTCAGTGCTGTTGCTGTTGGTTTCTTTGTTGAGTGGAAAGGGGGCTACCGCACTGTGTTATGGGTAGGAAGCAGTTTGCTTGTCTTGGGAGCGGGTCTTTCTGTTTTGTTCGATGACTCAACTTCTGTGGCGAGGATTATTGGCTTTCAAGTGCCATCCGGTGTCGCTTCGGGTCTTCTGTTCTTTTCCTCACTCATTGCTCTGCAAAGTGAGGTCTCGCGAGAGAACACGGCTGCAGCCACCGCAACCTTCGGCTTTGTACGGTACCTCGCAATGGCGGTTTCAGTGGTTCTTGGAGGCGTTATCTTTCAGAACGACATCGATGGTGTCATCTCAACCAGGCCTGAGCTTCCTGAGTCTCTTCGGCAGCAGTTCGATGGTGCCCATGTCGTGGCCAATCTTCCGGCCATTGCACAGATTCAAGATACTCAGCAGCGGCTAATTGTAGAGCAAGTCCTTGCCCATAGTCTTCGCCCTGTTTGGATCTTCTATGCTACTGTTGCCGGTTGTGGATTGATCTCAGTTTTCTGGATCTCTAAAAATCGTCTCAGCTCAGAGCACACAGAAACCATGACGGGCCTGAAGACGGAGGCGAGCCAGGGGGAAATACTGATGGCATAGCCTGATTGTTCACTTGCTACTGACATAATGCTACTGTATTTTTCGATATATCAACCCCACGGCAAAGGTTGTCATAGATTTTCAGTGCACTGTTTTACAGGGGATTTCAATCGAAGGTCTAAATCAATGGTCGAAGTTCTCTGATGGACATGGCAAGGGTAGAGCTTAAGTGTTGCTCATACCCTTCAGATCGCTCCTGCCCTCCAACCCAAGCAACATCATTGGATCCTTTAAATCTACCCAGCCATGTAGAGGATTACTGGCAGCGAAACCGAGTCGTTTCTGCATTCGAGGGGAGATTTTGCGCAAATCTTCGACTGGAACTGATAGATACTGGTTTTCTTCCTGCGAAAGAGGACCCCATCAGCACATTGAAGGAGAATAAATGGTGGGTTCAAACGCGCGCACTGCACACCTACCTGTCGGAGAACACTTTTGGTCATGAAGGAAGAGTAGACAAGACGCTGCTCTTGACTAGCATTTACCGAGGCGCCATGGTAGCAGGAGCCTAGCATAAGAAAGACGTCCCCAGGTTGGAGCTCTACATAAACAGATAGGCTATCGTCAGGTGGGTGCATCGTATCCCACAGGTGCGAGCCAGGGATGAAGCGAGTGGCGCCATTCTCTTTGGTCGTTTGAGAACCGGCCACGAATATACCGACCACTGTGTCCCGGCCCACCTTGTATTCAGCCGAGGTAATAGCGCTCAGGCGGTTGTGGTGGCCCATATCGTCACGATGAAGGTTCTGGAGTGTGTTGCCGGGGGATGTAAGGAAAGCTGCCGCAGTGTTGACCTGCGGCAGGGATTCAAAGGTATGCTTTTCATTTCCATACCAGCATGTGTGTGACGAGCTCAACAGTCGATCGCATACAGCCGAGTATAGCGGATTTCCGATGAAATGCTCAATGTAGCTCGGGCTCTTACTCGCGATGCCTGTAACCACACTGACCTTGTTGGAAAACAGTGGATCATTTCTCAGCTGATCATTGAAGTATGGCATCAAGTCTTGCTTGACCTGTTCCAACACCTTGAGCTCGAGAAGACCACGCACGATGACTCCACCATGTTCAGTGAGAATGTTGACAATTTCTTGGTCGTCGGTTTTGGATGCCGTGACCTCGATCAAACAGCCAACGGAAGGGTTAAGATCAGAGTACTCAGTGATTGAACCCATATTGTAAAGATGGTAAAGCGAAATATGGAGGCAAGAGAAGAAAGAAACACAGATACGGAGGGTGGGTGGGGGTCTGGGGGATTAATTTGAGCTAGGGTTATATCCTTCTCCGATCTATGCATTATGTTACATCGTTCCTCTCACCGCTGTTTTGAATGCATACCGCTTGTCTCCTTGCTCAGGAGTGGGCTTCATGGAAAGAATGCAGTGAAGCAAGGTGCAGGCAAGTTGATCCAAGTATTCATATGTCCAGAATGCCGTGTCGGTAACATAAATGGCCTCCTTGCCACGCCGGTAAAAATGGCAAGAAAACACAGGCAATCACACTAGGTCATGGGTTCTGAACTATTGTTTCAATGTGTTGTCGGTCTGGCGTTCTTAATTATCACAAGGCTATCATGGAACGCAACCAAAAATGTCTTTTTTCATCCACTCTCTCGATTTCCAGGTCCGATGTTAGCGGCCTCTAGCAGTTGGTGGCAGATGATCCATGAGCTTTTGGCTGGGAAAGGGCTTTCCGATCTTCTACCTGAGCTCCATGTTCAGTATGGTATGGTTTTCTTAGCAACTAAATTGACAATAGCTGATCAGAAGACTGACGTGGTTGTGGTGCTTGCCAGGTCCGGTTGTTCGTGTCGCTCCAAATGAGGTATGATTATATTTTTATTGTACTATCACATATCCTTTCACGCTGACGGAATTGACATGATAGCTTCATTTCGCCGAGCCTGCTGCCTATCGTGACGTCTACAACTTCAACAACCGTTGGAGCAAGGATCCCTTTATCTACCATTCGTTTGGCGCAGATAATGCATCCTTTGGCTACCTCACTGTACAGGAGGCCAAACCCCGTAAGATGATTCTGGCATCTGCTTTCTCAAGGAAAGGCGTGATGGGATATCTTCCGTGCATACAGGAGCAAATCAATCGCTTTTGCTCTATACTTGCCGAAAGTGATCGGAAGGGACATTCATCCAACTTGTTGTTCGGGCCTCGAGCCCTGTCTTTAGATATTATTACAACCCTGATGTTTGGCCAAAGCTTTGGTGCATTGGAGAGTCCGGACTTCTGTCATTCTATCCTGTGCAGCCTGAATGACTCGTTGCCAGCATTTTCTATCTTGAAATTCTTCCCTTTGGCGCTCAAAGTGCTCGAATATTTACCCACGCATCTTCTGGAGCGATTCTGGGTGTCCCACGTGGGGTTGCGTCGATTTCAGAGCGAGCTCATGGAGCAAGTCATCAAGGTACGAGATAATCCTACACTGCTAGAGAATTCACGCTACCCGGTCATTTTTCGCGACTTGCTGGCGGCGAACATTCCCTTCGAATCTTTGTACGCCGAGGCCCAGACCTTGCTCACAGGGGGTATCGAGAATGTCAGCAACACCACCATGTTTGCCCTCTGGCACTTATATCAGGACAAAGAGCTGCTGCATCGGGTCCAAAAAGAACTGCAGGAGATCTGGCCGGACCCTGAGGTATTCCCAGAGATTGAAGCATTGGAGAGTCTGCCACTGTTTACGGCTGTGATCAAAGAAGCTCTGCGTCTGGCGCCGGGGATCCCATATCCAGCCACCCGTATCATCCCTGATACAGGCGCCGTTATCCAGGCCCAATTCATTCCCCCGGGCACCGTAGTGGGAGTTAGCACGTTGATGCTCCACAGGTCTACTACTCTATTCCGCGAACCAAATACCTTTCAACCACTGCGCTGGCTGGAGCCCACTGCCAATGAGTTAAATCATCATCTCGTCGCCTTTTCTAAGGGCCCCAGAGCCTGTCTGGGTATCAAGTACGCAAGCCCTTGCGTTTTCCTATCAATTTTATCTTTCTCGTTTTCGCCATCTAACACGTTGATAGTCTTGCTATGGTGGAGATGCAGAGCATTATGGCTGCCATCATTCGTCGCTTCGATATCGAGCTAGTAAACCCACGGTAAGTCTCTCCGTCGGCTTCTGTACATTTATTGAAATACTAATTCTACTCTGCTAACTCATTATCGCCGTCATATAGCAACGAAGATCTGATTTGGCGGGATTGTTACATTCCATACTTCGGTCAGGATCAACCGCGGGCCTTCTTCCGCCCAAGGGCTCATGGGTGAGTCGATTTATCGGGCGAGGAAATAGATTCGGGGGGAGGGTGGTCTCTTGGATACGATCAAAATTCGCATATTGTGTGACATGATCTGGGAGTATTCAACCACGGTACCACACTTCCAACCAATATTGGGAGCTGGAAATAAGATTGATGATGCTGTTTCAGGCTTCTTTTTTTTCTCGCCAAAGTATTGTTTACCCAAGTTCGGTGTGGCGTTGTTCTCTCGCGTCCTACCTACTATGTAATTATCTACAGCTGCGTCCTCCAAGCGGAACAGAATCTATAATGGCCTGGGGTTATCAGATAGTGCTCAGAGAACATAACATCACGCTATGGAAACGTGAATTGGGACCGGTCTTGTCGGAAAACCGATAATGTGGATTAAAAATCGCTAGCCTTAGACGAGGACTCTCTTAAAGCTGTTTAGAGCTCACCTGTAAGCCCTAGCACTATTGAGCGTCATGAATATCACACGTTATCTTATATATCGACTAGTGGTGCTTTCTAAGAACTGGGTATTAATACTTGGTAGTAATAAGATATATCAAACTACACTAAGTTGGGAAGAATCCTGGTCACTACACCATTTAAGCGTACAATATTGCAGTGCCGATTTTCAAGGTGCACGCTCCTCATCATTCTAGATCAAGCAAAACAGAAAATCCAAACCAAACAGAGCATAGGTAAACAGGAAAGGTGGGAAATAACCTCTTGAACAGCAAAGTCAACATCATGATCATCTTTATTGACGCAAATTTGTCGGCATCCACTTCTGGGCGTACTGTTTGAAAAGGTTGGACATGGGCTCAGTTTGCAAGATCATGGGGGCATCTTGCAACGCCTCACGGAGATTTTTGGTACCAAAGGTCGCCATATTCTCTTGCACCTCCCATCGCGTCATGTCACCGAGAACCTTCTCCTGGAGCATGGGCATCAACGGATGCAACGGGTCATCAGTCTTAAGGGAGAAACTCTTCACCCATTCAGAATAAGGCAGGGGCCGCAAGGCTACAGGTGATAGTGAGTTAAGCAGCTCGAATGTGGAGATCATGTCAAGGGCGGCTTGTTGGCATGGCTGAATGAGGTTGTAGGCCCGGCCGAGGCGAGCAGGACTGGCGGCGATATGCAACAAAGCACCGACGACGAAGTCGACAGGAATGAATTCTTTTCGTTGGGCGGGAAGTATGGGGTAGGAACCCATTGTGAGGCAGCTAGAGAAGAGTCGGCCGACGAAATCGTCCGGGTTGCTGATGCCGCTCTTTGAGTGGCCCAACACGAAGCCCGGCCGAAAAATAGCAGCTGGAAGCCCATTGTCAATAGCATTCCACACAACACACTCAGCCACCATCTGACTCTGCGAGTACCCTGTGTCATAGTTTAGGGCGCGCATATATTCACGCGGCCGCTCGTCTTCGCCAATGCACTTTGCCCCAAGTACAAACCCCGACGGACCGTAAGACGCGATGCTGGAGGAATAATGCAGCATCTTAGGCCGCTGATGGTTGGCGAACTCCAGCATTCGGAGGGTTCCAAGCACGTTGGCAGATCGATGAGTAGAGTAGGGCTGAACATAGCTCACCTGCGCCCCCAGGTGGAATATTACGCTAGACCAGCCCGCGAGCAGATCATAAATGTCCTGAGAGAGACCAAGTCTAGGTTGCCCAAGGTCTCCTGGGACAATGAGCACCCGTTTCTTCATCTCTGAGGAGAGATGGATTTCGTATTTTTCCAAATTCTTCTGGAAGCGCGTCCACCCAGCATCTGCATCTTTGGCGCGGATCAAGCAAGCGACCCGACGCACTTGGGGCATCTTAAGTAACTCATAGAGCAGAAATGCGCCCACAAACCCGGTGACTCCCGTCAATAATACACGTCCTTCATCAGGAGCCTTCCAGTCAGGCAAAATGCCTTTCATCGGGGTCAGTCCCTTGCCCAAGTCACAATCCTGCTCCCAAAGGGCTTCCATTTTTTTGCGCGGGTCTAATTGATCACCGGCTTGAAGAGTCTGTACCAGACGCCCCAGCGACTCAAGTGTGGAATTTTCATAAAGAGCAGCCGACTGCAATTCTACGCCAAAGGCCTGCCGAACTCGACCGACCAAAGTGGCTGCCTGTAGCGAGGTGCCGCCGAGATGGAAGAAGTCACACGATGAAGTCAACTCAGTCACCGGAAGACACAGGATCTCTAGCCAAAGATTCTCAAGATGCTCGACAATGGCTGAGTAGCTGTACTTGCGTGGGGAGTCGTTGGCCTTGCACAAAGTAGATCGGACGGCGCTTATCTTGTCCAAGTACTGCTGTTCCAATTTCTTACGGTCCACTTTGCCTGTAGGCCTCAGGGGAAACTCATCAATGAACTCAATTCGTGGCACCATATGAGGGGTTCGCTGCACAAACTCGCGAATGATAGTATGCGAATTCGTGGTAGCTGATTTGGGAATCACGTAGGCTAGCAAGATGGCTCCAAGTGTGGAATCCTTCGGTTCCAATTTCAGTACCGCCGCGTCGTTGACTAGTCCCGTCTCGAGCAATAAGATTTCAACAGCCTCCAGTTCAATCCGGTGACCGCGGATTTTGACCTGGTTATCTTTGCGACCTATGAAGCAATAGAGGCCCGCCTCGTTGATTCGGACCAAATCTCCGGTGCGATAGAATATGCTGTTGCTACTCGTTTGATGGAGATGGCTAGTATGAGGGATATTCACGAATGCCTTTGCGGTCTTTTCAGGTTCTCCATGGTATCCTCGCGAGACACCTGCACCCTGTATCAGCAGTTCACCGACCTCGCCATTTTTCACGGGGTTGAGTTCCTCATCTAACACAGTAGCGGTCATGTTGCCGATTGGGAGTCCCAGGGGAACATTGTTGGCCTCCAAATCGCTCGGGATAACTGGATGGCTGAAAACGTAGACTGTACACTCGGTTGGGCCGTATAAGTTGAGAAGTAGCTGTGGGGGCCCGTTTTCGAAAATCGTTTTTACCGTCTGCACATTCATGGCCTCTCCTCCAGTATAGAGTATTTGCAAAGTAGCGAATGCATTGGGAACAGCATTTGCAGTAGAGGTCAGCAATGCGGTCGTCAGAAATGTCACATTGACCTTCTCCGAGCGAAGACAATTAGAAAATGCCTCTGGATCCAACACCACGTCTTGTGGAATAACGACTATGGTTGCCCCGCTCAGCAGCGAAACCCATATTTCGAACAGGGCCGCATCGAAGGACACATTGGCAATGTGAGAGAAGCGCTGACCACGTTCCACGCGGTAAGTAGCATGATATGTCAGATTGAGAATTCCCTTCGCGAGAACCTGCACGGCTTTGGGTTGACCGGTAGTACCGGACGTATGGAAGATATGCGAGCAGGCCGTTGGTCCCTTTGATGGTACGGCGATTCTTCCGGACGCCTCTTTATTGTGCTCGGGATGAATCTCATGATCCGCGAGCAGATGATCGTATCCCAAAAGCCGGCCTTGGTACTCCGGATCTGTTATAACAAGAGCACAGTCAAGACGACTCAGTAAAGTAGTCAAGTAACTGTCAGGCTGTTTCACGTCCAAGGGTGTACAGATTCCCCCGGCGTAGATTACCGCCACCTGTGCCAGGACATGATTGATGCCCCTAGGTGCCAGGATCGCGATGGGAGAGTCGGCTGGAAGTCGCTTTTCAAGAATCTTTTCAGCGAGATGGAGAGCTTTTGTATGTAGCTCATCAAAAGTCAGGGCGTGATCACCACTTTCAATGGCTATCGCTTTCTGCGAAAGTTCAACCTGCTGCTGTAATGCCTTGGCAAGGCCCTGTGGCTCCATGGAGTTCATAGCAGGTATAGTTGGAGAGGCGAATAATGAGAGAGTATAAAAAGCACGTATTGGGATCAGCAGGTGAGAATACAAGTGGTTTGAATATATAGCATGGAATTTCACGGCAGCTCTCTTTTTATAATCTCCTTCTCAGGTACTGGCCTGTTAGAGCAAATCATCTGTATGCCTTCCTCGCTTTCCGTCTTCTTCAGGGATCAAGAATGCCTAGGTACTTGTTTGATGCTTACAGGTGCCGAAATCCCTTGCATGGATCCTTTGCTTCGTCTTCCAAATCAAGGTCCTAGAACAGATGGCAATACTGTACAAACTAACTGCAGTTCTTACTCGTGTACATTCCAAAGGGAAGCGCAGAAGGCGATCCTTGCATTTCACCGAAAGTTGACGAAACTTCTGAAGATCAACATGCTTGGAATAATTGATCACCACGTTTGAAATTGTTGGACTCCATTGACCCAATTTATTTTCCTATCTTTCGATCCCTGGTCAAGAATGCTACGATTTAGAGTACCCGCAATGAAAAATTTCCGGCACGGGTAATATATTGCCTTGCAGATCTGTTAGACATTCTTATAGTATGCATTTATCTACACAAGGAATGCCAAGCTGATCCGACAGCAACTACGTTACACGCATATTGAACACATATGCGGTAGATCAAAGCTGTTTCAAGCACGATGACGACGGCCCTACACCGCAGTCCACGCACAATTACGACAGCCTGCACCACAATGTAAGGGGAAATTACTCAGGCCCAGAAAGTCGGTAAGTCCCTATTTCAAATGAATACATATTTAATATGTCCACCAGGCCTTCTTCCCCTAGGTGATATCAAATCTCTCACAATGATTCCAACCAAGACTATTACCGTGTATGGCGCTACTGGTGAGAAATTCCTTTGTACCTCCAGTTATTCCAAGCAGCGACGCTGAATATATCATTATCAGGAGCCCAGGGCGGTTCGATTGCTCGATCCCTTCTGCAAAGTACAGCTGGGTTCCATGTGCGTGCATTGACTCGCAATCGCGCTTCACCAAAGGCACAAAAGCTAGCTCAACTTGGAGCTGAAGTGATCCAAGCCGACGGCTTCAATCGAGATGAGATGCGTAATGCCTTGAAGGGCTCTTGGGGCTTCTGGTTAAACACAGACCATCATGACCCAGTACGTGGTTTCTCTACAGAGCAGTATCCCACTCACATCAAACTGACCCAGCGTCTCTCAATCTCCAGGCCTTCTCCACCACCGATGGTGCGGACGATACCTCTTATGGTAAAACCTTGATCTCCCTGGCCGCTGAGGTAGGAGTCAAGGTTCTGATATACAGCACTTGTGAATCGTCGACCGAGCACTCGCTCGGTAAAGCGGTTGTGAAAGGCATGGACGAAAAGAACAAGGTCTTCCGATACGGCGTCAGCCAGCACGCGTTTGATGCTGTGATCGGAGCCATCCCTGGCTGGTATATGGAGAACTTCCTTTCGCCAGAGTATTCGGCGTGCTTCGGCGGCTTCCCTCTTCAACCGGACGCGGAAGGCTACCTAACGTTCTCAAGCCCACGTCTGGGTGGTCCTGGGGATGTGCCCTGGATTGCTGTCGAGGAAGACTTCGGTGATATTGTCCACGGGTTGTTCCTGGATCCTACCTCCTACCACGGCCAGACAGTGCAATGTTTCAGCGACACCATCACATTTGAGAACATGGCAGAGACATTTACTAAGGGTAAAAATCCTTCTCTTTTTGATATCTTCTTTCAAATTCTTATGCAATGCTTCAAGGCTGTAGGACTAACTTTATTTGTGATATTCATCCAGTGACCGGCAAAAAGGCCCGATTTGTGCCCCTGGCGGCCCCCGATGACTTCCCCACCCACGGCATGGAAGTCTTGGAGGAAATCCGTGATATTTACGCTTTCACGCAGCACATGGGCGGTAATTTCTATGGTCACCCCAACGCAATTGAGAACAGCAAAGCTTTGAAGAAGGCGGCTCTGAAGGCCAAGGGTCAGCCGGATGATAAACTGATCATGATCCGTGAATACTTTGAGAAGCATTTTCTCTAAGGCCACCGGATTAAATTATGCGGCAGCCCTGGAGATCAACTATGGTGCCAAAGGAGAAAGTAGGTAGGGATAGAATTCGTGAAGGTGATCCTTGTGTCTTTTGGAGGGCACGCCACTACCGTAGTTTATGGCCACTATCAGAAGCATCATATTTTGTCTACACTACGTTTCAAACTATGACTCTTTGATGTTTTCATATAGGTACTCGTCTTTTCTCACCGGATGAGTTCAAGCTGTTAGAAATGTAGAAAATGTGGTTTCTATTTGAATTCGTGGATTGGAATGTTGTGGTCTAAATACTGAATTGGGGAACTGTCTGCGAACCAGCAAATCGCTGCAAACCAATCCACTCTTGAGATATAGTTCGGCCACGGGAGGTAGTGGGAGACAAGAAAGGAGACCTAAGTGTGCCCAGGTGGCTTGTGGAAGGAATGATGGCCTGAATTGCTTATCCCTGCGCTGATGCGGTTATATACATCACATCCGCTTCGTCACCATACACCGCTCTCCCCCACTACAATACATGATTTCCCGAGGCCGCAGGAATATTTGACTGTGGGCCGAATGGTTATATTAGGTATAATAAACAGGTTTGCAAACCCAATAATCGCCCTAAGTCGGTCGGGAAAAAAGTTCTTCGTATAAATACCCTCGGTAGCAGCTGTGTGCCTGATCTGCACTACCCTCGTATCAACAATCCCTGCAGGGCTAGACTTCGTACCCCGCACGTAATTTCAAGATGCGAATATCCATGATTGGCAGAGGTTACCTGTTTCAGAAGCTAAGAAGCAGATGAAATGAATGGATTGAAAATCATAATAGGAAAACAATTTTTAGGTATCGTGGATGAGATTTGAGAACCTCGGTTTCTGGATGCATATGCAACTTATGGAGTTCGTGGAAAGCCGGCATTTTTGGTGTGGGAACAGTGAATATATTTGTCCAACAGTCTCGGTTTCCTGGCGCGTCGACCGGAGTACGACAATATGAAGTCCGCACCGGTGCTTTGACAACAGGAAAGACTCTAACCTAGGACTATGTAACTTAATCCCTAATCCTTGTTGACCTGCAGAGAGCGATAGAAGTTGACCTCAGAATCATATTCCAGTGGCCACTGGAGCAGTTTAAACTGGAGCATCTGCTCCATCTCTGCAGGTTGCAAAGTAACCATGACCTCCCATGCCGCCTCGCCATTCGTGTCTTTGCGAGCTGGCCTAACAAGACATTCTCCTGGCGCAGAGCTTGCGGGCAAGAACTCCACTCCCAGGACCTTCTGGAGCTGAGGGCCAAAGTCTAGCTCAAACGTGCTCCAGTCGCGGAGACTACTTACAAGAATGTCGCACCGTTGTAGCAATATTCGGCTCCAGTCTGGTGTATGGTAGTAACCCGCTGTGAGACAGCCCAGTGAGACATCATTGATCCTGCTAATGCTGCATCGGATTCTATACGCTACCCGCGAGAGTAACTCGATGATTGATTCCTCCTCAATGATAGGGCAACTCTGCAGATTCTGCTGACACAAACTTTGTTCTCGCTGCTGCTTTTCCCACTTTTCCAAGCATTGGAGCTCAGAGATCATGAGGGTGCAATCTGCGTAGGCGACCGCATTGCCCAGATAGTCGTCAGGAAGGGCCTCGGGAAATCTCTTACGCGAGTTGACTGCTACTCCCAAAGTTGAAGACTGCTGCTGCTGGACCCGAGTGATACAAATCCATAAGAGCGCAGTCAGGATGTCGTTGGAGGAGACAAATCTCGGTTTCTCTCCTACTCCTTCCTCTTCATATTCTCCTCCTTTTTCATGTTTCTCCTTGGCCAAACTCGAGATAATTTCCGGCAGCCGGGCATTACATCGGCTTTTCAATAATTGAATCTTGGCATTAGAGAACAGCAGATTATAACTGCTGTGCGATGCGTCGCAAGCCAGACCCTCTCCCCGGTCAAACTTCTGTTCATTCTCCTCACTTGGAGGTACTGACAAAGAAAGCGACGAGGTAGAATGAGAAGGGATGCCAGGAATTGGACCATTTCTGCCCAAATTGTGCAAATAGCGACGCGTCGCCGCCTGGGTTGCCATAGAGCTACACAAGGAAGCATCACTGGGGCTTCGGCAGCACTGCGCGAGCAGGTTGTAGAGAACGTCGTTCCCCTTCCCATCAATGACCATATGGTTAGTCACGAGGCAAAGCACCAAGCCGTCGGCGAGGATATTGATCTGTGCCCGAAAGATGGGGGCAGGGATCGCCAGCTGATCGAACTCTGGCACTAGTCGGCGTGCCGGTTCATCACTAGTGCAGACGCCCTGTCTTTCAATCCCACGTTCCATAGTGCCGGGTTTGGCCGGGAGACAGTACTTGGGGTAATATTTAACCGGCACAAGGGAGGCGATATCGTTCCTTGGCGCCATCCGGACTTCCATGGCATTGGGCTTGTCGGAGCTATTTGCCGGTGCTACCTCTCCGTCCAAAAATGGTATGATTTCCCTCAAATGTGAGATACCGCGCTGTAGATCGACAATCGCCTTTGATGGGGCTTCTGTTTGGAAATATAGCGCCGTCATGACATAGAGAACAGGAGGGAAAACATGATCAAGAGGCGACAAGACAAAGGGAGTAATCATTTCGCTTTTCATGATGTATACTGAATAAAATCCAATAGCGTAGGGCTGTGAAGATATCAAGAAAGAATTCACAGACATTAAAGTCTCTCACTCAACTTCCAGTGACCCATATTAGACAGAAGCTATAGCACACCGACTATTGAGGTGGACAAAGTGGGATTTCAGAAGACCTTACTTATCCCTTGCCTCTCGCCTCTCGTATGCGCCTTTTGTGGGACACAAATGTGCATATCATGATAACAGGATAGCGGTCTGAAAAGTAGGTGTGAGTCGAAGTTTTCTAAATGCAACAGGCCATACTCAGCCCTAGAGATAAAGTTGGCCCAAGTGTCTTATCACAACGTCAATTGCTACCTAAATGTATGTACCTATACTTGTATTACCACTATCAATCATAACTTTTCCATTCAAGTCAAGATAAAGTGACAGTGTAGACAAGTATCAAGTGAGCATGACCGGTATGCGACATTCCAAGTTTCCTAATGTAGTCTGCAGGATCTGCATATTCCGTGGCACCCAATCTTAGAAACATACATTCGGGAAATTCAGCAAGGAAGCAGTGGTGCAATCAACAAATTCGTGGCCCATTCTCCGTTGATTTGTGCACATTTAAATGACTCTTGCCCCTTTCCATTCTTTGCTCGACTTCCAAACCTTTTTATCACAGCACTAATTGCCCATCAGAGTTAATTGACTGACAAGTTCCAACATGACAGTTGGTAATCAAAGAAAGGTTATCACCGTTGTAGGTGCCACAGGTATTTCAAATATCCCTCCTCCTGATGATGAAGATCTCGTTCCTAATTTTACAATGGTCCAGGTACTCAAGGCAGCTCGGTCACGCTGTCTTTGCTTCAAAACCCAGATTTTGAGGTCCGCTGTGTCACCAGAAATATATCGTCCGCTAAAGCACAAGAGCTGAAGAATTTAGGGGCTGTGCTCGTGGAGGCGAATGGGCTAGACGCGAGGCAAATGACTGAAGCCTTCACCGGCAGTTGGGGCGCCTTCATCAACACCAATTCTGAAGATCCGGTGAGTGGGATGAATCGCACCGCTTCTATAAAGCGAAACCATATCTGAATTTGTCACAGCACCTACTTGAAATCGGTAAGACGGACGTCGATCTCGGTGGCAATATCATGCGCAGCGCCGCCGCGGCAAAGGTGCAGCATATCGTCTATAGTTCTGGCCCCAGCCCAACCAAGATCACCAAAGGCGAATTGGCCATCCCAGGGCTCGATCGTATGTGATTATTTGGAAACCCCAATTTCTATTGGATCTGACATGTCAGGGGACAGACAAAGCGGAGGTTGAAGCCATCGGTCGCAGCCTCGAATCCTTCCAGACCTTCACTCCGGTCATTGTGTCCTGGTTTTTGGAGAACTATTTGGATTTGATGTACGCGGAAATCTTCGGTGGTTTCCCACTGAAGAAAGACGACGAGGGTTTCCTCACCTACCGCATCCCACTCTGGGGTGGGCGTGAAGACGTCCCCTGGATCAGTGTCACCGACGATCTCGGAGATATCGTGCACGGCATCTTCCTCAACCCAACTCGCTGGAATGGTCGTCTCGTCCAGGCGAATGCGGACATTGCCTCCTTTGGGGATGTCGTACGGAAGTTCGTGAAAGGTAATCCATCTTCCCTTTCCCCTAGTCATTTAGTCTGGAATTCCAAGGAGCTGGCGCTTATGCATGCACAGTGACTGGACGCAAAGCCCGATACATCCCTTATGTCAGCGCCGATGACTTTCCTACCAACGGCGTCCATTTCCTGGAGCAGTTACGCGACATGTTCAAATTTATCCAATACCGGGATGGTGAGTATTTTTGCACCGGAATCACCGAGGTGCGGTCTGCGGCTGAGTTGAAGAAGTCTGCATTCAATGCCAAAGGGGGCAAGGGCCGTGAGAATCTGATGTCGGTGGAGGAATGGTTTAAGGTGAAATTTGCCCCCTCAAATGAAATGGGATTGAAGGCCTAAGGAGGGGGGGGTGAAGGGGGGCGTATTGTGTTCGAGGCAGTCCTTTAGTAGTGAATCGAATTACTGGAGAGGAACGCGCCAATTTCAAAATATTTGTAACATCATGAAGGGAGGAGCAAAGCATGCCGAAGATTCTTGATGGACCGATATCGTTTGCAGGGGCTAAAACATTTCCAAAGCACCTGAGATTCGATCGGATAATCCTGATCGACCGTGGGGTGCAGCAGATAGCTTCGACGATATGCGTTAGTAGAACCAAACTGCAGTTGGTGACTCAGTGGCTCTCCAAATTCTCTGGAATCTTTGGGATCTTCAATATGCCCAGGGTTTGGAACGAGGCAGCTAACCCGGTGTTATGTTCCAGCTGGCCTTCACTGTCACCACGGAGGGCCCGATCCACGAATTGTGGCTTCACTTTCGAGAGCTTGACGAGGAAAAATTAAGTATGAGCTAGGCTTCGGTAAATGGGGCCTTATTCTGAAATTCGAAAATCCACCCCACCCCAAAAAATCTATGCCCCTATTAGGGGCGGGATGCGGGCTGATGGACACGCACCATAAGCGACGGATACACGCAAAATGGACCAATTAGGATATAAAGAAATGCATTGGGGTCGAGTACCTTTAACCACTACAGTATAAGGGCTATGATCGTTTAATATTAAATATAAAGGTATTTTTCGAATGGCCAAAGATAGGAGATTCCTTTAGCTTTAATTTCATATAGCATTAAGCCTATGTTGTGGTGTGTATATGTTCATGATTCCCCTTATAGAATATAGTATATTATAATTACCCCTATAGGTTAGGCTACAGTGAATAGGGCCGCGATTTAAAATTTCAGGGCCCACCCTAACCCATACCATCTCTAGGCGAGTCTAGAGCTCCCTTTTGATCTAGGTGTGGGATCACTTCTGATTCAGCACCGTTTTGGGATATCTTATGATTTCTGCCTTAGAAAAGTGGTAACCATCTTTTATTTCACAACACCTCAGCCCGAATTAAGCTAGGCTTTGCGGAAGTCTACGATACTCATAGTGATTAGTTAGCACCGCGTGATAGAAGCCCGTTAACCTGTTCTTTTTTAGTATTACGGCAACAAAGTCCCAAGTAGGGCTGGGAGGCAACAATAAGAAGGGATATTAATAATATTGCGCAAAGTTATTGGAGGCTCATTGGTAGAAGAGGGAGGCAACCTCTGTGCTTCCACCTCTATTCAAAATGTCCTGTAACATGATGCGCCACGGCAGCTGCATCCCCTTCGAATGCGCCACAGACAGGACACGACACACTTGCCGTTGTTATTTGGGGAGCGGTGGCTGCTTCAAAATCCCCCTCGTCCAAAGTATGCCGCTCCTGTATTTTGCCAGCCCGCTTCTTTCCCTTTGCAGGACGGATGTACATATCTAGCCCAAGCGCTTCCGGTGGAGGCTCGTACGGGCCCTTAAGATGCATGTCGCGCGCAGCAAAGCGATTGCGCCTTCCACTAATATCATCTCCATCTATGCTTAGTTGTAGACCCTCTCCTGGGTTGGCCTCCTCCTGCGTTGAGTCTGATGGTTCATTACCGATCCATAAGCTTTGCACCCTTCCGACGCGCCCGTCGGTGAGACGCACTTTGACACCTCGCGGGTGGTCGCCGCGCGTCAGTACTTCGTTGACTATGCCTGACACTGTACGCCCTGTAGGCTGGTCGGACTTGAGGACAATCTTGACCGGTGTGCCGGGGTTGATGGATCTCGAGGGAGGCACGCGGGGATGGGAGGGGCGATGGCTGCCATGGCCGTCATGTCGTTTTTGACGATTCATTGCTTGTAGTCGGATCTGAAGCTGCGTGGGCGCGGTTCACGAGTTAAACGGAATATGGATTTACATTGTCCCGTGACTGCTACAGCCTGAATAATCAGGCGACAAGCATATTAACTGTAGAAGTTTAAGACTAAGCGGAATGAAGGTAGGACTACTTCGAGGTAGGATTTATATTATTTAATGCGTTCCTTAGAATGGAAAGTTACATAATTTGGGATTTTCATGGGAGCTTGGCAATTTGGATTTGGGATCGACGCCTAGGCCCATGGGGACCAGTTGGCGCAGGTCTGAAAAGCAGTCAACTGTCAAAGTGCACCATCCGTTCGGCAGGCATGTAATAGATGTCAATTCAAAAGCCTTAACCTGAGTACGACTCTTAAAATCTCGAACATCGCTTGTCCAGCCCCATCTCTCACTTGAATGTCCTAACCATTTCCTTGTGGGGATGAGTGCTATCATCATCAGAGTTCATTTGCACAAGCTTCTTAGAAGCTTGGATATAAAATTCTATATTGCACGTGCTCTTGTCCAGCCGTTCATGCATCCCGCTATATTCTATAGGTATGATTGACTGAAGTAAGTGCCCCCAACCAGGTATTTCGCCATGACCAAATTTGTTTTAGCAGAACACCCCGTCTTTTAGTAGACTTTTGCAAGGCCCACCTTGGGCCTTAGATGTCCCCTTTGGCTAGGTCAACTGCGTTGCCGTACTGCCCGGGGATGAAAATACCTTCCTCGGTCAAATGCCGTGCGGAAGGTTGAGATCTTGCGTCAGAACGAGCTGCTTGCACAGCACAAGCTCCTAGATAACAAACACTTTGGTAGCTGCCGTTGGAAGTAGAGAAACTCCCTAGCAATGTCTAGATGTCACTTATAATTGCTGATGACTTGATAGCGACGCCATTCATGAATCAATGGTGAGGTACCCAGGAGGGTGATAGACTGCCAGCGCAAGCCGCCCTTGGAGCAGGAACGCCTCAGTTTTTCCCGCTGCGGTAACATTGAACTTCTCCGTGCGAAACGAAATGGCAAGCCCATTGACAAATAGCCTATGTATGCAGTTAGACTGTATTGCACACATTATCAGCAGGCCAAGAATCTTGCGAACCAAGTGCCATCGCCATATGGTAACTGCAATCCCTCAAAAGGCTCGCTAGCGTGTAGTTTAGCTACACAGCTTGATCTGGGGCCTCATTTCTACGTAGGGGAAACCCGCAACCACAGTGCCCTAGTCCAATGTCAAGATAGGATGGGCACTATTCAGCGTGATATTGTCCCCCGTATAAGCTGCCAATCCATTGATGCTGATACTAAACCTCAGGCTGTAGACTATTAGGTTAGAAAGCTGAGATGCAACCGCTGCAGGTCACACGATATTCACAAAGCCCGCTGCCAAAGGGAATTTTGTTGAATGCATCAAAAAGCTTTGCCCTTCAGGACAGGAAATTCTCTTTCGAATGGTGTGGACTCTGTTTGGGCTTGGGCGATTAAGTTTCTGAGGGCAAACGTACGCGGGTGTCAGGCTTGTCCTTCCTGAATGTCGAGGCAATTGATCTCATAATGAGCAATACATAGGGCCCAGATTTGCGATTTGTTAACACGAGCGGAAATCCAATGTAGCATTGAAGATGCAATTTCTGAAGAACATTCTTTTGGGCCTTTGCACAGGACGCGCAGGTTTGTGGGTCAGTGCAAATCTCGGTGCAGTAGAAAGCAAGACAAGGGTCTGACACCAGCAAGGTCCTTTATGCACATTATACAGGAATTGATTGCTTCAGTTTGCTTGTGGCCTTGCATCATATTTGCTTCCGCCAAGGGAAATTTGATAACTTCCATGGGCGAAGCGATGCAGGATCCATACTCTGAGAATCATTGCTGATAATCACTCCAAGCTTTCCTTGTCCGAGAAAAGTCTTTGCCCAAAGACCTCGGGCAGCCATGGGGGCATTTCGATACGGCATGCTAGCGGAATGTGGAACCGGAGTCGCTGGAGATTGGCCGTCAAACACGCGATCTAAGATTCACATATACCGATGTCTATATGTACATTCTGGCTATTAATTGTATGGAAGTTCGTCCGAGTCTGTGATTGTCATCTGATCGTCCAGCTGGCCCAAATGAACCCCGCTCGGAATGCAACATATGCGACGAGCATTTTGAGGCATGGTCGTCCAAAGCATCTGCCGCACTTCTTTGCCCACTTGCTCAATGGCGTCCATGGCCCATATAACATCGAGGTGTTCATACTCCTCGATGACTTTTGAGTGAACTACTCGTACATGAGGTTCAAGCCCATCTTGGAAGCGACGCAGAAGTCGTCGGCCGTCCACGAGAGCATCGGAGCCACCGATCCACAAAGCAAAGGGGGGCGTATGGGGGCCGAACCAAGCACTGTCTCTCAGGGAACCGAGACATGGATCTCGGGGATCATCACCATGTTCAGCCCCAGCCAACGTGCGGTGGCATTCGTTCAGCTTGGATGTTGATTCGTCAGTAGGGGACAGGATGAACCCATACTTCGCAAAGCTCTCACTACCTAGCCACCAACGCATGGATTCCGCACTGACATATACAGGGGCGAACTGAAACATGCGATGACGGAGATCGCGCTCCCAGCGGGCATCGGTCCACCCGAAGAGAGATGAAAACACCCAGTAGGCGAGAGTGCCATATACCCTGGGAGGGCAAAATCGGCGGATTGTCATCATGAAGGGAATAAAAGCATGGATCCCAAAGACAATGCGGAACAAATCAGGTGAGAGAATACCCATGAACCGGAAAAAAGACTTGCGAACGAGTGGGCCAGCATAGGCAGCTGGAGCAAGCGCGCAGAAGACCGAGATCCGCTCGCCAAGTTCTGCACGATGTTCTTTGGCCAGTGCTACGAAGGTTTCAGTGGTACCCTGGGAATGGCACACTAAGCCCAACTTGCTAAAACCGGTTTCATAAGTAACACGCGAGATCAACGCTGTGAGGTCAAGAGTTCCAAGATGCCGAATGTCCCACGACCACATGCGGGGGTCAGAGGTCGAAAGAGTTGTGTGTTCTGGATCCAAGCCGCAGCGATTGTTGCCCAGCCAGACATCGTATCCCGATTTGCACAGAAAGAATGCAAGACTGTCATCGTCATTGGTGCAATACGCGCCAGCACTTTGAAGAAGCCCATGAACCAACAGAACGGGATATCGACGACGAGACCCAATCCCAGATGGAATCCCTTGCTTGGGTGCACCGAAAACAGTGGGGCCTCGCTCACGTCTCTGCTCTGGAGATAGAGCTGTGTATTCCTGAGGATTATACACGTGCCATAAAGAAATTATGAAGCCATCCTCGGTTTGCACACGAAATGTTTCCACATCGAGACCGACACGTCTGGCATAGTAGGCGACGTCGCATATGATCTTGTCCTTGCCGCCTTCCAAGGGAAGACAATCGTCGGGACGTTGTTCTTCGTCGACGTGCTTTTTTTGCCGCCTAATGTGCCATTTACGATCTATATCCGCTCTTTTTGTTTTTCGAATCCGCTCCTCGACATGGAAAACCCGTTGCGAGCCGGTGTGGTCTCGTTTCAGTCGGGGTATAACACTCTGTAATGTCGTCCGAGCTGTACATATCAATGCTACCAAGAATATCGCAGTCAAAAAGATCAGGGAGAGCAGGAATGAGACCGCTCTGACAGCATAGTTTCGGAGATCGCGAGCGAAATTCGGAGCGCCATAGGACGGAAGGGGAGGAAAGAGTGGATGGTCACATGAGTCAATCGGTAGCGCCAGATCGTTTTGATCTGGCTTTTCGAGCATAGAAAGCCCACCCTTTGCTTTGGTACCATTTTGCTGGGCCTTTGACCATGAGACTTTGCCAACATGGTCAAAGGAGGTCGAGAGATTCTGGTGGGCCTGGGACTTGTCGGACTGCTCCGCAAGCAAAGGCGCAACGATATTCTTCAGAGGAATGACCGACATGGTCGCGGTTATATTGTTGACATTGATACACTAAACTCCATGCTTAATCCTTAGCCAGATGATGACTCGGTGTGCAAAACGACCTTAAACTTGCAATAGGCAATACGTCACCACACAACGAAAGATTGTTGGATCAGGGACAGTCACGTGAAGGTACCTATAATCAGGAACAAAACATGTGATTATTGCCTTACGGCCTCAGGCGATAAATTGAAGGTTAGTCACGTGCTGCTAGACTGGTGTTAGTATATTAGATGATGTAAGCTAGCTAGATCACATGACTTTAGTCAGCACACACGTTAAAGTATGGGTACATAGGTAGAAAAATGGACAGACAGCTACATATACTCGAACGGACCCCTATTGGTTGAATTTTCCACCCTGATTACGTGAACGGACAACTAGAGCGCCGAAGCATTGCAGCCATCACGAGGTTTCTTGGACATGGAAAGGTCCGAACACTTGAATTTTTACCCTTTGAAAGTCCCCTAAAAAAAGACAAGTTTACCAGACATACTTGGCCATACATTTTCAAGATCGCACGGATGTGAAAAAAATGCAAAATACTGTATTCTGACCTCCGGAAAACGGCGAACTGTATTTATATGCCAGATGAGGCTTCTAGCACTGAGGAGAGAGAAAATAGAGCAAGGCAAAAAGTACATCGTAACACGCTAGTCATTCACATATTCAAAATGACGTCTCGCCTCAAAGAGAAATCAAGAAACATCGCCAGTGATCGATTTAAACATCGGCCTTTGCACTAATACTTTCCAGATGGGTCGCCTGCTCGCCACTGCGTTTCTCATTGGCCCGGGTCTCAAGTTGAGCGAGATCACCAGGATTGGAGACGGAGACATCACGAACATCGGTGTAGTGGACAGATGGAACAAAATTGATCGATTCCCACGCAACGGGCACTTTGGCGTAAAGCTCATCCACCTGCTCTAGCGACAGACCCTTGGTCTCATAGATGCAAGTGTAGACAAAGATGGCGCAGATGAAGCAAAATCCACCCCAGATGAAAAAGACCTTGGACTTCAGGTTGGCATTTCCGGCGCCGCTATTCACCATGTAGGGGGTAGCATAGGCAATGGCCCAGTTGAGCAACCAATTGGTGGCAGTCGTGATGGAGAGACACTTGGCGCGGGCCTTGAGAGGGAACAGTTCACCGGTCACAACCCAGGCAACGGGGCCCCAGGAACAGGCAAAGAAAAAGATGTAGATGCACACAAACGCAATCAATACCTTGTTCGCCACATCTGATGATGCCGCAGTACCGACGATAGCCACAATAAGTTGGGAGACACACATCCCCACCGCGCCAAACATCAATAGGGGCCGGCGGCCCCATTTTTCCACCATGTATAGACCCGGGAAAGTTGAGACGACGTTGATAATGCTGGTAATTAGGGTGATCACAAAAGAGTTCTTGATACCCGAGTTTTGGAAGAAGGTGGTGCCGTAGTAGACTGCGGAGGAGTGTGTTAATATAGGCCATTGGACAGTGGGAACTACAGGGTCAGGGCCGACGTACAAATAAAATTAACACCAGCTAGCTGCTGTAGGGCTTGAACAGCACAGCCTGTTGCCAGACGCTTGCCAATGGAGCCGCGCAAGATCTCCAGGTAGGTAGCCTTACCCAGGCTCAGCTCAAACTGATGATTGGCCTGAATTTCAGCAAGCTCTTCAACAATGGCGGAATCGTTGATATCCAATCGACGAAGACGGGCAAGAGCTTTTGCTGCGGCCTCATGCTTGTCATTCTTAATGAGGAACCGGGGTGTCTCGGGGAGGACAAGCATTCCAACGACCAAAATAATGGCCCAGGCAAACTGGACAGCGACGGGGATTCGGTATGAACCAGTGTCATTGCGATCTTTGGTCGAGTTGTTGACGATGGCCGCCAGCAGCAGGCCAATGGTAATGGCTAGCTGATAGGCACCGACAATGGTTCCCCGAATCCATTTAGGAGCTGTCTCCGACTGGTAGAGAGGGACTAGAGACCATCGTTAGTGACTTTGTCTCGCGAAGTCCTGACTATAGAGCCTTACCGGTTGCAGACAGAAGACCGACACCTAGACCGGCAAAGAACCGCCCAGCCACGAACAGGGGAATGGATGTCGATGCAGTTTGGAGAATGACACCAACGCAAAAAACGAATGTTTCAAGAATCATGGCAATCCGACGACCGAAGTAGTCTGCAACGGGAGCGGCGCCTAGTGCACCAAAGAAAGTACCGGCAGAAAGGAGGGAGACGATCATGGAGGACTGTGAGGATGTAACATCAGGGTAATGGTCGTCGGGGTTGATATAACCGGTAGAAAACGTCCTTCGCCAATATTTCATCGCGAGAATACCACTAATGGTACCAGTGTCATATCTAGACACCAATGCCTTGTTAACATAGTTCTCAGAGGAGAGCTGGAATATCGATCGAGACTCACCCAAATAGAACACCTCCAAAAGCAACAAACAAGCCAATGACGATGGCCGGAGTAGCAGAGCCAACCGCATCGTCCGGTTTCTTCAAGGCAAAACCCATTGTGAATAGATATGATGGGGATGGAAGCAGAAGGTTTATAGATTGTAGATGAACCCTGTTGGGTAACGTAAATTGGTAGAGAGGATCAACAAACAAACAAAGCGGGAAAGCTCAAAGGATAAATAAACAGAGGACAATGGAATCTTTTGTACTCCACATGAGGGGCAAGACCAAGACCGAAAGATCCCAAAGCTGAAAGCAGAACCGAACAGTACCCCGGCTTGAGTCTCCAGCTCCATGTTTTCGCTCAAGGCAATGCAGCCACGTTGAAAAGTGGATCTTGCAAAGTATGATTGGTGGACATGATAGATACACTCGTTGCTGTTGACCAATCGGAGTGTTCTTGAAGAAATATCCCAAGACTGACCCATTTCAAGGTACCAAGATGGCCGCATTCAAGTTGAAACTAGAGCGATATCTTGGCTCGATTGATCACCTGGACAACATAACGTAAAGAACGTTATCGTGTTCTGCATAGTTATAACCGTAAACGGGGTCGAGTCGAGATGTGTCCGCGTTCGGTTGCGCCGATCGGGATCGACGACCCCGGGAGCCGCATTTGGGAGGAAACCATCCCTTGTTAAGCCGTTGTTGTTCCAGGGTTATTTTGTCGAGGGAAGAATCATCCTTCAGGAACACGAGGTAAGCCAAGTTGTCTAGTATTGACCTGTCCAATCCCCGGATTTACATCGACCTCCACATCCCCGCATGACGGCAGGATCCCCAGAAGTCGTCAAAGTCAAGATGATGAGCGACATCAAGACCACCGGTACAGACAAAATTGGCCTTCACCGGGTCCTAATGGAGGACTGCATGTGGCGAAGTCGTTATTGACCTTGATACTCTGAAACCTTCTCCCTTAACTTACAGGAACCCCAAAAGTCAAGGATCCACATAGATCCCCGCATTGCCGTGCAGGGTTTAGAATAGGATGGATGATTCATTGCTGAAAAGAACTTGAAGACTCGCATCGACGCTTACTAAAGACAATCGCACAGAGATCTGAAGGTATACCTTGTCTTCAAATATGAATACATCAGTCTTAGAACCAGTATAGGTTTTCAATGATCCCATCTGCATAGCACAACCCGACTGTACGTACAACACCGGCCCGTGTTAAGGCTTGGCGACAAGCCTAAACTATGAATAGGAGACTTTTCCCGGGATGCAGATTGGACGGCACACCCGACAGTCTTCCGAAATTAATCCATGCTCGGCGAATTACTAGGCATCATCAGAATCTGTCGGGCAACAGAAACCTTGGTGGGAGGGTCCACACAGGCACTCTCATTGCAGCGCGAGTCTGGGCGCCAAGTGCCCCAGACCGAGTTTCCAGGTATCGAGTCTCGGTGAGCAGGATCGGGATCGGGCCCAGGAAGATGTTGGGGTAATTGTAGTCCGGCTTGTTGACCCGAAGGTGCAGTTTATTAATTCTATACACTATTTCGCTGGATGATGAACTAGCTACCAGCGCCAGATCAAAAACAAATAAACAGGTAAAACAACCTGTGCAACCACCCGGGTGGACTTAATGAAATTCCCGGTCATGTGGCCACATTTTTGGCGGAATCCATGAGCCCTCGCTGGGCGGTAAAGACCTTTGTCTTTTGACGTGGTCGTCAAAATATCATCTTGATCTAGGGCCCAATAAGCAAGCTGGGGAGGTTGGGCACCGGAGTAGCGACGGGGTAAGACAGTACCCCCGCCACGACCGGCCAGGCCGCCTGGACCAGACAAGGTGGAACTGGACATACCGGAAGTGGGGTACTGGCGCTTCGAGGAACCTGGGCGTCTTTCGGAGAGGGGAAGGAGCGAGCCATTAGAAGACGGGGGCTCTGGGGCAAAGAATGCATGGTAGACTGAGGCCATAAGTAAAACCGCAACGGTAAACAACAAGGTACAGGCATAGTAGATGAATATGCTCAGTTGGTCGGGAAGAAGGCAGAGGCGGTTTTGGATGGTTGGCGAAGATCCCTTCAGGGTGGACTCGCCCGTGTGCGGGTCAAGGGGATTCCATAAACTAGTCATCAGGAAACCAGGCTTTCGGACGCCCATCGCCCATGAGATACTCTTCACGGTGATCTCGTTAGGCGAGCCGTTGAATTCTCGATGAATCAGCTCGCAGTAGTCATGGTCATCCCCGGAGTAGACCTGCACAACATTGGGACCTGCTTTGGAAACCACTTCGGTCGAGATGGTCGGAGTGAGTACATTCTGATACTGATAGCCACCCGCAATTCTCAGTGAATTTGGTTCATCTTCCTCCAAATCCTCGGTGGCCGACGACGGTGGGTAGCGCTCTCGAAGGGGACCACAGGGGGTGGCTGGTTTGCGATAGAGGGGGACATGGGTGAGGAGAATGGCAGGGAGCTGCAGAGAAGTGTTTGGAATATTGTCATGTATGGCGGGCTCCTTCACATCCACTACCCGGTAATCGAATTGAATGCCATCAGGCTGTTTTTGCAGCATCCGGAGTTCATCCATCTCAGCTTTCGCTCGATATGCGGGCACCTTATCAAGGAAGTCAGCTGCCTCCTTCCAGATAGGCGGAGGGAGACTTTCGTCATTTGAGCTGGAGCTGGAACTCCCGGTCTGCGGGTTTGGTTGGTCCATCGCACTCAAAGAGACCGTGTCCACCGAAATGAAGGTATGGTTGCCAATGACATCAACTCGGTTACCCTGGCCGAAGTAGGCTTCGAACCGATCCCGCACGGGCTCTTGGATCCCATAAGCAAATCCTAGGTCATGGTTGCCTGGCAAGCTTGCGATCAGTCTCCGACCTCGACCTTCCAGAGGAGACATATTTTGTTTGAGCCAAGGTTCCAAAAAGATATTCATAAAGCGACCAAACTCCTTCTTCCAAAAGGAATCCTTGTATTTCGCATAACGGTCTTCTGGACTAGAGGTCGTGCTGGTTGCCCATTCTCTACCGCCATCAAAAAGGTCACCCAGGAATAACACCGAGTCGGGGATTAAATCGTGCTGAATGGATGAAAATGTCCGTCGGAGGTACTGGTCGGTATACTGGACAGTCAAAGATGAGAGTGGCCATGGCCGGCCGGGGTAGGTGTGGGGGTCGACAAGTTGGGGGTCGGCGATGAACGCGACGTGATGCGGTATTGCACCTTGAGGCTGACATAGCACTAACGGTTAGACTACATCTGATAGCAAGACCGCATCTCTAAAGTACAGTGAATAACATGGGCGACTTACCCAGCTTTCCCAATTCTCCCAAGCGCAGGCCTCTATACTTTTTCGAAAGACCGTTCGCTCCCCCCACCACAACGTCAAGACCCACAGCAGGATCACAGCATTGGCAATGGTAAATACACGCTTGGAGACGAGTACTGCGGACCTCCGCACATCATGTCTGTTCCGAGGCCTCGCCGTTCGAAGGCTATCGGCACCCTCCGCAATCCATTGTTTTGCGGCCCTGGGAAAGCCACCCCACGGGTGATCAACAGTTCTCGGGGATTTCGAGGGGATGAAAGAAGGTAGAGTAGAAGCACCTATGTTGCGTGGATAGGCGTAACTCATTTCGGGTGAAGATAGAAGAAGCGGTTCGACCCTAGGCGACACGGGTTCATTTGGGTGGGGAATCAACGAAAGGAGTGACGCTGCATGCTCTACAAGCCAATGCACATGAAGGAACGACGAGGAAGATAGAGGAGCAGCCCAAAAAAGGAGGGTCAAGAAGAAAGCAAAGAAGCGTTGTTGAGTCTTCCAAAATGCGTCAAGGCATTGGACTGTAAAGCCGAAAACAAGGGGCCGTGAAACAATGTGGCGCGGCGTCGATCCCACGTGACCCAACGATGCAGCTGAAGGGTCCACAGCGTATACTTCAAAGCTCTAATGGTGAAACTCACAAGAAAAGATGAAAAGCATCGAGACTATGACAACAGACTAGCTCTGCCACTATGAATCATGATCTGAGTAGACACCTGTATTATTGAGCAATTGTCAGGATAACCAACCCTGGACCCCAGGGTCCCGGATGCGGAATAGTTCATTAAGGATAAATAAAGATACAAAGTCTGATCGAATATCAGGATGAAGGGACGCCGACAAAGAGAATGCAATCAAATCTAATGCCATGCCAAATCTTAGGGCAAGGGAGAAACCTCGAGTTTTCTAAGGTACAAAACCATGGAGATTCAAGGCATGGACCACGGTGAAGGATAGCTGGATCGAACGAGGGGAATAGAAATGATCTTTCTGAATGGAAATTGAGGCGGTAAGGTAGAACCGGGATTGGATGCACCAGGGCACATATTAGGGAAGTAGGATGGGAGAGAAAGGAGTGCAGTGGAACAGGGAAAAGAAAAAACACAAAACTTGGAATTTCACTTTTTGGGGCAGCATTGACCCCCTTGGGCACAATTATCATCGCACTCGAGGAGACAAGCCTGGGAATCACCATCCCGCAGGCTAGTAGCTTGGCTAGAATTCACCTCGTCGGCACCCGACCGAGACGATGATGCCTGGATCGGGTTCGGCCCATCTTCGGTATCGCTTTCGGGGGCAAACTCTGGCTGGATGGTCGAGGAATGAATACCGTAGGCGTGGAGGCACCGTCGAACTTGGCGGGCAAGACGCATATATCTCTCCGATCCCTCACCCTTGATTTCCGTATCGACCTGGATGTGAATTGAGGCCACGACCTTTGTGTCGCTCAGCTGCCACACGTGAAGATGGTGTGAGCCAGTGATACCCGGCAGTCCTTCAATGTCTTCCTTGATATGGTCGATGCTCAAACCCGCGGGCACGGCCTGCAGTAGGATTCGCGACGCGGCCTTACACAGAGGAATCGCAGAGGCAAGAATGATGAGGGTGATGACCAGAGAAATACCTGGATCTACGTAAAAGCGCCAATCGTAGTCTGTTAACCAGATCACCAACGCAGAGGCGATCACACCGATGTTGCCAAGGGCGTCACCCATGACGTGGAGGAAAACTCCGCGCATGTTCAGGTCATGGCTATGACCACCCTTCTGACCCTTGGGCTTGGGCTGGGCGTGATTGTGATGCTTGTGCAAGTCCTCCTCAACGTGGCTGGGGGCCTTCAACGGACCACCATCTTCATCAGTGTAGTTTGAGACGCGGTCCCGATGGTGGAGGAGGCCAGAGCGCTCAGTAGGGGTTTCGTCATCGCGGGTATCTGAGTCGGACGACTCGTTGTCAAAGGAGCCCCGGCTGGCAGCAATGATATCTTGTCGCATTGTCGCGGGATGTACGTAGATGTCCTCGACACTGGTCAGGCCGGAGGTGCTGTATCGTCGAGAGGTACGGCTTTGGGAGTCTGCTCCACGGCGCTTCCGAGATGGAGAGGCGGGGTCGGTCGCTGCGTGTGGAAGACCATGTTGTGAAGGAGCCTCGAGGTGGCTGTTACCATTGGTATGATGATCTGTGCCCGAGTGGCTATGTTCGTGATCGTCATGACCCGACTCGATGTCTTCGTCATGGGTGTGACCGTGATCATGGCCATGGCCACCATGAGCATGGCCGTGGTCATGAAAGAGGGCCAAGCCAAGGATGTTTGAGAGAAGGCCAAAGCAACCAACGATGCAGATTAGCTTGGGGTTCTGCACTTCCTGGGGCTCAAACAATCGCTGAGTTGCCTCTAGAAAAATCGACATGCATAGGGCGACCAAGAAAACACCATTGACCAATGCACCTAGCGTTTCAGCCCGCTGCCACTAAATACCCCAGATTCCATGGTCAGATCTTGTTCAAGGTGAGGGGTTGCCGCTTTTGTCCAACTTACGCCATAAGTATACATTTTCGAATTAGTTTCGCGGTTCGCCACCTTGACGGCCCACAGTCCAACACACAAGGACAAGACATCATTGAGCTGGGTTATGGTTAGGTTCGCGTTCATTGCCGGGGTTGTAGACACCTCGCGACTGGGGGAGGACGAACCATATGAAAGGAATCGGCGACTAGAGCGAGCGAGTGGACGGCATAACCTTGAAGAGACAGGAGTTAGCGCAAGTCACAAGTGGGGATAAGAAAGCCAGTTCATACCGGTAATCAACTCCAAAAAAAAGAATGCAGTGTCGATGACGAGCAGGATGATGATCCTGTTGGTCTTGGAGAGTCCCATGACAGCTGGAACGCTTGCGCTTCGTCGCGCAGAGCTTCGCAGGAGGCTAACAAGGGAGATGTAGTTAAATTATGGATCGCCCTCAGAACAAGAGTATGTGAGAAAGGGAAAAGAAGGAAAAGGAGGGGTGATAACAAAGAAAATTTGCGACGTAGCTTGGAGTGGAGAGGAGGATTGACGCAGTTCTCGTGGTGGAGTCCAGAGAGTTAAACGGGGCGGAAGCAACTCCGAATGGGCCCGGAGTGGCGTTACTCCGTATGTATGCACATGTAAGGTAGATCTTTCTGGAAATTCAAGTTTTTGTATGCTCAGCTTGGTTTATTTCTTCTCTTCTTATAGAATAATCGAAGAATTACGTGCAGGGTTCTAAAAGCAAGGGAAAACAGTATGTTAGAATTCCAGAAAACATGCACAAACCGTAGGTACGTATTGTACCTCCGTCCCCATACCCCCACTCCTCTAAATGACCGGATCAGCCTTAGGGAAATATCCTTATCCAATCATTATCAAGACAATGGGACCCATTCAGGTGCTTTGGTGTTTGACCTTGAACTTTTGGGCCCGTCTTTGATTTCCAGGGATGAACACTTGGACATATGTGTTGTCGACTGGAACATCAACATGCCATAGCATCTGATTTTCCACAAGGTTGGAACCTAATATATATGAATTCACATTTGATCCATCTCCACAGTGGTCTGCCAAGAAAGCGCTTGATTCTACAGTAGCACATTCAAAACACAAACGAGGGATCTAGAATCGCGAGAGAACCACTCACGGCCCTTGGTCATGGCCCGAACCCACCCTGGCGGCGGCCTAATTTTGGGCCTTTCGCATCGACCAATCCGAACGCCGCATGACCAACAATGGAGTCTCCTGTATGGCGCCAATGCACCGGAGAGTGACTAGAGACTGGCGAGGAGCAAAGACTGCAAGCCGGTCCGAAAGGGAAACATGCAAGATGCCGACCGAAGCTCGGCAATGCTGCTAGCGCTGCGTCGTAATGTGGGCCTTGGTCGTGACTTCGGATATCCTGCATGAATCATCGCTCGCGCTTGGGGCAATTTCCCATCAACGGTGGGGGCCACATCACGGCGAACCTTGGGGACTGGCTCTACTTCTAATTCCTGAACCAGACAAGCAAGACGCAGCTATGGTTCCGTCATCATGCCCTAGTGTGTCCACGGTCTGATGTTCATTTTGGATAATCGAATTGTCTGACTTTCTACGAGCTTTAAAATCCCAATGCCATGTACGGCGGCTTGAGACGTAGGCTCCTACAATTTGTGAAAGTGGAGACCTTCTGCCGACCACTGGTCCACTGACAGAGGGTCATCATGTCATGCGACCAGCAGAGCATTAAAGACGGCCTACTTGCGCATTTATCTCCAGAGAGGAAGGTTTTTCATCCAGCTTGAAAACCAGGAACCTGCGCCTGAGTATTATGTAGGTTATCACGGCATTATTTGGGTTGAGAAGGTGAAGAATTCCAGGGGGACGAAATCGAGCAAAATGAGTCGACCACAATTTGACCACTGCGAATGGCCTTATCATACCCGGCCAGTCTGATTAGCTCCCTTATTAGGAATTCTGTTAAGAGCCTTCTTCAGGCAGGCCGCGGAGATGCTAGATCGACCCACTACGCAGAGAGAAAGGACATGGCGTTGGTTGGTCTGCAGTCGGTAGCATGGCAGTAAAGTCATATTGGTATCGTATTTCGCCAGCTTTAAAGCCTCGCAATCAATCCGTACACGCAGAAAGCGGTAATATCCTCCGGTACATAGGAACTCATGATACCAATGTAGCTCGAAAGACCGATCCAATCAAGCTCTCCAAGCACAGTTTCCAGGGCTGCCCACTGTACAACACGCGAGCAGACAACGATTCTTGCTCAACGTCGGTTTCCTTGAAAAGTATTAGCCTACATCCGTGACCAGCATAAGGTAGGATTCAAAAAATCTCACCAGAGTCTGCGGTCGACGAAGAGCATTAATACCTACGCTAAGATAAGCCCGATATCGCCACCGTGAATAAAGATATGGCTCTAATTAATCGAAGGATCTTTACCGTGGATGGCCTGAAGGCGAGCCAGGAGCTCTCCGATACATAGTCAGTCCCTCGACGACCTAGATATATTTCCAAACGTATGGGCTCATGCGCTAGTAATAATTCACTCCTAGTCTCCCGCTCTGAACACCCCATCGGCCATCCTCCGAGTGACGCACCCGAACAAGGTTGTCACGCTACATAGAAGGTTGTTGTAATCATAGAGCCGGGCTTGGAAGGTTTTAGAGAACTAGTCAAAGGTGACCTGCTATGAGCTAGTTATAGCACCTAGTATAGAGCCGAGCATCAAACGTAGTATTGCAGTGATAGTTGGACGTTACTTCTATTTATAAGTAGATTCTATATCATTAAGTATTAACATTATCGCTCTATAGCTATATCTATCGTTAAAAATATTGATAGATAAAATAATCTAATTTAAAGGTAAAGCCCTACCATATTCAAGCCAAACGTCATTCGGGAAGGGCTATAGTTACTATGGAGCTTTAAGTTAGTTTAGATTCACTAGATCGAAAGTACGTATGGTCGCCTAGTCTTCCTGTAGGCATAGCTTCCTACTATAATTATTATAGAGGTTTTTGCTATGTTGTTATCCATCCTAAACGCGACTAACCTTGATCTATGTGGGGTAGCAGGTTCTATTAGCCCCTAGCGTAAAGGGATTAGTCGACGCCTAATAGGTTCGAGCGTATATTAGTATCAGATGAACGAGATTATCACTGTTAGATCCAGCATAGGCATATAGCCGCATAATGTCGCATCGATAAGATTAGTTCTAAGCCGGCTTTAGTCAGTCCATAAGATCAGACGCGTGAGAACAAACGAAAAGGATATCCCTCTCTATCAGGAGGAAATTTATCAGGGCATAAAAACTAATATAGAAGTTTTGAAGCTGCCTGGTGTCCCTTTTGCTCAATACAAAGGTAAGAAAGGTAAAAGAGAATCGCCAACAATCTTTACGAGAAAGAGAATATATTTCTAGAGTACATAGAAATATAATACCGACAGTAATGAAGACACAGGCAAGAGAATACCCGAGAGCAGACTGTCAAGACGTTGAAAATTGGAACAAGTAAGTTCCCATTCGACCGTGATGTGCAAAATCCAACATGGAAAAGGAGAGTTGATGTTGCTTCACCTCTATTCCGCCTTCTTTGAAGCCTTGGTCCTCAACTTCATCAAACCATAAACCAACGCGTATCCACTGATAGCAAAAATGACCGAGATCGCAGCATCTCTCCATCCAAAATAATAATCGTTGATGTTCAGAGTGGACAGAAAGTCACTGCCATCAGTGTATTCACAGACTTTGCAGCCGGAGGTGGCATTCGGGTTAAGCAGGTTGATCCTCCAGCCTTCACCGGCGATATAATCAGATAGGTATTGTGCACAAGTACCATTCGTCGGATCAAACACAGCCAGTTCAGACTCCTTACAGCTAACCTTGGCATCCCAGAGACTGAATGTCAACATTCCAGAAACCACGTAATTGAATGGGTTGAGGTAATACATCCAATACTTCCAGAAGACGTTGAGCTCTGAGTATGGGACGAAAACGCCACAGAAGAGAACCAGAATGCTGATGATCATGGGGTTCACGAGCGCAGCGAAAGTTGGATTCGGGGCATAAGCAGCAACGAACTGGCCGATTCCAGTGTAGATGAACTCGTAGATCAACATAATGAAGAAAGTGGCACCGGATCGGTTCGAGTCGTGAGGGAGTGTCCACACGGGATAATACCAGCATGCGAAATAGAGGACTGCGCAAATGCACAGGTATGGGAATTCAGATACAATCAATCCGGTGACGAATGCGACCCAAGAGTACATCTTAGATTTCTTCTCGCGGGTATCATAGATATCGCGGCGCTGAATGAATAACGGTTGTAGTTGATTAATGACACCGGGAGCGACAAAGACAAAATTGAAGACTGTGAACATTTTCAAGTTCAAAGCAGTCACACTCGAGTTAGGGCGCCAGAAGGAGAAGCCGTTCAACAGAGCGGAGATAATATGCAACGAAAATTTGTTGTTGACGTAGTTAGTGTTCCGGAAAAGCGCGACATTCATTCGCTGAGTGACGATCTTGGTCTGCTCCCATAAGGGCATTGAGAATTCGTATCCATCGGAAACAGTTCCTGGTGGCTTACTTGCTGCATCGTCAATCATTTCGTCAAGCTCAGTAATCATTGCGTGCTGCTCTGGGGATTCAAGCCAAATTTGATGCCAGTCTTTATCCTTGATAGCCTCAATACCACCAGTAACCACGTCGATCATGAACTCGGCTGGGTTAGCTTCGGTGGGACAATTGGCACCGTATTTACCAAAATAACGCTTGATCGTGGCTCCATTGTCGCCGATATCTCCAAAGTAAACCGTTTTGCCGCCCCTTGCGAGAAGGAGAAGAGTGTCGAACTGAGCGAAGAGCTGTGCGGATGGCTGATGGATGGTGACAAGCACAGCTTGACCAACATCGGCAAGCTTTCTAAGGAAACGAACTGTATTGTAGGCCGATTGACCATCCAATCCAGATGTAGGTTCGTCCAAGAAGATAAGAATGCTAGGTTTTGAGACCAGCTCTACTCCAATAGTCACGCGCTTTCTTTGCTCAACGCTAAGGCCGTTGCCCACAGATCCCACCAGGGTATCTGCGAGGTCATGGAGTTCTAAAAGATCAATGATGGTCTCAACGTACCGAAGCTTCTCGTCCTTCGGGGTATCGCGGGACTGACGTAGGAGAGCAGAGAATTGCAAAGCCTCTCTCACGGTCGCAAAAGGCTCATGGACATCTAGCTGCTCACAATAACCAGCCATTCTTTGAAATGAGACCGGCAAAGGTCGACCATCAACCAAAATCGAGCCATTGATGGTGCCCTCCGTTTTGCGTTGGGCGAGCACGTCAAGTAGGGTCGTTTTGCCCGCGCCGGATGAGCCCATCAAGGCTCCAAGCATGCCAGGTTTAACCCAACCATGGATGTTGTCTAACAGAACACGATCTCCAGTGGGAGTTTTGACAGTGTATGTGAGATTCCTCCAGGTGAAGATCGACGTGTTACGCACAAGGTTCTCATCTTTGACCTCGACGGGCTCATCAGCAGTCGTCTGGGCAGTAGGCTCTTTGCTATCTTGGGCCTCTTCATCGTTGTGGGCTTGATGCCTTTTTAGACTCTCGCGAGGGATAAGAAGGGAAGATCCAGATCCAGCTCCACTATTCCAAAGGCATGTGAAGATGATAGTCAGGACTGCCAAAAACCCCCACCATGCCCAGAGAATACCGTAGTTACGCCACATTTGAGAGGCATGATAATGAAGGGATCCAAGATACTGATCGCCGGTGACATAGTCAGCACCAGTTGTAGTACCACCAATGCCTGCACAGGCTCTGTGGCCAGACCCGACACCCTCATAACCCGGACCATGAGGGATCAGGTTTCCACCAACGCAATCGATATGCTGGCCATGGAATTCATTGGACATTGCAGCCTGAAAAGCATATGCGAATGGGTTTGTGTAGTATAGCTCGACGAACCAATTCTTAATCTCGGGCTTGGGGATCATGTAACCTGCATACATCACAATACCCTTGACGGCGGTTCCTGAGATTTTAGAAGCGGCTTCGAAGGTACTGAATGCGGCTCCAATGCATCTGAACAAGGCAGTGATACACTGTCAATCGTTAGCTTTTGATTAAAATCAAAGATCTGCGAGTGATAGAAGGTTGTCCACGTACCAAAGTGGTGGTGAAGAGAATAGCCCAGAAGGTAAAGAATGCAGCCGCGGTGTGCTTTAATCCAACCATCCAGTAAATCACAACCGAGAAGATTGAACACTGGAACAGCAACACCGGAAAGTCGGCTGTAATTTGAGCCAGACAGAAAGCAGCAGGATGGTACATGGCAAAGCCCTTGTGCTTGATAAGAATCGGACGTCCCTTGAAAGACTCAGTGACTTCAGACATAGCCACAATGCAATTATACAACAACGAGAAGAAGATAGCACCGCCCTTGGTGAAAAGGCCCGCTGACGTGTCCGGGGAGTTATAGAAACAAGAACCAGCAATCAGAGCCATCACGCATGATAGAATCTGCTTGATCAAGAAAGTGGATTTTTCACCCCAAAGAATCTGGTACTGTCTTCGGGTGCAAGACATCACTTGGGCCCAGAAACTAATAGTCAGATCACTCCCCTTAGGTAGATGATTGGACTTTTCCCAAGCCACAGATTCCTTGAATGCCTCTGTGCGTTGAGAAGCGATATCACTGTTATAATAATCATATGCGGAGATTTCCTTCTTGTATATCTCGGAGTTTTTGTACTGTGCTAAAATGGCATCGGCGGTTCGAGGAAACTTGCTTTCCCAGCCAGGCTGGATTTTTCGCTCGGTTGGAACAGTCACACCGGTAAGGAAGTCACCTTAAAGTTCAGTTAGTACCTCTCAAGCAAATAATGACCGGAAAGCTGGAAATTTACCGATGTTCGCTCCATCCGTGTACATCAGACCCAAATTCTCCATAAATGGCTTTGCTTCCGCTGCAGGGCCATAGTAGATCTGCTTTCCTTGATCAAGGACCAAGACCTTGTCAAATAGGTTATAGATGGCGTTTCCAGCTTGATAGAGAGTGACGATAGTGGAAAGCCCTTGGACATCAGTCATAGCACGGAGAGCTTTTGCCCATTCCAGTGCTGTGCTAGCATCCAAGCCACGGGTGCTGTTGTCCCAACAGTAGACAGAAGCTTTTGTTGCGAGACACTCGATGATTGACACACGTTTTCTTTCTCCACCAGAGACTCCACGAACAAATTCGTTCCCAACTTTCGTATCGGCAGTATGAGAGATACCCATGGACTCCAGAAGGAATTGCTTAGTCTCGGCAGTATATTCCTCAACGCTCTTGGCTCCATCAGGAAGGTGGGAAGGAACCTTCAGCTTGGTTGCAAAATCCATTGTTTGACCAACAGTCAATCGAGGATAGAACAACTCTTCTTCAGTGTTCATCACAATCTGCCCATGGTATTTGAGTGCTTCTTCAGATGTCATATTTCCAAAGTGTACGTCGCCGTTGATGTCGTGATATCCTTCACGACGATTTGAAAGCATCTTAAGAAGTGTGGTGCATCCGGAACCTGGCCGACCCAAGACAAGGAGCATTTCACCAGGCTTGACACAGCCATGACTGTCCGACAAGATTGATTTGAGTTGTGGTTTTCGACGAAAGTCTTTGATGAGTTGAGGAACATTGAATTGGGAGATCATGTTCTCTTTGACTGCTGCTTCGGCGGCGAGAACTTCAACGGACAGGTTCTGCCAAGTAACACCAAGCTCGCGTCGTTTAAAGCCTGCGGCTTCATCACGTTGCGCGTTTCGAATCACTTGTGGTGTCATGCTCCATTCTGCACTTTTCCCAGCCGGGGGACTGGTGGGGGTATTGGGCAAGGCGAGGGTCTCGTGGCTTTTCCAATGATCTTTTTCACGGCGTTCATCGGGGGTCGAAGTGGGAGGAGTGCGAGGTGCATTCAGAGTCTCAGAGCTACTAGCTTCATGGAGTTTGATTTGGGGGACGGCAAGGGTGCTGTGGTTTTCCTTCTCGTCGGTTTCGAGGTATTCATCAGAGGATGACATGATGTCGAATATTCTGTCCCAGAACTAAGAGTTCTCCAATGGTACTCAGGGCCAATTGAAAACAGAATTCTGGTGCACAATGAATATTGGGGGATTTGGATATTTATAAACTTTACGAGTACTTCGGCAACCCGAGATGTGCAAGCACGTCAACAAATTCTAAAAGCCGTGGGTAGTGGAGCGAAGGAATAGATGCCGAGACGATAAAATTGCCCCCTTTGTTGATTCAGGTGGATACGACGGTTAGCAAGATTCCGCTTGTGAGGAATTCCGCTCATTAACGATTCGTAATCCCCTCATAGCTGCTGATAGTACTATGGCTAAATTTGTGAGCAGAAGTGGAGCCACATGCTAGTGGGCCTTCATCCATTTGTGCGTGATTTACGTCGATTCACGTCTATAATATATTATAGCCAATAATAGGCAACGTATTCATCGAAGGTTTCCAGTTTGTCTGCCGAAAGACAGATCCGATCTCAGGGACGCGGACCTAATAGCACGGCATTTGACGCCGAGGGATTGGTAATCTAATATAACGGTCGATCCCGATCTAGCCGGCTGTCATCGTTCTATCAATGATACCGATGCATCAGATTACCCGAATGGGTAATTGAGACAATTGACCTAGATTCTAAAAAGCTCTCCACAAATTTCATTGGGATTTAAAACAGTCCAAGAATATGTCCTGTCTAAAGTCTAATAATTGAACGTTCTATATATTGAAAGGCCAGGCTATTGTGCTATTCACACTGCCACAACAAAAGCTCTATCGAGGGAGGTTTATATTGTACAGAACCACTGGTTGATATTGCAACCTTGGTTCGGGACATGGACCTCGGCACAGAACGGGTCACCGAACAATTGGTCATTGGTCGACCCCGAGATACCCGGTCTTTACCAATCCGCCAGCCAACGCGGCATATTGCCCGAATAGGAAATAATAAGAAAATTCAGCTGCCTGAAAAATACGGTATCTTGATCAATCAACCCCAACCATGCACGGAATCATGGTCAGTCTTCTCTTTCAGATATTTGCACCGATGGCCTGGAAGATTCGATTCCATAGCTCATTATTCGTAGAAGTATCTTCGGCGGAGAAACGTATTATTACAAGCTCTGTCGTTACAAGGTTCATAAATAACTTGATGCGACCAAGGAAGAGTAGAAGTATATTTTGTTGTTTATTCCCAGCCCTGCAAAAGCCAGGTACTGCATCTTTATTACCTATCGTGGCAATAATCATCAGGCCTACTCTGAGCTATGACGGTATCAGTTAGTGAACTTCGTTTTATGAACTTTGAAATAATGAAAGAATGATTATTATTAAAAGGTCGGACGCCCAGGAAATAAATTAGAAACAAAATTTGTAAACTCTAGTCCACTGTACAAGCATCGTTGAAAGTGCTATTAATGATTCAAATTATCCTTTGAATAGATTGAATGATTGAAAATAAAAAGAGAGGCAATAGAAAGCATGTTTGTGGGCTATAGTACAGATGCATAAGGTCATATGATGTCTCAACAGGAAATGTCAATTGCCAAAGATATAGACTTAGGTCGGAGTGATCTCCATTGGATCCGGATCGACAAATAGATTGAAGTCTTCGGATGGAATTTGTCCGTCAAGGAACATATTCGTATAGTCTTCGGTGACCATCATATTCATGTCATCGAATAGATTGATCCCATTAATTGGGCACTGCTGCCTGTCCTGATATGCCAACGAGCTAAAGAAATAGGGGGCTGTTGACCCATATTGGAAGTTCTGCGACTCAGGTTCCGTCATGGGAGTGGAGGGGCTAGTATAGTACGTTGGAGGCGTCGGCGGCATCGAATGTTGAAAAATTGCGTCGGATGGGAGACTTGATGGAAGAATAATCTCAGATTGTTTCTTTGATGAATCCTGGAACAACAAGTAGTCGGGGTTTTCCTCAAACCGGTCACCCATGGAGTGATTGAGAGCACCGAGACGAGCAAGTAGGTCATGAGTGAGCGGATGGCCATTGGACTCAGGCTCTAGCAGGTCTCCAGGCCAGGCTTCCCCTGTAGTGATTCGCCGGTAAAATTCCCTGAGGCCATGAACCAGCCAGGCTTGTTGCTGTTCAAGCATCTCAGCGTATCTGTAGTCAAGTTGTTATCAGCTTGGATCTCTTGACATGTTGAAGAATCTGTCGGCTTACCCCTTTGGGTATACTTTCTCATGAGTCTTCTTTCGTTGCCCAAAAAGACAGACAGCGTCATCTGCTCGACAGCGTGAACATGGGCTGAGCCCGTCACACTTACCTTGTTAGTATGAACAGAGACGTGCTATACCTTTCACACAGCATACCTTGGATTTCTTCAAACGACACCGATCACATGCCTTACATACACGCTTGCAAACCTTTTCAGCCTTTGAGTGATCAGACGTTGATATTGAGTGTTGCGGCATGGTATGATGCAGATAGGGAACAAAGGGAGACACCACACAAGAAATGCAGTGATGTGGCTGGAAGATGTATTTGAGATATAGAAGGAAATAGCGGGTAATGATTCAAAATCGGAAGTGCTACTATGGATGTACAATAAATATCCGAGCGGGGTGTCCAGTTTTTACCGCGTCATTTCAAGGTTCAACTTGAAAAGGGCTCTTCCTACGTCTTGAGGGATTATGCAGTATGGCTGTACGGCAACATAGTTCTGGATCTAGATCCTATCCGTTGATCATTGTGCCGGTTTCCCCTTATAAAGTGGAGCCATGGGAAATCGGCACGTCGCTCCATATTAGTTTCCCGGCAAAGCCATGCCGATTTGAGTATGAGTCACGTGATCTCATAAAAGAAGCAGCCGGCAATAATTATCACGAAACATTATTATATATTAGAAAACGAAATCATTGAACTTGACCAAAACTACAAGGAGAAACAATCCGTCTGAAATAAAGCCTGTGTTGTAGCTTGAGCGCCACCCGAGTTGAGTTGGCCAAATGCACTGCGAAAATTCCTACAGCGCCACAGGCTTTGTAAATTAAAAAATTGCATTGGGAAGCTTCAAAGTCATATGCTGACATCACGGAATCCAAGAGCTGTAAGATGCATACAGTAGATTTATCGTTTCTTAGCTAGCAATTCGGGAAGTTTGATCAATTCGGTGGCATCCATGGATATTCACTTGGCGTTCTGGGTCGGTGGTCTTGTTGAGAGGTGTCAAAAGATAATAAGATCTTTTTCCTTCAGATCTATCAACCTTCCACACTTTCAAAGTTCCTTCCTTATCGGGTTATGACAAGCTTTTATGATCGCTCTTATTGATTTCGATCGGATTGAAAGCCTACACAGGATGATGTATCTATGCCGAGGCTGTTGACGAATCTTCGAGCAGTTGAATCCACTTCGGCGACATGGCTGCTCGCCCATTCCAAGGTTGAATTCCCGCGGGGACAAACCATGCAACTTAAGCAGATTTTCCGCCAAGGGTCTATTGCAACTCAGTTATTACCACCCGCGCTCGAATAAGACTGTCTAAGGCGAGACCATGTCTTTGTCAGCCACATTCATATTAACGTAATTCCCTAGCGAGCGGGACACCCCGGCGAGCGGAACACCCCAAAACACATAGTAAATGCCTTTTTATAACTCAGCAACAACGTATATAAATGATATCAAATTTTCCATACTATTTCTATAGGACAATTGTAGTTTGGAAATAGAGTCTGGTTTAATTTAATATAATATTTCATAACATTACCATAAAATACCCCAGGATTTGGCTCTAAAGCTTCAAACATATATATTTAACACAACAACTTACAGAAATTGATTATATCCCGAGAGTAGACTTGAGATAGCATAAAGAATATATTTTCATAAGGATATTCGAAGCAAAGCTATGGTTGTTGAAATATTACGTTGTAATTTATCGCATTTACTATGTGTTTTGGGGTGGCCCGCTCGCTTGTGAAATACGTTAATAAAGATCATCTACTAAACCTTGTAAATGAGCCCCCAAGCGACAGAATGCAGCCATCCCAACCGACAAGGCTGTGCAGCCTCGATACTCAAGTGGAAATCAAATGATAAAGGGCGATCATGCATGGATAAGCGGATTCGAGTTAAACAATATGCGCCTGAATAATCTTCCTCCTGCAGGACTATCTTCAGACTCAACAAATGTACATTCAATCTCATCAACATGTGTAAGCTCGTGTGGCGCTTTCTAATGATGTAATGTCCGATCGTTGAATGGATCAGCGTAGTCGCACAAGTTTGCCCTTCACACTCGAGGGACGTCATTCAATCTCGCCTGCGGAATTATCGATCTGGAAGTCGATCTGTCTTCCTTCTGTATTTACGGTTGCTGATTGGTAGCACGACGAACTTTTTTAAGGGATGTACTGTATGCCAGTGGCCCGTGCAGATTTTCAGAGGTTTCTCCAATCAAAATATCTTTTCTCTGAAGGCGCCTCGTCGACATGATTGGTGAATCGCTAACTTTAAGTTTTCTGGGGGTGGCCAATTTTTTTCTAGGTCGCGTGATTTGTGGCCCGTCATTGCTAAAATCAAAACTCGCTTTGCGGGGTATCCTGAATTTATCTCAAATTTGGAGCATGATGGATAAAGGAGCTCGATATCACCCACTTGAATTGTGCTAGACAGATCAATTCAACTATATCCAGGCACATATATCACGAACCAGGATTAATGTGAAGTCCCAAGCTGAGCGAAAAAGCTACCTGGGCTCGGCCACTATATCAGACTGGCATTCCCCTGTCTATTATCTTGGGTAAGATTACTTGTTTGATACCTGACCATGTTTGAAAGTGCAATATCGCCATGCTAATCCCGTCTCAGATTGCATTTCCATCATTGATATCCTTACGCTCTTTTGAAGCCCACTCTTTGAACCTGTTTCCATCGAACCCCAAATTCAGAAATATCGGGATCCATTACGATCGCCATCTTCAACCCCGCGCCCCACATAGTCGTTATCGCCGATCTAGGCTAAGAACATTGATAATGGTCTCTGGACCGCGCGGGAGTTTGTGACTGTGCCCTGGCCAGCAGCACCAGACGACTTCAGCCATAGTCCTGTTTTGCTAATGCTCTTCGCCATCTCAGAGGAAAGAGAGGATTTTGCAATGATCGCACAGCGTTCCTCCTTGAGTCAAGAACCAACTGGCCTTGTCGGGGGCTACCAAGGGAACAGCACTGCTGTCAGGATTATCATGGGTGCCCTGATCGCCATCGTGTTGTATAATGCAGTCGAACTCACAGTTCTTATCTTTATGACCTTTCGTCGCTACCAGAGTCTCTACTTTTGGTCTTTGACGCTTTCTGCGACTGTTGGGCTTATAACCAGTGGCATCGGCAATCTTCTACACTTCTTCGACATTGGGCCGTTGAGTCTGGCCCTCGCACTATCTAACATCGGATTCTACTTTCTGGTCCCGGCCCAGTCCTTGGTTCTATACTCGAGACTACACTTGATTCTTTTCAATCAGCGACTTCTACATTTTCTTCTCCGTGTGGTGATCTTCAATGGCATTATTTTTGCCGTTCTAGTGACAGTTATGTCATTCGGCTCAGCCTTTCTGCAGACTGGCCCTTGGAATGCGGGTTATAAGGTTGTGGAGCGGCTGCAAGTGACCTGGTTCTGTTTGCAAGAATTCACTATCTCCATGCTCTACATTCGGGAGACCATCAAACTACTCCAAGCCAGGCCTACGAATCACAATCGCCGAAGGAATATCATGTACCAGCTGTTGGCTATTAATATCCTTATCATCATCATGGACACTCTCGTTGTCGTGATCGAGTTTATAGGCTTGTATTATATACAAGTCTTGCTAAAGGATGCCATTTACAGCATCAAGCTCAAGCTTGAATTTGCTGTGCTTGGGAAGTTAACCGCCATTGTGGAGGCTAACCACCTCGAGCTTATCCAGAGTGGCCACAATAATTGGCCCGATCTCCAAAATGACCAACGACGCGCAGCATCTGATCCGACACGCTCACAAATGACGTCAAGTGACGCTAGATCCCTCTCCGAAGTGCATACCGCAAATACAAATGATGACCTGGAGGAGTTCGATCTAACAGTTAACATGACGTACAGCGGAAGGTCCCTGAGTAAAGCGCAAAGACTTCCAACTACATTGATTAGTTCGAGTTAATTTAGGGAAATAGCTTGACTGTAACTCCTGCTCTATGTCTTCCTCATTCGCAGCAATTTGATGTCAGCACCGATTCGGCTCGACCAAAGCGGTTAAATGGATGCTCGACAATGGTCTGATGATCGATCGACGATAAATTGGAAAAGCAAAATAACACAAGGCTAGAAATGGACGATACCTCTGATGTCAACGGTTCGGTCACCTAGGCACCTGCTCCTCGGGGCTTATCCCACTCCCCTCACTCAGATAGCTTTTCTTTCCTTCATACCACATCAATTCTATCGATCTGTATGCATTTGCTTCCTTCCTTTTCCTCTGCGTACGGCTATTCCGTACAACCACTAAATCCGTTGCTCCAAGGGAACATAGTACGCCAAATGTCATGGCATTTATCTATGGAGTAAACCCTGGATCACGCGAACCATGGTTGTCGGGCAGGAAAATCAAAATCATTGTAGCATATTCCAGTAATCATACTCATAAATGCGCCTGAATAACAATCCTGCGATTTCTATCAATTTCGTTCAATCGGGGGTGCATGCAGGAAAAGGAAAGGGGAAGAGTCTAACAAATATGGGGGCGGTTTACTTTAAGTGGAACCCCGATCGGTCATGTGGATACGTCCAGCCGACGGTTGTCCGGCCATATATAAGACATACGCAACTAGGTTCGGTTACGAAATGGCCATAATTTGCTTTTCTCAGCTCACGCATCACATAATCACATTTTGTGCGCGATCAATTCACTGATACGGTGGGAAACCACCGATCACTGATTAAACCAAGGACGGATAATCAACCAATCAGACACGCTACCGGGTCCCCACCATCATGCAGTAGCCATCTCTTTGTTTAGGCAACATCGCTATCGTCATCATTCGAATCGTTATCTCTAGCTATCTCACGCCTAAATATCCCAGAAAAGACCCTGATCGCCATGTTACAGCTGTTCTTGTCTCTCATTGCCAGTTCCGGTTTGAATACCAACGGCAATGGCCTTCAATTCCACTGCCCCTTGGGCAGATACCTCCGATAACGCGTTCGGACCCGTTAGCTGCCTGAGAGCATTCGACTTTACGATCACCTTTGAGCAGGCTATACTGTCAATAATCCCCTCGACGATTCTGCTACTGGCTGGATCACTCCGACTACTCCATCTCTCTCATTGTCAACGAAAGACGCGATCCAAACACGACTATGTTTTGAAGCTGGTATGTCATCTGGTACTTCCCATAAGCTGGGCTGCGATTGATGAGCTTATAGGTTGCAGCTTCAATAAATTTCTCCCTTCAACTATCCCTCCTGGTGCTCTGGAGTGTATCGGTTGCTTCACGGACATCGACCAGCATCCCCTCTGCTGTCCTGGGCCTCGCAAGTTCTGCCATTATCATTGGGTTGTCTTATGTCGAAGACACTAGATCAACGAGGCCTTCTTCTCTGTTGACTATTTACCTGCTTCTCTCGATTTTGTTTGACGCGATACAGATCCGGACTTTTTGGCTCACACATCGAGTCGCCATTGCGGCTGTGCAGAGCGCGGTATTTGGGACTAAAATCGCCATGTTCTTGTTGGAGAACCGAGAAAAAACGTCTTATCTGAAGTCCCCCTACAAAAAGTATCCACCCGAAGCAACCTGTGGCATTGTTAATCTGAGCTTTGTCTGGTGGCTGAATCGACTCTTCTTGGCTGGGTGTCGGAAGATCATTGGGAGTCGTGACCTTTTCGCTCTTGAGCCTGGCCTTAGCTCCGGTAGCACGGGCGAAAGATTGAAAAAAGCGTGGGAGAAGCATGGTAGGATATTTTCTCTAACGTTAAAAATGTCAAATACTGACACGTCCCAGGTAAAACAGATAACATGCTCTCCTTGCCTTGGGCCTTTCTCTGCTGTTTCTGGCGGGAATTCCTCGCCGTAACCTTGCCTCGTGTGTGTATGATTGGGTTCAATTTTGCCCAACCATTCATGATCACGGCGGTTTTGGTTTATGTAGAGGACCCGATCACGCCGGAGGGCAGGTATCGTGGATATGGTCTTATCGGAGCCGCTTTCTTGATTTACTTTGGATTAGCGGTATGATCTGTTCCTTTGCAATATTGCTTACATCTTCCACCGCTAATCAAAACACTAGCTGTCTAATGTGCACTACCGACATCGCTTGTCCAGAGTGAGTACTTTGTTCCGTGGCACGATGATCTCATTGATCCACGACAGGACCCTGAGACTCCAAGACGACCTTTTTGGGGAGAGCGCAGCTCTTACGCTGATGAGTACAGGTGAGTGGTATTCATTCGCATGTCTAAGGATATGAAAGCGACAGCCTGGTGTGCTAATAAGCCCCAAACAGACGTTGATGGCATTATTGAGCATCTGGAAAATTTCAATGACGTGTGGGCTCGCACAATTGAAGTGGCAATTGGTACATGGCTACTTGAAAGAGAAGTGGGACCAACTTGCGTGGTTCCATTACTTCTGACTTTAGGTAAGCAGCAGGCCTTGCATCGAAATATGCAAAGCTTTCTTACTTACATTTGGAACTAGCATGCCTGGGTGGTCAGAAGCTAGTGGCGAAGACAATCGGAGAGAATCAGCAAAATTGGAATCTTGAAATCCAGAAGCGGATTCAAAATACATCCTCCGTACTGGGCTCTATCAAAGCTACTAAGATTTCAGGACTTTCTGGCAAACTATCTCAGGCCCTGCAGGGGCACCGCGAACGAGAACTGTTTGTATCTGGCGCTTTCTTCAAGGGAATCATGTGGTTGAATGGTCTAGGTCAGACAATCAATGTTTGTATATTGTTCCTCCGCTGATATCAATCAGCAAGTGTTCCTCGGATATGGTCGCCTGTTATTACCTTCATTGTGTACGCTGTACAGGCACAAATCAGGGCGGACGACTCCCTCACTACCGTGAAAGCCTTCACTGCTCTGAGTATTATCACCCTCGTCACTACGCCCACGGAAAGACTACTCGCTGTCTTGCCCCAGCTAGCGGCTGCCATGGGATGCTTTCAGCGGATCCACGGATACATGGTATCTGAACCAGTGAAAGATAACCGAATTGACAACACAAATCTTTCGTTTACTTCTAACAAGACCGAGTCGGATCTTGCCATTGCCTTGGATAGCGTCACTGTCTTGCCTTCGCAAAAAGCTACATGTCCCGCCCTTAACGACGTTTCTTTCAAGGTCGCCAGCGGCAGCCTGGTGATTATTATTGGGCCTGTTGGCTCTGGTAAAACTACATTGCTGAAAGCCATCCTAGAGGAGCTTGGATGTCTGTCGGGTTCCGTGTCTATCAGACCAAGCAAAGTGTCCTATTGCAGCCAGAACCCATGGTTACTCAATACAACAATTAAGAGAAGCATTACTGGTATCTCGGACCACGAGGTCGACGAGATGTGGTATAAAACCGTCATATATTCATGCTGCTTGGATGAGGACATTCGTCGCTGGCCGGACGGCGAGAGATAAGTCTATAACGTGTATCACCCTGACGAGTGCTAAAACTTGTAGGCCCTGGCTCGTTCGGTGTACAGTCGCCATGATATAGCCTTGCTCGACGATATCATGAGTGCGTTAGATGCCCAAACGCAAGAAATGATCATTCAACGACTTCTCTCTCGTGGTGGAATATTCCGCCAGCTGGGAACAACTGTGGTTTTGACCACCCACAACTGTATGACGCCTTCAGGTTCAGATCCTTAAGCTGAAGGAGTGCTGACTCGTGATATCCTCAACCACAGCTCGATACCTTGGAATTGCAGATAGTGTTGTCTCGCTCAACTCAGATGGTCGAGTTGACCTCCAAACAACAGGCATTGAGGCCATTCACAATACAAATTTCTGGCACGCTAGACTATGCTCCGACCCGCAAATCCGGGATGACAATGACAAGCCCAACGATCATTCAAGCAGAATGGCTTCGAACTCTGACCCCATAAACGACATCGAAAATATGGATCGGACTCGGCAGATCGGAGATCTATCAGTATATTATTACTACGCACGAAAAGTCGGTCCAGTTCTTTGCGCCGTGTTCCTTATTGGGCATGCCTTCTTAGCATTTGCCGAGAACTTTCCGCAAGTGTGGTTAAGCAAATGGACCACGGCAGGAGACGGACAGCTTCCTCTCTATGTATCCGTCTATCTCGTGTTGGCACTGGCAGCATCACTTCTTACCATTTGGTGCATATAGGTCGTCTTCCTTAAGCTGATGCCAAAGTCGGCCATTCGTTTGCACTGGTTGCTTTTGGATACGACTATGCAGGCACCGCTATCCTTCTTCTCCGCCACTGATAATGGTGTGACCCTGAATCGCTTCAGTCAAGATATGACCCTGATAGACCTGGCCCTTCCCATTGCGCTGATGTCTTCCGCCGAGGCGTTTTTTGGATGCATTGCCACCATTGGGCTGATCGCTATGGGTTCAGCGTTCATGGCGACGACAATACCGGCCACACTGATCGTGCTCTATTTCTTGCAAAATATTTATCTCAAGACGAGTCGCCAACTGCGATATCTAGATCTGGAGTCTAAAAGCCCGTTGTATTCTCACTTTGCCGAGGTTCTCGAAGGTCTGCCGACAATTCGGGCCTTTGGTTGGCAAGACGACTTATCAAGAATCCTGACTCAGCATCTTGATCGGTCTCAAACACCGTACTACATGCTACTTTGCGCGCAGAGGTGGTTGAGCCTGGTATTGGATATCGTGGTGATGGCATTGGCAACCGTTGTGGTAACACTAGCCGTCATGCTGCGTAGCAGCACAAGTTCCAGCCTCCTCGGCGTCGCTTTGAATAATATCCTTGGATTCAATCAACTACTGTCATATCTTATCACATCATGGACTACTCTCGAGACGTCACTCGGAGCGATAGCCCGGGTCAAGTCATTTGTGGAGACAACGCCTTGTGAAAATCAACCCGGTACAGCCACAGAGCTGCCTGCATCGTGGCCCGATAAGGGGGAGATCGACATACAGGATCTTTCTCTCCGCTATCCTGACGGAACCCTAGCTTTGGATAGCATCTCCATGCACATAAGACCGGGTGAAAAGATCGGCATCTGCGGCCGCACTGGCAGGTACGTATTATAGCCTTTAGACGTTCATATAATCGACCAGCCTGCTAACCAATCCTTCACATTTTAGCGGCAAAAGCTCCATCACGCTAGCCATGTTGCGCCTCGTAGACCTTTCGCATGGCAGTATCACAATTGACCAGACTGACATTTCCAAGGTCGCCCCTGAATCAATCCGCGAGAGGCTGATAGTCGTGCCGCAGGATCCGTTCACGCTTTTGGGAACTATCCGCTATAACGCCGATATAATGGGCCTATCCAGAGACAGCGAAATTGCGTCTGTGCTGAAGGACTTTGGCGTCTGGGCGGCGATTGAAAGCCGTGGGGGCCTGGACGCACTTCTTGAGGACCATCCACTGTCGCAAGGAGAGCAGCAACTCTTCTGTCTGGCACGGGCAATTCTTAAAAAACAAACGAGTAACGGTGGATGCCAGGTGCTCATTTTGGATGAAGCCACGAGCAGTCTTGATGCACAAACAGACCAGCGAGTGCAAAAAGCCATGAGAGACGCTTTCCATGACTGTACTGTTTTCAGTGTCGCGCATAGAGTATGTTTCCATTTTCATCTGTCACCCAATTTACAAATTCTATATATTTTATTAAGCCCAAGAGATAGCTAACTGTTGAACAGCTTGACACGATCATAAATTTCGATCGAATTGCTGTGTTGGATTCTGGATGTCTTGTTGAGTTTGATACTCCGCAAAATCTTCTTGCCAGAGATGGATTATTCAAGCAGATGTACTCCGGTACAGATAAACATGAGCTTTAGAGTAAAATGCATCCCAATAGCTCAATCAAAGTTCTATCTACCTCGTGTATAATAGGCGTTTGTATTATTCGCTCGGTCCGTCGTGTTCGTGAAGCTGTCAATAAAAGGTGCCGCTTCAATCTCGCTGCTGGCCTCAGAGGGGCCTTCAAATGTTACTGACCTTGGTGCGCATTACCATCTGTAATGACTGGATCAAACTCATCTATTGAAATCGTCGGTCACTCTCTGCCCTATCTATACCGCGGGGTGACTAGTAAGTCATTTAGTTCAATTCTCCTCATCGCATAGCTCTTTAAGGGCCGGCTCTCGAGGGTGGGCTTCGGCAAATGGGGCCCCATTTCACAAGTCCAAGGTCCACCCCAACCCATGAAATAGGGTTGACTGATGCCTTATTTGGCCTGATTCGGGGCTCATCTCTGCTTATTTCTGCCTATTTCTGCCTGATTTTGCATAATTTTTGTCAAGACTTCTTTTTAACTACGTCTGTTCTGGTTTGTATATGTATAGTGACCAGTATGTCTCAATGGTGTTGGAGCTGTTGATCTGGCCCTGAGGTGGAAATAAGGTGCTAATACGATATGGAAAGGGAATGAACAAGGAAGAAAATGAACCCTCATCAGTAGATAACGTAGGTATGCATTCCTTGCCGGTCTTTCATTTACTTCGGCATTCTCTCTCCAGATTCTTGCTTCGGACAATGCATAGTAAGCAGACTTGTCCACGGGTGTGAAACCAGAGACACTGAGGTCTAGCGTGCCACGAAATACTTCATTTTGTTCACCTGAAATACTTACTAGCAGATATAGTTAGACAATACAATATATCTGTCCATGGACCTCGGGATATGCATGCAGAAATATATTGTCTGTAATCAATATTCCGATCGGACCAGACTAACAGCAGCCCTAATCTGAAGTCCATCAAAAGTCCGTCCGTCCGTCCGCCGGACTCGCGATCCAATCAGGCCGCACTCCCGTGGTCAACGTGAATTAAGTGATGTTATAGCTTCATTGTGGCAAGAGCCAAGTACTTTTTGAACCGGATCAAAGCTATTTGAACAACATCGTGTCTGGCGAAATCCATAGACCAATGAACTATAACGAGCGCAGACCACTCCAAGAATTAGGAATCTCTCTTCGACATAATTATCCACTATGAGCGGGTTACAAACTTCTCAGCAGGCTCTGAATGTGGCCAGTCGCGACAAGATTATACTGGAGACCGGGCACCCTTTACCCTAGTTTGGCGCCGACGAGGTGCTGGTGCGGGTGGCTTGTGTCGCACTGAATCTCTATGACGCCAAATCAGCTGACATGACGCATAGGCCCGACGCAACAGTTGGAGTCGACTTTGCCGGCGAGGTCGTTGCCCTGGGCCAGGCAATTGACTCGTTTTCCTCCCCACCTGCCTTGGAAAACCGCGTGTGCGATTGTGTGTTCGGTATCAACCCGGATCAGCGCGATAATGGCGCCTTTGCTGAATACGTCGCTGTGCCCGTGTCGCTGGTTCTCTGTATTCCGGAGTCCATAAATTTTGCCTGGAAGCAGTCGTGGGCCATCATTGGGATGCCTGTGTCCACAGCGGCAACGCGATCGAGAACGGCCTTGTAGCATTTCGGGATCCAGCTTGCTCTCGAAGATATGAGGGCTGTTGAGGTACCAAATACAGGCAGGTCATGATTGTCAGTTGCTTCGTTGAGAGGTTCGAAGGCCTAATATTCAGGGTAGCCCGACTCCTGAATGAATGAGAGCACCGCATCGACAACGTTCATTCAGTGATCAAAGTCCTTCGTCTGATTATAATACCACCCCCATTGCCAGCAGCTCCACCAATTGCCAATCCGTTGATTCCACCAAGCAAGCTATGTACATTGACAATGATATGCATGCCGTATTGCTCGATAGTATATGTCGTAATCTGCGTCAGGGATGGCAGCCTACTTGCCTGAGTAGAGCACAGACCAAGAGTACAAATCCAGGCTGCTTATGTCGTTTTCTATCAATTAATTGAGCCAGTATTAGAAACAGCGGCATTACCTGGACGACAGATAGAGATGGCTGTTGCTTCGGAATACAATATAAAGCGACGCATGCACCTGTCACTTGCGCATTCGAGAGGTCATTCATAGTATACAAATCCTTCCCCTCTCTCGCCAGACTCGATTTGCGGACTGCTCCGACTTTATTGAAGCTATTCTTTTTAGTAATGGTAAACAAAATGACCGTCGAAAATTTCATATACTGCGAATGCGGGCAATCACTTCATGTTCAAGCGCATAACCCCATTCTCTCAGAATACCATAAGAATTCTATCCCTGGCCTAGAAATTACTTCGCTCATTCTCTCACACCAGCATCAAATCTTTGATTCCTGGTTAAGCTCTTTAATCAGCCAATGTCCCATCCAGCCGATATAACGAGCAGTCAGTGCCACATTCTACCATTTCTCGGTAGGCACGGAAACTAGCGAACCCAAACGAGGTCACACTAGCAACTTTGCTTGCCACGACGGTTTCCTTTATCTTCATCACGAAACGAGGACTTTTTCTTATTCATTTATCTACGATTGTACTATAATTCCGCCAAGCACCGCATCAGGGGCTATCAAATTGCAATGAGTATAGCGTTATGCAAGATGACTTTCGAGAAAAGAAGAAGATAAAGAGATGAAGCTGATTTCGAGCAGCCCTGTACTATGCATTCTCACCAGATTGGAAGAGCTTGGGGCCTCTGAAACTTTCGAAGGTACACGATTAAGCAGCGAGCAGATAGGCAAGTAGACCCTGCGTTGGCTGACACGCGAGATTTCTCAAAGTTTCCCTTTTGTGTCTGAGAACACTGACCTACCGATAACTGCTTCCAGGTTTTGAGAAGAAGATGGATCCAAGTCTTGATTGACTACTCCCAATGAACAATTCAAGGAAGACTTAAAAGGAGACAGCAATGAGACAATACAAGTCTCTGACAACCGCTCGGGAATACGACAGAACAGAACAGCTGGAAGTTCATAGATGGGATATAGGAAGTTGAGGAAGATTTGCGTGTGAAGAGCTGCTTATGCGTACTGAAAGAATCGTCGTCCGAATGCTGAATCCGAGAGCTATTGCAGCATAAAAGCATATGTGAGGCGAGTTCGACAAAGCAAAGGCCTTACATATAAGTTCCGGTGTCAAGCAGAAGAATGAGGATCACTTCCTGTTCATTGAACCACCATGTCGCATTCCCGAGCCTTTTCAATCTGGGCAGGATGCCCCCTAAAAAGCCCATACAGAAGGCAACTGTCATCAGGGCTGCTTACGAGCCTAAAGGGGGGAAAAACGGCTCATTGTCAATCATTGATTTTTTCGAGAATTTGATTTCGAAAAGATCAAGAATTTGATTCTCTTGAATAAACATAGTGTCCAAGTGGGTAAAAGAACAGACGACAAACGCGCTTGGCAAGGATGCTCACACAGGCGTCATGTCTGCCAAGGTGTATCGCCGTCCTCTTCAACTTTTCTTTTTCTGTTCTGGGTATTCGATCTTTGAGCACAGATTGCAAGGTTGACTTTGTTCTTGGGCTTCTGTTTTGTATTTGAAAACTCTGATATATCAACTTGACCATGTGATGACTTTATCATAGAACTCTGGCAGTTGTTCTTGCTTTGAGGGACTAGCACTATATCTATTAGTAAATCTGTTTTGAACAATCATTCAATATCACGGCAGCACCCTCCAAGAGCTACTAGGACGTACCTTCTTTGAGTCTATCTGCTCTGCCAGTTTTGAGTCTGTCGCTACTCCACTGAGCACAAGCGTCTAATTCACTACTGGCAGACTGAACACTGGACGGTTTCGCACCAAGAGGTGAAAGACGGGCCATTTTCTTTGCTGTTGATCGGGAAGGCTTTTGACATTATGCCAGAGCTCTGGCGTAATCACCGTGTCTGCATCAGGACCAGATTGCTCTGTTTTGTCATCCGCGATCAGGATAAGCGCGTGTCAAATTCAGAAGACCAGGCCATCAAGCAAATCTGCTAAAGTTTCTGGTCACAAAATGAACTTGAACTTGACATTTGGGAGGGACGAGCAGATGTGTTCTTGAACCTTTAGATCTGGATGACAATCTATCCACCGAGGCAAACAGACAAAGTTTGCTCAAGCTTTGCCAAAGACAACGGTTTCGACAGAAAGATGTCAGTCCCTGCCTCTAGGAACTGGGCTTGAGCTTCTGGCCCAGCAGCTGCAGTAACAGCAATGATTGTCTGTCGTCCAACGAGACGGCCAACAGCTTCCAACCCACGTATCTCCCTCGTGGCAGTAATTCCGTCTTTTCGGGGCATCGATTGATCCATTAGTATCGCATCTATAGTCCGAGAATACTTCATGACAATGTCAACCGCCTCCTGGCCATCCTCTGCTAAAAGCACGTCGTAGTTGAGCATCTTCAACATTTTTGCGCCAAGTTGTTGATTTATCTGAGTCACTATTAGTATGGGAAATGTGTCAGTAAAATGGAGGCTGCTGAAATACCTTGTTGTCTTCGACCAGTAATATTGTCCTTTTCCCTGCTCTTGGAGTCTGTTTCCGGCTTTCGTTTGCCGAAATGCGCATTTTTCCACTTGTTGAGCTAGCAGCAAATGTTGCAAATGTTGCTGAACCGGCTTTGACGCCGCTGCCTAGTTCTTGTGTACCTTTGGTCTCTCGTATATCCAACACCGTCTGCACTATGTCATGCCATATAAGGGGCTTCCGAATGGGTAGTACGTTCGTTGGAGGCGTGGTCCCCAGGACCTCCTCTAACAAGGCTTGGTCTCTATATGGAATGAGTAACATGTTTTGTTGTTGCCTTATCATATGGCTGTAAAAATCGTGGCGCTTCTGCAAGACCATTAGGTCTGCCCAAATGATAATGCCGTTATCACTCGTAATGTCCATGACTCCTTCTGTGGCGCAGACCTCCGCCCCAAACAATTTCCAAGCGGCTATGAAGCCCTCAACAGCACGATTTTTGCCATCGTGCAGGATAAGAACTCGCACTCCCTGTAGTGGATTAAGTGGCAGATGGTACGAGAAGGATACCGGGTCGGCGATGGGAATTGCCAGAGAGAAAACGCTGCCACTGTTTGCGACTCCAACACCCGGATCCTGTTGATACTTACTTTCAAAAGTAATGCTACCTTGCATCCTTTCTGAGAGTCGTTTGACAATGCTAAGGCCAAGTCCAGTCCCGCGTTCTGCTCCTCGGGCCTGAACTTGCTTGTAAGGTTCGAAAAGCTGTGGCTGAAAAGATTTTGGTATGCCGCAGCCAGAGTCTTCCACAGTCACGTGGAGGACGCCCTTTGTTAGACGGATAAGTAGCATCACGTATCCACATGCAGTAAATTTGAGGGAGTTCGAGAGCAAGTTCATCAAAATGCGCTGCACATATGTCTCGTCGATGACGACAGACATCGGCACTTCAGGTGCAACGAGAACAATTAGCTCCGTCTCTGCGCTATCTTCGTTTTTCGGGAGGACGTGGACAACCGATTCACAGGCAATTCGGATGTCGACTGCAACGGGGCGGCAGATGGCCTCGCCACTTTCGAGTCGGGACCAGTCTAGGACGTTGCTTGTGACTATAATCAAAATGAGCACTCTACCCGAAGACTAAGACATCAAGAAACTGACTCATCGCCAGTGATCTAGTTGCAAGTTGAATAGCATGCAAAAGTCGTCGATCCTCCTCTGATAGTTCCGATTGCGCAAGAAGGTCGGCGTAACCTTGTAGTTGATGTAAAGGAGTTCGAATTTCGTGAGATGCGGAGGCTATGAATTGACCTTTCGCCGCGGCAGCTGATTCCGCGTTCTCCTTCTGCGTGATTGCAGCCCATAGCCGTCTTCTCGTGTAAAGAACGTCAGTCAACTTATCTCGAGCAACAGTTGCAGAATGTGCTAATAGGCCAGTAGAAGCTAAGCAGGTGAGAAGTGCGACACTAGCAATTGTGACCGGTAACTCGATAGGGTAGCTAGTGCTCGATGCTGGTGCTTCCGTAGACCAGAAAGAACATGCGTACATGCCTGCTAATGCGGTTAGTTTACTTCAATTGTTTCGTAGCCTGCAAACCAACCTGAGATATGCACTGCAGCAACACCTGTGGCTGCTACGACTGAAAACACGACCTGTTGTTTGATGTTGACCTCCATACCAGCCATTAGGATGACACCGACACAACATACAGACCAGCTGATCAAAGCACACAACATGACACGTAGCGGATCGAGGCTCACGAAACCACCGGGTATGTCCATTGCCTTCACGCCCATGAAATGCATATTCGTGAGCGCGATTGACCATATGAAGCCCTTGACAATATTGGCGAATGTCAGACCATTGATTAGCGCGTTAGCAGTGATGAGCAGCATGCCGAGCGTCGGGGCAGAACGTGCAGAAACTAAGTTCTCTCTTTGCCTTCTAGTACGTAAAGTGCCGGTATCATCTGGATTGTCATATAGCAATGACTGAGATTGTGGCACAGCCGTCAAAGAGGTATTGTTGCTATGCAAACTGTAGCTGTTATTTGGATCGAGAAGGCGACGTTCCAATTCCAAGCTTGCGCCTGTGCTGGACGTACCATCGTGAATGTTGCCATCTCCCGTCCAATCCGACGGCCCACTGTCGGTTGTAAAGACCCGAGTCCGACCCCGTGAGAGCTCAAGAGACGACCGAAAGGGACGCTCCAGGCTTTCTCGACGGCCTAATTCGGGACCTAGATGGTGGTCGACAGCGGTCACAGGGCCTTCAACGTCAAAGTGCTTTTGAACCCATCGTCGCTGGTATTTCTGGACAAGGTGTGTAGATAGTGCGCCGAAAGTGAAAAATACCGCAAGAACAGCGCTGAGTATTGTCAGAAAGGGGTTAAGGCCGATGGCTACATCGAATTCGCAGCTCAGTATGCCAAGAAAATGCAAGCACCAGACGCCGCAGAACCCAAATGTCAAGCAGCCCAAGACAGTCCAGATGAAAACACTAGAAAAAGTGCGCGCATTGCGCGCTTGACTCATGAGCTGAGTCGATGTTAGTGCACCTAGAAGCGAGACGGTCAATGCGGCAGCGACCATCGTTGGGTTGTAGTGGCAAACGAGATTCCGTGGCACCGCCATGGCTATCGCTGCTATGTTTCGTAAGTCTGTCGAGTAAATGCGCCGGTAGGATTTTGTTTCTAATGGTTTATCTTGCAATACGACGCGCTATGTGGAGTACGGGTCACCAAATGGACTTTTCGAGGACGCGACCTTGAGTACACCAACAACCGTAACGAATGCAGGCGCGACGAGCGATCGGTTCGCACAAATCGACCTGGCCTTCCTTGTTGTGTTGGACCAAAGCGAGTGGCAGAATGAGAAAGCACTTGTAATTGTCAAAGCAAAGGTCCTTTCTCCAGACGCCCGCCGGCCAGATCATTAGTAAGCAATATTGAGGCCCCTTGAGTCCACGAAGTTCAGGTTTAAAAAAGTTATTAACTCGTGGCTATAGTGAAACTGGGTCCCTTGAGAAAACGATGAACCAAGCCGTGACAATTAAATTGGGCGTTTGTCACATCTATGGTGGTCCAAAATTCCAAGTCCTCAAAATGTACAATTAACAAGCTTTCAATTGAATTTCCCGCTCTTTAGCCTCTTGTCGAATGCTGGTTCTTTCGCCAATTTGTTGAAGCTTTGCAGACACAGAGACAGTCAAATTCATTTTGACCGCCCTGCTCTTGCGACTCGATCGCCCTAAATCTCATACCGTTTGCTCAAAACTCGAGAATCACGGAGAGAGGCCTCGGCCCCTTTACCAAACCGTCCCGAACGGCAGATCATGTGTCTTGGATTTTAAAACAGGTTGTCAGCCCCTTTCCAACGTTACAGGCAAGATGAGAGTTTTTTTGCCGCGAATGCAGAGAGGGGCATTTCCACACAGCAAAGAATGGCATGCGTCATCGCCGACTCTACAATATTGTTTTTCCCTAAAGCAGATGGAATGACTCTGCGATCGAAGAATTTCATACCGCCGAATGCTCGCCTACAGACCGTTGGCCCAATCCTCGATCGGGAGAATCTCGATCGTCCCATTCGACCTTAGTCCCCAGATGTCGGAAAGACGTTCCATCCCATATTAGAATCCGACTAACCATCGGCAATTCCAATGAAGCCGCCTGACTTTACAGAGCAATATTTACGGGCTTTCCTTACCGAGCAGGAAAGACTCAGGCTTCCAGTGCTTTGGTATTACACTCGCGATATCTTCCAAGAAGATGACTTCCTCGCCAGCCTCCACGAACAGGCATAGTCGGCCATGGAATTAACAGGATGGGAGTTTGCAGTCGCTGAATTCCTCGATGTTAATGTCTATCATCGCTTGGCCACCGTAGGACTTCCACTAGGCATTTTACCGCGCGGTGAAATAATTCGCGCTCTTGCGATCACTCAACCTCCCTGTACAAGTTGCGAGCTTTATAGCTAGGCCTGTCTGAGACGCTAAGTCGTCATTCTCAGAGCGTATTTCTTCCCAAGATGGTCGAAGACTGGAAATTTCAGTCATGCCCTATCCTATGGCGGCAGGTCTATCTTATCCATGGGGGTAATGATCCAGCATGGGATATTGTGCAAGGACTGGGCCTTGAATGGTCCAAAGGAAGAGTTCCTTCGTCAGATAGACGGTATATCTAGGCAGAATGGAATGCGTCTTCAACGGCTGCATCTTCCATTACAGCAAGCGTTGAAGGTTGGGAGCTTTGTCCAGATCAAGGTCAAGAGCGGTTATGGGTCCGGTACTGCAATCAATCTTTAGTTATTACAGTCACTGACTGTGAATGACAATTAGTTTGATACTGCTGGAGACTAATACCAGATATTGAAGCATAATGCATACTTAACAACCAGCCAATAGCTAATTTGTTTCAACTTAATATTGAATTCATAAGTCAATTCACCCGATATTGAGACAAGAATGACTTCCAAGGTCGGACCTTCCATGGAAATTTGAATGGTATCAAGAAGCATGTAAAACGGCGATTCAGCCAAAGCAAACCACCACATAGAGAGTTAAGCAAGATCAAAATAAGGCTCAAAATTTCAAGCGGGCTGACACAGGACTGAGGTCAAGCCAGTGCCCCCTCCTCGATACCCTCGTTTCCACTAGGAAGAGCGACGGAGTGTCGGCGTTTGTCATTACCACCCTTGACCCGTCCAAGTCCGAATACCTGACCCACTTCCCTCCAAAAGCCTATCGGGGAGTCCATGAAACTGGCTTCATACGCATCGATCAAAGGTCGTTCCCACACCAGATCAACCTCGCGAGATCTGACGAACTTGGTCCGTTTGAAAATTTTCCATAGGACGAAGAGACAGGGAATCACGATTTGCATGGTGTAATTGGCCCAGAAGTTGGACACCGACCAAGGCTTAAACGCGGGATAGCCGTAGAAGATGGTGACGAGTACCATCCAGACCAGTGCCAAGTAGGCGGAGTATGGCTGGAAGCGTCCGAAGTATGCAAAACTTCTGCGGTCCACGCCCTGTACTTTACAGGCGCGGTGATAGCAGATGAAGGTAATACAGATAGTGATGTAGTTGATAAGTCCTGATTCTTTATTAGCGCTAATTTTTTGCATATCCTCGGCGTGAGTTCCTACCTCCAGCAGTGACAAGTTCAGCAAACCAGGTAATCACAGTGGCAGAGCTGCTGGAACATTGCAAGAAAGACAGCAATGGGAAGATCATCACAATGACGAAGCAGTAGATCGGAACACCCTTGCGTGTGGTGTATGTAAGAAACCTAGGAGCTCGGCCCTCGAGCGCCAAACTGTAGAGGGTACGGATAGCGCAGTAAGTGTACGTATTGCCCGCGGAAAATATAGAGGTCAAAAGGAGACTGCACGGGGTTAGTACTCAGCAACTCTTGGGGTTTAGCAATACTGACGCGTTGATAATTGAAGGAAAAATTGTAATCCCGAGGTTTCGCATGCCAATAACATATGGCGACGCCGCAGCAGTTGAACCAGATGTCGTACCGGCAACGACGGCCGTCAATGCCGGATCTCTGCAAGAACAGACGATACCAACGGCAAGGGCACCACCCATGAAGAAGAGACCAAAGCGAAGGTAGACTGTCTTAAAAGCTGCTTTGATATAAAGCCGGGGGCGCTTGGCTTCGGCTGCCACCATCGAGATATACTCGGGACCAACCACGGCAAAAGAGGCGGACCAGAGAGATCCTAAGAACCCTTCAAAACGACCCAGCGTACCAACATCCAGATACTCCATGAAAGAGCCAGGATTGTTCCAGTACCGGAAGCCGTACGCATCATGGGCTGGGTTTCCACCAACCATTGTGATGAAGGTGAAGAAGAATAGTGCAAAGATCAAGATCACCTATGGGTTATCAGTCAGTGGGAAGATCTCTTTCAAGCAAACAAAGAGAGCACTTGCCTTGCCCCCCGAAAGCCAAAATTCAGCTTCACCGTAAGCTTTGACAGCCAAGACATTGAGGGCACTGGTCAAAGGGTCAGCATTGAGATACTAGAAAATCCAACATCGAGAATCACTTACCCATAACAGATGATGATCGCTGCACAGATACCGGCTACAGGGCCAGGCTCTGTGACCTTGTCAGACCAAAAAGACACGACCAGAGTAAAAGCCGAAATTTCGAATGGAATCAAAAGAGCCTCATAAAAGCTACAGCCATGTTAGTTAGGTCAACGGCCATGCAGTGCGGAACAAAAAAGAAGTCGAACAAGAAATTCCAGCCAACCATAAAACCGAGCGCATCATCGACCCATTTTCCTGCCAAGCGAATGAAACCACCACTAACGGGGAAGGTAGTGGTCATTTCGGCTAGGCAGTTGTTTACCATGGCCAAGAAGATACACTGCACGCTGAAGGCAATGAATAAACTACCGGGACCACCATGGTACAAGCCCGTTCCGATACTCACGAACAGGGCCGTTCCGATCGAACCTCCGATAGCAATTAGTTGAATTTGGCGATTACCCAGGTGACGTTGGAGATTGTCGACGTTATCGGCCATCAATCCTTCCTGGACATCCTGGTGACCCTCGGTCACCTTCAAACCTAATGTGTCCAACACACCATGACTATGGCTGGACGGCTTATCTTCTTTAAATGCCATCTTGTGTCATTCCAGTTCGCAGAGGGGCAGAGTGTTGATATGGGCAAGTTGCGTTCGAGATGATGAAGACGATCTATCGTACGGAATCTGGGCGCATGGGAGTATCGCGTGTAGGGCTGGACAATGGAGGTTGGCGTATGGGCATGGGCAATGCTGCAGGGGCGCAAATGTCGCGTTGCGGGGTGCTGCAATGGGTGCAAATCTGGGGTATATGTGACACGGGTTTCAGGGCAATGGAGATGGGAATGTCGGTCTAGAATTGAAGGGCCGGCAATTAACGTGCTTCGTCCACAGGAAAAGAAATCAATCAAAAATTGGAAATTCGGTCGAATCAAGTAGAGGGAGGAGACCAATGGAAGGCTGGTGCAGGAGAGTTAAAAGAGAAGTTTAAAAAAAAAAAATAGAAAGTGGGTAGAGCGAGAGAACGCATGACATCCGGAGTAACGCTATGAACCGTGGACGAGTCCCACGCGAATGCGGCCGTACGGGATAATGCTGCGGGGCACAATCCAGATTGCGTGCGCGATAGGAATGCGACACAGAGCCACGTTTTTTATCGCGAATTTGCATTCCTATTGGACGATTTCCGGAACGGCAACATGCCAAGACTACTGTATGCACTACTCCGTACTAGCTTCCTCTTTAGAACACGAGCGTTATCATGGTAACGAATCGCGGCAAAGACGTCAGGGGGCTTAGGGGCTTGACGAGGCTTGACGGGGCTGAAAAAATTGAACAAATCAAAGATCGAGGATCTTAACGCTAACAAAGCCCATTTCCAGGATTTGCCTCGTGGCGTACGTTGGGGCACCCGTATATGTACCACTTACAGAAGGGATCGACATGGGACTTGAGCAAAAAGCAAAGGCAAAAGCAAATTCTGCAATCAGCTTGGGAATACAGTACTCAATTCCTACATTATATCACTGATTACTGAATCTTCTCCGTTGTACGGAGAACTTCGTAGTGCAGCCTTATGGCCCTAACCTGTATTGGGAAATCCGGTCCTTATTCCCTAGGGCTTTGGGGGCTAAAATCCTGCGCTTTTTCCTGGTCTTTTTCACCTCAAATGGACTAGGTTGACACTAAGCGAGTCCAGATTGACCGTGCATCGAGCTAAGATATCCATATCTTACCATGAATTGATTGCTCGTCCCACATTGCCACTTTTTCACTATCTAAACCAAAAACCAAGACCTAATCTCGAATTTAATTGTCTATTACGGCAAGATCTCCCGAGATTGATTTAATCGCCAGATCCGATCGAGGTCCGATGTCGCTGAGCCTGTTTCACCAGACTCGTCCGGTCGGCAATCGGACTGTTAGCGCGACCCCATCACTGATGGGATCTTCGAGATAGGGGGGAAAGAAAAGAAAGAAGAAAAAAAAAAGTCTCATTCTCTTCGGCCTCATATTGATTACATTCATGGATATTTGCCGTACATATGCTTGGTACCTGGTGGTTGACGACCACGGGAACCGACGTTTTTTAATATCACGCAAAACCTTCCCTAAACGCATGTTCTTCATATATTTCCAACTAGACACACATCTGAGAAGGCACCAGAGGAAATACCAAACATGGATAGCCGTCTATTGAAGAGACGGAGATCTAATTAACGACTCACGGAGTAGTCAATCTAAGATATGTGACTAGTAGCCTTAATTCCTTAGGTTAAGGCAGCCACGTCTACGCTCAGTAGTTAAATCATGCAGCACAAATGAGAGCCCCTGACTAACCCCTAACTGTTCTAACCCTCCACGAAGATTGTGGGAAAGAAGCCCGCATATTCTCCATTTGCACTCACAATGCAGCGCCACTCGTCTCTGTTGGAGAGTCTCGCTATGCGGGTATCGAGTGCTTTGTTTCCTAGTGGGATAGTCTTCGCCCATTCAAGATGAAATTGCGATAAAGGATTACCCGTGGTAGTGGAAGGTTTTAATCAAGGTCGAGAGTATTAGATATAGGTGACACAGCCGCGCCTAGTCGAGGAATGACTGTTTTCTTGTGATGTCTGTCTCCATCATGATTGACGAGAAGATAACGCCTCGGCCATCAATCGATTTAGAATCGCATGCACCGGCTCACTCAAGATCATGCCAGAGATAATCACAGCCGCCCTGGTGAATGCATACTGGTGCTTGCTTCGGTATAGAGCAGTCTCTGAGATACCTTGGCGGGTACAGACTGTAAGCGTGTTAATCTTCACCGCTGACTGTCAGGCGATTATAAGGCGGCGCATCCGGGCCTTGGAAGCCATACCGCAACATGACCATCAGCAACAGGGCTTGAATCAAGGTCATCCGCCCTGGCTTCGTGGAATCACTCAGCCCCCAGTCGCCGGTTGTTTTTGGTCCCTCTGGACGCCATTTGTGTAAAGCGCTGGTGAGGCTCACAGATAGCAGTTGATGAGGCATTGGAGCTGTGACTCTTACAGCCAAACGCGACCGTGGGTATTATTCCCGCCTTGGTTCTCATCAATGCGCTTCATCCTTCCTAGAGGTAGAAGGCCAAAAGATTGTGTATTGATTCAACTCAGTCGCGTCCATTCTCGATGTTCGCGCCGGCTAGTGAGGGGCGCGAGCTGGGGATAGAAGACAAATTAGATTTGACTGGTTTGGTGACTGGAAGTCTGGTACAGTGGACAAGTTCATGGGTTGGCCTCGTATTTGGCCATTGCGCAATTCTGCATTCCTGCAGCTCTGCAACTCAACAGGAATCACCAAGAGATCTATATGAAGCGTGTGTCGACTTGAGGGAATTTTCCATGCGACCGTAGATGTAATTCATAATCAGCGTTGGTGGCAAAAGAGCGTGCTCATTGCCCCCTTGCGTTCTAGTGGGGTCGCGGGCACTAAAACCCCACAACTTGTCATCCCCAGATTTCCACTTTTCAGTGGGCCCGGTCTCCACCTTGAATATGGAAATCTCGAGCAGTCCCCTAAGCTTGATGAAAACCGAAGAAGATTGAGAGAGTGATATTTGAACCTTCTCCAGCACCTGCCTGTCTGTGTTGAAGAATTCCAGGGGTGACCGATGCCCTCATTGGGTCCCCCTTGGGCGCTGATCGTGTGTTATGTACATAGGTGCTGAACCAGGCGCGTCCACTGTCGACCAATCGCAGGAATTGGACAAGTTTCAATGATGTGGGAGGGGGCTAACCTAGACATTCATCATCCCTGATTGTTCCTGCTGCCGTCATGCTTTGTGAATCTAGTCAAGTCGCTGGGGGGAATCGATTCATGAACTTCAGAAGTAGCACTACCTCTCCGGGTCAGTAATTGCTAGAATCTTACTCAGAAACATATTTTACTCTCGCTGGGCATGTAGAGGTCAACCTGGACAGCTCCCTCATGGTGAAACTCAAAGTTCATTGCCACAAGACAAGGATGCCCCGGAAGTGACCCGCCACTGTTAACCCCGCATACTTTGTCAGATGATTGGGTCTATATAAGACTCCTGGGCATTATGGTGCTCTTTCCCATCAACCACTCTCCACTCTACTTTCATCAATCCATCCCTTCTATCATCAAGGACACTATCCACAACCATGTCAGCAGCTGCCGGTCCTATTATGCAACAGCTCGCTGCTCTGCCAGCTCGCTCTCGGCAGGGTTTGAATAACCTGAGACAGAGACTCTTCCAGCAGGGTACACTCCTCCTTGCTTACTCACAGATTTCCCTAGAATCTCAATTTTACTAATAACCTACAGGTGAGAAGCCAAAGAAGGAAGGCCAACTCCTTCGCACCTCGCTGAATGTCCATCGACCTGTCTGGATCACTGCTGGTGGCGGCGCTTACACCAGTCTCGCAGCAGTCTATCTTACTATGCGCTATCTGAAGCATGTTAGATGAGCCTGCAGAGGACTGGCAATCTACATATCCCCACCACATGCGACTCACCGACAACACTTTCGATTCATGATACATATCCCCCCTTGACACCCTTCTACTCCCATCAACTTCTCTCTTTTGACACCGTGCCGGCTATGGACTCTCTCTTGACGGACGCTGAGGCGGGAACTTTCTTTTACTACCAGGATTTGTGGTCGTCGTATTACTGCCATGGAATGGCAAGACAGACCTGGCGTTTGAGGGCTACTTCTACCCTAAATACAACAGCTCTACAAGAACAACTTTTCCCGTAGCACCTTGCACAATCTTCAATACTGTGTAAGGTAGCGCAAGAATGGCATAGAAACCATTTCCGTAGCATTGCTATCCCCAACACTTCCAACGTGTCATCATGACAGATACATTTTGGGCTAAGGAACTTTGTCGCTATTTCGGCCCTTGTGTGCGAGAGCAGATTCAGTATAGATCATGGAGGACCTTGCCCTTATCAACTCACTCCTCAAAATAGCTAGATCCCTGTGAGTGACAAGCGGACGTTTGCTATCCTAGCCTGGCTGCCTTGAGAGGGTCTCCTAACAGAAAGAGCGGTCCTGGATAGCGCAACCATGGCATTGCAAGGTTAGGAAGACAGTCCAGTCTAGACAGCCGCTATTCTCAAAGCGATCCGGTGCAGAACCCGCCCCATCCCTTTCCGGGCTAGCCAGCCGTCATCCAATCACCACACGGCTCTTACTTAGGGAGTCGTCACTGTACTTTGCAGGTGATCTCATGATTCTAAGCGACGCTATAGCCTTGGCAACCCCGCACTCGGTGATCGGGATGATGTTTATCTTTGTATTATAAGGAGAAGTAGGCCGAAAAATGGATCGGAGGACGTCCAGGAATAAGCGAGTCATGATTATCCCATAGTTGTAGAAAGCAATCAGAAAGATGTTGTTTCGCTTCGAGGATCTTCAGTGTTAAGGCGTGAGCATTTGAGCCCTGGTGGTCTAGAATGGCACTCAGCAAGAACGGTGACCTTCAATCCGCGACCTTCATTTCCACCAAATTAGTAGCCTTGAATTATCAGTTACGGAATCCAAGGTTGTTCAACATTATTTCATATACAGACTAATGCGGTGACCATAGCGAGCCCGTTCACTTGAAACTCACCACAATATTTCCCAAGGCAGGTAAGACTATCCAAGTGTACCTGAGTAGGTGCCCCCTAGTCTATCACATTCATTGATTGTGCGCGATGGATAGATAGACCAAACCCCGCTGCACAGATTGCAAACTCAACACTGCGTCCGATGCCTGTCTAGTGACTTTGATGAAACCATCCTCAACCCAGGAAGGCGTGAAATGAGTCTGCAATCTTCTTTCTTCCTGTCGCTGTTTTCCTGTAGATTCGCCAACACTAGTTCCCAGAGTCCACTAGCCCGCTCAGTTCAGAACGAATTGATTCCATCTACACGTACCGGCTTGAGAGTACATATACTACTATTATTATAAATAAGAGCACGTGTTCACTGTAAGGTAACTATTTTCACATCGCAAAGCTGGCCATCCATGATGACAGTTTGTACGTATTGAGGTACCGCTCAATCTGACTTGTTAAAGTGGAGTCAGTTCTTCAGAATCGAGCATTCAAGAGCGACAGTGTCACCTTTTGTCCAATTAACCGTTGATGTGAGTAAATGTGGTCACGGAAGGTACCAGAAGATTAGCCTCAGTGCAGCACTGGGGAGCAGAAGTGCAGGTACTGGCCTCATAGGGGTCGCCTAACAAGATATCAGTCTTGATAACCATGGAAACTTTTCTGTAAACGTAAGACATACATAATAGGCCAACAGAACCAACAATGGCAGAAGCGGCGATACCGAGGTCCTCCAAGATTGGGTCGACGATGTGGTCCAGGGAAGTGGTCAGGGAGCCGCAGCAAAGCAGCGAGCCAACACAGTTGGAGGTCTCGGACTCATTGCTCAAAGGAGCTGCCCTTCAGAGCAGCGGCAGCCTGTTCGACCTATTCTGAAGTGGCGTTAGTACTACACGTAATTGGCGCGACAAGAGCACCCTCAGAGGAAAGTGCAGACACCATGCCAGCACTGGCGGAAAACAGGACGGAAATGATAGTGAAGCGCATTTTGATAGTAGTGCTTGAATTATAGTCGAAAGATGAGAAGATAAATGGAAGAGCTGAGGGCTGTGGCGGTTGGGAGATAATTGGATTCGGATTTGACGTTCATGTTGAAAATTCTTATGCCTTTTATACTCATTAAACTAGCCTTGTAGTATATGGTATAATCACCCTTGTAGTACATGGTGTAACTAATAATTCCCAGAATCCACAAAACTTACCGGTCACCTGAAGTGTTAAGAGCCTTCCACCAAAGCTAAGCTGTGGACTACTCTGAAGATCGGCAAGACTCTAGATAGGGCATGATCTATCGGACGAGCAAGAACAAAAGGAAGACAGTCAACAAAGAATCCTGCACGTACCAAGCAGAGACACCAGTACTGCGGTTGGTCAAGGAAGATCCGACTCCATAGATCGAAAGCTCCAGGATCGTCTACCGAGGCTAGAGCTGAATGTGGTTTGATGTAGAGCCCTAAGCGACCTGTCTTGGCTGTTCATCATAGCTAGTCCGAGCGAGATTTGAATGGATTGATCAATAATAATGAAGTCATGGTCCCAGACTTCATGCTTGGGCCACTAGTTTGTGGGTTTATTGAAAAAAAAAAAAAAAAAAAAGAACCAATCGCCATCCTCTGTTCCTGGCAACAATTTTCTTATCAGTGGATCCTGCTGGTTACTATATTTGACGTGCATCGCCAAGACGCCGATCTTCAGGAACAGGAGAATCCTAGATGAACGGAGCTGTCTAATCAACTAAGGTTATATTTGATAGCACACACTAAAAATTATATAAGTGAAAAAAAAAATTGAAAAAATGAAAACAGGGAAATTAAAATTTTTAGGACTGCATGGCAAGCATCTATGAATCTGTCATACCTGTCATCAATGCAGCCCATACAGCGACCGGAGTATCGAATGGCCTGAACATCCAAATAGTCATGATAAGGATCTCCCCGTTGGTTGCCCAGCTTTACCTCAATCGCTCCACAAACGCCCAGGAAGACCCAGGCTGATGGTCACATAGTATATTTCTATTGACGGCGCTAGCAAATCTTCCGGACATGAAGACCTGATTTGCTAACCGGAGTTTATCCACTTCCTGAGCGTCATTAACAAGACCGATCTTCACTTAATCAACAATTTGTTCCAAGAGACTATATCTCGGACCGACCTGGAGGCGTTGGTAAGCATCATATGCCTTTACGTGAGGGCATTTGAAGTCAACATGATATGTTATTGTTGGCAGTATTTTATCATATATTGGATGGCTTGAGATTGGGCACTGAACTACACCATTGACCCTTCGAGACCGGCATAGTCTATCCAGCTAGTAGCTCGAGTATGAAAGATACTTGGGCAAATCTTGGCACAATCATTCAAACAAGTCCAGCCGCTGATACAATTCCATTGAAATAGGAAATCTTTCATATACATTACATATATTGGTGGATGACTTGCCATCCTGTACCTGTATCTATGTTTCCCGCTTTTAAAATCTGTATGTAGCGCCGTAGATAATCCAAAAATTGTGTGGTTTTCAGTATATGTTGCTAGTCGACAGCAATTCGAACTACTCCACTTTAACCCCAATTGCGGCCGGATTGCACATATAGCGAGTTTACGGTTGGTCGACTTTCTGAATTGATTAATGAGAGCCCCGGCTGGAAGCCATAGATACCTAGGCTTGAATGTTTCATACTTCGTAGATAGTTCACCTTTAGTACCTTTACTTCAAATACAAAGCAGACATCTTTTCCTAATTCCGATTTCCTTTTTAAAAATCACGTGATGTGGCCGGTGTGGCGGTGCTCCGCGGGAGGATCCACTTCAGCCACATGAACTCGCGACACAGAAACTTCCGGGTGATAATTCGAACCCCACGATAACCAAACACTCACTTTTTGCCTTTTTGTTTGCTGGTGCATAATTCATCTGCAAAATGGCTCCTATCTCGATCGCGGACCTCGTGGCCGCCCTTCCCTCCGAGGACTCCTGGGGCCCCTCCTCCACCGCCGACAACATGTTGAACGGTGTGCCTTATGCCCCCTTCTCCAAGGGTGACAAGCTTGGCCGTATGGCTGACTGGACTGCCGAGTCCAAGGATCGTGAGCGTCAGGGTCGCCAGCAGTACAACCGTAACTTCAGAGGTATATCTCCAATCTTGCAACTTTTTTCTTAGTGCCCCACCGTGGCATGCCAATCTGCAGTCTACTGACTTGTATTTTTCGCTTCTATTAGACCAGCAGGTTTACGGCGCCGGTTCCACCAGCCTGTTCACCGTCCAGGCTGCCGAAGATGAGTCCTCCTTCTCCGTTGTCGACAACACTCGTACCTCTACCAAGCGCACCTTTGGCCGTGGTGGTGGCACCGTTTTCCGTGGTCGTGGACAGCGCGGCGGTGTGGCTGGCCAGCGTGGTGGTGGCCGTGGTGGTTTCCAGCGTGCTGGTGGTGGTCGTGGCCAGGGTGACCGCTCCTACGACAGCCGTGGCAACCGTGGTGGCCGTGGTGGCCGTCGCTTCGGCTGGAGGGATTACGACAAGCCCCAGCGCACTCGTGAGGCGTCCGTTAACGTTCGCCCCGACTGGCAGATGCTGGAGGAGGTTGACTTCAACCGTCTGTCTAAGCTGAACCTCGAGACCCCCGAGGGTGAGGACCTTGACTCCTATGGTTTCTTGCACTACTACGACCGATCCTACGACCGTCCCCCAGTCAAGAATGCCGAGCGCAGACTCCAGGCTCTCGAGCGTGCCGCCTACAACGTCACCACATCGCAGGACCCCATCATTCACGAACTCGCCGAGAAGGACCAGGCCACCGTCTTCGTCACCTCCGACATTCTCTCCATGCTCATGTGTGCTACCCGCAGTGTCTACTCGTGGGATATCGTTATCACCCACCAGGGCAACAAGATCTTCTTCGACAAGCGTCCCGGTGCTTCTATGGATCTTGTTAGCGTTAACGAGAACGCTCAGGACGCTCCTCTCGAGATTTCTGAGGCCTCCGGCAAGCAGGAGCAGATCAACACCCCCGGTGCTCTTGCCATGGAGGCCACTTTCATCAACCACAACTTTGCCCTACAGACCGTGACCGAGTCCGAGGATGCCAAGATCTCCTTCGCTCAGCCCAACCCCTTCTACAACGAGGCCGAGGAGACTGATCCCCTCGCCTCCAAGGGTTACAAGTACCGCCGTTTCGATATCTCCTTGGAGCGTGATGAGGAGCCCCTGCAGCTTATTGTCCGTACCGAGGTTGACGCTGTTATGAAGAGCCCCACCGGCGGCCCTGACCAGCAGTTGATCGTCAAGGCTCTCAACGAGTTCGACAGCAAGGCCATTGGCTCTGGCGGTGCCCTTGACTGGCGCAGCAAGCTCGTCTCGCAGCGTGGTGCCGTTATCGCCACTGAGATGAAGAACAACTCCTGCAAGCTCGCTCGCTGGACCACCCAGGCTATCCTGGCCCAGGCCGACGGCATGAAGCTTGGTTTCGTGTCCCGTGCCAACCCTCGCTCCGCCGCTGGCCACATTATCCTCGGCGTTGTTGGTTACAAGCCCCGCGAGTTCGCAGCTCAGATGAACCTGAACCTCGGCAACGGTTGGGGTATTGTTCGCACCATCGTGGACCGTATCCGTGGCCTAGATGCTGATGAGCCTGCTGATGCTCTGAAGAAGTACGTCCTCATCAAGGACCCCAACCGCTCTGTGCTCCGTCTGTACAGCGTGCCTGCCACCACCTTCGAGGAGGATGAGGAGGCTGAGGTTGAGGAGAAGAACGAGGAGGATGACGAGGAGAATGATGAGTAAGTTTCCATGGTCTGATGTCTTTCTTGTTGGATTAGATTCCTATCTGTTTCTTGAATTGTGCATATCTGCAAAAGTTTGATCAAAGCTATGAACCAAATCTTTATGACTTCTACAAATATTTTTTTTCCAAGGTCATGTATCTCTGAAATAAACCGGCTCAACTCAAGTTCATCCAAGCATGCCATGGCTCATGAAAGTCCGTTGTCCCATCCAGCCACTCTAAAAATGGTTCCCGGTCATCAAAATCAATGCCATCCAGTAAATCCGAATTCAAAAGGGCTGACTCGTCGAGATCAAGCTCTGTCGTGGAATCCAATGCGGACGAAGCGGCCCACGTAGGCGCTGAAAGGACCTGATCCAAAACGTGACGGATGGCCCGGTGGCCCTGTTGTGCAATCTGGTAATTACCATCATCATGTTGAACCATAGTCTCCAAATACGATGCAAAAACACTGAGCTTCTGAATGATCTCAGAGCGCGGGAAAGCTGATGGCTCAAGGGTTCGTAATCGGGATTGCCGGAGAAGCTCGGCAGATAGAACTCCAGCTGGAGGAAGTCCGGTATTGCAAAGCTAATATGTTTTATAAGCAGTGTACCTGGTAAAGAATCGCCACTTGAATTGCCAGTATGTGTCTTACATTCCATGAGATCATTTGTTTGGAGATTTGAATTTCAAGCGTTCTGGCGACAAGGGACAGCATCGCACTCATGATTTCTAGCGAAACACTGATGATCCGGTCTGGTGACAGCTTGGTCTTCTTAAAAAGGTTTCTATAGAGCAGAAAATCGTTATAGATGAATTCTAGACGAATGTCAATTTGAAGACGATCATCAGGGGCATCTTTGGTCATGTAGCGTCCTATAGAATTCCACCGTAGAAAATCAGGCAGATTGTCGTATTGTTGATGCAATTCCCGTGATAAGGCCCTAGGTGGAGTCAATTTCAACCTCGTCATGCCCATGGTATTTCCACAGCTCTTACTCAACTCGTTCTGGCAAATCGTCGGTCGGGCGACCAAGCGATAGCTCCAGTGCCTTTTCACGGAAAATACTCGTCAAAAGACAGGCACGACCCAAAGCCCCCTTCTGGATATATCCTTCCTTGTTCCAGCCATCACTACTCAAATTCGCAATGGCTGCTTCTCGTTCCGCCGGTTCAGCGTGGATCTCGTCCCAACTGAGGTCTAGAGGCATTTGAATATCACAATACCGCCAGCATATTAGTGGAGGTCGCCCAAGAAATGTCGCAAGAGATTTGTCTACAGTATATGCTGCTACCATTGTCCTCCTCCGCATCTCGCCGAGAAAGAAAGGCACGTTGACCGGCTCTTGATGAAGTCCAAATGCGGAGAGAGTAGCAGCCATATCACCTAGCCGGCGCCAGGGTCGGTGGTCTTCAAAGTCCATGGTTAGATCCAACACAGGCTCTTCTCACTGTGTTTTGCAATCGTAGGACTTACCGCCATCGCCATATACGATTGTCAAAAGAGAGGTATGATGCAAAAGTAGTGAACATACTATGTCATTGATGATTCCGGCACTCTGGCAGAATTGTAGACAGAGATCTCCAGCTGCCACAGCGGTGACTTTGATGCTTTCTGCATCACCCAGCGCATCGAACGTCTCATCGGGGTCACGAAGGACGGCGTTAGCCGCCACCCCGACGAGAGTAAACAACAAACCTATCGTTTCCCAGCGTCCAGCTATGAAAGACACAAATTCCGTACATGTTGTATCTGAGTCGAGATAGATCGGTCGTGTCTGTTTCTCAAATAGCCTCCTGGACAGCAAAAGCATCTGCTTGGATTCATCAGCTTCTTCGCGTTGAACGGAGTGCCACATCTCTTCCGTGTGGCTCAAGATCAGAAGTGTAATTGGCCAGGCGAGGGTCCATCCTTTCCAGATCTTGTGTCGGGCAGTCAACATCTCCCGGTACAAGGAAAGATGTTTCAGGGGTACCAACACTCGTGCGCCACGCTGTATGCGCTCAATATTCACGGTAAAAGCACCTGGGGCTGGCGATATACCTTCCAGTTCCAATCCGCTGTCGCTATCTCTAAATGCGTCCGAGTAGCTAGTGTGGCCAAGGAAACCTGGCGCGAATGTAGTGGCCTTTCTTTGGCTCCAATCATCAGAGCTAATGCTGAACTCTGTCGACTCTTTAGGCTCTTTAGGCTCTTTAGGCTCTTTAGGCTCTCGAACTCGTACTCGTTCCTCCCGTGGTGGGACTACCCGTGTGAGGGGTGATGGGTGATAGACGCAGAGGTGTTGTCTATCGCGTCGTATGCAGCGGCCACAAACTGGGGTCGCATGATCACACCGTAGCTTTGATTTGCGGCATGGCTCACAGGACCACAGTTGACCGTTGCGGCGAGTTGTTGGCATTTTTAGACATAATACACATGGACAGTACATTCAAGACATCCAAAGATCCAAGATGCGGAGAGCAAGAAGTTCGGAGTTCGGAGTTGAACAACGTTGGTTCATTATAGGTTAGCGCTAAGTTGGTTATTTCTTGGCAATCCGAACTCCGAAGTTGGTATACATTAATAGTCTAAATAAGAGAGATTTAAACCCCAATTGCATCCCATCTCATGCTCAGTATTGTTTTGTATAAATCTAGCCATCGTGCCCCCAACTTCACTCGGTCTCAATACACACACAAGTTGGCTTTGCACTATGTCCAAGATCAACCAAGAGAAAGAAAGTGTCTGGCGAAAGTTCATTCGGTCATCGGTATGTTGTCCTTGTTAATGAAAGAAGTAACATACTGATATTGAGTAGAAGGGTAGCACTCAGAAGAATGATGCAGCACCTCTTATTACGCCCACTCGGCAGTCTCCTGCAAGAGAGAAAGAGAGCCTAGGCAAGCTACGGGTTAAGAAAGCTCCATACAGTAAGGTGTGACTGATTCCGCTTGGCCAAATTCTTATCTAACTTGATGCATAGGCATCTCAAGGCATTCTCATCTAACTTGAAGTGTTGGCATGATCCCAATGAATACCATGAGGTCTTGATTCTCTTCAACGGATATTGTTTTTATGTAGTCTATGTCTAATCTCAACATTCAGAATTGTTTTAGTTCACCAGATGAATGAGTAGCAGCTCTAAATTACTTACAGTACCTAGCTTTTATTCACCTTCCTCTCTTCTCCCATACTCGCATTGAAGTTGTACACGGGAAGGGTGGGCCCGCAAATAAGCACAAGCTTAACTCAGCCCCGCTCTCTTACTTCAATGGCCGATCATTCGATATGGTAACACCTTCTTCCTCGAGTCAGCATCCGGAACTTGTCAACATTTGCCCCCTCCCCCAGAGCTATATATTCTCTGCGCAATTTCCGATCTCTCCGAGGGTGGTTATCGGCCTCATTATCTGTCTTATTATTGGGACACTTCACAAACGACCGCGTAAGGCACGGCTTCAATTACCACCAGGCCCATCTGGAAATCCCATCTGGGGTCATCTTTGCATGGTCCCGAAGGATCATCCAGAGCATCGATTTGTTAAATGAGGCGAGGTGTACAACTCTGACATTCTTAATTACAACGTGTTATCCCGGTCAGTCATCATACTCCACAGTGTGGAAGTGGCACACAATCTTCTAGATAAAAGAGGGGCTCACTATGCTGACCGACCACGCTTTGTGGTTCTTGAGGTGATGGGATGGGGTGTCACTCTCACGTTCCTGCGCTGGTCACCACGATTCAGACTCCATCGGAAACTTCTTCAGCAGTCTTTCACTCAGTCTGCCTGCAAACCATATCGCGGGCGATCCAGCAGGAAGAGGCCCGACGAGCCGCTAAAGCAAAGTTGGGCAAACCATAAGACTGGGAGATTCTTCTACGCCAATTCTCTACCGCCGTCGTGTTACGTATTAACTTTGGTATTGAGATTCAAGAAGAGAATGATTCCTATGTATAGATGGCGATTGATGTGAAAGAAGCTACTAGAAAAGGCGGGGTGCCTGGCGCTTCCATCGTGGATCTGATTACTATTCTCCGCCATCTGCCTAGTGTTTTTAAGATCTTAACTGCCTTTCAGCCACTTACCCATGCCCGCCGCACCAAGCCTTCTATTTAACTTTTGTATGATGCACTATGGGAGGCTACTGAAACGCTCGTTCGGTCGGGGGCCGTAACCTAGCCCTCTTTTATGTGTAAATATTTTGGTTGATATATCTCTAAGAAGAACGGCAAGCCCAATAAGGCGACAATAGCCGATCTAAAAGGCGCGGTAGGTGTAATCTCCATCGTAGGAGGTAATACCACTTGGTCCACCGTGGTCGTGTGTATTCTAAATTTGATGACCTATCCGCAGATCTAAGCCAAAGTCAAATAGGAGATCGAAAAGGTGATCGGTCTGGATGAGCATAGCAACATCCATCGCCTTCTAGATTTCGATAATAGACCATAGCTGGGATATCTCGAGTACGTGATCCAAGAAGCGACTCGCTAGGCGCCTATTTCCCCTCTTGGCGTCCTATATGCCTCTCTTGAAGATGATATCTATAATAGCTATCAAATCCCTAGGGGATCGGTTGTACTTGCTAATGTGTGGGCAATGTCGCGAGATGAACGTTATTACTCATCTCTGGAGGACTTCAGCCCTAACTGATATATTTTGAAGTCAGAAGGGGGCAAGGGGGAGCCTTTACCAGAAGGTCCATTTGGGTTTGGAAGAAGGGTTTGCCCTGGTGAACACCTCGCCCTTGCTGGGGTCTATATAATCCTGGCAACCTTGTTGGCCACGATGGACTTGAACTGTCCTATACATGAAAACGGGGAAAGGATTGAACCTTGCGTGACATTCTCAAATAGATTGGGTGGTGTGCCTGATAGCTTCCAGTGTGTCATCACCCCCACATTCGAAAGAGCTCGAGAATTGCTTCTACAATGATATTAAGGATCGCCACGCGCATTTTCCCGAGGTCGAATTTGCGACGATTACTTTGTAAAACACTACACGCCCAGGTCTGGTAATGGGGTTGATCATAATGACTTCGAGTAAAGTAACAGCTTCCAAGCCAGGAGACTGCCCATGTTTCAGGATGCAATGAAAATGAGAAGAAAAAAAGAAAAGAAAGGGAAAGAAAAAAAGGGGGGGTCAAAAGGTCGATAAAGGACAAGATATATCACACGTATGAAGGTCAGGGGCAACCCCATTCCACGGGGCCAAGGACCAAAATATAGATAAAAAAAAACGACTCAACTCCCTAGGTCCACGGCGCAGCCACGACCGTTTTCACTGTATATACATCTTCAGAGGAATGGTAAGAAAGAGGAAAAGAAGGATGGTAAGGAACAACACAAAGACGAGGCCAACATGGCTCCCGCTCGGGTCGACAGGAAAAGAGACCGAAAGCAGTGAGGGCAGGCACAGGTTCACCCCGTAATGCACGCCGGAGAAGAGGAGAACAGAAAAGAAAAGGAAGGATTTTGCAGACATCAGGATCGTTATGGATTGCTTTCAGGGCAAGAAATTGAAAAGGCTTCAACCGTAGATGGAGTCGCCGCGAACACGGGAAATACCAAGGTCGACCTTGGTTCCCAGCACACTACTCAGGCAATCTATAAGTTCAAAGTCTTCGACAACCGCACCAAAGCCGTAGCAACGAACTTTGGTGTTCAAGGTGTCAATGATGATTTTAACGTCATCGCGACTTAAGGAAGGATAGAGCTCATGGTTCTTCAGGCATGAGAGTGCCATAATCGGGGTGATTTGACCCTCGGTCACAAGCTGTCGGCTGAGGTTGAGGAGCGTGGAGAGGTTGGGATGCGGAAGATCAGGTGCCTTGTGTGGGTATGTCTGATCAGGGGTGGTGTTGGCGATGTAGCTTGGTGGCGGGCAAGTGGCCATCAGTGCGTGGCCGGAAAACGGCATGTCTTCATCATCCGCTTCAGTGACAGACCGCCGACACAGGTAATCGGTGTGTTCACGACACGGTCCTTCCAATCTGTGAAACAAGGTTGGTTAGTGTACAAAAACGGGCAGCATGGGAAGAAACGACACACGTCAAGATGAAATCAATTTGAAGCTGGGGATCGCTTTCAAAGACACCCTTCAACATCGCAGGCACTGGCGCATCTGGGGCATGACATGCGGATCGATCCAAGGCACTCATCTGTTCTGCCGGGCCGGCGTGGTATACTTGCTGCTGGGGCGCAAAGGCCATGGGGGGTGACACCTCGGGATGTTCCACGCTGCCATTGGCGCGCGGGCTTAAGTCGGTTGAGATCGATGTGCCCGGAGTGGTATTGTGTTGGGTCATGGAGTTGGTAAAGCCGGCCGTTTGGGATCCAATGCTGCTTCCTGCGACCGGACTGGACTGGTATCCGCCGACCGAGGCACGCTCCGCCCGGCGTCGCTCGAGCTCTGGCTCGAATTGAATTCCGTTGGCGAGCAAGATTTCTTTGAGAATTTCGTTCTCGTGTTGCGCAACATTGATCATCTCCTTCTGTTGCTGAATGGTGACATTCGCATCGGAAATCTCGTTCGTATAGGCTTCTCGTAGTCGCGATACCTCGGTCTCCAGTGCTCGCATGTATTGTTCTTTCCGTTCTCGGTGGGTTCTATTTGATCCATCATCGATCAGCCATGGGCTGTTCCGCACTCCAAACCAACGGGGAATTTTGAATCCTACCTCTGAGCCTGTCGGTTCAGTTCCTGTCGCCGGGTAAGGGCTGGCTTGCTATCGGGCTTTGGACCTCGGCGCTTTGGTGTTTGGCCATCTAGCTTCAGAGTTAGTGGCATGATCAGGTCGTATGGGAGCAGAGGGCCCACCTCGAGTGGTTTTCTTCGGACCAGCTTGGGCCTGAAACATTTTCTTGAATTCGGCGCCAAAGCCGCCTCTGGTGGGAGTCTCTGGTTGTTCTACAATGGATTGCACCATGTCCCGCGGGGACGTTGGCGCAACACAGATTAGCGGTTTGACATAAAGAAGTTTATTTCCAAAATCCGAGCCATGCTGGAAATTTCCTCTGGTCGCTGGATCTCTTCCTCTCTTCCCTCTGATCTCGATCTTGAGATCGAGATCGAGAACGAGAAGATTACGGACCAGCGAAGTCGCGAACCACCGGTCGCATCAAGCCACAACACTTACCAGGGTACTGTTGCATATCCATCGGGTACACCCCGCCACTGTCCATGGTGAGCAAGGGGAAATGAAGGTTAAGGGGAGGAAAAAGTCCGAGCGTTGCACCGTTGAGAAAGAGAGAAAGTGGAGAGAGAGAGCGGATAGATGAAATAGAGGTAGAGGACTTCTTGGCGTAGTTGATGTTGTACCTGTGAAGATAGCCTTGGAGTGGATTTATGATCATTATCATCCTTACGAAACCGGTTTTTAATCTGCAAATCAAATCACTTCAATATGTACAGCAAAAGGGGGACAATAGAAGATCGCTATAGAACGTGATTGGCTTTGGTGGTGGATTTGCCAGTATTTGAGATTCTTTACATCTGTACATGTACATGATCTCACATTATTTATTCTTCACCCTAGGCTCCACAAACGGTACCGTTTGGCTTGTCTCTTCTCCACCTCTCTGTTCTCTACGGTACAAGATTCTCTATTCTCGACTTCGTACAGGACTGCTCTCTCTTCCGAAGCCACATTCCCGTACTTTTGCCGGGATGTGATGTGACCAGTCCCAAGGATCCGAAAAATCAAATATTGGGGGGGGGGGAAAAGAAATCGATAGTGCCCCTGCGTCTTTGACAAATACTCAGATCGGTCAAATCGGGGAATGGAGATCCTCGTCCATGTTTCTGCCCCCAGTAGGGCTCAGGACGATGCACGATACCGTGCTCAGGTTGCCGCCATCCTGGCCCAGTCCACGGACACCCGCGATAGCCCAACGCAGTCAGCCGTTCATTCCGTCTCAGTCGACCGGCAGGATCCCCCCTGCGGACTGCCTCGCTCGGACCATCTGGCGACTCCAGCTATTCCTCTTCCAGAATCGGCCCTCAAGCCCCAGCCGATCGCTACCGAGATCGGTTCCAGCCAGGCGGTACCTTTAGATCTTGTCCATCAGCCTGTGTTAGATTCTCTCGATAGTCTGATCAGCGTCATCCCAGAGTCTTTGCCGGACATATGCCAGGCTTCTCACTCGGATCCAGATCCATTTGTTGGATATCTGGATCCACCGACGGGAAACAATCCGCCTAAAAAACGCCGGATCGACTCTGCTTCCCAGAAACATGGACTGGCCATTTCAAGCACCACATCGATAGCCACCACTATTGCGCCAGATTCACCACCACTTCCTAATGATACTCATGCTTCCCCTAGTCCTCTTCCTACGCTTATACCCACAATTCCATGCAAAGCTCCACATCATCCACCCCTTCCCCTAGAGATCCGACCCCCTCCACCACCCATTTCTACTTTCCCCTTCACCAGTCATATCACCCCGACACTTTCAATGCTCACGGAGCGACTCAAGCCTACACGGACCTATAAACCACGCTACCAGACTCGGTCCCTGGATCCACTCGAGCGCGGCTACTGGGCTGTCAATATCAACATCTGGCCGGAGAACCAGATCGGACAGGGAAAGGACCTGGAGAATCGACCAAACCCAAATGCAGACCCGGAATCGGACCCGCAAACTAATGTTGATGGCCCATCAGAAGCGGATCAAATTCGAGATTGGGATGTCACCTTTTTCGATCGCTTCTGGTCCTTCCTCTCCGACTTTGTGGGCAAAGACGCCCGCGCCGGTTGGGGTGTCTGGTGTTTTCTCGAGCATGCACCTTTACCGGAATTCCTATCCACTGCAAGATCTGGGGAGGTTGCGATGGACAGATCAGTTCCGGTGCTACTAAAGGTTTATGCGTGGGGTGAGGTAGCCATGCACATGTATCTGCTCTTGTTCTTAGCGAGTGAGCGGCGTATTCGGAAGATGGGGCCACAATGGAGGGACTCATCCGATGCAGTGGTGATTCAAATGCCATGATCTTCAATGGTTGATTCACCCTTAACCCTCGAACTTAGCCATATGCATGTGTACTGTACCCAGAAAAAATGTTTGGGCGCTGGCGTTAGATAAAGACATGAATGTATGAATGAATGGCTCTGTACGATCTACCACTGCTACGCAAGGAATGGAATATATTGAGATCTCCAATTTATTGTTACGAATGATATTGTACATGCAAGTTGAAATGCAGGGAGAACCCAGATCAAACAAAAGAAAGCTGAGGGGAATATCACTCGACTAAGATAAAGACACAGAAAAGAAATAAGAGAAATAGTGAAAGACACTGGCGGTGAGATGCAGGGAAAGAAACTGGAAAGGAAGGAAATGTTGCACGCAAAAAGACATAGATCCGCAGGGAAATTGTATGACGCCAAATAAGAGAAGGAGACACGCCGAGCAGATCCCATCCATTGCCTTGTCAAACGCCACGCACGCCTTGGTAGAACAGTTGTTGGAAAATAGGAACAATCACAAAAGTCGACTAATAGTTCAGCTCTCCACTACCGGAACCACCAACGGCATCCAGGTCCTCATAGCTCTTGAGGCTGCGGCCCTGGACCGCTTCACGTGGAGGCATGGCTTGGGACCCACCGCCAGCACCCATCGCATCAGGGAAAGGGTTGTTAGTTGGGACCATATTGGCAGCCGGGTGACCAGGAGGAACGGAGATGCCAGCTGGGGGAAGACGGCCACCAGGTCCGTACATGTTGGACATTCGGACGGGGCTCAAACGACCAGTGGGGCCGCCATTGTAGCCTCGGCGGCGGTCGTATGGCCCAGAACGGCTGTTATGACGGTTCGGACCACGGCGCATGACACCTGGTTGGTGCATGCCGGCGTCGCCTGACATGAGCATGTTTCCATTCCAGACACCAGTGGGTCCTGCGAGACCAGGCATCCCGGCTGTGGGGAACCCGCCAGGGAGGGCAGGATTGCCAATATAAGGCGCGTTGGCAAGGCTGAAGCCACGTGGAGTGCCACTCTGGGCACCACCGGCCATCGGGAAGTGGCCATTGCTGTTCGAATCAGATCGGGACGGAGCAATGCGCGCTGGATCTAAGACGTATGCATTCACAAGAGACAGCTGTAAGCAAAGTTAGCAACTATTGAATCCGCAGAAATACGACCAAAGAATATGGGGAAGGGAATGGTGAAACCCATACCTCTCGTTGAATGGTGTCAAGCCACTCTGTGTGGCGCTTTTCAATGTGCTTGTGCCAGAAGTTTTCGGCCTTGAATAATTTCGTACATTCAGGAACCTTGCACCGATAGCGTGAATCATCCTCCTGTTTTACGTATTTGGATAATTCCTCCTCTAAGGCTTGATCCACAGGCCTACCTCCAATTTTGCGCAGGTCGACATTCTCTGGTTCCAGGATTTGCAGCACTTTATCCTCAAATGTCTTCACCCAATTGTATGCACGTTGTAGCTGCTGCTCTGATTTGCTGAGTCGCGGTGGCCGCTTCTCCGCAACCGGTGAGCCTCGTTCTTCACCCTCTTCACTGGGTTCCTTTTTCTTGGATGGGAATGGTTGTCCCAAAGCAGTAGCGCGGGCGACTTGCTTGGCCTGGTTAGAAAGGCCAGATCGTGGGCGGCGAAGATGTCCACCGGGACATTTGCGACCAAGCTCATGAACCGAATCGCTTTCAAAAACACAAAAAAAGCAGAAGTTGTAGACTCGGCGTAGGTATTCGACCATAAGATCAAGTTTTTTCTTTTTTGCCAAGAGGTCCTCGTCATCAACCTCGTCTTCCTCAGATGCCTCCTTCTCTTCGCCCTCCTCCATCTCGCCCTCGTCGGGGCCGTCCTCATCGTATCCGTTGGACTGCTTCTTGATACTCACAGGTCCAGTGACCGGTGGCTGCAGCCAACCCTTGCCGCGCAGATCTTCAATCCGCTCCTCAATCTTAGCGAATCCATCAACACCCTGGCCCATCTCATTATCCAGCTTGGAAACCAATCGGCGAGCAAGGTCGAGATCACGATCGATTCGCTCAGGCGCAGAGAACAAATCCCAAAGCGCCTTCTTGCGTGGCTGTGAGGGTGGAACATGAACACCCACGTGGCAGACGAAGTCACCGTGGATAGGATCATGTATGGTCTTGTCATTGACAGCTTCTAGAGCCTTCTCCGCTGTGCCGAGGGTATTACCGGTATTGGTATCCATCTCTTCGCCTTCTTCCTCACGGCCGTCTCCTCGATCCACAGCAACAGTCTCAGCGGCAGGATTGAGTAAGATCCAACCAATGCGGTGGAACTTCTTGGACGGGTTGGGGTCGCTGAGGCTAAGCCATTTGAAGCCACCGTCACCCTCTCCGAGGTGTTCTTTGCAAAATTCCACGATATTATCACGACAGACATTCGGAGCCAAGGTCTTGATGAGCAGAGTGGGTTGAGATAGGGCTTCATCGCGGAGTTCGCCTCCTCGGACGGGCAACAAGTCGAGAACGCCCATGGTCTCACCCACAGCGGTTGTTTCACCTTCCTCCTTCTCAATCACACCACCAGCGCCGTCGCTTTCATTCTTGTAAATACCCTCAAGAGTGAAATCATCGAACGTACCCGCACGTATGTCGCGTTCCCACTGGTCGTAGGCACCTTTCCGGAATTGCATGAATTGGCTACGGAGGCGATCTCGCACTTCAGGCACGTAGCGCTCCTTGAACCATTCTTCGTTTCTGTGTTGCTGAACGAATTGGCGCCCCAGCTTAACTTGAATATCCACCTTGTATGCATCATAGGCTACTTGAATCTGCGAGTGCTCCTTCTCTCGATCATCACGGGCCTCGCGCTCTCCTTTTACTCGATCAGATGGATGACGACCACCATTCTTTGCCCGTTCCTTTTCTTCGTTGATCTTTTGTTCGGCTCTCCACCATTCCGCAAAGAAGTTGAACCCCACCGTGAAGTCAAGAGTGTATGGATTGGTGAGGGGGTTGGTTGGGGGTGGTCGCTTGCCCGCATCCTGGCCAGGCACATAGCGATCAATGTTGACAACATTGGGAGAAGGTGGGCGTCGACGATCCTCGCGCTCGCGGGCAGCATGTTCGCGAGAGTTATTGTAGAAGTCATCTCGACGGGTGTGATCAGATGGTTCGTAGCGGTCAATCATGGGAGACCGGGAGCGGCCACGGCCTCGGCGGCGATCCTGTGAGGCTGGAAATACTGTCAGTACTGAGGCTTCCATTCGCGCAAAATTCTCCAGCAAGCATACCCGGTGACCGGCGTCGGTATTCGGCAGGTGCTCGCCCGGAGAATGATTCCGCCTCGCGCTTTCTGCCGGGGGAGGCATAGGTATCATATGAATCCATGTTCATGTTCCCAGTATTTGGGTTGTCGTACAATTCCACGGCTTCTGCCGGAAATATGTCAAGGTGAATATCCCAAGAAAGTGGGTCGAGGGCGTTCAAATGTGAACGAAGCTTCCAGCGAAGGTCGAGTGGGTTGCACTCGCGCACGAAGGGCTAAGAGGTAGCATCGTTAATATGAGACCCAATCAAGTGGTAAAAGCGAAAAAGCGGTATGTGACGGCGAAGGGGAGGTTCATGAATAACATAAAGGACAAAAGGCTTGGGAATTGGACAAAGATGAGAAGAGGCGGTTGTCACGGTGGCCTTTGGAACGAAGTTCCTCCCGCCACATGGTCCCGGATGAGAGGAGGGAAGCAAAAGAGATGAGAAATTGAGACTGGCGGGTGCCAGTGTCCTGCAAGGTGGTCGCCATGGCAAGGCCTAGCGTGTACACCACTGACGAAGCAGGTGTAATGGTTCGGAGGGAAGAAACAAAAGATAAGCAGGAACAGGCATGAGACCAGAAATTGGGAACTGCATTGGCAGGGGATCAAGGCAGGAAAGGGATATAGACAAAAGGATTATCGAAAGAAAAAAGAAGGGTAGGCAACCTACAAGAAGCCTGAGCTAGAGTAATGAAAGCGTCTCGCGCAGGAGGATGAGGAAGGTGATTGGGAATGACTAAAAGCGACTTTGGAGAGAGCTGGAGAGCGCTAGCTTGGTTGGGACTAGCGTGGATATGGACCTGATGTCACCTGATCCGGTGTATCAAATGGAACAGAAATTGAGCAGAAATGGAATCGAGTACGAGCAGGAAAGATTAGGCGGAGAAAAAAAAAAGAAAAATGTCCAGATGGCCGGAAGAATGATTGGAGATGGAGAGGAGAAAGAGACTATCAAACAAAACACATGTAGTAAAACATTCAAATGGGCGAAAATACGCAAGCCAAAGATCCCGCCAATCATATCCTTCTTCTGTCCCTTGTATGCATGACTATTTATCTACTGTAGACTAAACAGCTCTGAGCAGACTTAGCAATCGTTCGTCTGCAACTGTCCTTGTGGGCGCTGGGCTTACCTGCATGGTATCCGGGCGCTAAACAGGCGCTGTGCCACTTATGACATAATCAAAAGAGATGCGATCAGTTGCAGTAACCTGAAAGTTCATCAATTCCATTGGCTTGGATCTCGGGCCATCTCATTCCGATAGGTTACGCTTGTCCAGGCCGTTGCAGTCACAAGAGACAGAAAAAAAAAGAGTTCTTCTCATTTCCAATTGAACCATTGCCGGGTCAATCAGAAGCTTCATAAACCCATACATCTCCAACCTCCATATACTTCTCACCCCACAATGGTCCGTGCACCACCATTTAACCAGAGTTCGCCCGAACACCACCCACACACCAACATTGACCATTGAGCGATGTCCGACCTTCTCAGCTCGCGCTGGGCTCCTGGCGCGAGTGAGTCCAGGTACACATCGCAAGAGCCACGACGCCCACGTTCCGAAAATCGAATACGATCCACAACCCCGGCGCTCTCGGGCCCTGGAGTTGCACATAGTCATGGGTACGGATCGGGGTCAGAGACAGCTATAGCTACAGGGACAAGGACAGGGACAGGTATCCTCCCACCTACTGAAGAACTCGCGCGCTTTATGAAAATTGTCGCCCGGCTACGATGGAAACTTCCCTTCCTAGCGGAGGGCTACCGCCTTGCGACGCTGGCCGTCAACGAACAAAATGGGATTTCAGCGGTGGACGTGACACAAGCAGAAATAATGTTCAAGATTGATTTCCATGAATACTACGCGCTACTCGAGCGAGCCATCGTGCATCTGCTGGCGGTATTCAATATCGCTGTGTCTTCCGTTGGGGGGCGGGGTGGTCGAGGTGGGGTCCAAGTGAACGGACATGCAGCAGGGATACACCGGTACCATGCGAACGTTTTAAAGGCATTAGAGGAAGAGACCACCCCTCTCACGCCAGTACTGGGTAGTGGTTATGTCTATGAATTGCTGCGAAAAGCGAAGGAGCTACGAAATCGGTGGAAGGGAGCCGACATGACCCAAGAAGAACGGGAACGCGATCCCTTTGAGGTTGGGAAGAAGATCTTGCCACTATCAAGCTTCAATTTCGATGAGATCTTAACAGGAATCTTTGGCGGCCTAGAGGAGGCTTATGTGCGCGCGCGAGCTCATGTTGAGCTATGCAGGCGTCCAGGAGATGTGGATAGTGAGACGGTAGGCCCGGAGTCGGATTGGGGGTTTATCGTGGACGCTATGGATTGGGAGGCAGTATGATGTCGTTATTACATTTGCATGGGTTTGGAGTTGGTATCTTCTTTGCGCACCTTTCTGTCGGTTCTAGGTCCGGCCTCTGGCATTGATGGGTGACTGGCTTCGCTTCACACTGCCCTGGACTTAGCGTTGTACTCAATAGACTCTGAGCGTCAAATCATGCCTTCCACGGCCCAACACAGCCTCTAACATCGGTTCCGTGGAATTTCATCAAAATACAAATGGTATCTTTATTGCGACGTTCAAGTATAAGCAGTGACAAATTGATTCATATCCATAGATCAGAGAAGAAAACCCAGTCTTTCCAAACCCAAAGCCCAATCTGTTTTTCCAGTGATGGAGACCCTCTCTAAATTCCCGACCGGAGACCCATAAACGCACAGCACAAAGACACCGAAGTAAACGCAAGAATTCGCCATGGCGCAGAACCAAAAACCAACGAAAACAATGGGTAGTAGAGACAGAAGACACAAACCGGACGGGGAAGTAGCTGTACTGTTGGCATATACACAAAATGATGAAAGCCGGTGAGCTTTCAAACCGGAAGACAGGAGGGAATATGGTAGTGTGGCTTGGTCAAAGAAGCCAGAGATAGAGTTTTCCGTTTCAAAAGATCTCACGTCAACATTGAAGCTCATTAGCATTGATGTTTGGGACATTCCCGCGTGATGTGACGATGATCCTCCAGGGCACGCTGACAGCCATGTCCATCGGGGGAAATACTTTGAGGGTGGTAAGCAGACAATGAGGAGAATTGAGAATTTCGTCCCCGCAGAAGCTATACACAAGACGTCATGGGGTAGATAAGAAAGAAATGAAGAAAACTAAGGATGAAGAAAGAGCACGAGTAGAAGTCAAAGGGGGTTGGGGGATCCGTACACATCGCTCGCTAGAGATAAGGTCCAAAAAACGTCCATCCATAAAGCCGTAACGACAAAAGAAAAGAGACAAAGGAGAAGAAAAAAAATATAAAAACACCAGTCACCGAAGCGTATCATGAGTTCAAACGAGGCATTCAACCGTCATCATCAGAGGCGTCAGCAGAGTCTTGCTCACTTGCCTCGGCACTCGCGATGATCTTAGTTTTCTTGGAATTTACTTGATCCTCATTCACTTCACTTGACTTTCGTTTGGTGGAAGAGCCATTCTCTCTTCCCATGATCTCGGCTAGCGGGTCTGGGTCTCCCTCGGCGACCTTCTTGTCCATGGCAGCTACCTCATCCGCCGTCAAGAAACGGCCACCAGGACCACGAGGTCGGCGCATGGCGTGATTGTGTCGTGATTCATGAAGGTAGGGCTTCCGGCCCTTGGAAGTTAAACGCAACTGTTCCTCCAGCTTCTGTCGAGCAACCCGGCGCTTCAGAATGCGGTGGAACTGCTTGGCATTCACGTACAGGGGAGACTCCTCCTGGTTATTGCTAGCCACCATCTCAGGGGACGGCTGGTGCGGTTGCACGGCCGCTTGAGGACCGCCCATTGGGGGAGCTATGGAGGGTCGGCCAACATGGTTCATCACGGGCTGCGCATTTTGCACCCCAGGACTTCCCACGTGGCTCATCCGCCGGGGAGGCAACTGCGCATTTGGAGGCATCTGAACTTGTCCACCCATCGGGGGCATCTGGCCTGCCATCTGCGGTGGCGACCGCGGATTCCGATCCTGCTTCATCTGTACCCCGGACGACATACGCGGTGAGCCTCGCGACCCTTGAGCCATCTGTCCAGTCACATCCTGATGCAGCGGGTAGAACTGTCCGGATGCGGCTGCAGTGGCCATCGCGGCGGCTTGCGTGGGGGAGATCCCGTATGTCTGGGGCATGGCTGCGGGGACACCATAGCCCTGAGGGAAGTTCATTTGTTGATGAACAGCGCCCGGCGCATTTTGTGCCTGCTGGTAATGCTGTTGCGATGGGACGATGGGGGAGGTCTGATGGGCAGGGTGTGTCGGTTGCATTGGAGCCTGGGGATTGGTGGGGGATGCCATGGACCCGACGGGGGCACCAGGGTTCTGTGGGGCCGCTTGGTAAGATCCAGGTATGTGCGACGGGGCATGCGGATGTTGGCCATGAGGCTGTTGATACTGCGGAGGGTACTCCATGGTTGCGAGGGAAAAGGAAAGTCGCGACGCGACTGTTCTGTCACACGGTGTGACAGGGGGCAAGAAGAGGGCGTTAGAATGACGGGATCCACCCAGTCAAATGGAACTCAGTTAGGCGCAGCGACGGATTAGGTTCGTCGTCAAAGATGAGTGATCTAGTTAGATGCGAAATGCGAAATCTGTTTGGCAGACGGCGCGGGTCAATGGCACGTACGGCGCGTGCTGACGGGGAGATGGTCACCACAGTTGGCGTGGGTGGTCGGTGATTCGACGGAGCGGGGCACAATAATCTGCAGGCCCGGGTATTCGCGTCAGCAACAGCGCAGGACCGAGCAGTCACTGGATTGAAGGGACACTGGTGGGGGCATGCGCTATGGCGAAACGGAAAGCACAGGGACTGGGCGCATACCTTAGCTACTAACTGCAGGCACCACTAACCAGGACGTGGTTTCTATGGTCTGAACAAAATTCTCCAGACCTTTTTGTCAAACAGGAATCCCGAAACTCGGAGGGTTTTGGCTCTTTTGTGCAAATCGGTCTATGTCCACCGTCGGGTGTAACGTGGTTGGGCTGTGATGCAGCAGACCGGGGGATGATGCGCCCCTCGACTCGAGCTTTGATGCGTTGTTCACAATGATGCCACCCCGATACTTGAGGCTACGCAGACTATTTCCAGGCACAGGCCTTTTCCAGAATACACCGAGGCTGAGTGTGGCTCGGCCACTTCCAGCGCAAAATCCGGGGAGGAAAGGCACCCGGGCTTGCGGGTGTACAGTGAAGAAAAGTGGTCGGAGATGTCAGAGCACAGTTGTAGGCTCCACGAATCAAGACTGCGCCAGTTAGTCTTTCCATGTTCTGATCTGATTTCCCAGAAGAAGAGTGATGCGTTGGCAAATTGGAGGGGGTGGGATCGCAATCCAAGGCCATGGTAAGCTTGCATACCCAGAAATGGGTTAGGCCCCAAGGCGAAGGGCGAGTGGATGCATGCGTTGGCACGGGAATAATTGGGGCAATTGCTGCAGATGGGGGGAAAGAGTTGACATACCTTGTCGATCGCGGTCTTAGGTTTCTGCAGCCAAAGCAAGACAGATCGTAAGGCTGGACAGGGGGGACGAATGGAAACGCGTGCAAGAAATCCCGATGAAACCGAGCCTAGATGTCATGTATTAGATGCAAATTGCCACGAGCGATGATGTAAACCGGCGATCGAGAGGAAAGGTGACACATTCAATATCAAAACAAGTAGATAACCAACGAGAATACATGAATCGCGTGGGCGGGCATATCAAAAGGGAAACAACCAATGGTAATAGAAAGCTCGATGAAACACGGCGTAGCCGCTTTGCATGGGATGGAGCGCGTTGTTTTGGCACGGGCCGAGCACTAAAAAAAAAAAACGCGCACGCAACGTGGGATTGGAGATTGGGAAGGGGAATTACCGGGGGGAACCAACAGCGGAATCGAAGCTTCAAGGGATACAATGATTGGAAGAGATCAAGAGAGGGGAGGGGATTCCAAAAAGAGGGGAAAGAGACCAACGAGACCAGCGAGTGGGAAAGGCGGTGATGGTTTTGCGGGAGTCTCTGTGCGCAGGCACTAAAAACCAAACCCACGTTCAAGCCTCTTCAAGCCAAGAATCCTCAATTATCTCTCTATATCATTCCCTGAAGAGAAATTCAATAGTCAAAGATGATCTTGACCCAAGCCTTGAGAGCAAAAGAGAGAGAACGTTGGCAACAAGCCAAACGTGGGTCGAAGTGTAATCATCAAAGACGATGATTCATGTTTGGGGGCAAAGAAGAGACCAGGAAGAATAGGACAATGGAAAAAGCCCCCAAAAAAGAGCCAAAATCAAATAGAAAATAAAAAATGTAAAAAGGAAGAAAAGCATATGAATCCAAGGAACAAAAATACAAGGCGAATTCAAAGATAAAAGTTCACTCATTCAAAACTAACGATCATAGATCATAGGGCAGTATCGAGTCCATGCATCACGTACCGTAGCAGATCGATAATCAAATCCACTCAGATAACAATCTCTCGGAGATCTCGACACCTGAGGGAAAATCCAAGGTGGGAAAGCACGATGATTGGGCTCACCAACTGGACCAAGGTGGACGAATGATAGGGAAAAGGGCGAAGTAAGGGTGGCCGACTCTGTGCGATGGTTGGCAGGAGGAAGCTTGGGAAAGGGGACGGGCAACCAACGAGAAGAGGCAGAAAGAGGAGGGAAAGGGCGAAAAGGGGCGAGATGGGGCACTTTAGTATTTTAGTACCGGCTTTCTCTTCGACTGACTGGCCGACGATGACTTCCTCTTCCCTCGGCGACGTATCAGAGTACGTGGACCAGTGGGGCCCACATTATGGGTCTGGTATGGGTCTGGTAATGCGGCCCAATACCCTTGCATTACACTGGAACTCCGACGCGATTCCCATGGAATGGGGGCCATAATCAACAAGATTTCACAGATGATCTCTGATGAGCCATATCATTGGTAGAGGTGGTTGGGGTCTGTAAGGTACGGTCACGGTGAGATGTCCAGGATGGTAATCATGGTATTGTCTTAGTAACGTGCAACCCGGCCATCCCGGAAGTCACGAGAGTCATGTGCAACCCGGGGTCGAACCACCCTGAGGCGGTGAGTACCCAAAAGTAATCTGGTTTGCTGTTCAGCCAAGGTATTGTCTGGAATTATGTACTCCGTACTGATTCATAGTTACCTGATTCTGGTAAATCCCTCTCAGCCCTTCGCCTAAATCCGAAATGAGGTAGCATCCTGGGAGGGATCATTGGGGGACTCTCGGCCCTCGCTCCTGTTTGGGTCTCGGGACCCATGCCCTTACCCCATCAATGTGTTACCGCGCGCTCCATGGTGATGAGATCCTAGCGAGTCCTAGCAACGCGATGATCGGCGTCAATTTCAATCTCAACCATCTGAACAAGCTTGCTTTCTTCCCTGTCGTCCGGGGCGGTCAGTAAATCTGAAGCTTCTTGATCAGAACCCTGTCAGACGAAATTATGACGCAAGAACGCCATGCCCAACGGTGGCAATTTAGTGAAACACAAAATATAATGACAACAAATGACCTAATATGCATCGCCTTGTCACATCACGTTTGGGGGGGCGAGGCGCCCACGATGTTGTACGGCGCCCACATCTCCATAATAGTTACTGCTCTACTAATCAACATAGCCTCATCTCATACAGTACCCTATCCGTGGATGGGGGTTACTTGGTGTTGGCCCACGTGTGAACCGTCAACTCTATAACCAAGTGACCATTCATTGCTTGCCAATTTTACGGGTCCCCATCCCCTGCGAACCCCACGTTTGATTTGGGCTTGACCGCCATGAACATTGTAGTCCGAGATAGACAGCACCCTCGACTTCGTTGTATGTACCAAAATAAGCGTAGTCTGAATCTCCCAAGGGAATAGGTCTTTTTATGGTAAGATTGATTCCTAGTGTTCATCTGGAAGTACAGTATCATTGGAAGCCCACTGTAAAATCACTTGGCCCCGTGGGAAATATATTTGGGGCTCTTTGTCAACCTTGGAACCAATAACGCAGCATATCCTTACCTCACCCACTTGGAATTATGGAGCTTACCTATGAGATCTGATAATTTTGATCCTCGAGTTGAGCCATAGGTAATCTTTAAATACAATGACTTAGAAAAGTCTATTGGGCTCTATTGGTGGACGCCGATAACATTGCCAGGTGAATTCAAGATGATCTATCATTCCACAGAATCAAACCTCGTTCGTTTGTTGCAAGATTCCTTTGCGATCACCTGCTTTGTAACCGTATCTGCAAGACACCCAGGGCCACCTGTCTCACTGCATTCCACTGTATGCCTCGTACCAGGGACAAAGACTTCATTATCATTACCGCGATATTGACTCGTCGGCATTTCGTTCCAGAGCTAGTGACCGCTTACCTCAGCAAGGGGTCCCGCTCCGGAGCAGGTGGCTTTTCTACATGAATAAGTCGAGTCAAACAGTAATCACTGTCGATACAGTTTACTGTCTCGAGTCTTCGCCATTGAAGTCGCGGCTCTTGAGTCGATCGACCTGACCCTTCCAACCACCCCCCGCAACACCTCGGTGACCCACCCCACACTCAACAAAGACGCGTTCAATATTCGCTACATGACGTCTTTGTTGACATCGACTGTTTCCGACTTTCCTGCAACTCCGATTCGGACGGAAGGACCGAGACGAACTTCTAGCACATTTCAATCCGGGATCCTTGCGACATAACCCGAAGCCGCGCTCCACGGGGAGTTGGCGCATCGCTGCATCTCCCGTCACCGCTCGTGTTACCCCTGCAAACACCAAACCTCCCCCCCCCAAAGCAGTCGATCCCTGACGCACCCCCAGTGTATGGGGTAGAGATATCAAGATGGGTCCAGGCGGTGGAGGCAACATTAAGGTGGTGGTTCGGGTACGGCCTTTTAACAGTCGTGGTGAGTGAGGCATCCAGAAAAAGAGTGGCCGAGAACCCATAAGTCTGACGAGCATATTCGATCTACAGAGATCGAACGTGGTGCAAAATGTATTGTTTCCATGAAAGGCGCCCAGACGGTGATCTCCCAGCCGCCGGGTATGGAGGATAAATCGCGAAAAGGTGGCAAGGGTGGTGGTGAAGGACCCAAGACTTTTGCCTTTGATCGATCATATTGGTCTTTTGACAAAAACTCTCCAAACTATGCCGGACAGGATAATCTTTTCGACGACCTGGGTACACCACTGCTGGATAATGCCTTTGGGGGTTACAACAATTGTATCTTTGCCTATGGTCAAACCGGATCTGGAAAGTCATACTCGATGATGGGCTATGGAAAGGAATATGGTGTCATCCCTCGCATTTGCCAGGACATGTTTGAACGAATCACCCAGATCCAACAGGACAAACTTCTCAATTGTACCGTGGAGGTCTCATACCTAGAAATTTACAACGAACGGGTGCGCGATCTGCTCAACCCGTCCAACAAGGGTAACCTGAAGGTCCGCGAGCATCCTTCGACGGGTCCATATGTGGAGGACCTGGCCAAGTTGGTGGTACGCTCCTTTGATGAGATTGAAAATTTGATGGACGAGGGAAACAAAGCCCGAACGGTGGCTGCGACGAACATGAACGAAACATCCAGTCGATCCCACGCCGTCTTCACATTAACACTGACACAGAAGCGTCATGATGCCGAGACTTCCATGGACACGGAGAAGGTGTCAAAGATTAGTTTGGTTGATTTGGCTGGTTCAGAGAGAGCCAATTCCACAGGAGCCACGGGCGCCCGATTGAAAGAAGGCGCAGAGATCAACCGTTCTCTATCGACGCTGGGTCGTGTCATTGCGGCCCTGGCCGATGTTGCCGTTGGAAAGAAAAAGAATGCCTCCATGGTTCCATACCGTGATTCCATTCTCACTTGGTTATTGAAAGATTCACTAGGTGGTAATTCCATGACCTCCATGATTGCAGCCATCTCCCCTGCAGATATCAACTTCGAGGAAACACTCGGTACCCTACGATATGCTGATTCGGCGAAGAGAATCAAGAACCATGCAGTGGTGAACGAAGATCCGAATGCTCGTATGATCCGCGAGCTCAAGGAGGAACTGGCACAACTGCGCTCCAAGCTCGGAGGTGGCGTGGGTGGTGCTGGAGCCGCGGGTGGATTGCCAGCCGAAGAATCGTACCCTCCCGATACACCCTTGGAAAAACAGATGGTCTCTATTCACCAACCTGATGGTTCTGTTAAAAAGGTTAGCAAGGCCGAAATTGTGGAACAACTCAACCAAAGTGAAAAGTTGTACAAGGATCTCAACCAGACATGGGAGGAGAAATTGCAAAAAACAGAAGAAATCCACAAGGAACGCGAGGCTGCCTTGGAAGAACTTGGTATCAACATTGAAAAGGGATTCATTGGACTAAGTACACCAAAGAAGATGCCTCATTTGGTCAATTTGAGTGACGATCCCCTATTGGCGGAATGTTTGGTCTACAATATCAAACCAGGGAGTACGACCGTCGGACATATGGACCAGGGGAACAATGTTGAAATCCGATTGAACGGCTCCAAGATTCTTTCAAAACACTGTACCTTCGAAAACGTGGACAATGTTGTGACTATTGTCCCTACCGAGGGTGCCGCAGTAATGGTAAATGGTATGCGGGTTGACAAGCCCAAACGTCTCAAGAGTGGTTTCCGCATTATTCTCGGCGACTTCCACATTTTCCGCTTCAACCACCCGCAAGAGGCTCGTGCTGAACGAGTAGAACAGAGTTTGCTACGGCATTCTGTGACAACCAGCCAACTGGGTTCCCCCGCGCCTAACAAATCCCACGACCGCAATATGAGTAAGACTGGATCCGATATCGATGGAGACTCGAGTAGGGCAGATTCCCCGATGCCTTCCCAGCGAGGCCGAGAGTCAGATTGGTTTCTTGCTCGAAGAGAGGCGGTCGGTGCCATGCTGGGACCAGATCAAATTTCACATCTGCCAGACGATGAGCTGGATGCTCTGCTTGAAGGTGTACAAAAAGCCCGAGCAGAGCGTCGCGGGATGCCCGAGCATGATGAAGACTCAGACTCCCTCAGCTCTTTCCCCGTAAGGGACAAGTACATGTCTAATGGCACCATCGACAATTTCTCACTCGACACTGCGATTACGATGCCAGGAACCCCCCGTCAGAATGGTGATGACGAAGGAGCCAACGGGGATGTTTCTTTTAACTCGGTCCGTCAAGATATGCAGCGCCAATTGGATCGGCAAAGAGAGGAGTTCCAGGACAGGCTTAAGACCGCCGAGGCGTCTTCTAACCATGACCCTACCGAAATCCGCACCGAGAAGCAGCGTATGGAAGATGCACTAAAGTTTGCCAAGGAAGACTATGAGGAGCAGCTGAGGGTGCAAAAGGAAGAATTCGAAACACAGATGCGAGACATGGGCAAGCCTATTCCTCGAATCTATGAGAATGGGTTTTCCAAACTTGACGAACGGGAAGTCGAAATCGCTAAATTTATTTTCCGCCACTGGTCCCAGCGCAATTATGTCCGCATGGCCGAAAAGATTCTACAGCATGCTTCTCTCATCAAGGAAGCGCAAATCATGAGCCAAATCATGGACAAGAACGTGGTTTTCCAATTTGCCATTGTGGATCATGGCCACAATATGGCTTCGTCTTACGACCTTGTACTGAATGGAATCTCTGGCGACGATGATATCGTGCTAGAAGAGGCCAAGAAACCATGTGTTGGCATTCGGGTGATCGATTATAAGCAGTGTGTCATTCACCTGTGGTCAATCGAGAAGCTACAGCGCCGCGTTCAATCTATGCGCCAACTACATCAGTATATTGACCGACCCGACTATATCCAACATTTCAAACTTGAGAACCCATTTTCAGACACATGTTCCCCTCAATACTCTCTCATCGGTGATACCGATATTCCCCTAACGGCCGTTTTCGAGACCCGTGTGCAAGATTTCTCCGTCGAGATCACGTCACCTTATACCCAAAGTGTCGTGGGGATTATCCGACTTTCCTTGGAACCATCATCTGCGGAGGCTCCGTCATCCACATTGAAATTTAATGTTGTTATGCGGGACATGGTTGGGTTTGCTGAGTGGGAAGGAACGGAAGTCCACGCGCAGCTCTTCGTTCCTGGAATCTCCGAGGAAGGTGGCGCCACGACAACGCAGATGATCAGTGGGTTTGAAGAGAGCCCAGTACGGTTTGAAAGTGTGCATAGCATGAGTCTGCCACTTTCAAGCCCGCGAACGGCTGCTCTCAAGGTCTGTGTTTACGCTCGTGTGACCTCGGTACATCTAGATAAGCTTCTGAGCTGGGATGATATGCGCGATTCGGCGGATGTTACACCGCAGAAGCGGACCGCCCCTCGAATTGCAGAGTCAGAGTTCTACTCGGAAGAAAGACACGACGTCTTTGCCAGAATCCAGATCCTCGAGCTTGCGGAGTCTGGTGAGTACCTGCCGGTAGAAGTTGTTCAAAGCAACAATCTTGATGCAGGCACGTATCAGCTGCACCAAGGTCTGCAGCGTCGCGTCTCCATCAATCTCACCTACAGTTCTACCGAGAGCCTCCCATGGGATGATATTACTAATGCCCGTGTGGGTTCTGTGCGTCTTCTAGACCCATGGGGCAAGATCCCCGATCAGGATCTCCAGACCCCGGACGTCCCTCTTAAGTTCCTCCAAGAACCCATGGTGAAGGACAATGCTGATGGAACCTCCAATGTGACTATTGTGGGTCAGTGGGACTCGAGTTTGCACGGTTCCTTGTTACTTGATCGAGTCACTGCAGACAAATATCGAGTCCAGGTCACAGTTCGCTGGGATCTGGTATCCTCTCGTCTGCAGACCCCGGTTGTTTTCGAGGTCGATCAGACAATCCAGATCCTCGGACGCACCTATGTTCGCCAGCAGTCTATGTTTAAACAGCTCTGGAGCTCTATCAGAGTTGTGCATTCAACTACTCGCATGTATTCTTTGGTCATTCGACCGATTTCTGCTAAGCGAGCTGCCGACCTATGGCGAATGAACACACAAAATGACTACGTCAAAGGCGAAGAGTTGTTGACAACATGGGCGGCCCGCAAAGTGTCACTAGTCCGAGATTATATCGCGGCCCGTAAACATCGATATCGCGTAGCAGAGTTACACGCAGCCCGAGGAGCTCTCAGTGCTGGCAGCCTAATGGCGTCACCTGCTCGGGGCAGTGGTCGATCTACACCTATGAGGAACTCAGACCTCAACGAGCGCAAAACCAAGATTCTTCGCAAATACCTGGATCTCTGGCCGACTAAGAAAGATCCCACCGAGACTATTCTGGTCGGTAGCAATACCGAACCCCCTACCGACGGCGCGCAGGGAAGGTCGAACGGTGTTAACGCCATATCGGATAAAACCTCACTGAAGCCTCGCTTCGTGGCTACCATCCAAACTTTACCCAAGAACGCCTCTGTTTTGAAATCAGGACATGTCCTGACACCCGACGACACAAACAGTGTCTGGGTTCGCCGATTCGTGGAGCTTCGCCGGCCGTACCTCCACATCTACTCGGTCCCTGACGGAGATGAAATCAACGCTATCAATCTGCGCAACTCTCGTGTCGATCATGCACCCGACTTTGCCCGTCTTTTAGATGGTTCTGGAGCTGGAGCCGACCGCTCATTATCTGCGAAAGGACGCCCTAACATCTTTGCCGTCTACGGAACGCAGAACACATACCTTTTCGCAACGCGGACCGAGGCTCAGAAGGTAGAATGGATTCTGAAGATCGACGAAAGCTACTTCAGCAGCAATGGTGGTAGCGCAGTTGCAAGTGGTGATGAGCGATAATTTCTCTGCTTTTGGGCTTTCCTTTTTGCCCTTTGCCTTCTGGCGGCTTAGGGTTGTGCTTCATGTTTGATGATCTTACAGGGCCTGGAGTCTACCATTTTCTTTCGTTTTATATATGTCTCCCCTTTTCCTGTTATGACTTGTTGTTGAGATACCCCCCCTTGAATATATCAACTGGCTGTGGCGCGCTTCTCCCTTGTACATAGTGCGATATCGTTGGGACCACCATGATAGATTCGACGGTGCTCATTGATTGTTGAGAGTACTACAGTATCTCGGTTTATGACCAAAAAAATAATTTCAGTACCTGTACCCTTACTTTCTCTTGTGACAGTGTTCCTGATTTACTGTATTTCATCTCATTATGCACTAATGGAAGTGCAGTGATGTGATAGTGATTTCATGTTTCACATGGTGATGATAACCCGTTGCCATGGAGACTATCGTGGTTGACACCCACCTTGAGTGATCGCAAGGTCTCTTGAATTACACCACTTGGAAAGCTGAGCGTGAAAATTCTCTAATTTGGTATTGGTAACTGTTGATAATTATTCAAGGGGCTATTTTTATCTGGACGTTTTCTCCAATCTAGAACCCCTACCAGAAGCTAGGATGATGGCGCAAAGGCCCTCATTTCGCTTCTTAGCCACCGGCGCTGTGGTATCCCTCTTTTTCCTCACATTCCTTATCCTTGGATTTCAACGATCCGGAGGCTCCACACGTTATTTTCTGAAGAGTTCCCGGCCAAGTCCTCCACAGTGCCCATCAGTTGAATCTTCGGCTCCGAGCAATGATGCATGGGAGTTTGTCGTTGGGCGTGATGGACAGAATCATGGTCTTTCGGAGGAGCAGTGTCGTATTGCATTCCCGAAACTTTATGCCGAAATCGACAAGTCTGTTTTGCTGAAGCAGGAGAAACACATTACCTACAAGGAGCTTGATTCGCGGGATGTGGAGGAAGGCATGGTGCGGGGGATCATCGATCAGGGAGAGGTGAGTGATTGTAGTAGCTCTTTGATGATTCGAAGCCTTCAGGCCTAACAAACGTTGTGACATATAGCTATATATCGTCGATTATGCTGCAATGCCCGTTACAGGCACCCGGGCTCGCTCCACATTGAACTCACTACACCGCGCTCTGAAAGCATACCCAGCTCGCCATCTACTCCCCAGCATTGAATTCACCTTCACAACAGAAGACTTCGCCGAAGACCCATCAGGAACCGGCCCAATCTGGGCATACTCCAAACGCGATGGAGACGACTCGGTCTGGTTGATGCCTGACTTCGGATACTGGGCGTGGCCCGAAGTACAAATTGGGCCATACCATGAAGTTCGACAACGCATTGCCGCAATTGATGATGGTGAAACACTGGCAGATGGCACATTTGTCCCGGGGCTAGCATTTCAAGACAAGAAGAAGCAACTCGTCTGGCGCGGCAGTCTTGCCACGAATCCCGCCATACGTAGCAAGCTGCTCAAGACCGCTCTCAGTCGAAGCTGGGCTAGCGTCCGTGTTATCGACTGGGACGACGAGAATGACATCCGATACAACCTCCTCCCGATGGAAGATCACTGTCGATATATGTTTGTTGCGCACACTGAAGGCCGTAGTTTCTCCGGCCGGGGCAAGTACCTCCTCAACTGTCGCTCAGTGATGATCTCGCATCCCCTCGTGTGGCGTGAAGCGCACCATGGTGCACTTGTTTCATCGGGCGCCGATGCGAATTATATTGAGGTTGACCAGCATTTTGGGGATCTATCCTCCAAGATTGATTACTTGATTGATAATCCGCAGGTAGCGGAGCGAATCGCTGATAATGCGGTGCGGACGTTCCGAGATCGTTATCTCACTCCTGCTGCAGAGTCGTGTTACTGGCGGCATTTGGTCAGACAGTATGCATCGGTCTCTGACTTTGAACCAGTTTTGTTCTCTACAGATCGGGATGGAAAGAAGTCACCTCGTGGTGTCCCCTTTGAGACATGGCTGCTTATGCATTGATGAACACGGTATTGTACTTTAGCGTTTTGTTGGACTGTTGGATTTGGCGTTTATGATACCTTGAACATACGAACTCTATCATCTATATATCATGTGAATTCGTGGATCTTTATTATTGCTTTCATTTTCTGAGCTAGGTACCGAGATCGTAGCAAAAATAGAAGATAAGCAAAGATCTAATTATGTATCATGGAATCTGTTGAGGAGAACTTGCAAAGAGATACCCAGAAATTCCACTGTACCCCATAAAAGAAGTGGCGCTATCATAGTTTCGACATCTGGCTCTTCGAGATCACCCACTTCATAGCAGCCGCCATCTCCTGTGCCTCAGCCGGAGAGCGGGGAAGATTATGAACAGCACTATGCTCATACGTTTGCCTCCATTTTGATTCACAAAAGGACCCAGCCAGATCTGAAGTCTCTCTCAGACCTATTGCGTCGTTCTTTGCCCTTACATGTAGTGTTGGAATTGAAAGGCGAGCTTTAAACAAGCTCGGATCCAACGGACAAGGAATCTCCAGCAGTGGACGATGCAGCAAGTCTTTTCGTGTCAGACGAATAATGGGCTCCAATATATCGGTGACTCTTAATAAAGCCCGGACAGCTGTTTGAGCAGGCTCTGCAATCTGAGCAAGGCGATCATCTTCCGTGGAGCGTAGATGTTGAAGGTCTTCGGGTGATAAAGAGCCAAAAATAGAGTGACAATACTCTGGATCTGCAGATAACACAGGGGCCGCTGAACAAAATATTCCAAATCCCACAGGAAGAGGTGTGACTGGATGCAGGGTGACTTGCTGAAGTAAATAGCCGACCATTACAGTCACACCAAGACTGAAACAGAAGGTCCCATCGAAGGGGCCGTGTTGCTTGAAGACCTTATCCACGGCGGCGTACGCAGATTCAATGCTTAGAGGACGGAAATCTCTCGACCAACAGAAAAAAGGACCAGCTGAGACAGCTTTTGCTCCTTTGTGGGGAAAGACAGGTCAGCAGTGAGTATATCATGTTAGCAACTGCGTGGGACCGACTTACCAGGAGCAGGAGGGCAGTCTAAAGTGGCTTCCAAAAAAATAAAGTCCCAACTGGGGTCACAGAACTTTATTAGTGCAGCCATTTGGCGTTTCATGACATCGACATTCATGCCATATCCATGGAGACAGAGTATACGCATTTTGACTCGACGAGCCCTGGAGATCCTTCAAATGTATATACTAGCCCTGTATGTGATGCGACTTCTAAGGATGTGGGGCTCAAGTCAAAGTCCTTATGTCTGTCCACACAGTCAACAAGATTGTACAAGAAGGCACCGAGATGTTTGAACATTTATACCTAGGCATATAGGGCTGGTCGAGACCTTAAAACTACCTTCTAGTCTTCGAATATGCCGTTGGAATCAAATCTCAACTCAAACATCACCCTCCAGGCTCTGGAACCTTGGAAGAAGTAAACATATTGAGGAAATCACCATGTCGACCTTATATGTATATGAGTCATCGTGCCTTCGCTCAGGGGAAACGAGTATTTCCAGATATTTCTCGGGTATGCATCATGGTCATATTTGTTTTCTCAGCTGAACAATCTCAGGTGCATTTTGCGTAACATGATAAGGGGCCCGCGACTAGATTATGAAGAGAGATAACGAGCTCACATATTGGGGAGAAGTGGCTGCTGATCATTATTTGTTCTTGATTTCCAGGGTTTCACGGTTCGTGCCCAAGTTTGCCCGATCTGGCCTCTCGCAGGTTTATCTGTCCTGAGGGCCCACAGTTACCAACCTTGGAATTGCGTTTAGTCGTAGTCAATCTGATATGACTTGTATATGGCACTAGACTCTGTTTTACTAGGCCGAGATGGATCCCGTAATAGGGGTTACCTGCACCATTTCCCTGTAAATCATTGTACTTGACATCGTTACACAGCTTTTTCCAAGGTTCCGCAAAGGTCGAACCAAACAGGTTGGACGGAGATAAAGCACAGCCCTGCAGTATATGAACGTAAACTGATCAAACAACTATTTCTCATATCATAGTACGGTTCCTTTGTCTGCGTTGGTCGTCCTTTATGCACTAGTATTATGTCCGTTCTTCGCTTGATATCATCACCCGCGCCATTGTTACCGTACATCGCTCTACACTCCAGAACTCGCATCAAATTGTGTATCGTTTTTCCTCTTTTGCCTCTTTTTTTTTCTTTTTTTCACCCCCATAGTTAACACGAAATATAGCCGTTTAGCCTTGATGCAAAGTCTAAATCCATGAGATGAAATTGGCTCGTGCCTCCGCCATACCAGCCAATCTTGGCATCAGACCCTTGGACCCTCACTAAACCATATAAGCTTTAGCCTGGCCCTTTCTGACTGTGCTAGTCAACAAATTGGTTAAGCGAGCCTGTCAAGTCTCTGATACTAAGCCTCATGGGATTTTCCACCAGTCTTGTCTTGTCATGTGGGCTCGGGCGAGAGACACTGCGCCCCATCGTCTTATACCATCCGTTCCCCGCATTCTGAAATTGGTCCTTTCATTCTAAATCTCAACTTTTCCTACACTCTCTTGAATGAAAAACAATCATGCCTAGTATCACCACCATCGATGGCTATACTTTTGACAATTGGGGCCCTGTCACAACCACTTTCACGCCCCCTGCAATCTGTGTAACCTCGACTACTAATATTGAAATTGGACTGAGTTGGAGCAACTCTGCTCCTTACTTTATATACGACCAGCAGTGTTCTACTATCGGGTACTGGGACTGTATCCCAACTGGAACCCAGTCCAAGGCTACCATCACGGCTTCTAACCTTGAATCTAATCCCACGAATGCATTCCAGGCCGTTTATTTCTCTCCAGGCCTATTTTGCCCTTATGGATGGGCAACTGTGGGCATAGCCGCACGCGAGGAAAGCACACTGAGTGGATCGGGTATCCTCAGCACGGTGTCTCCGACATACGATCCCGATATTTCGATATTTGAATATCCAGCGACATTGATCTTGAACTACTCGACCCCAGAGAGACTGTTGTGATGTGTTGTCCAAGGTTAGTTCGGCAAGGATTTCAACCATAGAGTCAACAGGGCTAATTTCTGTTATAGTTCCATGACTGCTGATATAAATTTCGGATGCTACTCCATCTTGCCAAGTTACAAACCTACGGAAGGTTGTTACCGTCAGTTTCCCCAAGGGGATTTGACCCAAGTAACGAGAACTGCAACGGTGAATGGCACCGCTGAAGGTTATCTTATCGAGACACTCATTGGTACGACTCCAATTACAAGTATCCATACCGCAACGTTTGCGAGCGACGAATTATCATCTTTGGTCGGCGCCACGTATATGCCCATGGTGACGCTTATTCGCAGTCAGTCCAATGTCAAGGCAACAGGGACTGGCAATGCCGCAGCAAGGCTTATTCCCAGATCATGGGATGGATTCGGTGCAGTGTTCGGGTTATCTGTCGCTGCAATGGCGCTAGGAGCCGCTATAATTTTGCCATTTTGAGGAATATTATGTATTAAAGTCTGCCTTTGATTATGTATTACTTGACTGTAATATTTCGCTCTCAAATGGTAATATATCGAGGTAGAGAGCTTTAATTCACACCCGCCGTGACTGGTCAATTCCATTGGAACCAATTTCTCCTTGACTTCCTCTCCACCATACAAGGTGAACAACGGAGCCTATATACCTACATTTCGGCCATAACCAGTTACTTCCCCACCCCAAGTCGACACGCTGTTCTATTGCTCTCGACATTTTCTGTTTCGTGAGGCACGGGTCATGAGAGACTCAGGGGATCGGAGAAGGCCGAGTAATGGCACTGATCTATTCATGAAGCCTTTCAGGATAAGAGGGGATACCAACTCTTGTTGCAAGCAGGAGTCGCCACCCAAAACCAGGGCTATTTGCTGGGCGAATATAAGGTAAACGTGCGAGAATGCCAGTTAAAACCATGCAAGAAGTCGATTACGATAGACTATAATATATTTGGCAAACAAGACAGAATTGAAGGAAACAAAAAATATATACAGGGTTGGACAAAGGAAAAGAACAAAGTCCTCGACTTGACGACCTCGGGAAATGCCCAGATCACTCAGCACTCACAACTCAGCACCTCTATTTTCTGTTGACGAATCGGAACCATCCCTCAGAAGCATCAAAGATGCGAACGGGCTTATCGCCCTTCTTGAGGCGACAGATGACCACAATCTGGCTTCTTCTTCTCCTCAAAGAACTGCTCAAGCTGGGATCCCTCATTAGTGCCCCAGATACCCGCAATCTCGCTGTAGATCTCATTTCGCTTAAAGTCATCCAACTCCTTGTGGTCCTCAAGTCGCTTGCCAGCATAGAAGACATCCTGGATCCAGAGGTTGTCGAATTCTTGTCCCTGTTTCGCTTGCTCCACCTCCTTCTTTGTGTTGGCCTCGATCTCCTGCCTGGCGGTCTCCATCGCCTTCTTGTCGGCCTCTGCTTCTCTCTTGGCAGCTACCAGCTGGATCTCGACTCTTGCTTAAGAGCCTTTTCATGGCCCTGGCGACCCTCCTCAAGCTCTTTGATGGTGAGCGCGAGCTTCTCAACGTCTTGCTTCAGGACAGTCTCCGCACTTGCGTGCTGAGCCTTAAGCTCATGAATCTGGGCCGTGGCCTTTCTGAGCTCGTTGGTAGTGTTTTGGTTGGTTTTGAACAGATCAGCCTTCTCCTTGTTCCATTCAAGTTGCTCAAGCTGAGCAGTGGCAAGCTCGTCGGTCTTCTCATCTAGCTCAGCCTGCAGGATCTCTTTGGCCTCCAGGTATTGTCTCTCGCGGAAGTGGCACTCGCTCTTGAGCGTGTGTGCGCCGGTCCTCAGCACGGAGAGCTCGTTCTCCAGGCTAAAGATAGTTTGATCATCCATTTTCGCATGCTCTGACTTACTGTATAGCTCTTTCTCAGCCTCCAGCTTGACGTGCAGGTAGTGGATCTTCTCATCTTTCATGACCGTCCACTCTCCCAAAAGTTGATGGTTGATCAAGTTGTGCGCTTGTCCCCACTCGAGGCTCTCCTGGACATAGTGACAAGCCCTGAAAGCTCTGTCGCGGGCATGATCTCTCTCATGCTTGAGGTTCTCGTTCTCCTCCTTCAATTCAAGGGCAGACTTGTCATCCTCCCACTCAATGTGGAGATTGGCGAAAAGGCGCTTTGCCTCCATTTCTTTGTCGATAGCTTCATCGCGCGCAGCTTCGGCAGCGCTGCGATCCTTCAGTGCCGCCTCCTCACGCTCAATAGCTGCCTTGCGATCGTCCAAAGCCTATCGTAGGACCTCGTCGAAATCCTTCTGCCTGTCCTCCAGGATCTGAATGTATTCCTCCAGCTGCGTGATCTTCGCAGTGAATTCGGGTGAAAAGCGGCAAAAGAGTTGGAGATGACGAAATTATCAAGAATGTCTCACGGTTGCCAGTGGGCTACTGACAGGCGGGTGACTTACGCCCGGTCACTAGTGCGATACTCATCACATTTTATACGGGCGATTCTGAGCACTGGCTTTTGCATGCGCCTAGATCTAGCATAGTTTGAACTTCACCAGTCACAAAGCTACTGATCATCGCCATAATATTAGCCTACTCTATATGGCTCTCCCCACTTTCGAATTTTACATCCCTGGATCTTTTGGATAGTTAATGTGCTTCAGGTAACTATTCATCATTATTACGAGGAGATCTACCTGGTCTATACGGGACTGACTGCTAAGGATATTCATTGTAGGGAAAGTCTGACGTGTCTTTCAGATGTTCCCGGATCAAGACGATTAGATTAAGCATCAAACTGATCAAATCCACATAGCAAAGATCACGCCCCACAAACATCATTAGTCAATACGACCTTGTAGCCTTCACCACTTCCCCAGGATAGGTGAGCCAGCACGGTTCCCATTTTGAGAAGATTCTACACTAGGTGGCGGCATGAGAGCTCAAAATTTGCCATTAATATCGCTTGCTACCTCTGGATCCGAAAAATTCCTAAGATAAAGGTCAGATGGTGGAATATATGCGACGGATTATAAAACTAACCGTTGGCTCCGGCGATTCCAAACTGCACTCAAATCTCCAATGGGCAGACAAATAGGGAAACCCACAGAGTCAAGCAGCTGTGCCGTCAACAAGTAGAATCCTAACATCGTAGCCACGAACAAAGCGGCACCAGCACCCTAAACGGCCAGGTTAGAGTATTGCCAAGCATACAGATATAGTACAAACATACCACAGTCAACCGGTTACCAGTCACCTCGTCCTCAAGACCCAGTTTCCAGTATGCGGCAGCCAAGAGAGAGAAGACGAAAATCAGGCATGCAAAGATCAGCACAAAGACGATGTTGGTGCGGGTTGCGCACACAGTATATATCAACATCAATAATGCCATGAATAGGAAGAAAAACGCTACTCGATTAGATTAGTCTTGGAACTCAACGCGAGGTTAAATTATATACAACATACCGAATGTGTCGACAAAACCGGGACCGTGAAGACCTGCTAACGTATTGGTTCCGTCTGCTGAATATGGGGCTTGGAATTCAATTAGAACCAAAGAAGTTATAATCAAGTTTAAAAGAACCTATACCTGCAGAGTTAAATGCTGGAGTCATAGTAGCACCAAAAGCCAAGCAAAATCCACCTAAGGAAAAGTTAATCCTGTTCCGATTTCAATTTGCAGACCACTCACCCAAGTGACCAAACACGACTGAAGAGAATGTGTTTCCAAGAATGAACTCAAGGATGCTGGAAAGGACCAGCAAGAGTCCACCCAGCAAGATTAAAACTCCACTGCAACATGTCAGTCGAGAACAATACCAAAGCCAGACTAATCCCTACGTGAATGCAGCACCACCCCCACCAGCACCTCTCCACCCCATCAAGCAACATGCAAGTGGCGTGGCTGTGAGCACGAAAGCTCCAATGCCCCTGATTTCACACAGTCAGCAAGGAATTTGGTCAGGGGTGGGTGTTAGATCATACAGTGGAGTGGGGTTTCCCAGATTCTTCGCAAGCGTCGGCTGGCGATGCATCATAGGACTCAAATAAAGCCTCTCAAATTGCTCAGCAGACAAGGTAATAGATGTAGGAACCTGCGTCAAGGCAGGCATCCCCCCTCGCTGTGTGAGACCTTAGAGTCACCACGCATGATTTCGTCGTCCATAGTTGTACCTGGCATTTTTCTTTACAAGAAGAAATAAGTCTTCGAAAGATATTGAACATAAAAAGCAGGAACGAGTATTTAAGTCGGACGAGCGGACAGTGCTCCAAGCCCCAATTACCGGCCTTGGATCCGAATTCACAGCTATAATGTACTGGGGAGCTTCCCCAGATTTTTGTCTCCGCATCCGATCGGAAGCTGTTGATGCTACATTTACGGGGTAAGACGCTATCGGAAATCATATCGGCATATGGTTCCAAGGTTGACGACGATTGCCGCATCCTGGGGAAGTCAATAGGGTTTTAGGCCCACTCAAAATTTGGTTCTCGAATGGATATTGAGTTCATCGCTATAGTTGGTTAGTCGGTAGACTTTGGTACAGCTCCACTATTGAGAAGCCCCCTTATGAGTAAACTTGGCGTTGACAATCATGGGGCATTCCAATCCAGTTAGAAACGAAGAACGATGATGTCCATTCTGCAGCAATTTATTTAGAGAAATCCCGGTGCGCGGACTCATGTAAAAGCGAAACTATCGTGAAACGTGCTGAAGGTACTATAAGACTTCAATGCTGGATGACCATAATTGAGGGTTGCCACCCTAAGCCATCCATGGGACCGGGAAGCTAATATGATGCCGAGGGATGTGCCGAAGAAGAGGCGGAATCCGACTTTATATTCCGCCTTGAGTCGATCATCTGGTCATGCCAATTGATTGGCGATCATTTAAATCCTACCTAAAGTTTCACCCCGCACTATTCGTTAATTCGTCAATAGTCGATCTGGGGGTTTATGCTTCCGAAAATGATCCTGTCGATCATTCATGGCGGAACGCGGATTCCGCGGTGTGGTACCCACGAGTGGGAAGGAATGCAGTAAGGTCGTATAGGGTTCCCTTTCAACTATCTTCTTCATGCGCCATTTGCCGCTCTGGTCATTCTGACGCATTTTCACCCGCCCAGATTTACTTCAACAAATCTCCAGGCGTTACTACTACAGTGCTTCCTGGATTATTTTCTTGACTAGATGGAAATTGTTCTTCGAACAATTCACACTTTGCCTGTGTTCAGAGAAAGTCCCCGGTCTTGGACCAATATGCTTCAGTCAATTTGGCCTCATTTTATTAGCCGTGGCTGACCCCCTCTCCCCTCAAACACCTACCAGGGAAGTCAACCAGCGCAATCCTGGAGTTCTGAAGCTCAGGCCGGTTAAGAAAAATATCTCTCCAGAGACTCATTTGAATGAGAATACCACGCCTGTCGCATTGGCTCGATAATCATAGCTTTGACATCCCGTCAAACGATAAACATTTCCCCGAACGTAACACTTTTCTTGGCCCCTGACCAAGTTAGTGAGCAAATTGCCATGCTAATCGCAAGGTTGTTTTCTAGTATGCTGAAATGTTTACAACTGATTTTTAAAAGGATGAAGGATAAGATGACGAAGATCTGATGCGGACGTCAGCTGTAAAAAGGAGAGGAATAGAAGGGGAAAGGGGAAGGTAGATTGAGATCTGTATGGAAATGAGACAGTGAAGAAGAAAAGAGAAACACGAGAAAGAAGAGAAAGAGCAACTTAATGGAAAGACAATACAGAACAAGGAAAAAACGAAGGATGGGGGAGGTTGGGAGGTGAGGCTTTTATCTACAGTGCTGACAAGTATAAGCCACAAGAGCCTCAAATCAAGCCACAGAATATTGGACGCGGTCGCATTTCTCCCATCACTAGTTCTTTATCTGCCTCGCTCTCAATTTTCCTCAACCAGTTTAATTTACAAATCAAGCGAATGCAGGTATTCGAATCTTTTTTTCCCCCATGCCCCATGAAAAACTTTTCATGCCCAACAAAACTGAGATTTTGCGCATCAAATGAGTCTCGACCCGTGCCGTTGTCCCGGTGGCAAGTCATGCAGCTAGCACCATGCAAATTTGACTATCATCTGATTATGCGTTATTTAATGACAAGCCGTGATTAGAGGTAACGATTTGGATAATTACCAATTCATCACGACCCGTGCTTTCTGGCAGTCTAGACTCGGTCCTTATCATGTTCAAAGACCGCAACGAAGTCAATGATATCAGACAATTTTCCAATAGCACCAGAATACAGCTAAAAATAGTATAGAGGTACTGTTATTTCCCCTGAGTTGCGTTATAGACTCCCAATACGCGGGCGGGTAATAACGGGAGAAGATCTCGAACCTTGGATGGCGGTCATGAGATTCACATGTACCCACTTATGATGCTTCGACTCGAACCCACAAATAGTATATCCCAATAGCTTATCTCAACCGATATATCGTGGCAATTCGCGAGATAATGATAGTGCTGTCATATGACGGATGCCAATTTGCATATATAACATTGGTTCACTCCCAGAATCTTTAACCATCTTCTCATCAAATAATTCACATACCATAGTCCTTGAAAGGATTCCTCTACCATGCCAGCCATGTTTCGCAGAACATCTGATTTTTTCAAACACTTCAACCAAAGGCACGACTCGGTTCACCCAGAAAAGCCTGTCCTGGAGTCCCACAACTCGAGTGCGAGATCTTCTCATGCTGATTTAGCCGTCGATACCGCGCCCCATGCTATTAGTACGATATATCAAAACTACCTGATCTCGAATCTTACTGACAAATAATATTAGTAAATGAGACACGCCCTAAAAAACAACGAGTCTGGAGCTTTGGTCATCAAGATGAGGATGAACGGGAAAAGCGACGTCTAATGCGAGAGGAGAGGGAACGCGCTGATTTTGCCGCTACGAGAAGATACTCTAGTGCTCGGCGACGCAGCAACGGTGCTGGTATCGGGTTTGAAGGAGGATGGCAGGGCTAAGATGCTACGGTCGGGTGCCGCATGATCTTCGAGGGACTGAAGTTCCCCCTCTATACATTAATATAATCTTATAATTCGGTATAATCACAAAGCCATTGATATTTATTTATTACTTGTCAAAAACTTAGTTACAAAACCCTCATCTTCGCATGGTGTATATGGCAGTCCCCCAGGCTGCGTCGGACTCCAAATCAAATCCATAGATACACAATGGAAAAACGAGGAAACATTAGTGATCATTTCAGTCACGGTATTATATTCATAAAGGAGTGGTCATGCGGCTTGTACATATTACCTGCATCATATTCAAATCATAGGCCCAATATCGCAACGATTTCGAGACTCATTACTAGGATATAGCTCCTCAAATCAATTGCTCACTTTCTGCGATCATCTCAGCGAAGCAGCACGATGAGTTTCTATACGAAAGTCTAGTAGAGAACCATCACGCTCAGCATGACAGCGATCGAAGCGACCCAGTGGGCCAAGCCCATGGGAGCAGTGATAGCCGATCCGCTGGTAGGAGCGGTCGAGGAAGCAGCGCTAGAGGCGGAGGCACTGGTGGTAGACGAAGTGCTGGTGGTCGAGGTTGCAGTGGTGCTGGAGCTGGTGATCTTCACGGCACTGGTGGAGACAACAACAGGGGTGGAGGCGGAGACCGCGGCTGGGCTGGAGGGGATAAGAGGGCGAGAGCTGGTGGGGGTGGGAACAGGGGCCGAAGACATAACACCAGAGGGAACAGGGACGGACGAAGTGGGAGCGACAGCAGCAACGGAAGAGGCCACGGAAGACGAGGCCATGGGTGTTGAGGCCACGGGAGATGGGGCGACGGAGGACGAGGCAGCGGCGCCGCAAGAGTCGCCGGTCAGCTGAATGCTAATGCACTCAGTGACCGAGGTGCTGTTGGTGGTATAGATGTTGCGTCCATTATCCTCACCAGTCTGGCAAGCGATGAAGGAAGAGCTGCTGTCGAAGCTCAGCAGACCAGAAGAAGCCAAGGAGAAGCCAGAGGTGCCTGTGGCGCCCTCATCACACTGGAACTGGGTAGTCTCCGCTAAATATGCTATTAGTTTCTGTCTCTCTGTGTGAAGGATTGGTCTGCTTACAAGTGACGACACATCCACGACCCTCGCTATCGGTGATGATAGAGTTGGAGATGCAGAACTCGGCAGCCGACAGGGTGGTATCACCGAGACGGACCTGGCCATCGGTCAATTGGCCAAGGGTGCCGGTTTCACCTCCAGAGGCAGTCAGCTGGAAACAGCAGCTGTCACTGCGACCAACGAGGGCATTGGCGCCAGCCACGAGGGCAGCGATGGCAATGGTGCTCTTCATCGTGAAAATTGAAAGGGTGTGGGGTAGAGAGCCCGAAGCGAATGTAAACAGTGTTGCTTCACAAAGAATGTCCGAGATCAGAGAAAGAGAAAAGAAAACGGTCTTGTACCACGTCAGGGGTTTAAGTAGAAAAGAGCAACGACAATTTAAGACTTACGAATCATCCACGAATGATACAAAAACCGGGAATTGGGCGATGAGCGCCGTTGGAACCTATCAAATCCTCTTTGACCTAAATTGGTACTTTCCATGCTGATTCACAAACTATACGGGCACTAACCGTATATCGATAGGTCCAATCCTTATTGCAGCGGGGATTTACCAACGTGGGACAGGACGCGTGTCCATAGGATCCCTGTTATAGTTCAAATTGAATTTCGAACTGTGCCTGAAAGGCCCACATGGAAGATATTATGAGACTTGCCGAGTCAGGAACCCACTGTTCTCTAGGAAAAGTCCTTACGAACTCCTCCAAATCCTCAACGGAAGGCCCATTTTTGCAATAATGCATGAGATAAGACTGCGTATCTCTTTCCTTTGAGCTAAAAAGTACGCCACTGCCAAGTAATCCGCATTGTTAGCCCCGCATGGAGCTAGATGGCCTTACGCTTGGGCCTTTGGCAATTCAGGAACACGAGAGTCACAAGTGTCGAACGTTCAAGGCAAACAAGGATAGATTTATTATCATCAATATTGATAGAAAATAGTTGAAGTAATAGATTCTATGCAGTGGTAAAAGCCATGTTGATGTGTCGTGATTCAGGTCCGCATCGCATCGAACTCTGCCTCAAGTGCGGGCCGCGTCATTCTTGTCTGGTCCAAGCGTTTTCATGTCCACCATTTTTCTTGATCCACTGTACCCAGCAGGTTTTGTCGTTAATTTAAAAAGTACAAGTCTAGACTCGGCTAGATCAGTTGCCTCTTCGAATGGATTTTTTTGGTTGTAACCATGACTGCCGACATGCTTAGCAAGGTTGTGGTTCTCTTCAGGTCGCCGATTGGTCCTGCAACACGGCCTAAGCGACTTTTGAAATTCCGCTATTGACAATATGACCTGGTCTAAATGTCCAGGCGAAGAGATTTTACTGTTAATTTCCCATCTAAAAGGATCGGCGTTTGCGCATCAAAAGCAGGTTCCAGCCAGACATCCTAACTAAAAAAAAAAAAAAACCCTGTATACAAATATCGCTTCTCCACATCTTGAAATGGGTGGGGCATGTCGATGAACCCGGATTTATTTTCTATTTTCTCTTTTTTCTTTAATGTACGAAGTCAGAAACATCCCTGTCTTACGGACCAAGGACGCGTCTTGGGCTCGAGTATGTAGAAATGTTGGCCAATCCTGACCGTGTGCCTGGCTGATCATCGCTAGAATCCGCCTGGTCCAGATGTGTAAACACTTCCTGACTATCGGACATACTGCCATTTCGAACAATAACCATTTGATCGACGGGTCAAGTGGCGTAGTCTTGAGCTAAAGGCGTGTTACCGCAGACGTCACCGTGGCACTTGAGGCTTTGCTGCTCTCATTCCACGTTATGACTTGTGAGATAAGGAGACAGTGGCGCTATTGAAAGCAGCCTTATCTCCCACCTCGTTTGATTGGCCATTCAAGACCAATCGATGGCTGAGTTAGCACACCCACTTCTCTGTACTTACGAGGTACAGCTTCCCGCAAACTTTTCAACTTGGCTTCTACTCGCTGATACTGATATTCTTTTAGTATCAACTCCTTCGGTCTCACACAAATTTTGCAAGCTGAAGTAGTAAGCACGCTTTAACGAGTAATACGGAGATGAACTTCCTTTTTTTTCACTAGGCATGAAGCCTGCTGTGGTATCCCGAGCTGTGATTGGCTCAGAGAGTCAGGACCTCTTGCGGGCATGGGAACACCTCGAATGGGAAAGATCCTGTTCTCAGCTGCCAACAATACGTAGGGCTCATTGAAAAGCTACCCTCCATCTATCTCTCTCAATCAGACGGAGTGATTGTCCATGGATGCGGGTTGTCGCTTGTTTCATATCACGTCATACTAGAATTAATGATATGATGTGGTTATGGGAGGTCTATTGTCGGTTATCCAGGGTCCTACACCCTGCCTGATTATGATCATTGAATCTACTCCATACTTTTATCTGAAACACTGTGAACGCATATCTTGAGCACTTGGATGATGATCTTTTGAATCTAATGTTCGCCGATATTCGAAACCAGTGTCACATGGAAGTTACAGGATAATCTTTGATTACTTAACTCATAACACCATCTTCATAGCAAATCACGATGATGAATGTCGCAACCATTTGGCTTGTACAAGACCTCGGGTGGTGCGTGATCCAACGCGAATATGGCGTAAATACGAGGAATAAAGCTATATAATCAAGTCAATAGATGATCAAGACTACCATGCCACAAAAACCTCAAATCTCGAGACAAAGTTGAATGTACGAAATGGCGCCATCTATCTCCGAGACCCCTACTGCAGAGATTGTCATTCCCATCAAAAAGAATCATGGAGATCTCGAGACGAAGCCCAAATTGCGAAGAGTTCTTGAAGAAGAAGGGGGAAAGACTACTGCCAGCGTGCGCCTAGATCAATCGTTCACACTCTCCCTGACTAACAGTCTTTAGTATCCAGAATATCTCCCTACCTGGGACCATGGCGAGAAATACTCTGTGCTTCAACCTTTCACGCACGTCGATCACGGCAAAGACGCCGATCATTCCTTCAAGGACCTCTTGCCCGAAGGGACTACAAATCAAAAGCTCACACCAACCATCGGTTCCGAAGTGACAGGCATTCAGCTGAGTAAACTTGACTCGGCCGGCAAAGACCAGCTCGCTCTCCTAGTCGCCCAACGCAAGGTCGTTGCTTTCAGAGACCAAGACCTGGCCGACCTACCAATCCAAGAGGCCTTGAATTTCGGTGGATATTTCGGGCGACATCATATCCACCCTACAAGTGGGTCTCCGGAGGGATATCCTGAGATTCACCTCGTGCACCGGAACAACAACGCATGGGAGTTTGACCAATACCTTGCTGAGAAGAACAGTAGTGTCTCATGGCACTCGGATGTTACTTATGAGCAGCAGCCGCCGGGAACCACAATTTTGTACCTTCTTGATGGTCCCGAGGTAGGTGGAGATACCGTATTTGTGGACCAAGTTGAGGCATACAAGCGGCTTTCCCCGGCGATCAAAGAGCGGTTGCACGGACTGAAGGCTGTTCATTCAGGGGTTGAGCAGGCTGAAAATAGCCGGGAGCGTGGTGGTGTTGTGAGAAGAGAGCCTGTGACAAACGAGCATCCTCTTGTGCGGACCCATCCAGTGACTGGAGAAAAGGCACTATTTGTCAATGCTGGTTGTAAGCACAATCATTTCCCGCCCTCAAAATCTTTCATACGTTTGAAACTCACGGATTCAAAGTCACTCGGAGCATTGTGGGACTCAAGAAAGAAGAGAGTGACGCCCTTCTAGGATTCTTGTTGGCTCATGTTAGCCGCGGCATTGACTACCAGGCTCGAATTCGATGGGCCCCTAAGACCGTTGTGATCTGGGATGTAAGACCCTTCTGCACTTTTGATGCCGACCTTGGTAAACTAATCAATATACAGAATCGTGTTACCGCCCACTCTGCAATAATTGACTGGACAACTGGGGAGCGCCGTCATTTGGCACGAATTACCCCGCAGGCTGAGCGCCCGTATGAGACGCCCTATGTGCCGGAGGATGACAAGCCGTAGTTGTTGATGATGAGGTGGTTAGCGCGCGGGGAAAGTAGCCAATGTCCTTTCTATCAAGCAGTACCAGCTATAAATGACACCAACTTTGTGACACATGCAAGATGTCCATATGGGAATTTCACCAAAATTTCGAACATGCTCTATTGTCATTTGAATACAGAGAAAAGATGAAAAGAGACTATTTTGGGACTTTCTATCTTGTAAACAACAAACAGCGCCACTGAGAAAGGCAACATCTGACAATTGCATTTAGGAGCTCTATAAATAAGCCCTATATCATCGCTATTCTATAACAACTAGCCCATTTCCCTCTTGAGCCGACCCGATAGGTTGCTTTCTCACTGGGAAAAGCGGAAATCGAGTCTAATTCAGGATTAGTTCGTCAATCCCAATGACAGTCGCATGTTCACAGACCTCTTGTTATTCATAATGGGGGTTTCACGTAGATAATTTTCTCTCTGCTCGCCTGTCATCACATTCCATTTCTCTGCATTCCGTCTGGATCTGAGTTAGCGCCGACAATAGCATCAAGTGTGAGAGCTTTTCATACTTGTTACACCAGTCATAGTATAATTTCGAACCAACGAACAAGAACAGACTAATCACGGCGAGAGCAATCAAAATCTTGTTTCCACGCTTATAGTATGGCTTATCGTCGGTTTGATAGACCTATCGCAGTTAGTATCCGCTAAAGGTCACAGAATAAAAGGTCGCTCACATTAGCACTAGCAATGGCACTGATTTGCACAGACATGTTGTATAATGCAGTGGCTATAGTGCGAGTTCGCACAGAGCCCGCATTTCGTGATGTCAAAGCCACAAGGACCGGATGTATACTCGGGGTTCCAACGAGCAGAGTCAGAATCGCGAATCTAGGCCATGGCAGCGCCTTCGCAGGTAGAACCTCTAATGCGATCAGAAGAGCAAGATTCCACACTTCGACCGCGGCACCCGAAAGCAAGCGTTGGTTTGTTCGCTCAGCAATCCACGTTATAGTGATGAGAGTAATGATCGAAACAACAGCAGCCGGAATGGTCAACAAATTCGTTTCGAAGGTCCCGAATCCTACCTCCTTCAATTGCAACGTGAGATAGTTCGTGGCCGGCGTCGAGGGAATTAACCAGATCACTCCGAGAATGTAGATCGGCCACATGTGATAGTCTTGTAACGACTGCCACAATAACTTTGGCGTGACAGCTTGTCTGTTATGCATGGTTCCCTTGCTAGGATCATCACGAATGACTCGGTTGACAATGATCTTTTCTTCGTATTCCGTGAACCACCCGTCTTTCCCGCGCAATCCTCCTTTGGTTTGGACTGGGGAGGCAGGCATCCAGAACACAGCGACAATTCCGACAAGTCCCGTAATGAGGCCCTCGAAAGCGAAGAGGTATCGCCATGCGCCCGTGCCGTCGGCGTTTTTTATGTGAAGGAAACCGAAGGCCAAAAATGCACCGACAATCCCCGTCAGCGTGTCCGAGATCCAAAAACAAGCCAGTCGCTTCGGCAATTCGTTGGACTTGTAAAAGAACGATAAGAAGAGGACCGTGTCAGGGATACTACATTTCGTGGTCAGTTCATACCCAGCATGCGAAGGAAAGAGAGAAGACTCACAAGCCACCTTCTAGAAGTCCCAGCAAAGCACGCGTTGCCAGGAACGATCCTCGTCCTTTGAGAAAGGCCTGACAGGCTGCGATGATACTCCACACAACCATCTGAATAGGAATCCAGCGATCGGGACCCAGCCTCTTGGATATTAATTGGGAAGGCATTTCAGCCAGAAGGAAGCATACTAGGAATATGGTCTGGCCCAGATTATAGTCATTGCTGGTCATTCTTAGATCTTCCAGAAATGTACTTGCTAGAGCCTGACTAATATTTCCTCGATCAAGTTGCAGTGCGAAGAATGTCACACAGGCAAATGTCAAGACACGAGCATCAATCTGTTATGACCACATCAGTGAATGACTATTTAGTCGTTGCTTTGTGGGATTTCTTTACCTTTCGGACGATGTTCTTCTCTTCCTCCTCTGTCCATTCGAAACCCGGATCCCAGCGGTGCATTCCCTCATAGCTATCGATTGGACGGTAGTATTCATGTCCCTCCTTGACTTGAAAAGTACCATTGTCATAGCCTTGAGTTCGTTGCGATTCTTGATCCGACTCCAATATACTAGCTCCCGGGGAGTTTTTCTGACTGGCAGAAACCTGCGCGGTCTTTTGGTCGGTCATAGTTTTTTCCAAGTGCTACAAAGCCAGATCGATAGCTGAATGGCTTGGCTTCTCTTCTGTGCTTTATTTTTGTTTATATCTCTAGTTGTTTATATAGCAGTATAGGTAGAATAAGCGGGGTTCGTTAGTCACGCAATCCCGTCAAGTCGGAGATCATTGCAGCCACATGTCGTGCCCTCGGATTCAAATGAGACCATTGCAAATGTAAAAATATTCCAGGCGTCAATTCTCGCATTTGAATATGAATAACCTGGTCGCAGGAAGCCTAAATCATCTAAACTTGAGTGGATGTGATTTGAAACATAGAAAGTGTCCAACACTTTGCTACACACAGAGGGTAGATTGACACCACAGAAGTACATTATACCGTCAGACTCTTCACGTTCAAAGATCTCTTGCATCACCGGGAAATTTAAAGGCGAATGTTATGGACTATCTACAGCCAATCACTCTCCGAAAGGATAATCGCAATGCCCTACAAGAAGATATGCCGTCATGGATTGGCGCTCGCCTCGGCCCATTTCTCTTGTCTTTACTTTGGCGATATTTGGAGTGATAGTGATGTGATTGCTGGGCATTGCAGGCTAGCTGAAGCAAGCACATGCTACATTATGTACCAAGGCAGTATCAAGGACCAGTCGTGCCAAAGCCGTCATATTCAAAAATGGTAAATGTCGATTGATCTTGTTCACAGCTATCATCATTTACGGATCTCAATGAGATATGAAGGGGCTGAAGTGTCGAAGATCTATACAACCTGTGCTGGACATCACACTTAGCTTCCCTTACATCGATGCCAAGGCCAGAAATCCAAAGATGAAACCAGATGACATCTTCCCCATGCCGGGACCTCAGAGTCTCACCCTGTCATGCGAAGCGACGATCTCACAACATCCAGTGTGAATAGTGACGTCACTTTACCTCCATCTTCACTGGCCACAAATTCAGTATGCGGGATGATGTGTGCCTTATATCGAGTCTGACAAGCTGATCGAATAGATGCCCTACTGTAATTCTGAGAACGGTATTTCCGAGCTGCATGTCGCCATACGCCTGGCGTTCTTCTAAAAGGATTGAAAGCTCCCAAGTGACACATTTTGTGACTGAAGCGAGGGCAGTGTCACCCTTGCATCGTTGAGTGTGCTCTTAGTATCTGTGCGGGTGTTCTTGTCACTGCGGTGAGGTTGAATCATAACCCAGACATCTTCAAAACCGGAGCGCATAGGCCTCTGTGATCGACATCTCCCCAGCATCCACGCCCAACCATGATCTGCAAATCAGGTTCCCCATATGAAGTCTAAATGAATCTTACAGGATCGGCCTGACTAATTGCTAGTCTCAGTTGGTGCAGTTTGGTACATCCAATAATGTATACAGTGATGTCCATCCGTGCCCATCTCGACCTACCATGGGTCCTAGTGGGGTCATCCATGTGGTCTTCACCGTGATTCCTAGACACAAACGCGCATTGGCCTCACATCAACCTCCGTTCACCAGCTAGACCAGTTACAGGACAATGGATCGTGCACCTTGGCTCTTTCAATTTGACTGATCGATTATTAACTTCCGACCTCACATCCCGCACACATAAATATGTGGACACGAGTGGATAATACAATTAGTCTTTCAAACCTGCATGCAGCTGATGGACCTTCGTGTCCATCGTGGAGGATTAATCCCTCTCGAGAGCTATAGTAAATTTGCCTCTAGTATTGTGGAGTTGGCGGTAGTAATGACTTCCTAGTACGTAGGACTGACATATAAGACTTGTCTGCCCTCTCTTGTAGATAGTTCATCACCCAGAACCCATATTTGTTATCGGAGATTGGAGTCCCATCTCTCGTTTCATCTATATACTCCTGTATCCCTCCTCCCCCAAAAAAGAAATGCGCTTCTCTCCATTCACATGGGTGTCTCTTATCCTAGCAATGTTGCCAACTGCGATCAGCTCGCCAATGATCCACAAACGAGCGAACGGCGTTCACATGGGTCTTAACACAGACTTTCCAGACCCGAGTTTCCTCAAAGCCGCAGACGGAAAGTGGTACGCCTTCGGCACAAACGGAAACGGCAAGCGCATTCAAGTAGCCAGTTCCTCCGACTTCAACACGTGGACTCTCCTAGACATTGAGGCTCTTCCCATATTATCAACCTGGGAAACTGACAAAGACCACTACGCACCAGATGTGATTCAACGCGTAAGTCCAATACAGATTTCAGTCCAGATGCAATCTCAAGATACTAACATCAATTAGGGCGATGGAAAGTACGTGATGTACTACTCTGGCGAAGCCAAATCAAGAATAGACCACCACTGTGTTGGAACAGCCGTAGCAGAGAGCCCAACAGGACCATACGTACCCAGCAATACACCACTATCATGCCGACTAGATCAGGGCGGCTCAATTGATCCATCTGGATTCGTCGATTCAGACGGGACCCGGTATGTGGTATTCAAAGTAGATGGCAATAGCGTCGGCAATGGCGGGGACTGCAATAACGGAGTCGAGCCACTCGTCTCAACACCAATCATGCTGCAGAAACTACAGGCCGATGGTGTCACACCTCTGGGAGACGCCGTGCAGATTCTTGATCGGGGTACAGCTGATGCTGATGGGCCGCTTGTTGAGGCGCCAAATCTTCTGCTTCATCAGGGCACTTATTTCCTTTTTTACTCGACGCATTGTTACACTGATACTGCATATGACGTGCGTTGGGCGACTGCCAGTAATATTGCAGGGCCATATGAGAAGACGAATGTCAAGTTGACGAAGACTGGGGAAGACGGGTTGATGTCGCCGGGTGGTGCGACGGTTTGTGGATGTGGGGACCGGATGCTATTTCATGGTTGGTGTGATTCTGCAAAAACGAAGAGGTGCATGTATGTGGCAAATATGAGTCTTACTGGGAAGACTGCTGCTATCATTTGATCTTGTGCTGGGACTTGAGAATAGACTTCTCAGGTGGCTTTACGATATTTTGATTTTGATCGTTTATATACCCCCTCGCTCGTGTCATGTCAGCTTCCACCTGGGCAAGATTGGTGAAAATTGTTTGGGAATACGAGCAATTAAGCTTGAGGAAATTCATTACTGCTATTTGAAGAGGCATTTGAGTGAGATATTGGTGATTCATTATTCCATGTTATCGTGCCGTTCTGGACACGATCTATCAATAAATTAAGATCCTTCATGTTAGCGAACCCATAATAGTAAGCGGATCAAAGACTGTCTTCCAGAATTCAGTTCTGATCAATAGGTTGTATTCCCATATACGAATCCCCACGTCGCTATGCTAAACGCTTTTTTCTTCGCGCGCCTTCTTCTTCTCCCGGAGGGCGTGCACCCAAGTCCCAGCGCCCTTGATAGCAGCCTCGGGAGTGCTCTTATGGTTAAGCAAATATCCCTGGATTTCAGCTGCAGTGAATTCATCGGGTGGCACAATAGAGGCAAATCTTTTTGCCAGAGTATTTATACGAAGGCGCAATTCTTGGAGATAAGACTGGTGCGCTTTTTCTTCACTCTCTACCTTCTCCAGCAGCTCCTGGCTCTTGGTCCGTTTATGTCCATTAGGAATGGAAACACCACCAATTTTAAGCTTTGCATGTTCATTGCTCAGGCGCTGGGCAGCAGACGTGCGAGGAGAGTCACCGTCCATCGCCATGTAAATTGACGTGAAAAGCTCTTCGATGGCCTCCTGGCTGGTAAAGCCGAAAGCAATACTCAGATCCACCCGACCGGGACGAAGGAGTGCTGCGTCTAGCTTTTCTGGATGGTTCGACGTCATCACAAGAATTCGTCCCTCACTGGCAGCGACACCGTCAATGACATTCAATAGGCCTGACAGGGTGATTCCATCGGGCTTGGCAGTGGATGCAACTTCATCAACGACAACGGCATCGACTGCCTCTTCGGGAATCTCTTCGATATCACCATCCTCACCCTCGTCATCCTTGGGCTTAACATCGGCAATGGTCTTGCCCCGTGTCTGTGTGATCCCGGCTGTATCGACATCCTCGAGAAGAACGATGCATCGGTTGGGTAACTCAGAAAATAAAGAAGCAAGACTATCTTCGTCAAGAGCCCTTGAATTCAGGTTGAGAAGGTAAAGCTTCAAGCCGAAAAGACCTGCCGCAGCAAAGCACAGACTGGTCTTGCCCGTACCAGGGGGGCCATGTAATAGGTATCCCCGCCTGTACGGAATTCCACGATTTGAGTACCACCGACGGGTACGGGGGTGAAGATATTCTTTGATATCGTCGATGAAATCCTGCTTCTGCTCAGGGTCGAGGACAACAGTGGACAAAGGACGTGGCGCCCGGGCCATACACCGTGTCCAGTTCCATGAACCACCAGAGTAGTAGCGGTGACCACGATAGATGATGGTGCGATTACCATCGCGCTGAACATATGCTTGCTGTGCCTCATTCAAGACCGTTCTGAGAATAGATGCATCGCGGCCGAGACAAGAAAGGTAGAGTCGCTCGTTGTTTAGCACGTAGCGGTGGCTGCTGGTCTGGTGTCTCCGCTCTAGCATCAAGGGCCGATTCTTATACCAAAATATATGTCGACCTTGTGATGGAGTGAAGCGTAGGGGCTTGTATTTGTCACGGCTGATCACCTTGGCCCAGTATTCATCAAAGGAGACACCATCCGTGCTGCCAGGCTCATCCCACTCTCCAGTATCTTTGTCTGGATTGTCGTCATCGTCCGAATCTTCCGATTCACTGCAGTAGCCATTGGACTTGACACCAACAACAAAGCGGTTCGTGCGTCTCATGTGGGGCTGTCGTGAGATCCAGTACATAAAGTAATTAAACGTTTCATCATCCAAGCGGATCTCCGCTGTTGAGACGAGGTATTCCTTGACAAAATCGGAGATGTAGCCAACAGTGTATTTGATGGCAGCGCCAAATACGACCAGGACGACCAGTTGTTGTAAATAGACCGTGAGATCGATCTGGAGGTAGGACAGCAGGAAGCGTGAGAAGAGTGCGTATCCCGGTATCAGAGCCTCCAGCATAGCAGTCTCAGAGGAAGATATCCCCACCCTATCGGACTGAGGATTTGTTTGATTGAACTCCATGACAGGACCTCCTGAAGAGTTGGCCTTGGAGAGAAAGTATGTAAGAGTAAAGTGAGGAGACAAGGTCGCACATTTTATATGTGGTTATAAGAAGAGCCTCATTTACCGCGCCAGGACAGCCTTGTGGGACTGCGCCCAAAAGGGAGCCCGAGCCCTTACGGTCATGCCTGACTGCTGCCTGCTTCCTTGTAGGACAGTTTGACTCATGCAGGTGGTGAGCCGATGGGGGCTTAGACCCTGGGATCTGCGGCTTGGCCTCGGATGCGTCATTTCAGGTGAAGTGGAGTATGAAGTGGAGAAATAAGCACTTGCGGAGGAAAAGAAATGGAAACGAAACAAATTAAGAAATAAAAAGTAGAAAGCAAAAAAAAAGCAAAAAGAAATCTCTCCCTCGGGGAATCGAACCCCGGTCTCCCGCGCTTATCGGTGTTAATGACAAGCGGAAATCATGACCACTAGACCAAGGAAGATGAAATAGTCGAGTTTCCGCTCGACCACTTGGTGATGGTTGATGTCTTGATGTTCATTTCTGAAACTATAAACGTAGTCATAAGTGTCAGCTGTCAGCCGCACAACCGTCAATTGCCATGATGCACTCACATTTGAACTCTCACTTTTACTTGTGTAATATCTCTTCTTAAATTCCAAAACAGTCAATGGACCTCTACTAAGTATGACCCATACACAATAGACGCGTGGAAGATAGGTGCCTACTCGTACCCAGGTGCTCACCTAGGTGTGAGATACCGACGTGAAACCTCACAAGGACATCATAGATTCGAACTTTCCCATTGAGGCTTAAATCTTGTAATCCGTTTTCAAGGGTTTCCTCAATGATTGGAGCCTCAAAGCCGAGCAGTACGTAATCTTCGAACACGTACGTATGGTGGCACGGTCCTCGAGCCTGGAAATAGTATTCGAGTATAATTTCAGGCTCACACAAAAGTACTATGTATTATCTAGTTTCTTATAAAACTGGGTATCTCTCAGAAAACATGGCCACTCAGGTGACCGAATTAAAACAAAAAGTAGTAATCGCTCGTCCGCCAGCCACACTATGCACCTTGCGGGTGGTTATCTTTCTCAGCTGTGATCAACTCTCCCGCCCATTCCTTCCACTCCACTATTTTGTCCAACAAGGAGCCCCACCACGAGCCTTTCTCATCGTGGCTGTCGGAATCTGATGCTGACGGTTCAGTCGGGGCATCGGATGCTGGACTTGTTGGCTCAATTGAAACAACCGTCGGTGAGACTGGCGCAGGTGGATCAGCTGGGCGTTCTACAGGAGGCGTGTTCTCGTCCGAGTGAAGCCCGACTGGATGAAGGGGAAGACGAAGTGTCCCGTTATTCGGAAGCGGGTCAATGCCCAGGGAATCACAGACAATATTGTAAACTTCGATATTTTCTATGATAGGTTAGCTTATGCAGCTCGGGATTCAGCACTTGAAAAACTTACGGAATGCATTGAGGCGGCTGTTGGGGGTGTGGGGAAATGCTGGGCCTCGTGCGATGAAGATTGCGCGCATCAGCGGATGTTCGTGGTCATATCCATGAATACCCCTGGGGTGATAGACTTCTCCTGTCTTCAGAGCCTCAGCCGCATCAAACTCAGGGCGCTCCACAATCGCCCATCCAGTCTTTGGAATAACCCACAGCGGGGCAATGCGATCGTTGTTTTTGAAATGGTACCGCTCAGGCATAGTCTCCCGAGTATAAACCTCAAAGGCATGCGTATAATCGGGTAATGCTTTCTCTAGCTGAGCTTGCAGGGTCGCTAGATCTTCCGGTCGCTTGGGGCGAATTCCGCGAGAAGGCCAGCCATCCAGGTGATCTACCAGTTCGAGATCAATAACATCGTCCAGCTGAACGAGACGTTCGTTGGAAGTCGTGGCCATGCCATGGTCGGAAACAACCATGATGTTGACCACGTCCGTGAGATTGCGGCTTTCGAGACCAGCAACAATACCTCCTACGAACTCATCCGCCCGAGAAATGGTGGTTTCGATTTCAGTGCTGTTGGGTCCATAGTTGTGACCATCTCGGTCAACATCGGGCACGTAAGCTGCAATGAACTGGGGTCGCGCTGGCGACAATTCGGATTCGTCCTCTGCGCCAGGGAGATCCAAGAATTCCAAGACACGGTTGACCTTGCGGGACAAAGCCTCACTCCCATTATACTTGTCCACGTAGGTAGGCTCTGGAGTTCCAATATGAGCCTCTGACCCCGGCCACATGTGGATGCCGCTTTTGACGCCCCTTTTCTCTGCAGTTACCCATATTGGTTCGGCATTCCACCATTTGGGCAGCATGCTGACAGATGGGTGTGTGTAGTAAAATTCCTCCTTCATTTCCGGATCCCAGAAAGTATTGCCTACAATTCCGTGGCTCTCGGGATACAGCCCGGTAACAAGTGTAAAGTGATTCGGGAAGGTCACACTAGGGAAGCTGGGGTTCATGTATTGTGGTGAAATCCCGTCGGCAACCAGCGAATTGAGCGATGGGGTCAGACCGCGGTCAAGGAAATCCGCTCGAAAGCCGTCTAGGGAGATGAGGATAGTCGTGGGGGCAAACAGTGCCGTACCATTGGACAATAGTGGTTTCGAGAGGGCGTGTGCAGCTCGGAAACCAGTGGAGGCTTTGTATGCGCCGAGAATGAGGATAAGGAAGAGGACGACAACGAGAGCGAGAATTAACAAATATTTACGCCATGATGGTTTCAAAGGCTAAAAGATGAATCAAATAGTATGTTAGTATCAATAAACATTGAATGCATATTGCACTTGTAAGACTTACCGGGTTATAGATGTAGTCATCTTCCCCCAGGTCTATTGAGGACCCGCTCATCAACGATTCATCGTCGCCAATCCCTTCTTCCATCTCGTACATCAACTCTCCTTCCTCGCTGACCCTCTCTCGACGCGATAGTCGGGCCTCCTTTCGCGCTCGTCGGCGTTCTTTCTTTCCGATTCGCACGCTACTCCCGTTGGGACTGAACATCCTGCGCAGCCCATGAGTGGGTCCGCGTCTAGTCAACAGCTTTTCCAACTCATCTTCAGCATCTAGAACGCCTCGATCGTGTTTGGCGAGCTCTAAGGTGCTGCGGGGATGACGAAGGAACTCATCATCTTCAGAGTCGGAGTCTTGCTCGGAGGGTGATCGTAGTGAGGCCGCATCGCCATCATAGTTGGCAGGAGAGAGGAGTTCAGGACTTTCTGGACGCAACATGGCGGGCGTTTCAGCCACGACACGAATACATCGAAGCTGGGGAGAGGTGAGTTGGAGATTGAAAAAGGGAGATCGGCGGGCCAGGATTGACCCGCCAAGACCCTTTCTTTCCCTTATGCCTTACAACTTTGCACTTGTACTAACAAAGAGGTTTCTATTCTACTAGCCAAATATATTTGGATAGAAGTTATCTTTAATATATAAGGATAGTTGATATATTCTCATATTGTTGACTATCCTGACAGGTGATAGGCTCATCCCAGAGAGTTACGAATATTAAACAATGTTGACCGCTTTTCGATCTAAGACAGTATGATGTCTGAGTAACTTCGGAATTATAACACCATGTTCTTTGCTTTATGCACCGACAACCTTGGATGACATCCCATCGCCTTGAATCTGGAAAAAAAGCACATGCGCTATTGCTCATCTCCTGACGTTTTGCCTCGAACCGCATGTGTCTCACATACCTCAAATGCTTGACAGAAGTGACGCAAGTGACAGCCCTGTGTTCATGGCTTACGCCTTTGCATTCCTCAAGAATAACGTTGCAGATGTCAGATTTGGTATGAGTGATTCTATTCGTGATGAAGCCACCGATGCGAAAACAAGATTGTTCCGGAAGCAGCTTCCCGGCACTTTGCTGCAACTCTTGCCCAGCCAGTTGCTGCCTCAGGGGACTGGCTCATCTAGGATGGTGTATATGGCTTATATGGTGTCTACTGTTGAAGGCTATGCTTAAATTGGCCCAAGAAAAGCTTTTTGCTTCCCTCAAGGGCTTTTACGGCTTGACTGTTGAGCGACACCGTCAACATATTTCATTCGTATCTATGATCAACAATGTCATCAGCCGAACTCCTACTGCTGGTCATCTGAATAGCTTCCCTTAGATGGCCACAAGATTCTCCTACAGATGTGCTCACTGTTAAACAATTTGTAAGATACAACTGTTGATTCTATGTCCAAAATGGTAAAAGGTTGGGACTCTCCCCACCCATTGTTCTCTCACGTATTCCGCATTCCTCCAAAGCGAATGCAGAAGGTGGCCCCTCTCCACAAGAACTCGCCGTTTTTGATTCCCAAGAGCAGAAAAAAGCAATTGTTGCTTCCTTCACACGTGTCGGCGATCGAGGAATTCCCCGTTGGCGCCGTGACGGGGACAGAAACAATCTTCATCGCGTTTCCGCTTGCGAGACCGAGACCTGCCTATTTGGGAACATCACGTGACCGACACATGCCCTCAGCCAGCCAAGTCTGCCAACACCCTACGAACGCCTGCGAACATCGCACGGCCTCTTGCCTATGACTTAGTGAAAGTCAATGCTGTCGGTTCCAACCCATGCCATGGTTCCACAGTGGATCTCGAACTCTGGCCGGGTACTTAGAGTGACATCGAAGTGCCCACCTCCGGATGCGGAAACCCGCAATACTGCAAATCTCGTCTGCCCTGGCACCAGGCTTTTCATCAAGGGCAGAGAGGCACAGGCAATCATAGATAGGAACATATGGGGCAAACGAAAACTTTGTTAGAAAAATTCCTTCTCTTTCGTTACATGTCATCATCTACTTACCTTGATATTCCTACACAGGCCGGATTTGGACAGCTTCTAAATCTATAAGAAAGCGTTCCTCATCGCTTCGATCTCAAGTTCGGTTCATTCATCCTTCACAGTCTTCCACCGCATTGATATCTTCATCCTAGGTAGGTTTGATCATCCTAATATGCAAGGTATCTTTCTAAATACTAATATTTTTCAGCACGCTTCGTCATTCGTTAGACAAGAGGCCCTTCTTTTCTTGAACCAATCGCTTCCATCTTAATCCCATCAAACCAATCAAAATGCACTTCTCTACCACCGTTGCTATCCTCGCCGTCGCCGCTGGCGTCCAGGCCGCCAAGCGTGCTGAGCCCCCTGTGCACGAGCGTGTTGCTCGCGCTGGTGCTGCTGGCACCGCTGCTGCTGGTACCGCTGCCGCTGGAACCGCTGTCAGGACCGGTACCCACCCCATCATGACCGGCGCGCCTGCCCACAACGGTACCACCAACGGCACCGTCCCTACTTCCTCCTCTGCTGGCCACTCCAGCATTGCGGTCATCCCCTCCAGCACCAGGAGTGCCGGTGCCGGCGCCAGCTCCAGCGCTGGCTCCAGCTCTGGCTCCGGCACTGGTACTGGTACTGGCTCCGGCTCCGGCTCTGGCTCTGGATCTGGCACTGGCTCTAGCTCTGGCTCTGGTTCCAGCTCTGGTTCGGGCGCTGGCTCCGGCAGCAGCAACACCCCTGCCTCCCCCAGCTCCACTGGCTTCAACCCCTCCAATGCTGGTGCCAACGTTCACCCCATGGGTGTTGCCGGCGTTATTGTCGGTGGTGCTGCCTACGGTCTTATGCTCCTCTAAGCGGGTCGCTTTACTTAATACTGGTGTTTTCTTTGTGATCTAATGATGGTGTTTGGTTCCTTTATCTCTCTTCTGGCCCTTCATTCTGTCTATCTGGTTCCTCCTGGCATCTATCTAATGTCGCCTTTATGGCTGTTGTCCATGAGTCGCATCAGATTGGGTTTCTCGGCTGGAAACCGGAGAAACAGGGTGATCGATACCCAATAGAGAAACGGCGTTCAGGGTGATTTTTTAGATCGTGCTCTTCAATGTTTCTACGGATGTTGTATGGAATATTTACCGATCTAATATAATTCTAATTTCGAAAAGTTCATCTTCTAAAACACGTTTGTTGGTCATCTTGTATGAAATTGCAAGTTTCTAGGCACACGCCTCCCCATCACTCACAAGTGTCCCTTTCAAACTAACAGACACTTAGGTCATAGCACTCAAAGTTATCTCAATGAGAAGCCTTTCCTCCGAATCTACCTTTTCAGCATTCATCTCAGGGCCATACATATTAATTAGGCTAGCACCAGGGCAGAAAGGTGGACCCGAGAAGGTACATTCAGGGAGTGATGGGCAAAGTTCACCAAGTCCCAAGGGTGTCAAAGGAACAAGGGGCGTGTGCCTAGCAACTCTCTTGACCTGGTCTCAGTGAACTTTCTCTGTACTGCATTTGATTTCTCAAAAGTGCGGTATTTCAAACCGATGATATATTGACTCAACCTTATTTCACAGTGGCAAATGCAACCTGGCACATATGCTATTTGTCGCAGTCATACACCTATTAATAGTATGTGGCGTGCTCCACCAGCATGGAGTTTAAGGTTTCGATTAAGGTTTTACCTCCAGATAAGCATGCAACATTGAGAGATTCGCGTGAAAGGGAGGTACACCAGAAAAGACTGACATTTAATGGGGAATGAGTCCTGCCAGCATTCATGCCCACGTCACCATTTGAAGACTTTCTTGCAAACCTATACTTTTTCAACGAACTGAAAAGCAATTGGAAACTTTTCGATTATTTTTCTTCCAAGGTTCGGGGGAAGTATTAGATAGCGCTGAACTACAATTCAGAGTTCCTGTAATTATAAGTGCTTCAGACGAATTTACAGGTATTCTGTATATCAGAAACAGCAGAGTTAAAGGGACAGGTAATGGAATGCTGCGCTACAGACTATTGAACCACAAACCTTTGAATGTGTTTCGATTCCCCCTACTAGGTAGTATAGTGACTATCCTAAACATTACATTCACATAATCAGGTCTATTTATTGTCTGCTCTTACTAGATCACCCAAGCTGGTTTAAGCCACTTTTGCTAACACCACAGGCTTACCCACCCATCATAATCTCACCGGGATTCATGTCCACCACCCCTTCAAACTCCATAATCATGTCTAATTAAGGGCTAACCGTAATCACGCCATGCTCTCTAAGCTCGGACCTTATAGTTTCCTACATGATGTGTTCAGTCATTTTAATTGCTGAGCTCCCTTTTGCTAGGAGCACGATATCGCCGAGCTGCCCAGCTGTCCCAAAACTTGCATTCTCTGACAGGCAATCACAGGTGGTAAGGGAAAGAAAGACTATATACAGACTCGCTAACATAAGAAATTTTCTTTCTCTATTTCATCTATGTGTAACAATATCAAACATAATGGATAAACATCATCAGTAATAGTAAGACAAACGACAACAAGTCACCCAAATCGGAATGCAATACCTACATAACAACATCAAGACATAAAAAACATAAATTTTAAGATAGGATATCAGTCTATGAAGTAGATATCCAATTCACCCACTGACACTCACAGCCCCCTGTCCCACCATCAATCCCGCCATAAGCCGAAGAGGAACCCGAAGAAGATGTCAAAGCAGGATTTACCAAAGTACCCCCAACAGATCGATTCTCAATCTGCAACTTCCCCTCCGTGAAATTGTAATGACCATTCTCCTCAATGCCCCAACAATACACCCTCTTTTTTCGGCATCGCCACCGTGTCGATCTACAGTGACGGTGACAGGGTACGGGAAAGAACCGGGACGAGTATAATCCGTCGCAGATGACGACGAAGTGGCCGTGGAAGAAGTATAAGTAGCTGTTGATGTGGCAGTAGCATTTGTGCTGCTTCCGCTACTTGACAGGAGGGAATAGCCCATGCCGGATGGATTAGTCCAAATCTGTACAAGGAAGCGAGTTTGTGACCAGGTGCACCGGGCTTGGGCCTCGGCCTTGGTTGAGCCGCCGCTTTTGTCCTCGGAGTCGTAGTCTGCTACACTGTCGTTGAGAGGTGCTTTTGATTGAAGAAAGATAGACTTGTCAAAATAGGTATAAAACCCGTAGTGTTCTGATGATTCACCTCGGTTATAGAGGCGGACAGGCTGTGAAGAAGGGAGTGGGTATAGTGTCGCTGCTGCAGGAGTCCCGTCTGAGTCCTCGGTCGGTGCAGGGATGATGGATGAGTTGCTGCGGCGGAAGACATTCGTTGACGTTAAGTGGACGGCTGACAGGACAGACAGGTAGAAAGGCGTCTCTTCGCCAGCATAAGGCTTAGCGTTGCCATCTGTTGTATTTCCAAGAAAGGTTTGGTCCGCAATACTCGGAGGAGAAGGATCCGCCGTCCAAACTCCACGCTTGGTAGTTGTCGAGTTTGAGCTTGTTGTGCTATTAGAAGTCCCGTTGCGGTAGCGAATCTCAACTCGAAAGGTAGGTTCATTTCCATCAAAAGGTTTATTCTCAGTCTGCTGGGTACCCTTAGGAAGGTAACAGCTCCACATCGTCTCAATATTGACACACCCTGAATTTCGAACCTGGGGTTCTGTTCCAGCGATTGTCATAATACCAGTTTGGATAGGCGGGTAGTTCGTCAGATTAACCCATTTCGACTGAACTTGAGTTTCATCACTTTTTCTCGTCAATGTAGTTGCCAAAGCAATCGCGAGAACCACAATGATGAGAAAGAACAAGCCAATGAATAGATACCATCTTCGGCGAAGACGACCTTCACGTCCAGGGCGCCCATAACATCCCCCTTTGCTAAAGCAGCCTCGTCCTCGCCAAAGACCACCGATCTTCCTTCCTGCGGCATCCTCACGCTCCAGTCTGCGGCGGCGAGACTCACCAGGCCCTACCTCCCCTGCAGGATTAAGCACAGCCGCCTCTGGAGCCGAGTAGGGTTCATACCGCTCTGGAAGGGGGGCATCTCTGTGGTGTTGCGCATATGCCGGTGCTGGGGCATTGACATCAGACATGGGAATTGACCCGGGCCCTCCTGCAGCACGCTGAAAGCCGGGCGAGATAGGTTCCGATGCCTGAGGTGTCCCATGCTGCTCTGGTGGAGCGAGATGCTCAAGAGTTCTTGCATCTTCTTGTGGTGCATCTCGCGAGGCATCTCGCGGCGTATCCTGAGGTTCCCCACGCATCTTCACAATATCTGCCTCCTGGGGTGGCTCTTGAGAGTATTGCTGGGGAATTGGGGGCGCATTCGGCCACTCCGATAATTCTGGCTGAGGTTTTTGCTGTTCAAATGGAGACAAAAATGGATTGTTGGAAGGGTACACAGGAATGAAATGAGGCATAGCTCTCTCAACTATGACTGGTGCTTGAGGGGGGATCTCGGAAGGTGGTGCACCATAATGATAGTTGTTGATAATCTGCGGAGGAGGAGCCTGGACCGGAGGCTCAGGTGGGTAGTAAGGAGCAGCTGGAATTGGCATCTCAGACTGCGGTGCTGGAGCCGGGGGTGGTGATGGGATATATGGTGCTGGAGCCGGCTCGGCCTCTCTCATCAAAGGCTCCGGAGACACAAAAGGTGCTGGGGCTGGGGCTGGGGTGGGCTCTGGTGGGAAGAAAGCTGCTGGTATGGGGGCTGGCTCTGCAATTGGATGTTGGACAGGAGCCTGAGCGGGCTCCTGAGCCATAGGTTGAACAGGAGATTCAACAACCAACTCCCTGCTACTAGCGTGTGGTAACTCAGACATTCTCTTCTCATTATCATCCATGACAGTGTCAACAGCAGTTGAGGCCCAAGAATCAGTGCTATTAGTTGAAACCCGCAAGTGCGAGCATTTAGCACATTCGGAATTCTTCATAGCCTCCGGGGAGGGTGTATCGACATCGATAAGCAGCCCACGCGCAGCAGTTGCAGCCTCGGCATCCTTGAGCTCAGGTTGAGTATGCTGATTTTCAGCTTCAGCCAAAGCTAGCCCTCGATCACCCGTGACAGAGGCCCCTAGACCTGGTTGACTAGCAATGACATTTGGTGGCGTAATCGAGCACACATGGTTGAAACAATCAAAGTATGGAGTCTTGCTGAACAGTTCATGCGCACAAGCTTGGTAATACTCCGCCGCTTCACCCTGGACTCGGTGTCCAGGGAACATCATCGACATGGCAGTTTGTCTATTCGGGACAGGCGGGACTGCGTCGATATTATCGATAGACCGAGCTTGTTCAAGATTTTTGTTTCTTTCCTGCCACTGGTTCGTCACGGCTGTCTCCGGTGTATCAGGTGAGAAACAAGAAATCTCCTTTTCCCGACTTGTTTGCGATATCCCCGGCATAGATGGACTCGGTGTGGGAAACCTCGGGCTGAGCGGAGACTTTTTACTAGAGAGTGTATTTGAACGGCCAAGTAATGGCGAGAGTAGCACATTCCACCATCCTTGGGACTGTGGTCGGCTTGCTTCCGTGTTGACACTTAGCCGGTTCAAAGGGCTCTGATCATTGTCATCGATTATTGTCCGCGGGCGCTCTACTTCCGGGCTGTCAATTTCATTTTCGAAAATAGTACCGGCCGAGAGGGATTGACGCTTTTGTGTCATAGCAACAAAATGAGCATTCAGATAATCAGACTCTTCAGTTTGCTTTCTGGACAAGGAATGCTCCTCTGGGATGGCGGGAACCGGTGGAATATCGGTTTCACTGCCATAGAGATGTGGAGTGGGCTGAGAGTACACGCTAGATGTTGCTCGGGGTTGAAGTCCTTCTGGACTGGCTGTATCTGTGGACCAGAATGTTTCTTCGCAGGCAGGGGTAACGATTATCGAGGGTGTGAGCGGTTGGTCACCAGCACTGTCGAGTTCCCTTGACCGATCCGAGGACTCATGGTATGGCACTGTCAGACCGATCATAACATTGCGATCGGAGGGTGAAAGCCCCGAGTCAGACCGATCCATAAATGAGTTCTCGGTGCCTGGGTTGAGGAAGAAGCCTCCATGGTGGGACTCGTTTGGCTCCAGACGCTGGCCAACCCGAGAGGCTCTCCTCGCGGTGCTCTTTGTCTTTTCTTTTTGTATTGAGCGTTCTTTCTCACGGGCTCTGGATAGTTGTTTCAGGTCATTCAGATCCACGAATGGAGCCGCAATGGAACCGTCAGGGGTTTTTTTAGGTGCTGATGTTGCCGAAAGTGAAAAGTTCGTGACCAGGTTGAGACCGACTGGTTTGGCGGCTTTTTTTTTCTTTATAATCCCACCCATACTCAGCCTTGAGCTTTCTCCGTGTCCTCGATGCAATTGCGCGGCATTGAAGGACCGACCCCCCTCTTTCTGTGACTTCTCGACTTTCTGTCTGGTTGATTTGACCAGGAAATCAAACGGCCGACTCCGTTCCAACTCGTGGTCCTCGGCAGATGAGCATGAGGAAGCCTCCACCTCCTCGGTGATGGGTGATGAGAGAGGAAAGGTCGGGACTGGTACTTGCAGACTTGGCTGCGGTTTTTGTCGTTTTGAGAGCATGTCGGTGTTGTTTTGCGGTCAAAAGCCTGATGCACGATGGTGTTTAGTAAATGGGCATCGCGACTCGGATCAGTAACATGACCTACCATGTGTTCGATGCATGAAGAGTCAAGTAGAGAATAATATAAATCCTGCTGTAGATATCACGAGGAAAACAAAGCAACCTCTATTAATATTAATGACGACGCTGAAACAATGCAGTCAAAGAAACGCCACGGGGATGCATTCACTGGTGCAAGTCACGAAGGCAGCCAGCAGGGGTAATTCAAACAAAGGACGAAATGAAAAGGAGGCAAAGAGAATGCAGTTTGAAAGTGAAAGTAAACAAAAAGAAAGGCAAAGTGGGAAATTCGTGAAGAAAAGAGCTTCTGCAGCCCGTTATGTGTAGCTTTCGGATCTAGACACTCGCATCATGTCGAATGTCACCCACAGCCAAAAACCAATCAGATCCTCACAAGCTCCTGCTTCTATAATCATCCCAGACAACCTAGAGCAAGCACTGCGATTTGAACCGCCGCTATTGGATGTTTCAGGTGAAGATCAGGGGTCAAATGAAATGCGATGCAGGATGCAGGCGTTGTTCTGGGGCCGCATACGCGCTGGGAACGACTGGGCGCTTAAGCAACGACCAATGATAGAAGGGGCATCACGGGCCCCAAAATAGATCCCGCGTCTTTATTTAGTTGATCAGTTTCTTCAGGCGCTGCAACTTGGTCTCAGGCTTGTTTTTATTGTGGGGAAATGGTCTAGGCGTTACTATTGACTCTGGGATCGGAATCCATCCACATAATCGATTATGTATTACGACTAAGTCAATTGAATCAATGACAAAAGTGTTGAATCGAGTTCTACCATCGGTAGAAAAAATGGTATTGGCACAGCAAAGGTTTTAAGGATATCAGATGGCGTGGAGGCACGCGCTTTTGGATATTTGGTACACACTTCGTATAGAAGCAGAAACAAGGAAAAGAACAAAAAAGAAAGCATGTCGATCCCATATGCCTTGAACCCCATTTCCCATGACCCCATCATGTGCAAAAATGCAGAAGACCGATGATGCTAAACGGAATCATCAGGGCCTCACAAAAATCCAGACCAAAAACAAAACAGTGAGTGCGGGTATGATAAATGAAAACAGATAGGAAAGTAAAGGCTCAAAAGGTAAACAGAGCCACTCCAGACAAGGAAATGCAAATGAGAAGATGAAAGGTGAATAACGAGACCTGGAGTCGTCTCGGGACAGGTCGGGCAAAAAAAAAAAAAAAAACAAAAAAAAAAAGAGATCCCACGGACCATATCTAAAAACAGGGGATATATAGAATGACAATGTGAAAAAGGGGAGTCGTAGGCGTGCATTCGCAACGTGACTAGTCATTTCTCATCCATGGCGGAGGAATCACTGGTTACCTTCGCTCGTCGGTATACTGGATGCCCTGCATCGGAGCGACGGAGCCATTCATCAGTGGTGGGAGAGTGCGAGGTTGGTCCTGGCTCACCACCGAGCCGTTGCCAAAGCCCGAGAACACTGACGGCTGGGCCTGCCCATTGGTCGGTGTTGCGGACATGGGATGATGCTCAAAGATCGAGGGCGGTCTGGACGCCCCATTGGCCTGTTGTTGCAATTGGGCGCGGAGCTCTTCGTTCTCCGTCCGCAGCACTGAAATCTCCCGGCGGCTTTGGCCCAGGTTCTTTTCGAGACCAGTGATGTAATCGATGGCCCGGGAAAGGGTCTCCCATTTGCTGGACTTGTTGTTTTGGGGTTGTGGGAGACGCATGCGCAACGCTTCGAAACAATCCTTCATCTCGCTTCGGCGCTTGCGCTCTGCCAGCTTATGCGTAACACGTAGTTCCGGGGTCCGGCTATACGGCGTATTGGCGGCAGATGCCTCTGCTTCCCCAATCAGGTCCCGCACTTGCTTGTGCTGCAACGAGTGATGGTGTACATTTTGCGGCAGTTCTTTCAAAGATCAGTCGGATGTTATTCGTGTAGAGTGGGCTTATCTTACCATGCTGTGCTCGGGAGATGTGCGATTCCGAGTACATGCTATTCAGCGACTCCGCGGTGCTGCCTTTTCGCGAGAAGGGCGGGTTTGACTTCTCGTTGGAGGAGATCGAACTTGACCGAGCCACATCCGGGTCGGGAAAAGCGTAAGCCATACCGGCTGTAGGTGCCTCAGCATTGTAAATATCGGATCGCGGGTTGGATGAAATGGCCGGAGCAGTTCGCCCTGCTGCGAATCCTCGATAGTCGTTGGTGCGCGGTCCCAAAGGAGACAGAGGCTGGCTGCCTGCGGAGTACCGAGGCCCACGGTATGAATTCATGTCATTTGTGATTCCCCGTTCCCGCTGCAGACTGGACACGATTGAAGACTGTGAGGCATTGGTGCTATGGTATGGTGAGGCTGGGTTGATGGCCAGCGAGCTGATGCCCTGGTTCATGCGACTGTCGACACTGCTGCGCCTTGACTCGGGGATCTCAACCACACTTCCTCGCTGAGATGATGCATCGTAGTTCTGGTTTATTGAAGGCAGGGCAGAATTGTGTTGCGACGAGTTGAAATTCGGCGAGGGTTGTTGCGCGCCGGCTGAGGAGGGAGTCGTCGATTGCTCGTGACCATATGGCGATCGGTCTGGCGCAATGTGCCCTCGGTTGGGCGAGGGCTGGGAGGTCGAGGTCAGAAAGGTCAGAGAGGGATAGTTGTTGCCGGTCCCGTTCGTTGCGGTCGAGTAAGTGGAAGATCCTGGATCAATGTCAGTCGCTGGCCAGGGCTTCCCGAAGCGTCGAACTCCTACTTGTGCTCTGAGGCATAGACCAATTCCCCGAGTCTCGTTCAATAGTATTTAACGACGAATTGCCGGGGGATTTGTCCTGGGCGTTCCCGGCGCCGTTCATATTCGCTGTAAGAGTCGAGATGGACGGAAGAGTTTGGGCCGAGGCCGCGGGGGTCGCAGGACCCGACGATACAGGCTCCCATGGCCGATGGGCGACCGAGTCCATCATGAAGGATAGAATCGTCGGAGGGGTCAGGTGTGCGGAAGAGAGAAAAAAACGGTAGAAGCGGGAACCAAAGAGTAACCAAAAGCGAGCGAAATCCGAACCAAGTCGAGCAGAGAAGTGGGAGGTCTCTGAAGCGTACAACTATTGCATATTCCCTCAGATCAATGGGAAGAACGAGAGTGTGTCAGAGTGAGCCGCAGAGCACGCAGAGTATATGGCCCGAGTTCGTCACGTCGGGGATCGGCGCAGGAATGGCTTTTTCTTCCGTCTATACCAGCGATGGGGGCGAATGCGTAAAAAGCGGGACACGAAAAACCGAGGAAATCCTGTCAGAGAGGGGCCGGAGAGCCACCTATTTAGGTAAACGAAAAGCAGAGATTAAAGAGGGGGGAAAAGTCGATCTTACTGACTCTGCCAAAATCGAGTCCGATCTTTTTGATTATATCTGAATCTTGTCTTAAGTACGTGTATTGGGGCGGTATTGTGACCGTACGTTCTCTGCGATTGCCTTTTGGACTAACTCGATGCCTTATATTAATTACCTCGAAATCAAATCTTACTGTAATACGGAGCAAGGGAGCATCAAGCTTAGGGAACGTGGCACAAGGATTTGGCCCGGACTCTACAGCCCGGCTAAAAACGAGTGGAGTAGCCGATCTGTAGGAACTCTACACGGAATGTATTGTCGTTACCATGCGCCAAGGCCGCTACTGCGCGCAACACTTCTCCACCTGTGTGCCACGAGGCTGACCCTGGGGCAAAGGAAGGCAAGGAGACCAGATTCTCCTAGAGTTACATTGCCCCCAAAATTACCAATACCGAAAGTTCCCAATCTAACCAGTATTGAGGTAGTCACCCGTACTGTCACGACAGTAAAGGGATGGATCAGAAGCCTACCGGGAAGTGGATCCGTCCTTCGCATGGCTGAGGAAATGTGATTTTCATTCTACATTCTCTAATCCCCAAATATGTCGACTTCAAATCCCTTGGGACTTCCAAGGCAAGGAGGAACTTTTATTTGGAAGCTAACTTTTGGGGGGAGGGAGTTCGGTATTCTCTTACATCATGACCTTAGTCTTCACGTCACAACGTGGTTGACTTTCTGTACCACCCGCTTTGTGGAGCGTCTTTCTGTTCCGTTGTATACATCCAAAAAATCAGCCTGGGAAGTTCCATTTCTTCTCCTTATGGAGTGTACACCCAAATTCTGTCCGAGTCTCGATTTGTTCATATCTTTTTTTTTTTCCTTTTCATTTGAATTTTTGTTTTTCTTTTTTTTTTCCAATATTCTTTTTGCCCTTTTTCACGTGGCAAAGGTCCAAAGACAGGACTACAAGGGTGTTCTCTCCTTGCAGTCGATCTATACAAAGTTTGAGTAATCCCCCTTACCAAGGGTCTGAAAACCAAAACCAAAACAAAAGTGTCAAACCGCATGCCACGCTAAGCCCCAAACGTTGAACACATGGCTTTTATGTTCGACATGGGGTTTGTCACAAATACCGCGCAACATCAGCAATCCTCGCTGCCCAACAAGTATTCAATACGACCTGTCCAACCCACGCCACGCTCTGTTCCACACATGGCAATGTTTACTACGCTAGTGTTCTGCAGAGGGACTAGTTAACTGTAGAAAAGCAATTTACGTACTTTGTACATATAGTTATTGGTATCGTCACCTGTCCTTTTCTATCCTTTGCCTTGCCGACACCGCGCAGAACTAGGTCACACCAAGCCCCAGTCCGAGCCGCGTGTTTGGGGTTCAGAAGCTTGACTTGATCAAAACGGCGACTGGACCGGTTCTGCAAGCACCCGCTGCCGCCCGAATCCCACTTCCGTTGCGAGGGCTACGCGCAGTCGTCCAGTTCACAGGCCGTTGCAAAGCCCAGACCCGCGCGCGCCTATTTCTACCTGTCTATTCTTTTCGTATATACACTTCGGGCCCAGACAACCTTGCCTTGCTCGGAGCCCTCCTCGAGTCTGTGCGACCGCACCGTTTTCTTGGCACAAGGACTAGATTTTATTGCTCTTTCTTTCCCGGTCGTAATAGTAATCAAGAGTGTACACCTAGGGCTTGCTGCCCGAGCTACCGATCCACGCGAGTCTACTCTGGGTGTAGCGTCGAGCTATTTTGAAGCCCCGAAATCCCAACATCACGGGCATAAGCCACCAGAGTACTTGAAAGAAAAACAGCATTCTTTGCCCCGGTTATTTTGGAACAGAGTGATTTGGTGGCTGGCTAGCATCGGATCCTGATGGATGTATCAATCTGATCTCGGCTTTCTTCGCCCTGTAGTTTGGTTTCTATAAACAATCTAGATCCTAACTATCTATTGATTGAATCGTCGCAAGTTACAGTATGGTACATACACGTAAAGAGTGAAATCGAAAATTCATGGACGCGTTGTGTAGGCAGCAAGATATTCTAAATTCTATAATTAATTGAAGCTGAAGCGGGTCAACACCGCCACGGTTCGCGCTGCATGGCTACTCCGCCGTTTCAGCTTGCCAATAATTTCCCCCAATCAGACTACCGCGCCGTGAGTAGGATCCAGCACGCCCATCATAACCAATTCGAGACATCAACCACATGGCACGGTCGCCTTGCAGAATGTTTCTAATTGATCGCCACTGATCATCACTGCAGTACATACTCACATCTTTGATTTTTCCCTTGACACGGTAGCAGTCTTCCATTCCGGGGACCCCAACCCATCAGAGCTTATATGAACAGTCCCCGGAATTCCCAATACGACTCTACTCTACTGTACAGCTAAAGCTCCTCTCATTTTGATCAGGTCAAAGCTCCCTCCTTCACGGAAAATTCAGCCTCAAGGGATAACATCCACCTGGCGCCGATAGAGTTAACAATGTCAAATAGTGTGGGCCACGGACCCGGTACTGTTTGCCACGGACCACGCCCTCATTCCAATGTGCCCACGGGGAGATATCGTGGCCCTTCCTTGCGCTTTCCCAATAGCTTGGTCATGACACGCGAGTACCACAGTAAAAATACCCAATGATTCACAGCAAATGACTTCATCAGTCATTTGTCCTGTGATGTTCCCTAGGGGAAGCACAGCACAGCACAGACTCCCCCCCCTGTGCACCCGTCGATCATCGCCCCGGGCCTTCCTCCCCGAAGCTGGGGGACCGGTGGATCTTGCAAGTGGATTGGCAGATCATTCCATGCTATTGTACGGCTATTGCAGTATGATCAATTCTCTCCCTTTTGTCTCTGTTTCTCATATCTTTACCGTACTCTTCCCCCCTTGTTAGCAACATCCGTCATTTCATAGGCCCATTTCAACTCGCAAGTGTTTGCCCCTGCTTTTCGCTCGCGTGTGGGCATCCTGTGTCCCGACGCCCATGGACCCAACAACCCTTTCACAACGTCGACCCCGGGAGAAACATGTTTGAGATACCACGGGGAACGCGCCCCAAATTCCATGGCTACCCTCACTGGTCATGTCTTGACCCGTCTGTCGGGTAACCCATGTGTACCAAGCTCTGGTTACAGCGCCGTCATGACGCCGTACAAGGGAGACTGAATCGAGACTCAATAATTGGTTTGTATCCCATACCGCTGCGAGACGTACATTTACCCACCTGTAACCATCCAACCGCCTATGGATATTGGTATACAATGACCTCGGCCATGTGGCTGTTTCAATCAGCGCGGGTACCTAAACCCCCACGGCCCCATTATTCACGCTATCTTGAAAACGGTTTTACTAGGTTTTGACTACAGCCACAAGGAATTCGATCACCGATAATTCAAAACCTGGATAATTATAAAACATCTAGGAACATCAAGAACCACTGACTTAGCGCTGGCGTGGAGCGACTTGTTTCGTGTTTCCAGGGCGATTTCGTCATGTTAGGGGCTCTCGCTCTAGAACCTTGAAAATCGTCATCTGTGAGACGGTGTATGCTATTCGTGAATGAGAATTTTTCCGAAGTAGATGTGACATCTTCACGCTTGACCGCTATCTTTGTCAAATGCCCTGGTTTTATTACATCACGTTTCTTGAATTGGTGGGCCTAATGGAGTTCGGCGGGGGCATTGTCTTGGCGATTGGGGCCAAATGCAAGATGGTGATTATGTACCCGAATAAGCTCAAGTGCTTATGGTGGTGACGAGTTCCCCATGAGTATCTGATCTTGTCTGTGCGGGGGCTTAATTTCATCCCGGCATCTTAAGTATTTGATTTGCCCCTTGAATTTGTGTTTAGCGGTTGTAATGTTTGCTTACCGGGGTTTACGGAGTATCTTGTAGTTGATCGCCAGCTGGAGTGGACCGCGGCTAAACCAATAACTGTGTACAGCTCCATTTGTCGCGATCTTAGAGAACAAAGCAAATATATATATGTGTGATGGTTAATGGATTGGTACCGGAGCCAATCTATATTTTTGTCGATATGCAGACGCTGGGTACATATATGTAATCAAATGCTGAAAGTACATAGTATCACCCCGCCCAAGGAATTGCAGGCCCCAGGTGAATATCTGTTGAGGAGTGGTGCTTTCATGGTATCCTTCAACTGACATCTGCTCAGGTAAAGTTCCAAGTTTGAGATACTCTCCCTTCAATTGCTAGTAAATATATATCAACCTTGAGGGTTTCAGTCACGATTTTTTGTTTTTGTTCTAATTCATCTCGCGGCCGTTAGCTTTTGAGGCCTATCACAAGCCTATTATGACCTCGGGAAGAACCTTGGGATTTTAAATGTCCAGTAGAACGGAGCTTTCGTACTTAACCCCGGTAGCTCCGGGTTTGATTTGTGATCATACCAGCTATCAGAATAAGTCTAATCGCCGGTAAAACCCGGGCTTCTCTTTGAAAGCACATATACAAGCCCGCTGCAGTCCATTCCATCCTTCTTCTACACGGTTTGTACCAGATTGTAACGGTCGTGCAGACATCTCAGAGTTTACCGAAATATCCAACACCAAAAACCACATAGATCTGGGAAACACCTCAATATGGCACCAAAGACCTGGCTTGTAACCGGTGCTTCATCCGGCCTTGGGACCACAATCGCCGAAATCGCCCTCAAAGCCGGTCACAAAGTAATCGCCACAGCTCGCAATCCAAAAAAGGCAGCAGCACAAAACCCTCAGATCGAACAGCTCGGCGGCACATGGATCCATCTCGATGTGACAGAGAGTGAGACAACAACGAAAGTGATCGACGCGATAAACCAGGCCGGCGGAACAATTGATGTAGTTGTCAATAATGCCGGATACTCGCTGCTAGGCAGTATTGAAGATATGAGCGAAACAGAGATTTCTACACAATTCAGCACGAATGTTTATGGCCCTGTCCGTGTACTAAAAGGGGCTCTGCCATTTATGAGGACGAAAAGATCAGGGACGGTTGTAAATATCAGCAGCTCTGCTGGGTTGGATGGACTGCCTACGTGCGCAATGTATGCCGGGACCAAGTTTGCTCTGGAAGGTGAGTGACATTTTTGCGCCAAGATGAGAAGGATATATGTCCACGGAGAATCTTGAGTAAGTCGTTAACCAGTCAAAATATACAGGCATGTCGGAAAGCCTTTCAAAAGAGCTAGTACCATTCGGCATCCGTGTCCTCATCGTCGAGCCAGGTGCCTTCCGCACCCAGTTCTTGTCTGCCTTCGTTGAGCCAGCTGCCGGAATGAACAAGGACTATGCTGGCACGCCATTGGAGGATGTTCTTCATATGTTTCGATCGGCCGATGGAAATCAGCCAGGGGACCCTTTGAAAGCGGCCCAGAGGATTGTGGAAGTTGTATCAGGTATAGGTATGGGTGCTGGCAAGGGGAGCTTGCTTCGATTACCGCTTGGTCCAGACTGCTATAAACGGTTCCAGGCGAAGATCGAAACTATGCAGGAGAATTTAGTGCAGGTCAAGGAGATTGCGCACTCGACTAGCTATGAATAGATGGGTGCCCGATGGCCTGATGGGTAGGTTGGGCTGGAGATGCACCTTGATCATTTATTAGAAAATAGGAAACGAAGCCAGATATTCTGACTGAGCCTTGAAACAAACAGCAATTTAATGTAAATTAGCATATGATATCCACAAAATTCCGAAATCGTTGTGCAACATGCTGATTTAAACACATGCGGCTCTCCAGTCTAAGCGTCGCGATAACATCAATCAGCTTGCCCTTTTTGGAATAGAGGGAAACCCACGTCTCTGTCTGGTTTGACTTGTGCATCGTATTGGGAGCTTGCGTAGTGAAAGTTTTTGTAATCATCAATTGTCTTTCAATAAATATACTAGGCGGTGAGGTCGTGTCAACTGGAGGGTCAATTGCTTTCTACAACATCACTTGTCAAGTTGTCAGTGTCAGCGCTTTTTCTGGATTAGAATATCCCGTCGATATCCGAAGACTCCCAGCCTCTTGCAGTATCTGAACGAGGTTGAGGATCAAATGTCCTTCCCCCTGCAACCCCTCCCCTGTACATGACCGGGTACTGGCGCACCCAGACTTCTGCTGGACAGAAGAACAACGGCTGCGCAACTGAATTGAATCTTCTTGGAATAATTGTTCACCAGAACCGACCCTGGGTCAGTTCAGTATTGAAGTTCAGTATTGAGTGACAAGTTGGCAGTCGTTTTATTTCCCTTCCAAGGTTGTTGGATCGAGAACAGTGCCGTATTGTCTCATTCGCTGGGACTTCACGACCCTCACTTCACTCCGATCGACACGATCTTGAATCCAGCGGTTCATGATCAAGTAAAATTTTCTATCAGGAACAATCTCAATTCAACTTGAGTGTTCAGGTGATCATTGTTGAATCAGTTCGCTCGTTCCAGGCGCCAGCCCGGTGTCGTCACTTCCCGCGGGCCCAGAAACCACTGGAACGTCCTCCAGCCTTCGCATTCTATCCCGATTCTCTCATTCCACCCTTTGCCCCAGGGCAAACCTGATGTCTACCACTGAGGTTTCGGCGCGTTATTCACCGACGATGAAGCCTCATCGCGAAAAAACATGGAAGGAGGACGCGATACCAGAAAATCAACCAGATCAGCCACCTCCACCCCGCCCGACCTATTCTCCAGTAACGCCAGTGTTCGCCCAACTTGAACCGGTCGCCGCGCAGAACGCAACAATTGTACCACCGCCTTTGTCGCCTTCACCTACCAGTCATGCTGCACAACAAATATATCGACCACCGCCACCTCCAGCAAATCCACCCGTCTTCAAACCGGAGCCGCCTCCAGTCCCGATTTCGGAGAGTGAGAACCCAGATGCGATCGCACTGCGCTCAGCCATATCTATATTGCAGTTGCAGAAGCAGCAGAGCCTACGCGACATCAAAGCATTAGATCGCATGAAGGAGGCTGCTGCCGCCGACCCAGAAGGCTTTGCGCGCGAGTTGGCGGCTGGCCGTTTGCGCACCGAAGATCGCGGGGCTGTCATTCAGTTTTCCGACGAGAATGAGATGGACATAGATGAGGATAACGAAGGAATCCCGAAACAAACACAGGGCGACAGTCCGTCGGCATTCGCCCGTATACCACAACCGCAGAATGTAGTGCGGATGCCCCCAATCAACTGGGCCAAGTACCAGGTGACTGGAGAACCACTTGATCGCATGCACGAAGAACAACTACGCCGACCAGACCCTGGCGAGCCACGACGAGAACCTGCACCAGAACACATATTAGCCTCACCATATCGACCGCTGGTCGACCAGTTAGATACGCCTGCACGGCCAGGCCGGTCCAACAAGACCAAAAAGTGATGACCCTCAAGAGGTTTCTATGACAGCGCTGCTTTACCTTACGACGTGATGCATTTTATTATGAGAAAGCAAATAGAGGTTCCCTCGAAATTTCATTGACATTGAATATGATCTCCCACATCAATATACCCTTGTAGATAATGCGATCGGTTGCACCTAACCACTTCCCTTTCCGGCTCCGAATCCAAAGCCACTACCACTGCCACCTCCACTGCCACTGCCTTCACCAATTCCAATACCGACGCCACCACCAGCACCGATGCCACCACCAGCACCGAAGCCAGAACCGCTTCCTTCACCACCGCCAGCGCCAACGCCGCTACCACTGCCAGCACCGGCACCGCCGCCGCCGCCGCCCCCAGAACCTTCGCCGTAGCCAACTCCAACTCCGCTCCCAGAGCCAATGCCGCCTTGAGCAACAGCAGACTCTGTATCCTTGTTGTTAGATATGTGTAGTGTAAATGTCGGTATATCGGAAAACACGCACCAGCCTCGGCAGCAACAGGGGCCGCAATAGCAACACTTCCCAAGGCAAGGAGGGCAAAAAGATAGTTGAAACGCATCTTGGACGTAGTAGACCTACCAATACGGTCAGTCAAAAGGATTATGCTATGAAAGACCTCGGGCCAGAGCACTACCTACCAGGTATATCCTAGAATAGATTAAGAGAATGAGATGAAAATCGAAGATCGAGAGGATTGCGAATGGTCCACGGGTGTAGATCAGAAAACTTGATATTCGGGGGATATATTCCCCATTATATATTTTGATGATGGTCATAAACGGCGTCTGTTTACCTAGGTAGACCGCTCAAGCTGAACCCAGCTTAGAATCTCGGCGAACATGTCTTGACTAGATTCCAAGGTTCGGAGTCCACCAGGGTCTGAGCCAGTCATATCATCGTCTCGTCGCCAAGATTACAATTTTATGAGACAATTTTATGAGAGAACTTCGAAGTTGGACTACATTGAGGCTTATGTTGCTTTTTGCGTTTATAGATTGACTAGGCCAGACCCCAACGCGTCAAATGAGAATGCTACTTACACCCTTGTAATGTGACAGGGCCGCGTGGAGGAGTGTGGGCTAAGACAATGCGAGATGAGAGTTGTTGGATATGTTAGAAATCTGAGATTTCCGCTGTTTTCCTTCTCATTGCATGGTAGTTATTCAATCTCTCTCAGTAGATTATGATTCATATTTGAAATGAAACCCACAATCTGTAACATATCACAAACAGCTTAGCTTTTTCCTTCCATATCACTATATTCATTCATTTACGCGCTGGATATCGCAGGTCGTTCCCTCATACGCCCCCTACACACGCCAGCCAGCTATTCAAGCCAGCAGGAGCAATGAGGCATATTGATAATCATCAGCTATGAAGTGCATTCGAAGCAATCAGCAGTAGGCCACATTGAAAGTGGTCAAGCGCTCAGAGAACGTATAATAGGAGTGTCATTCTGCTTTCAGCTGGTTCTTTCAACAAGTTCCAACTCCCACCGGCATCATCGGGCACTGCCAACAACCATTTGTTAGTATCTACACTAGAACATCATCCAAAAGCGGTTTCAGCTTACGTTAAGCCCTACTTTGAAATCAGACTGTAAGCTTTTGTGCCTTTGAATGTGTGAGTTCCCTTGCGAGCCAACCCTTCTGGAATGCCTTTTCGTAGGGCGTTTTCTTTGGTGTTTATGTGGTTATAGGGTAAGCATGGAGGACATGAATGCCTTGGTGTCCAGCGGAAAGCTAGACTCCCAGTAGCTGCTCCGATTTGAACAAAAGATTGAAGAATCTAGATGTTCGAATGATAGAATAAGGGAATTAATTTTGAATGTTTGCAGAAAAAATGACCTGCTCTTGATATGTACATGCATGATACAATGATACAACAAGCACTGGGTTCTAGGCTCAGTCCAGACACCAAAACCGAGACAGAAAAGAAAGGCAAAAGAACTTCGAGAAGTCAACCACCCAGCTCAAAGCTTCGCCTTGCTCTTCTTCTCCCATTCTTGAACATCATGCAGACCTCTCTTCTGCACATCATCCTTCTTCTGCTCCACCTTGTCCCGCCATGCCAGATTCCCAACATGATCATCAAGACCATTCAAGACCCGCGAGTACATTTCCTCCTTCATGGTACCATAGATACCAGTCGCAGCCTTATTAAGAAGTTTGCGATCGCGAATAAGCTCGAGAACATCATTCAATGAGCCCAACCCATCCACAATGCCAGCCTGAAGGGAGTCTTTTCCGCCAAAGCGACGGGCTTCCAGCACCACGTTCCGGAACGTAGTCGGGGTCAGCTTTTCGCGGAAGATCGACATCATAGGTGTCTGAAGCGGCACGCCAAACTCCAACTCGTTAACACATAAGTATCCCTTGTCAGGATTTTGAATACGATAATCGTGGTACATGGCCAGCATGAAGCCACCTGCAAATGCGTGTCCGTTCAGTAGACACACCGTTGGCATGGGGTATCTAAGAAGCCTTAGCTGGAGCCCTTGCGGTAGAAGAAAAGGACATACGTTAAGAATCGTCGGAACAGACGCCATAACCATTTCTCGACGAACCCCTCTGTGCTCATGGCAAGCTCCAGGTCAAGTCCATTGCTATAGAACTTGGCGATACCACTTGTGGTAACCACTACACCTTTTGGATAGCGATGCTCGATGATATCAAGCGCCAGTATGAGAGCATCGATGAATGTGGGAGTCAGCCGACTATCCTTTGGCGAGGTAAACGTCAATAGGTAGACATTCTGTTGGTCTTGCGAGGGATTGGTGCAGACGATGGAGCCACCAGTTGAGGTGATAGGAACTGTAAATAACGCGGTCATTATGAAAATGGCGGATAGAACTTGGAGCTTCAAAATTTGGGAAAAGCTACTTTATAAACTGGATCGGTTCAGAGCTCATCGTCGGTCCGGGACTGAATTGTAATCAGAAGCTCCGCGGCATCACATGCCAGTAGATGACATAATCCATATACCGTCTTGAAGTGAAATGTAATTGTGATATTTCATGGAAAATACCTATGGTGCTGAGACTTTCCAGATCAATGTGCAGATCATAGCATTGAAGCATAGAAAGGAACCAATGATATGAACTAATATCAGTATTTACTCATGTCCAAGACCGATAGACCTGACGTCATTTTGATGTCAGATGTATTCCATCATAGATATTCCTTCGCAAGAAACCGATTTTATTGCTATTTTCCAAACATCATAAATCACGGTGATTACCTAGAAAAATACAGACTCATATATCCTTTGCCTTAGCGCCATCGTTCAAATATCTCCAACGAAAATGGAGACTCGCAATCACCCCCATCAACCCGCTCAACCACCTAAGCAAGCCGCCTACGCCCAAGCTTCAAACCCAGTGTCACATAGTCCACAAGAGCAAAGAGCCCCAGAAGCTGCTACACGGCACCATGGCGATGCCCCCATTGCAATCACAAGGGGCGCAGATTCGAAACCGTCAAGCGATGAAGCACGCACACGCCTGACTGAGCAACACACACTGGAACAAGACAGAATGCAAAACTCCCCGGATGTCGATCTAGAGTATGGGGTAGAGGAGCAACCCGCAGAAGGCTATATTGCGGATTCAGTCAAGCGCAAGGGTATGGGGATGCGACGTGCCCAGGCTGGCGCACACGCCGGACCTGTTGGGAGCGCTGGTGGGCCTGGACATCCAGGATTTGGAGAGCAAAGGGATCTTGCTGCTCACATGGGTGAAAAACGGGCAGTGCATGATCGGATGCTCGGAGAGAAAGTTGGAGAGAATCCACCAGAGCATGATGTCGCCGATAGAGAGGCCGCTCGGCAACGCAAGCTGAATCAGAATGAACATCTGGACGTGGCTGGGGCAGTTAAAGAGGCGAGTGGAGACCGAGTAGTAACTACTGAATGAGACATCGGGAAAGGAAATTTTGGTATCATGATTTGAAATGAAATATATTCGATCCAGCTCGAAACGTGTTGTGTACAATTATATATCGGTGTCGTCCCCAAGTCCAGCCGACACCTTTTTCAGTTGCAAGTCCTTCTTCAGCTCCGTGATACGTCGGCTCATCTTGTTTCGTAGAATTGGGTTCATCAGGCTCTCCCATTGTCGGGTCTCGGTGCGAATCAGGTCTTCTAGTTCGGCAATCTCTTCACGCGATTGCTGAAGCTGTCGCTGTTGTTCTAGCTGCTCGTCGTCCAGGTCGTCCTCATCTGAGTCGTCACTATCGTCAACAGATGATTCTCTGCCACCCGGTCCACCACCGGTCGCCGCAGCTGTGTTGGCTGAGGGTGTTTCAGCCTGTTCGGCATCCGTGGGCATGGCAGACGCTTCATTGTCGTCTGCAGCCAAGGCCGCCTCCATCTCGGCGACAAGGTCGTCATCGAAGTCGCCCATCATGTCGTCATCTGCCTCGCCTTCAGCATCCTGGTCTTCGTCATAGTACTCCTCGTATTCTTCGTCTTGCACGTATCCTTCGGCTCGGTTCAAAGATGTGCTATCCACTAACTCAAATCGTGGTGGGAATACTGATGTCTCATCCTGTGCGACCAGATCTTCCACAGCTTTCTCCACTTGTTCGATTGTGCGCGAGCTCACACGATCACGGAAGCGTCGTTTGCGAACCCACCTTAATGGCGGTGCTAGACCGTGGGGGTATTGTAGGGTTTTGTCATCCGGATGCTCGATCTCATCGGGAAGAGGAAAGTCCAGCGCTTCTTGATCGCTAGATACTGCTCCAAGCACTAGCAGCATTTGGCAAATATCCGCGGATTTGTACCAACCCCGACGATCCCAACTTTTCATGCCCTCGACAATGCAGGGAAGGTCAACCAAAGACGCAGCATACATTTGATCACGAACTTTTAAAACCGCGCGTCGCCCTTCACGGTTTAACGGTTTGAATGAGAATTCTGACTTATCGAATCGTCTTTCGTTGATGGCCTGGCGGAGATATTCACAGTCCTCCCCTGGTAACATTCGTAGGATGAACTGTTCTTCGATAGCTGGATCGGCTTCCGTATCAGATGCCTCCGAGTCATATCCCACACCAACTGGTCGATGAGCAACCACTCGTTGGTTCTTCAGGCGAATGGCTTGTAGACCCGGCTTCTTGGAGGGATTCAATTTCAGGCGTTTGGGACCTTGCTCCGCAACGGGTTCGGGCTGGCTAGCATTATCGGCAGGTCTTTTCTTTGTAGTCTTCTTCTTTTTCGGCTTTTCTTCAGCCCCCTGGGGCGGTAGTTTAGGCTTAGATCCAATCTTCAGAGTGATCTTTGGCTGAGAAGGTTCAGCTGGTGTTGGCGCAGGGTCGGCCGGAGGTTCGGGTGCCGGCTTCTTCCCAAACTTGATCTTGAGCGTTGGTCGCGGAGCATCAGACATGATGCCAATCGATGGAGGTATTATCGGCGATCAAAACGGCGGCTTGTTTAATAGGAAAACAAAAAGGCGGAGGAGGTGAGGGTGGATAGTAGATCGCGTAGGATGATAGGAAGGAGGTGGATCGATAAAGTCGCGGCCCAGTGAATTCTCCGCCTTCGATCCGCGTTTCTTTAAGCCAGGACAACACCCATCTTCATTCACTTCTCCCACTAACTACACTCCATTCCCGCTTACCTGCACCGCCATTTATGAGCGACAATCTATTGATCTAATCATCGTTTCCTTGTTCGGTTTCCTTTCAATACCTGGCCTGCTTTGATCACCATGTCCGGCCACAACCTTCACAACGCTCTCCTCCGCCCTCCCATCATCCAGATCCTTCGAGCTCAAGGCTTCCATTCTACTAAGCCATCTGCTATCGACTCACTGTCAGATCTTACCGCGCGTTATATCATGATTCTCGCATCTTCCACCGCTGCACACGCCGCCAATGCCCACCCCGAAGATCCCTCCCCAGTCCTCGAAGATGTTTACCAAGCTCTTCAGGATGCAGGCGCGCTTCGCCCTCAGCTACGGGAATGGGAAGAAGACTGGCAGGATGAAGAGGACATGCGCGGTCTTGAATCTTTGATCGGGTGGATCACCGGTCCATCTCACCGTGAGATTCGACGTGTCGCAGGCTTTGTTCCGAGTGAAGGCGATATGGTGGACCCTGATTCAATTGAGAAGGAGGATTACCTGACAGCCTTGAAGAAGAAACACAGCAAGACAGGAGAGGAGTCCCGATATGCAGGTACGGTGCTTGGAAAGAGCGCCGAGGAACACCCGGTCATCATCGAGGGTGGTGTCCCGAGCATCCGCGAATGGGGGCAACAAGTGCGATCGCGTGCACCCACTACCCCGGATAGCAACAGCTCTGGCGTCAGCAGTGCGCCTAGCAACATGTCAGACGGCGCGATGGATGTGTGAAGATTCGGAGTATAACATTCTAGTGGATCGATTGATCCTCTAACATTATAATCACCACCCTTATTGCCTGCGAGCTACCAATCAGCCAGTCACCCACACCCTGATTCGGGATTTCAAGATACATTTTCTGGTCATTAAATGCCAGATGCAGGAAATCCGACCCAGCTCCTTCGCACCAGACAAGCTGCGGGAACGATCAGCAGGCAAAACGGAAGACTCGACCCAGATCTTTTCATGCCGTCCAATGAAGTGTATCTATTCACAACTTTTTGGACCACCAAAACTGGCTCCAAGGGGCAGGAGCCACAGAGCTTTGTGTGAAAGAGGTGGCCGTTGAATAAGAGCTACGATGATTGGAACGCTTTGGTCAAAACTCTCTCAATCAGCGGGTCCTGCATATTGTACAGGCACGTGGCATTTACTTCCCGAGGCCGGATGGGTTCAACACATAGCTATGAGACCAACATCCCATTCGTCCAATCCTGTTAATGGCATTAGTGCTTGTAGCTGGGCGTGAAGTATATCGCCACCATCCAAACCACCTTGGAAGGTCAATGTCATAGCCTTTGTTCTCTATACACCGCTCACTTCGGTGCGTTAATTCAATGAACTCTAGAACCCTACCTTTGCTCGAATGTTTATAATCCAATCTATTCAATTGCGTACCGATAGGATGTCATAATGTGGGTCTAGTGCATTGCGAGCCTTGGTGCCTAGGATGCCATGTGTACTTGTGTCAGATGTATTCAGGTATCCTGGAGATCAAAAATCGAATCCATCCAATATAAATCGCTAACGTTCATCCTCAGTAAACATCAAAAATGCGTGATAGATTTAGAAGGTTATAGAACCGCTGGGGTAGCAGACTATACTAGTTAGACCGGAAATGCGCAACATGGCAGTGGATAAAAGTCCACTTTCCCCGGAAATCCCCGCTCCGTTTGACAGTCCGGGGTGGAAGATTCCAACGGGTTCTCGGATTTTGGGTACACCTGTACTCGGTCATGATTTCCGGGGCTCAAAAGTCGGCTTCATTTCCAGTGTTCGTATTAAAATTAAGCCCTGAAAGCCTAAAGTCTAATATCAACCTTGGAACCGGCGAATTTCCTCGCGACAACCAACGCCGAACGCCTTTCCACGACGGCCCTTCACCCAATCACAAACCTCGGAATTGCGCACGGAATTGCGCATCGGCAGTTGAAAGAAATGAAGCGAGGCATTTCGGCCTGGCGTTGATCTCGGCCTAGCCATTGCCGATCGACTGGGTCCTTTTAACGCAGAACTCCCCCAAGTCTCTCGCGGTCCACTCCTCCCGTGTACCAGTCGGCCAGATCAGCCCGGTCAACACAGAATTTGCCGGCATTGATAGATAGTACAACTACCGGAGCACCTCCACAATACGTCGAACTTGGGAAGTTCTATCAAATATCGACTCCACCATGACTCCATTTGCCCCAGATTCCCCTCCCCCAGTACTCCACGTTTTGCTATTTTGTCCGAACCCCATGACCCGGAGTAGAGATGACCGACACGAGCCTTCTAGACCCGCGGGGCTTTGAACCCCCTATGTGCTTAGATCGGGACCCTGTTTCACCTTTCATTCTTCTTTCTTTCTCCATCCATATTCACTATGGCGACCTTAGGCGAAAACCCGGACGAGTCACTCGACAAGGTGAGCTCTTATGTCGATGAAAAGGCCGAGGGCACCATCAATGATCCATCGAGCGTCTTGTCCGAATCCCACAAATCGTACTTGATTGAGCGCCATGGCACGCTCGATCTTGATCCAATTCCCAGCATGGATCCAGCTGATCCTTACAACTGGCCAGGGTGGAAGGTATGCGAAATCCCATGAGCAGAGAGTATTATCACCAGAGATTAACAGGCTAGTAGAAAGTGACCAATCTGAGTCTGGTCGCGTTCCACGCGTGCATGGGCACGTTCACAGCCGCTGCCATTATCTGTGCCTACGAAAATATTGCCCTTGATTTGGGCGTTTCCATACAGCGAGTCAGCTATCTCACCTCGTTGCAGATTGCCATCCTTGGTGGTGCTCCGTTGTTCTGGAAGCCGCTATCTAGCCGGTTTGGACGGCGCCCTGTCTTCCTCTTGTCATTGATCCTGAGTTGTGTATGCAATATCGGCTGTGCAAAGAGCCCAGATTATGCCTCAATGGCGGCCTGTCGTGCCTTGGTAGCCTTTTTCATCTCCCCTGCCATGGCTATTGGTAGTGGTGTAGTTACGGAGACATTCTTCCGCCATGAAAGAGCGCGATACATGGGTATTTGGACAGTGATGGTGACGCTGGGTGTCCCAATTGGGCCCTTTATCTTTGGATTCGTTACTCAGCGTGTTGGTTACCGCTGGATCTACTGGATTCTGGCCATCGTAAGTACCTTCGTCTCCGTTCATGTGGAAATACTAACACGAACCAGACCAATGGTGTTCAATTCATCCTATACCTCTTCTTTGGACCTGAAACCCGTTATATCGGCGACGATATCCAAAGTAAATCATCTGTGTTCAAGCGCGAGTACACATCGCTCCGCCGAATTGATCCCACCCCATTGAAGCTGTCCGAATTCTTCCACCCCCTCTCCCTCTTCACCAACATTCCTGTTCTCCTCGCTGCGGTCGCATACTCCATGGTCTTCCTTTTTTCCTCTGTCATGGGCTCTGTCGAAGTCCCCCAGCTTCTGCAATCCAAGTTTGAGCTAAATGCCCAACAACTTGGCCTTCAATTCCTGGGTTTGATTATTGGCTCTCTTCTTGGTGAACAACTGGGCGGTGTCATGTCCGATATGTGGATGAACGCTCGTGCCCGACGCATTGGCCGCAAGCCTGCCCCGGAATTTCGACTCTGGCTGAGCTATATTGGGTTCCTGTTGACTATTGCTGGGATGGTTGTCTTCTTGGTATGCACTGAACAAGCGACAGAAGGCCAGTGGACGGTGACGCCGATTGTTGGCACGGGAATTGCGGCCTTCGGCAACCAGGTTGTCACTACTGTTCTGACTACCTACGCTGTTGATACGTATCCCCAAGACGCCGGCAGTGTTGGTGTGTTCATCAACTTTGTTCGCTCAACATGGGGATTCATCGGACCCTTCTGGTATGTATATCTATCTAGATTTTCTTGAATCCGGGCTAACTATCGATCTTAGGTTCACCGATTTGTTTGACAGTGTTGGTATCGCGAAGAGTTCGGGTGTGGTCGCCGCGTTGATTATGGGTGCCAGCTTCATTCCTACTGCATTTTTGCAGTGGAAAGGCGAGAAATGGTACAGCCGTGACTGAACATTCAATATACCACAATTCTTATCTTGAATCCCGACGTCTGACTCAGAGCAAGTGTTTCTAGCTGCGTGAGAATATTTGCCTGGGCAATTCTTACTCCATAGATTAGCTACTACAGAATGTTCTTTGACTCGGGGTTTCGCCGCTTTTACTGAGAGTAACTTCCACAGTAGACCGGTTACCAAAGCCCATGCTTCTAATTGCTCTAAAATCTGCTGACGCAGATGCTTCAAACTTGTAGCCGATATTCAAGGATATCAAGTGTGGAATCTCTCGTATACTATGTAGGCGACTCTGGAGATACCCAGAATCGCACTCAAAAAGAAACTACCTGAGCTATGCTATTTCATGTGCTTCTAGCACCCTTGTCCAATGTCCTAGGAGGCTAATATTCAGCATTGAGACTGACCTAGTTTAACCAAGTGTGACTGGGTGTTCATGCTATATAGTCTTTGGGTCGTGTGTTCATACTGCCTTGTGAAACAATGAATCCAAATATACATTACAAATGAAGATGCTTGAAAGACGTACTTACATAGGTAATTGATACTCCCGATATATAGATCGTCATGTTGATCGCCAAGACCAGCCGCAAGTGACATCAATTCCGCCTCCAGAGCTGCCATCTCCAACTCCCCAATTAAAACCCCCGCATCACCATGGTCTACGCCTTCAGCCTCCCAACCACTTCGCCTCTCTCATTCCAATCCTTCATCTCCTCCTCAACACACCCTTCTCTTCCCCAATCAGCATCCACTGCCCGTCATGCTCTCCGTCTCGCTTTAAAGGCCCACAAGCGCCTACCCCGCGGCGCCCGACAAGACGCCCACCTCCCAACCGTTCTCTCCGCACTAAACAACTACCTCCCTTATCTGTTCGCAATCTCACACGGCCTACGTGGTCAATCTATCAAACTTGATGATACCATCGGCAGCCAATATGGAAGCTATAATAATCCGTCAGCGGAGAACCAGCCTCGCGCCGGTGAAGAGATCGAGATAACACTGCGCGCGGAGATCGAATCTGCCTGGAAGCCCACATTATCAAACACCAGTGCTTTAAACCTCAGCTCTTCAGCTGGTAACTCATCAAGCGGGAAAGGATTCCGAGCTCGCGGGGGCCGTGCTACAGGCCTAGGAATCAACTTTGAAATCGCATTCGTGCTCACAACTCTCGGCTACGTGCTAAGCCGACTTGCGCGGGCGAGCGTCATCCAATCAGTATATGCGCCCGTTGCCCAAAGCGCCGAGCAACGCACTGCGGCCGTGCAGACTGCAACGCGGCATCTACTACAAGCTAGCTCGGTACACGGGCTTCTAGCTTCCTCGCCTTCTCTTTCCGTGGCGGCGTCAGTGCCTGCATCTGTGTCGGATGTGGATACAACGACGCAGTCGGCTCTAGCTTCCCTCGCGCTTGCGGAAGCTACGCTTTTAGCCGTGTTAAAAGATGACGCGTATGTTGCGGCCTGTATCCAAGCGCGCAATCCAAATGACCGGGAATGGATGGTGAAAGCACCCGATATTCCGAAGGTGCGGGCTTTATTATTTGCGCGTTTGTGTGTGCGCGCTGCAGAGTACGCGGAGCAGGCTGCGGCTGGACTTGGAACTGTTGGATCAGGCAAAAGTGGTCGTCTTGATGATGAAATCACGCGGTATGCTGCTGTTTTGGGCCGAGTTGCTCGTGCGCGTGCTTGCCGGTTTTTTGGAATTGATGCTGAACTTGCTGGGAAATGTGGTGAGGGCATTGCATGGCTTCGAGCTGCGCGGACACCTCTTGGGCTGCGTGGAGGCGCGGGATCATCTACTGGATCGGATGATCCTGGTCTGTCAACTCCGTCCAAGAGTGGATTTTCCCGCCTCAAGCGTGAGTGGACTGAGCGCCGGGAAGAGAAGAAGATTGGCAAAGATGCTGGCGGTGGCCGTAGCGACAAAGGTCTTCTACAACCGGGAGACGATGCTGGTCGTGACGAGGAGGGTCGAGTGATCACGATGCTGGAGACGAAATGGGTGCGCATGAATGATACAGTGAGTTAAACGAGTCATTTATGACTGACCTATCAACAATTCTAATTAATTTATTCTAACTTATTTCAGATCAACACTCAAGCCATTCCGCCGTCTGCACCCTTATTATCTAACCTGCCGTCTGGTCGAGACATACACACACCGCCTGCACCATATAACCCTCCTTCATTAGATGAAGACCAGCTGATGCACATGCGGGCTCCACCCAATGAGCACGAGGATCTATCCTTCGCGAACGATCCTGATGACAGTGACGAGGAGGATAACTCACCTGAGACACGTGCGCCGCCGGGCGGATTTCCGGATCGCAGCGAAACAGTGTCAACAGTGTATTATTGACGATAGCCAGGGTCCTCGCCTGATAAGTCATTCCAGTATAAAAAAAGGATGCAACTCAAGCCAATCTCTAAATGTTTTCACGGAAGAACAAGCATAATGTAAATGGTTTTAAACAAAAATAAATTGACCAGACATCCTTGGAATGATATTGTATATGTACAGTACAAGAGAGAGCACATCACTCCCTCAGAAATCTCCAGCCATTCCCAAACTTTGGAACAGCAGAACTCTCAAACCAGCTCATCATGCAATTGCTTCAACGGATAAGCAGATCAAGCATCTCCGAGGGTCCACACCCGTGGTGGAAAGGGGAGTCATGGCTCCACGGTAGCATCCCCGACAGACCGGACCCATCGTCATAACCAGCATACGCAGACCAATCAAGAAATTGCCCGTTTAAGCCTTCTCGCCAAGAGCATTCTTCTCCTGGAAGAGGTAACCCTTGATCTTGCGCTCACCGAGGAGCTCGAAGTATTTTTCTGCTAGCAGTTAGCAATGTTCTGCCAACCTCAACAGTCTCCACCCATGTTTTCCAGTTCAATTGGGCCATAATTAAATCCCTTGTCCCATCTAATATAACAAGGTTCCACCCCAGGTACACCACAGAAGAAGACCGAGCACAAGAAAGAAGATCTTACCTCTCAAGACACCACACTTCTCCAAATGGTTCACACCTTCACGCGCATAGCACTTGCCCAGCTCCTCACCAACTAGTCGCGACATCATAGAGCGCACCCACTGCTCACGAATAATAGCATCACGGGCATTGTGCACAGCGACATTGTCCTCGAAGTCGACACCCTCGTAGGTTGGGGCAACGGTGGGCTTTTTCGCGAGGAAGGCGGCGGACTCGGGAGTGGGCATTGTGGGCGGTTTGGTTGGTGACCGAGTATTATGGTAGAGGGAAAGCTTGGAGAGTCCCGGGGTTCGAGAAGGGATTGGGGGGTGACGGTCTGGTGTGGGGATTTTGGAGGTTGCGCGAGGTTGATGCCGTCGAATCCGATGTCTCTGGAGGTTGGATTAGGAGGGCTGTGATTGGGTGATATCAAGGCGGTGGGGAGGAAGCTGGGGAGAGCGAGACGACAACTAGTGCAGTTTTCACCAATATCACGTGATCGCATAGCTTGGATGTTTTCAGTCTCACTCTTTATTTGAAGCTGGTATATACGTCGATTAGGAGCTAAAAGGATATCTGTGATGTAATGAATGGTATAGAAGAGCCTAATGAGGCTAAAATCATATTTTCATGCACCTAACTCCAACCATCGAACACCAGTTGCTAGCCACAATAATGCAATAACTCCGTTGTACAAAAACCAGCCAATCTTTAAATTCGTATCATACAATGCTGGCGATTGAAAGTGCGTGCAAGGCGTGGAAACATGATAGCACATCATAGGAGTTAAAAAGCAAAAGGAAATTGCCCACATAACCACCGGGACACAGGTTATTGTTCTGGCTCGTCATCCTCCTCAGAATCTCGCTTGAATGCTCCACTGAGGGTATCTTTCAAAATTTCCCATGGTGTCCTATTGAGTCGCTCGGTGATTTCACGATATTTGTAGATCTCGGCCCAACAGTCGCGACCGAACATGCAGCCAGCCATGTTGACCAGGAGGTCGTGGTCTTCCTCCTGGTAGTGGACAGCAGGATTGTTTTTATCACCGCAAGCACCCTGAGGGAAAGCATTGATAGTGCGTTGGGGTAGAAACCCAACACTGCTGCGAATCCACGCTTGGCTTTGGTAAATGTACTCCAAAGCATTTTGTTCTTTGTGTTCCCATTCCATGTGCATCTGCTCGTACATGACGGGATCCCATAACGCATCCAAGAGACGGTCCGTCCACAGGGACCGTCGGACCATGAAAGAGCCCAGGTTGAACCCGCCGCAGTCCTGAGTAAGAAGCACATTGATCGAGCGAGTGTCTCCGTCGCCTTCCCGGGAACGACCTATCTCATCCAAGTAGAACTCCGGAAGTGGGTGTGTGATGTTGAGGGGATTGTATTCGTTGATGTCGCGGTAGACCAGTGATTCCAGGTTATTGAAGACATGGCTCTGTAATGAGGTCCCATACTCCATCACCCAGGTGTTCAGATCGAGCCACCAGAACCACTCCGCATCGGGGTATTTGTGCAAGGCTTCACGGATCACATCACCTTTCTCCCAGCCCTCGCGCCACTCATGAGAATACCGCTTCTTAGCCAGCATATTAGCAACCTCCAGCTCATATCCCCATCGCTTTGCGTATTCCTCTTTATTCCAGATACTGTTGCGCTCGATGGCCCATTCGCGCGCTCTCTTGATGTCCGTAACACCGCCATCGACATTGGCGCCGAGGATGATCACGATCTTACGGCCTCCTCCTAGGGGTGACCGGCGGTATAATTGAACCAGCGCTAGAGAGCAGATTAGCATACACCCATTACCTCGCAAAAGTCAAGCCAGAGCAGATAGATGTCACTCACTTGACCAAAGAAACAGGTATCCCATAACAAGCAGCAGAATCCCCGCCAAAACGCGGACCCGTCCACGTCGCATCAACATTCCAAGGGCAGCCAACGACCCACGCCCACCGCCACTAGGACGCCACTGCGCGCGTCCATAGGCATCCTTATCCACATACCCACCAGCACCAGACTGGCCCCTAAAGCTAGCCGAGATCTTATGTCTCTGTCTGGAGAAGAACCCGCTGTTGCGCGTTGAGAAAGACGGGTAGCCGCGCACCTCGTCGCTTTTCGCTTTCGCCGCGGCCCAGGATATCCCGCCTGGCGCGAGGGAGGAGGGTGAGAGGCCGCGTGGGTTCGGAGTCGCGGTCCCGCTACCGGGCGTTAAACCCGGGCTGGACCACCCTCCGCCCAGGCGGGGAGAGGGTGATCGCGATAGCGACATGGGATGTGATCGGCGGTTGGGAGGAGAGTGTTGGACGGAGAGCAGACAGCGTGGTGTAGGCAGTCGCGCGTTCGAAAATGAGGTGGTGGTAACTGCCTAGGGAGGTGGCAGAGTGAGGTCAGAATGACCGATGCCCGGGAAGAAGGAGATACATAAACGGAGAGAGATTAGACGGATTAAGATTAAGATTGAAGGTGCATGGATCCATAGAGTAACAGCACAGACCAAGTCTCCACCACGTTGGAAGATGAATCGAGAATCGCGATTCGACTTGATGAGAAAGCCGCAAGCGGTAGAGATTACTAACAGGCACCAGGAACAATTGCAATTACAATTGTCCAGATTCTGGTTTCAATCTTTTACTGAATTCCAAGGTATTGGTGTGGTTATTGGAAAAGTGAATGCAATTTCGTCTAATTCTATCGCAGTTCCAGATAGATTGCGCGTTCATGTACTTTAAATGAGGCTTGAAATAATGTACCGTGCGCATACCGAGCCCCGGGAGATCGACTCTTATGCATGGAAAACTACAATACACGCCTTCGATTGACTCAAATTACTAGTCATGGATTTCACCGCATGCGGACAATAGGATTGTCCCCACATGGCATGTGCTACCTCAGACTCACACCCAATGATGCAATTTCCACTATCAATCTATTTGCAGAGGAGAGAAAACAAGAAACAGAATCTATTACTCGGCTTGCTTCTTTTGGGTCCGGAGCGGCAGTCGGTTTCCCGCGCCATCGGGCTTGTTGGCCAGGGCCTTGCGTACGACGAACCCGGCTTCGTGAGCCGGTCGCTGTTGGGCACTGTCGCCATGGTAGAATTCACAACGAAGGTCAAGATACTCGCCTTTGTGCCGGTACACCGTAATGATATCGCCCGAGTAGATCTCGCCAAAGTGCAAGCCCTCCATTCCCCCGTCTGTCGAGGTTCCGCGTCGGAGTTCTGTTCCATTCACCCAAATACATTTGCGCGTTTTGGTCGAGAGAAGAGCTCTGACCCCAGGAACTTGCTGCCAATCTTTCCCTTCCGCGATTTTCACTTCGATGCCGGGCGCCCAGAACGTGATCTCCAAGGCATAGGCCGCGATGCGAGTGTCCATGCGATCCTCATGGCGAATGGTCGCGGCGGGCCCTCGACCCCATGAGGTCATCCGATTTTCTAGGCGTAAATTTAGGTCAAAAATAGATCCAGGTACACTCCTGAGCCGACCAAGGATCTTCGGTGGCTTGGTGAACTCGGTGCTGGGCATGCTGAGTGGGGCAGAAGGTGGATCAGGTCGGTGCACGATGGGCTCAGATGCCTCGATTTCGGCATTCAGTTGCTGGTCCAGAATGGCCTGGCCAGTCTGTGCATCAAGAGTAGTCATAAGCTCAATATCCAGATTACCCTGCGAACTTAGGTCAGGGGGTTGAGCAGAGCCTCGGCGGCTGGTTTGTGCACTTGTGTCACTAGATTGTTCGCTGGCAGTCTCGGGGAGGTCAAAGTCGAGGCGACGAGAGGTTTTCAGCTTGGGCGCCTTGGGAGTCATATCCTGAGCACCTAGATAGGGCGAACTGGTTAATTCAGAAGGGCTACCTGCACTGGCGAGATTCTTGGGCTGTCCACGGTTGGTCTGCGGCGTCGATGTTTCGTTAACGGAGGCAGTCTGGGGATGGAGGAGAGGATGCGAGGAATTCATGTTCAGTCGTCCGACCAGGTTCTCCGCTCCCATCAAACTGGGTGCAGTGCCGCCAAATGGATGTGCTGGGAGGGAGACGACCGAAGAGACGCTGTATTCATCACTCATCGACTCACCGGATGACACAGAGTTCTTGACGTCAGAGTCGTGGTCCCATGCACCTGTGTGGCCTAATGCATGTGAGCTTCGCAGAGCTGACGAGGTGACCTCGCCAAACAAGCGTCGTGCCTGGTGCTCGGCAATGACTTGACTATCTTGAAAGCTTTCAATTTGAGGAAGTGAAGGATATCGGATATCTGCGGGGATGTATTCGATTCTCGGCTTCTTGGCAACTGCTTCACCGCTGCTTGCTTCATCTTCTCCGGCCTCATGACGATATGCTGCCTCATCATGGATAGACAATTGGGACGCGTCAAGTTCTTCGTCGGCCTCACCAATGACCGAAAGACCATCGCGTGGGTCGGCGAGAAGGTCGTCATCTTCGTACTCATCAACATCAGGCACATCCACAATCCACGGATGCTGAAAACATTCCTTTTCCGTGGGGCGGGCAAAGGGATCTCGATTCAACAGTTTGGCAACAAAATCAACACCATCTTCAGAAACGCCGCACTGGCGCAAGATATTGAAATCGGCTTCCGTTGTCATAATACTGCGCAGCATGGCAACACCTCGGTCTTCGGCACGGCCCGAATATGGCGGGATTCCGGACAAAACATGGTAAAGGACTGCACCCAGTGACCACATATCCACAGCCTGGCTGTATGGAGAGGTTTTCGGTGGTCTTAAAAAAAGATAATTAGCCTTGCCTGACTCAAAACTGGACGGTAACAACTCACGGGTCTCCAACTCGACGTCGTTTCCGAGCTTCACCACGTGCGTACATCTCATAGTCCGGATACACCTCAGGCGCACAGTATAGCAGCGTTCCACAAAACGTTTTTAGAAACGTTTCCTCTTGTGTCACCTTTGACAGCCCAAAGTCGGATAGCTTGACCCGAAGAGGATCCAGGGAGGCAATCAAGATGTTGTCCGGTTTAATATCACGATGGGTAATTCGGCGTTTGTGGAGGTAGTGCAGTGCACGCAAAAGCTGACGGGTGATAGTTCGAACCATATCCTCTGGAATCTTGCCTGGGCTGTGCAAATATGTGGACAGTTCACCGCCAGGCACGTACTCCATGACGATATAGATCCATCGATCGTATTCATGGTGTTCGATATATTGGACAATATTGGGCTGCATAGGATTAAACCATATCAGCATCTACGGGTCACGAACAAGGAAGTGGACCAACTCACGTGTTTGAGGTCTCTCATGATCTTCATCTCATTATCGACCTTTTGATCAAGAATACCATTCTTCATGAAACGGCGTTTGTCCAGCTCTTTGGCAGCGTATATCGCACCGTGTTGCTTGGTCGCCAGTTTATACACTGTGGCAAAAGCACCCTTGCCGATCTGCCCGGTCACATTGTACATAGGACCGCCTGACCAATGCATGCCATAAGCGTTTGCAACCGACCACGGTAGAACCGGATGGGAAGGCGTTTGTCGGGTTTTTTGCTGCCCCGCTAAAGCGCGTTGGACTCGCTCAAAGTACTGAACCACATTCTGCGTGTACTTCAAGGCGAAATTCTCGCGGGACGGAATCCGCACAATAAAACGAACCTCATCTGAGCCTTGATTTCCAGTAACGACCTGGATGACCGAACCATTGACAAGCATGCGACTGTTGTCTTTCGAGTTCTTGCGCAGGCGGCAATTGTCTACAATAGTGCCGTTGGTCGACGTATCTTGTAGCATGATGATACCGTCACCAGTCAGATGAATTCGAAAATGGGAGTTGGATACTCTCTTAGCATTGTCGTTGGACGCCAAAAGAATATCACAGCGGACTGGGTTGCGACCGAAGCAAAACCCAACCCCGAGGTCGTGGACATCGGAAGATAATCGCAGTGCGAGATCCAATGCTGCAGTCTCGGAAGTCTCGAAATCCAAGGCAGCTTGTTGCAGAATATGCTGAGTGCCCATTGCAGCCGTGGCAGCAACGGCATCATGAGCGGCATGGGAGTTGGGATGAAGGATACAAACAATGTCGGCAAGATCCTGTTCCTGCAATCCCGAATTATGTAGGCCCATGCGGCGTGGGTCGGCACATGGCTGAGTGGATTCTTGTGTTGCCTCCATGGTAAAGAAATGAATGGAGGGAAATGCAAGCGCTAATGAGAGACAGCAAAACGACTACTAATGACTGATTGTGTTGGGTATAAGTGCTGATTGAACGAGAAACTTTTGCATAAGAGGGGAATGGATACACGTGATGGCCTATGTGTATGGCCTGTAAGTCAAAGGAAAAAGAAAAGCCGATAGCCTGACGGGAACCAGGGTATATATACCTTGAGGATGGCGCGAAATAGGGCGGAAGGTCACCTGGGCAATTTACCCGGGCGAAACACCTCAACAGAAAATCTAGGGCAGGGTAGAAGAGATAAAGATCCAATGCACAGTATATGCGGAATCTTCCGAGTACAGAGAGAGAGAAAAAGTCGGGGAACGAAATTGGATCCAGAATGATATGCCGTCTTGAAATGGTGGGGGTGGTGTCGGCCAGTCACAACTTGTTCGTTGGATATACAAGCGATGTAGACCCAGGTCGAGTATCTTTTAGAATATCCAAATCTCGCTTTCCAGATAATCCAGCATGTACTATGTGATGCGCCGTCTCGATGGTCTCTTCTGCGAAGGGAGGTTTGGTAAGTTGCGGAGATGAGGTCTCGTAAACACGAAGTTTTCAACGGCGGTGGGTTTCCTGGGAGATATTGATATTTCCCATAAGTCCGGGGAGAAGACTTTTTCTGTTGCAATTAACAGCGCTGGTCAGCTCACATTCGTTTAGATGCAGGTCCTAGGCTGTTTGTTTTGACCTCGCCTCGACTGGAAGCTGCACTTACACAGGTTGACAGATGCCCTTTTCATCCGCCCACGAACGATGGAAAAGCTGTGGACAGATCGGACAGGGGGAAACCGGGACGGTTGTAGTCCTGGGGAAGGGTTCGTCGTCCGAGAAACAAGAACGAACTCGAGCCGCAATTGACCTCTCGTCCTGGCCTCAGGCAGCAGTGGTTCCTGGTGGCTGACTGATCCGCTCTGGGGGGGTTTGATTGGCTGATCCGACTTCCACCTAACTTAAACCATGGAAGCGAGATCAGATCTATGACTTCGAAGGTTGTTTTGAGTTTCAAAATATTCAATCTCAAAAAATATCATTTGGAAAACTCCATGCTGATTGCAGCCTGCTCCAGCTAATGTGACGATAGATCAGCCTTCGCCACCCGAAAGCTCCACACTTACCCACATGCACTAGGCAGCTTCGCACGGAAGAATTGCGGGACAATGGTGGAGCATGGACTTCAGAGAGTAAAGATAGATGCACTTATTCTCAACTCTGATCCAGTATCTGTCATGCTAACTAACCTACGCTCATGTAAGCCATTGCAAACACACAAAATCTATAAGCTGAAACCACTCGGGCGCTTGCTTTCGGCCCCACTATCCAGGGAAGCACTCTACCCAAAATGTTGACAAATTTTCTCAGGTTCTAGGAAGGTCGTCCAAAGAAGAATTGACAGCCCCCAGGAGCTTGAAGGCTCTTCAGGTGTAGGAAATACAGAAAATTCACTCTGTGTCATTTATGACTGCCCAGATGAGCTTTCCTCTCAATGTACCTGATTATATATTTAAATCTGCGCAGGGTTCATTACGCATGGATGCCCTGACCACACCAAATGCCACTTGTCGTCAATTCAAGCGCCACCTGTATGTGGTGTAGGCCATTTTCAATGACTTGAGTTCTCGCGAGAATGATTAAAAACGGTTCCAGGCCTTTTGGAAACCAGTCTTCAAAGAACCAGCATCGGAGATCACGATGGTCCTCCAAGGCTCTCAACATCCCAGCTATACATACAACCTTGGAATGCGGATCTCGATATCACGTTATCGGGTATCCTTGTATAGCTTTCTTATCCCAACCTTGGAAGGTTCCTCATGGATAGGGTAACAACGTTATGACTTACAAGCACCCTTCGAATCGACGCGAAGTATGACACCAGAACGCTAGACCGGTCATTTCAAGGATGGCCATGCTTGCGCTATCGTGACGTTGGTAGCCCGAGCCCGAAATCAAGCTTTTGATGGTACAAATACGTGGCTTTGACCTTTCACAAGGCGAGAGGTGAATCAGGATAGATAACTTGAGTTTTAGGTATGCGAGATGATCATCAGTCACTATCAATAGACCTCGACGTGATCATGTCATATTATACATCCGAACAGGAGAGCGGCATACAGACAAAAATATAGACAAAAAAATGGGGTCTCATGTAGTCTGCTCGTTACGCTTCTCCAGGTAGGAATTGAAGTTGTCCAGGGGAGCATCAGGCAAGACGATCTTCCACACGATTTCAATCTGCTCCGCTATATGGGAAGGGAGTGCTCCTTTCTCCAGACCAGCAAGGGTTTGGTTAACTTGTTCTAGGGTGCGGGCACCAAAGATCAGACCATCCCCGAATTCGCCTTTGAGATGTGAGTTGTAAGCCACCCACCGGTACACGAGTTCAGCCTTGGCGATTCCAGAGTCTTTAGAAATTTTCTCCCACAACTTGAGGCCTTCCAGCATACTAGGCTTGTTGTAAAGGGCATTGTAAAGTTCACCAAGGAAGGTACTTTGATCCCACCGGCCATCACCACCTTTGACCAAAGTTTCGACATCTTTTGTCAGGAACCCCCCGGCAATCGGGGAGTAGGCGTAGAAAGAAATGTCATGTTTCCGGAGTGTGGGCAGTATATCGGTGTCTGCTCGACGCGCGACGGGAGAATAGTTCCCCTGGTAAACGCTTGGTAAAATATAGTTCTTCTCGCGGCAAATGCGCACAACTTCTTCAACCTCATCAGCCAGAAAGTTTGAGAGCCCAAATCGTTTGAACTTTCCAGCTTGGTGGAGCTGATTAAAAGTCTCCAGCTGATCTTCAAGGGAGATTCGACGATCGGGTGCATGGATATAGAGTATGTCAACCTTGCGATGATGTTAGGCCATGAAAGTTCCTATAAACTCCTATCGCCGTACCTGGTCTGTATTCAGAGCATTCAAGCTCGTTTCTGTGGTGCTGATCAAGAGCTCTTTGGTAGATAGTTCTGGGCGGAACCCCCCGGGCACCTTTGTGTCAATTGCAAAACGGGAGCCAGCCGATACCTGACCCAGCAGTTCTTCCGAGTTTCCATATGTTCTGGCCGTATCAATGCTTTTGACCCCTCCTGCCTTGACAGTATCGAGTACCTTGGTTATGAAATCAAGATCAGAGTATGATTGATTCACGAAGGCACCTCCAAAATGAGTTTGACCTTAGCAGCCATGACTGATGAAGATAGGCAGAATTCAATTAAATGAAAGTGAGGTGTATTGGAAAGATTGGAAATGTGCAATGGAATTCCGAATAAGTGACCACTATTTATGGGCTGCTTCTGTGAAGCATGGTAAGAAACCCCCCTATTACTAAGCTATCGTCTCCCCTCAGTCTTCTATGATGGGGTACATCTTGCTGATCTCTCATTTGCCCCAGAAAGTTCGGCGATGGCGTGGCCTGGAAAACCAAGTTGACTGAATCGGTCGGGTTTGAAATCAGAGCGGATACTTTACATTGGTAAGCAATTTGGTTGGGCCCCGAGACCGAGCTGTGATGCTGTGATACTCTTCGTATTACTCTCCGGTAGCTTGGAATAGTATCAAGCTGTGCTTGCCACGCGTCTTGTTATTGTTCTTCCCCCTTTCAAAGTTGTGTCATGTCGTGCTGGGAGTTGAACCGTTCTAAATGGGAGGTCCCTTCAGTTTTTCAGATAGGACTTCCTCTCGTTTGATGATCTTCCATCCTCTTCGCATCCATGCAAAACATGTACTCGGTCAATGACGAGCTTATCACATTTGTCTTCACTTCTGTCCATTCTCTGCTCAACACGTAACGCCTGGTCCACGGAATTGGCCAGCACGTGACAGCCCATCCAAATCGGGTAACCCCGCCATTATCTCTCCATGTAACTGCGACTCTGCAAGCACCTTGACAAGGGTACAATATTACCTCAACACGGTCTAATGACTGATATACAGTCAAAGGCATCTGCATTTGCGTGTCAACAATGCCGATCCTCAAAGCGTCGGGTTGGTGTATCATTATCCGCTTGAAAGTTTGAAGCTTATCAGTCCATAGTGCGATGGGGCAAAACCTCAATGTTCAACATGCCAGAAGGGAGATAAGAATTGTCTTTACCAGAATGAGCCGAAGCCTCGGAAGTTAGTCATGAGTCAGCTCAACTTCTGGTCAAAACTGCTAACCAATCACCAGACGGAAATACTGGGATGAAGAGTATGTCAAGTCTCTGGAGAACCAAGTCCAGGCTCTCTTAGCCATACAGAACACGAGAGATCCCATCAAGCCCCTTGACACACTTGAAGTATCTGACCTGGAACCTTGTGAGCCCTCATCCCAAAAAGGCTCCGGCCGGGATGACGAACACAGAGATCTCCAATCACAAGACGATCCAGAATCTACCCAATCTCGCAAAGCAATGGAGGAGCTTAGTGTGATGATGTGGAGAACTAACCTCGCAGATGGAGTCAGCATTGATCCTGAATCAGTTAGCAACCGATCAGAACCCGCAAGCAGTCTCAATGCGCGTTACAACATACCCAATCATATCTTGGACTATGCCAAAGATCGAGACCGCATACGTAGACTTGCTGCACTGTTTTTGGAGAATATCAATGGGGAGCATCAATTCACCCGATACGAATCAAATGCCCCGTTCTCGAATTTCTCAGAAAACCCACTCGACATTGTCTTCCTTCATGGAGCCATATTAGCAGCTGGTGCTACCTTTGAAAACCAGGCAGACTCCTTGAAGCTTAGCGATGACTTTGCTGAACTTAGCGAGAATCTGGTGTTTACATGTTTTCGACATGCACCAACAATACATGTTATTCAAGGACTCTGTATTCTATCTTGGCGATCTTTGGCCCTGGGACATGATCATCTTGGCTGGACATTCCTATCGATGGCTGCTGGAATGGCAGTGCATCTGCGTCTTCATGTCTTGGCACTTGATGAGATCGCAACGAAATCTATAAAGCCATCACTTGAGACAGTCCAGACGTTCTGGTCATTTTATATGACCGACCGTACTTCTCTGTCCATTCTTGGACGAAACTGTGGACTGCCATGGCGGCGCGTCAATGTACCACCTATCGAATCCTTCTTCTCTGGCGGCGAGGAGGACTTGACTCAAATATCATTTGCCTGGCAGTGTAAATTATGGTATATGCACGACCAGAATATGGATCAAATGTATGATTTCCCGATCAAGCTTCAAACCACATTGACTAATGATTCAAGGTAGATTTTCGTCATCGTTCGAGAAGCTTGACTCTGCAGATCAAATCCACCTCCTCATTTCTACTCACAAAGACTTGAACAAGTTCTTCAAGTCGCGTGATCAACGACTCGAAGTCACCCGTGAAGCTGCCCCCAAGCCTGTTCTTCTTTTTCACATGGCATACCAGATGGCTATCTTAGTCACTATGCCCCCATTCCTCCGCCTTTTCGCAACATCCAAAGCTGAGAACCCTAATATTGCCCAAGCAATGCCATTAGTGTTGCGATCGATTGCCTCTGCTGCAGCATCAATGGTCCGTCTTGTGCAAAACTATACAAAAAATTACGGGTTTCAACATGCCAATCCATTGTTAATACATCATCTTCTCAGCGCGGCGATTGTACATCTCATGAACACCACCACTACGTCGCACACATTCCGAAGATATAGTACTCGCTCAGTACGAACGTGTCTCACTCTCCTTAAGGAGCTCGGTCGCTACTGGACTTTCCGCTCGAGAAAAAGTTTGGATGTCATTAAGGCTTTAGCACGAAGATGGAACGTCGAGTTCGTGCTTAAAGAGAATGCTTCGGACAAAGCCAACGAGCACGTAGGTCCAGGGGAAAATTCGGAAGAGGCTGATATTTTCGCTCCAATGGTTAATCTAACACCCGAGTCTCAATTGAACACACACCGTGCTACGCTTGACGTATCGCCCGAGCTTTTCAGCGACAGTTCAGAGCTCCATATTGGCATGGCAGATGACTGGCAACCATTTCTATGGAGCACAGAGCCGCAAATTGATTTCTCAACAATTCCCTTCCCTGAAGCAGAGTATGATCCCTTGGATCTATCTCAGGTATTCCAAATGGGGAGTAGTGAAAACCTCCCCTGGTGATTTGCGGGCTAATGCTGGGAAAGAGCCCAATTTCCAGGAGCGCGATGGTCTTCAAGGTCCCGGAGACAGACATAGTGGTTTTGAGAGACCTCGGGATGAGCAACTCAAGCGCGTTTCAATCAGCCTTACGATGTTGATCAGGGATGAGATGCAGATGCCAACGGAGCACTCCAGGAAACGGCGCGATTCAATTCAACTGCACCATAATCCAGAGAGGTCAGTGCGACGATCGGTCAGCCTATAGCTGGTTCTCGCATAATCTCACCTGTCAGTTCTGCCATGGTGTCTGCTGAATTTGGGAAGTGCCTGAAAAGGGGACTATCCGTATTGTTGAAATGGAAAAGATTTTGGCAAAGCAGGAATGGCGTACGTGAGGGTAAAGTTGGTGCATTGAATGATTTAGGAGAGAAAGCGATCTCAGTGGTAGGATGTTTTCTTCTGAAAAGAATTTACTTAGTTCACATATGTCATTGGAACGTGATACTTCCATCAGACTCAGCAATGGGCAGTGATCTGGTTCATGTAAAATACGTCTTAGTTTTTTTTCGCATCTGAATCCTCCTGCCTTGATGCTTTTGGCCGTTTACTCGCTCCCTATGCTTAGATCTCTCACTGAGTGAGACCTCTGAATATCTATGCCGACGTCGTGATTCATCCCCATCGGCCGCATCCATACTTGACTCGTTTCGTCATCCAGTGGCCGGGATCCGCTACCGCTATTAGACGTAGTCCCAGGAGATGGATCCGAGAACTTGGATGGCCGGGTTGAAGTATCGGGTGTGTATACAGAGTACCCAAATACAGCGCGCATCAAGGGAATCGAAGCAAGCACGCCTACCTACGAGACAGGGCTCAAGGCCACTGAAGATGTTGGCGCGGGGCAGGCTGTAGGTGATGTATATGTATAAGCAGAGCCAACTATATAAGTCTGAATCTTGTTTTCCAAGTTTAAATCAAATGCTTGGAAAATGGGAACGTGGGGAGACTAGTAATATTGCAGCTCTAGTATGTTACCATGACGGTTATTTCCCCTTTCCCTCTACAAGCATCCTGGGTTGCGCTGTCGTCGCTTTCACTACAAAAAAAAAACAAGCACACAACAGACCCCGCCTCTATGGGTATATCCTTTTCTGTCGCAGTTGCCCTTCTGATTGCCCTATTCACAGTGCTGTATATTCGCAGGGAAAATAGTAGCAAAGCTCGAGCAGAGGAAGCTAAAAAACCCGTCTTGAAGCTACCCCTCATTGGCGACCTCCACAATTCTTCCATTGAAAGGCCTTTGGAGAACTGGGACTCATGGGTTAAACAGAATGGCCCTATAGCGGTGCCCAAGCTGTTTGGAATTGTGCCCATTGTAATTTTAAACTCATATGAGGCCGTGAACGAATTGTTTAGCCGTCGCAGCCAGTGGTACAGCAACCGACCAGCCTCAGTAAGCATGGAGATGATTACAAACGCCAGTCCAGGTCGGTCTCGGTTTACTCTGATGCACGACTATGATGACCACCTCAAATTGCACCACCGTATCCTCTCTCCTAGTCTTGGCACCCCTGCTGCTCCTCAATACCAGCCCATGATGGAACTCGAGTCCAAGCAGTTGCTGGTCGATCTTCTAAAAGCAGTGCAGCAGTGCTCTGACGGCACCACAATCAGCACCGACGCCGTCTACCCACTTCTAGAACGTGCCCAGTCGGGCGTCATTTTGGCGCTGCATTACAGCTTGCGCATAGCCCACTTCGACGAGCCAATTCTGCAAGAGATCATCGACATACAGACGAAAGTGACCCATCTTGCTGCTAATCCCCGTTTGCCTGACTTTGTCCCGGCTCTGCGATATCTGCCCACGTTTTTGTCTCCTTGGAAGCGAGCTGCCGACAAGCTCTACGCTGAGCAGGTGGATCTCTACATGCGCTTATTCCGTCACGGGCGGGATTCAGCTGGCTGGAACGCTACGAAGCAGGCCATCTCAACAGCGAGGAAGCACGCACCAGCTGACTTACCGATTGAGGATCTCGACCTCGCCTTTACTCTCGCGACGTCTATCCAAGGAGGAATGGAGACATCTCCACGCCAAATGTTGTGGCTATTCATCGCGGCGCTGTACAGGCCGTCCTTCATGGACCGCGCCCATGCTGTTCTTGATAGAGTCGTTGGACGCGACCGTGTACCCTGCTTCGCAGATCGTGCGGAACTTGGCTTTATTGATGCCATAATGCACGAGATGCTCCGTTGGCGGCCCATATCACCGGGCTCTATCCCCCGTCGCGCGGACCGCGACGACGAGTTTGAGGGGACCAAGTTCAAGAAAGGCGTGACCATTATGGCCAATGCCTGGTCTATCGGCCGAGATGAGAATGTGTTTGATCATACGTTAGGCGACCTTTCCGATTTCGTTCCCGAGAGGTGGCTGCGGCAAGATGAGAATGGAGGTGAAAAGCTTCGAACGGACCTTCCGCTCCCAGTATTTGGCCAGGGCCGACGTATCTGTCAAGGTAAAAGGGTCGCGACAGACGGTATATTCATGCAGCTTGCCTGTTTGCTCTGGGCATTTGATATCGAGCCCGCTGATGGAGAAGAGGTTGATCCGTGGGTAATGGTCGTGGAGGGCTTCATGACTATGCCCGGGGAGCTAGAATTTAGACTCAAGCCGAGAGGTGACTGGGTGCGGGATGTCATTGCCAGAGAATGGCAAGCAGCAGAAAAGAAACTAGAAAAGGTTATGGGCACAGTAAACGATGTTGAGAAATAGGCTCTACTACTGATTGCCATTTGAGGTCGGTCTTAATGGAGAAGACCATTCCCTTATTATCTTATATGACTGAATGTACTGGACTTGATTTGATTCCTTTAAAGATATCCGGCCATGCCAACAGCTTGAACTATCTGCTTGATCTCCCCAAACTAACGCGAAAGGAGAGTTCTAGCTCTCGAAACTGTGTACAATTTTCAATAACAGCCAAGCAGGAGACGAGATTACGGCGGGATAAAGCAAGATACTGAGTGGGAATCGGAGGAACTCCGAATCATACGTCATGTGCGCTATGTTTTGCGATTAGTCTCCGGTTCATTTTGACTTATGTTTTATTTTTCTTGTTCCTCATTTCGAGGGGTAGATTGGGCCAGTTGCATTGGTTTGTACGTGAGGAATAGCCAAGCAATATGTTCCGAGGTCCCTCCTGATTGAAGAGAACAGTGGAAGGTAGAAAGCGAGGCCTCAACTGAGCTTTTGCTTCGTATATACACCTCGTGGCTTAATTTTCACTTTCTTGGATGTCATTGTTGATTCGTTCCTAGGTGAATCTGACAAGTGCGAAGGAAAGCATTTGATACCACTTTGGAGATTATCTTGGCAGAATGGTCAACGTAACCACGGTTATAAAGAGGCTTTCTGTGTCGCTGTACTCAATATAATTGTCTCGATTCCCCTGTCTGCATGTTCAACACATAGGTATAAAGTCCATATGGGGGCAGATCGATCAGGGCGCCAGCAAAGGTGACGCAGCTTGCCTCAATAAAGACAAAGAGTACCTACTTGTCGTGGGTGATACAATAGGTAGAAAGTTCACACTGGTAACTCGCCAAGCTGCCAAGAATCAACTCCCTCAATTCCCCCGCATTCGACCCATCCAGTGCCCGTATATCCCCGGATTTTCCAACTAAATCTGTCTGAGTTTCCACTTTTCCTTGCCCCTCCCTTTCCCCTCCTTTCTCTCTTGGGACATTATAATGCTGTCGGGCTGCGAACTACTGCATTTAGTGAAAGATCCGAGGCATCTAGCTACTTCCCGTCGGCTATTATGTTCTGGATCGGCTATGTGATGCTGGGCAAGTCTGGGCAAGTCTGGGTATCTCTCAATCCAGTGTCAAATTAGGCGAGAGAGTCGATGCTATACTGTGGGGATTTAGAATTGGACAATGCGCCACTCATAGAGCAGAGTTGCGATTGGCTCTCACTTATCTAAAATCGTGGATCCTATCTGGCATAGATCAGCCCATCGGTGTACAGCAGGGGACATTCAAAACCTAGAAGGCCTTTTGGCATAGCTGAGATGCATATAAAAGTACTTCTTCCTGCAGGGTTGTAGTTAATAAAATCTAGCTTCCTCTACCTAGAGATCCTTTCTTCGTTACATCTCACTTAATACTCCTTATCATTGTCATTCTATCACCTCATTCTGTGACGAGATGTCCATGATGACTCCTATCGATGAGAAACCACCTGGCGTGGAGCGTATCGAAGACATAATGGTGCACAACACCCCGACCCAAGAGGAGGAAGAATTCACGCCGGAAGAACAGAGGAAGATCATTCGGCGCATTGATCTTCGTCTTGTTACAATGACTGGACTGGCTTACTGTATTTCCCTCATGGATCGGACGAATTTGAGTATGGCTGCCATTGCCGGGTAAGGTGATACAGGTTCTGGCTGATTGCTGTTATTGTTCTTGGAATTGACAACCCGCAATTTTCTCAGTTTGACGACAGAATTAGACTTGGAACATGATAATCGCTATGTATGTATTCCATTCCATTCCATACCACTTTTCATCTGATAGAAAGTGTTCTAACGCCAAGGGTTCTTGTGACAGTCTATCGCCGTGTTGATGTTCTTCGTGCCATATGTCCTCTTCCAGCCGCCGATGACGATTTTGATTCGAAAAATTGGTCCGACTATTTTCCTGTCGACGATTATTATGACTTGGGCTGTGACCTTGATTGTATGGACTGTCTTGTGCTGGTTGTGATATTGGTGCAGCGAAGATATACCTTGCTGACCCAACTCCCAGGGAACGGGTTTCGCGAAGGACTTTGGGCAACTGGTCGGGCTACGAGTTTTGCTGGGTGTTTTGGAGGCAGGGTACTTCCCAGGATGCGTATACCTGCTTTCTTGCTGGTATACTCGGTGTATGTGCAGTACTTGGAATGCGGGCGATATCTGCGCTGACTCAAGAGAACAGATGACGTCCAGAAGCGATTCTCTGTCTTTTATTTGATCGGATGTGTTGCATCTGCGCTTTCGGGTATCTTGGCATTTGGTTTGATGCAATTGAATGGCCAACATGGCTTGTCAGGCTGGCGGTGGATCTTCATCCTGGAAGGAGTGGTATGTGTGCCATCCAGGCCATCGCATTCCAGATGGTCGCTAAAAAGCTTATAGATCAGTGGAGCCATCGGAATCCTCTGCTACATCTTCCTCGTCGATTTCCCCGACCGTGCATCCAAATCCTGGAAGTTTCTAAATGAGGCCGAGTGTGCCTTTATCGTCCGTCGCATTGAAAATGACCGCAAGGATGGCCACCTGGAGGCGTTCTCGCTCAAGAAGTTCCTCAAGCCGGCATTGGATCCGAAGATTTGGGCATTTGCTATGATCTTCTTGTGAGTACCTGCCTCTTTTGAAAAGCTTATCTCACTAACCACCGCACACAGTTGTCTCACCACTGTCACCTACGCCATCGCTTATTTCCTGCCCATTATTCTCCGGTCCGGCATGGGCTTCGACATTGGCCAGTCACAATGCCTGGTCGCGCCTCCGTACGTTTTCGCAGGCATCGTCATGTACACTGGCGCGTGGATTGGCGACAAATACCACATGCGTGGACCGATCCTGATCGCCAACGCGCTGCTGTGCATTATCGGACTCCCGATGATGGGCTTCGCTAAGGGTAACGCCACCCGTTATGCCGGAGTCTTCTTGACGGTCGCTGGAGCGAACGCGAACATCCCCTCATGCATGGCGTACCAGGCAAACAATGTGCGAGGACAGTGGACGCGTGCATTCTCCAGCGCCACCCTGGTGGGCTTTGGTGGGCTGGGTGGAATTGCGAGCAGTTTAGTTTTCCGCGACAAGGATGCGCCAGAGTACCGACCGGGAATGTATGCGGCTCTTGCGTAAGTTTGACTCGACTGAGATGTCCAATATTGATGGCGTATTATAAGCTAACTTAGTTTCTGCAGGTGTAACATCTTGATCATTCTGATTGTCTGCGCTATGAGTGTATGGCTCCGGTTCTGCAATCGGCAGGCCGATCGAGGCAAGCGGGTCATTGAGGGTGAACCCTCATTCCGGTATACCATCTGAGTAGTTCCTAGTTCTAAACAATGCGATTTAGTTCTGCTTACGAGCTGATTTCAAATCGTCAGTCGTGTTTTTAATGCGTACAGTATTTCCATGTTTCTCAATTGAAGCTAACATGTTGGCCCGTACTCATAACGCAAAGGCCAGTATCTTTGGCCCCGTCTCACTTATCTCACACTGCCACCCAGGAGAAAGCCGAGGGAAATATCATTGACCGTGGTATTGAAGAGTTAACATTATGGTTCTGACGTTTAGAGCTGCAGATAGGCAGCCAAAAGTATTGTTGCTATCAGACTCTGACCTATATTAACATGGCGTAGGGGCATTCCATGACTTTGCAGGACAGAATAAGAGTGGGACTTTTGAAGGAGTCGGTTATCTGGCACCATTGCCTTATGATTACATGCGTCTTCGGAAAGACGAGAAGGCTTGCCGCTTGTGCCGCTTTGTCGATGGGCCTTTTATCAGACGACGACCTGTACGATACTGCACTTGAAGTAAATACTTGCCGGTTTATTCTTCCCGCGTGAGACTGCTCTAGATCAAAGTCAGCAAATGTAGTCCAATGAAGTATGTGTATTTCGCTGACTGTCCCTGGGAGGCTTGAAGTCTTGGCGGCCAATATTACCATATATGGTTAGCGTGGCGATGCGGTCATCGACTTTTTGTTGAAAGACCCTGACCTGGACTTCTCCTATTGGCCCTTCTAAATGGAATAGGTGGGTCCGACTAATGGCATCAGAAATATTGATCCCGATTATACATTGTTCAGAGGGACGTTGAATAATCAATGCTCGTGCATTTGTCAGAATGTAGCCCACCTGCTCTATATAAGATGCCCGCAGCCCAGGTAAAACCTTCTCAGAGCATCTTTTTATTCCTTTCCAATTCATTCCAAGTCCCTGTGAGACACAAGAGATTTGTACTCTGTCTTCGTCAAGACCTGAACACGACCTATTCGACCACAACTTGCAATCATCAACCACGCATAACTTCAAAATGAGTTCTACAGGCTTCAAAAGCTCCCTTACCATGACCTTCATTGGTACAGCAACTGCTATATTGGATATCGATGGTGTCAGATTCCTGACCGATCCTTTCTTCTCGCCTGCCGGCACTGAATTCGATATTGGTCTCACGGTCCTTAAAAATGAGGAAAGCCCAGCCCTTCGTCTTGAGGATCTACCTCCTATCGATGCTATTCTTCTAAGTCATGAAGACCATCCTGATAATTTGGATCCCCTTGGGCGTCAACTTTTGGATGGCCGTCATGTGTTGACGACAATGGATGGCGCGTCAAACCTTGCTCCTCGTCCAGCTGTCCGCGGTCTTGAACCTTGGGAAACTGTTACTTTGAATCTTGGAGGGAAAGTCTTTGAAATAACCGGTACACCATGCCAACATCTACCTGGTGGAGAGTGTACTGGCTTTATCATCACGACTGAGGACTTCGGCGTTGGCGATAACGGTCTCCCTAACGCAATCTACTTCTCTGGGGACACTGTATACCTGGAAGAATTCAAGACAATCCCCGAGAAGTGGAATATCACCGCTGCAATTCTCAACTTCGGTAATGCCACCCCGGTGCTCCCAGACGGGCCTGTGCAGATCACGTTTGACGGCAAGCAAGGCGCCCATATGTTCCGTGTTCTCAATGCAGATGTTCTCATTCCTATGCATTTCGATGCTTGGGGTCACTTCGAGCAAAAGGGTGTTGAACTCAAGTCAGTTCTCATCGAGGAGGGGATCAATGACAAGGTGCAGTGGCTTGTGCCAGGAAAGCCCGCGAAGGTTTTATGATCAAACGAAGAGGCAGTCTACCCACGGAACCATTCCAAATGAAAATTCTAAATCGTTTTTTGTGTACTCAATTGTTATTGTTTTGGACAGGATGGAATTGAAATAGCGATTATCATGAAAGCCAGAAAACCAGGGGGCACCTTCCATTTGACGACTTGCGACTCTACCATATGCCAATATTAATTCATCACTGTAGTTCTATATTGATTCTTGTTCTAATTCTCCTTTCTAGAGTTGCATACATCTACTCCCCTACCAGCATGTACCCTGTTAAAACCTATTGTAATTATAGTCGCATCTATAAGTTCAGCCATTCCAACGTAATCCTCCAATGAGGTCGCTTTTACTTACGTCAAGGTTAGGAAGTCCTGAGATACCCCAATACCCCGTTAATTAGTAACGTCAACTTCCAAATCTCCAATCTTGATTCGTGTAGATTTGAAGTCAAAACATAAGAGAAAATAATTTGGTCATAGTCCAGTAACGGCAATCCAGTCCAATATTGGAAAGTGGTGAATTTTTAAAGCGCTTGCGTCGATCCCTGATTAATTCCCTAGGTCGCTACCTACACTCAGGGGTGGTCTACCGGTCAATATGACGTCTAAATATATCAAGTACCAAAAATTGCGCAAAATTTTCGATTGCCATTGTAAATACTTGTTCATTCGCTTTCCACGAGATCTACCTGCAAAAAGATGTCGAATACACCGAGACTCATATCTTGGATATGGAGTCTTTTGGAGGCTTACAGGATCTATATGAGAAAGGCTATCGGACTCATTACAAGCAAAAGAAGGAAGTGCTCAATTCTAGATCTCCCACCAGAGTTGATGGATCTGATATTTCCCCATCTTTCTGTTATCTTCAAGGCTTGCCTAGCAATGAGCTGCAAGAATTTCTACCATCAGTTCGGATATATCTTGAAAGCCGACCACTTTAGGTATCCATATTCCGACGGACTAGATACATCCATCAATCCGATTATTCGCGGTGATTTCCTCAAAAGGCTTCAATCTCCAGAGTCATACTTTGGGTCACGGCGCTGGAGGTACTGTCATGCGTGCATAAAATTACATCCGGGCAATGATTTCGACGAAATGCACTCGGTGAACTTTTGTGAACCATCAAGGGCTCAATGCGCGTGGCCTGGCGTTATCATGCTTTGTCCATGTCTAAAAATCTGACTGAAGACGTTAGCAAGCATCTATAATGATGTGCAGACAACGGAGTACCTAAATTATCTAGGCAATGTTCCACATTGGCATGAGTGCAGATTCGAGAGCCCATGCAAGAGGCTATCATATACCTTAGCAATATCCGTTTCTATCCTAGAGACGCGTGAGCTGATCTTCGATTTTGAGTACTTGGTTTACCTTAACCGGGTTACACCTTATCAAGGCAACCAACGAATCATGCTATGTCCCCACAAGGAGGCTTTGAAGATATTGATGAGCAGCCGCTATCGGAATTTCCGTCTGAAACATTTCACAAAGAATCCCCATATAAAACACATGCAATGTGATGGATGTGGGATTTTCCCCTCGGTAAGAATTTCTGATGATCTCACAAATTATGGGATCCAATTCTCAAGGAAATATCCCGCTCCCGGCCCGAGAGGGTATAGGTGTGCGGATTTTGCTGATTATGATTGGAATCGTCGGCACTCTTCTCTCACTGAAAGTCATCCTCCAAAATATCAGATTTGGCTGACGTATGCCTTAGTTACGATGGACCTCGACGAGGGGATCTACCTTACATAGATTCCTTCAATCCTACGTGGACATAGACCTAGCATTGTAAGATGTTACTCGTCTTTTGGCTCTATGGTATCACAGGTCGAAGCTGCACCTCAAAAGTCCTGAGTGATACTATATTACCTTATTTGGGCCACAAATGGCACTTCTGCTATTTTATAAAGCGATTGCATCTTATAAAAACCTCTCTATACCTCATGGCGCGCAATCACTAGCTAATTTAATTGCTAAAACTTGGAGGAACTGAAGAGTGTTTAGCTAAAAAGTCTAAGCCCACACTGTTTTCCTATCTTCCGCCCGAAAAACTTCCCCTGGAGCTAGTCTCCCTCTTGATGATCATTCATGGTAGCCCTCTAGGTACACATCATAAGCCATTGAATCGGCTGGAAATCCACGAGGGAGTCCGCATACATATTTCCTCTCCAATGAAAAGGGCAATTGTCATGACGTCATTGTATCCGTGCTGTCAAACTTTACATGTCTGTCATCTCTCTTCTTGAACAAGGGAATGTGAACTTTTACTTCGTATTTTAGATTTGGCCATTAAAAGTTCGCTTTAAATCTATTATGGCCGATCTCAATATTTCAACCGATAGCCCGGATTTTCTGACTGATGATTCGCTCCATGAAGCTTATGAGCTGGATATCCAATCAGAGAAAGGCCAAGATGTGCGCTTTGGAGAGATCGTCGCCTCCAAGGGAGATTCAGTAACGAGCATTGTCATTTTTAGTGAGTTTTTTTGTCTTCAGGATGATCGAATACACGGCTCACAAGCAAGTGCTGATTGATGCGTTTCAGTACGCCACTTCTTCTGCATATATGACCAAGACTACGTTCGAACTCTGGCTGGAAAAATCACCCAGTCCTTGCTCGACACTGTCCCGTCCAGCGCCAAACCAGCCCAAGTGATCATCATTGGATGCGGAGACCCTGCCCTCATCGGACCGTATATGGAAGAGACAACTGATGAGTTCCCGATCTACTCAGATCCATCTGGAAAAATCTACGAGAAACTCAATATGATAAGGAGCACAGATGGTATTACAGAGCCACCTCCATATTCATGTGAATCATTCTCAAGCGCTGTGGGGAAAACTTTCAAACAAATGTGGAAGCGCGGGTGGGCTGGACTCAAGGGTGGCAGTTGGGATCAGCAAGGGGGCGAATGGATCTTTCAACGCGGAAAACTCCGGTATGCTCATCGGATGGAAGGGACCAGTGATCATCTTACAGCCGAGCGACTTTGTGAGATTTTGAGCGTTGATCATGACCAAAGCAATACCTCATTATCTGCGAATACGACACAAGAGACCAAGGACACCCAAGGCAGTAAAGAAATGGACGGTAATCTAGAAAGCGGACATCCATCAGGCACCTAAAAGGGGCGCGAGAGCCCCCGATTTACCATGATGAGGACATGCCTGAATGAATGCGAAAATGCGACTATAGAGCATATTATTGAAGCTCAAAATTCGGAATAGATGTGGTAATGGGAGTAGTGCAAAGCTCTAACACACTCATGATATAGCGGCCAATTGCTTGCATATATGACTGATTTATCGGATGATTTAACAACTTCAAAGTCGCCCTCTCTATCTCTTAATATATTGTATTCTGTTGTTGATCCACCTGGGCATTGATATGTCGAATATTTGGCCGTCTTCGTGAGACCCGCCCATCTCTAGGCTAGAATATCACGCCAGACTAATTCCCTGCTCTCCTTCACATGTTGCAACAAAATCATTGATATACCACCACACTCAAAACACCTTGAGAAGTCTCTTCTCGGTATAGAGCAACCTCGATATCATAATTATCGCCGATCCTGCAAGGCACATGACGCCGCCAAACACCTTCACATCGAGCCAGCCGTTGGTCGATTTTTGAAGGATGGCTCCACCTATGGGGGCCATAGTGAGGGCGGGGATCGAGATGGCAAGGAACACCACGCCCAGTCGGTAGCCAATCTCGGGTAGGGGAGACACCGAGACGGGAAGGGCGCCAGAAAGACCTATGAACGCTCCTGAAACAAAGCCGAACATGATGGCAAAGCCGATGGCGATGGACGAGTGTTTGGCGGGGATCCAGACGGCGAACTCGGCGATTCCGGAGAGGCTGCAGGCGATGATGAACATATTCCATCTTCCGATTCTATCGGCGCCATAACCCGAGGCCAAACGACCAAAGAGACTTGAAATATGATCGTCAATATTCCGCTAAATTTGTAGATGATGGTGACAGGGCCGGATATTAACCTACCTTGCGCCGTTGAAGATGGATACCAAGTATTGAGACATCTCCTCCGACATGTGTGCCTCTTCAAGACCTTGTACAGCTAGGTAGTCGATAGGGATGAAAATTCCATAGGTCAGGAGGAAAATGCCCAATAGTAACATGGCAAACGGGAGCTCCGTGAATGGTGCAGCGAAGCGACCGATAGGCATCTTCTTGGGCACAGGCTTCATTCTCGGGCGAACTGTGAGAATTGCAATGATTTGCAGGCCAAGAATAAGAAAGGCCGCAGTCCGCATAGCCCAGGGGTACCCGGTGCTTTTGATCATGCGACTGATCATGATGGGAAAGATGACGCCGCCGACTGATGAGCCTGTCACCATGATGCCCATAGCTGTTCCGCGCTTCTTGGAAAACCAGGTTGAGACGCAGGCAAGCGCTTTATCACATAGGACTCGGTCAGCATGGAACACTCAACCAGCGGGGAAATGCATCAGACTTGCCAGGCGAGTATAAACACGCAACACCGATCGCACTGCACACTCCCTGAGACAAGAGAAATTGATAGTATGTTCTCGCCAACGAAGCCATCATCAGCCCAAAGACGTGAAACAGTGTTCCGCCAATGATGAGCGGCCTGGGTCCGTAGTTGTCGAATATTATGCCGACAACAGGACCCAAGGCAAACAGGAAGAAGAGCTGAAGCGACGGAATCCAGGCAATGGTGCTGCTAGAGTATTCTTTCAGAGGTCCAACCTCGTAATACTCCTGGAAGCTGCCCACACCTGATGGAAGAAGTTTGCTATTAATCTATCGCGTGCTGCTAGATGCCGCATAGCGGAAATATAGAGAGGCATTTAGAAGAGAGAGGATCCGTACTGTTGATCCAGCCCGGGCTGGAGAAAGAGCAGCACCACGCTCCCAGAACAACAATCCACGCAGTGGTGCCGCCATCCGGGGGGCCAGCGTCTTCTAATTTAGCGGCATCGTCAGGCTTGGTGCCGGGAATTGGGCTTCTGACGTCTCCGAGGTCCCGCTCAGTTCCGCCATTGAAACCGGACTCTGACTGTACAGCCTTCTCGGAGTCGGTCTTCAGATCGTGCATGGTACTAATATCCTCGGCGTTTTTCGTACTGGCCGTGGTAAAGAGACTAGGGAGAGAGGAAATCTTCAAATTGATCAGTTGCAGGAACTTTGAACGTACCGAGGGAAACGAACAGCACGAAAACCCACCGTCTCTACAATCCCTAGCTTAAGAACCACTTCCTTTATACAAATTATACAAGCGGCGATAAGTGGGGCCATGCGGAGGGTCGGGCGATCCATGATTGGTGTGTCGCGGCGGAGCTAACAGTGCGGACAATGGGCTCTACGAATGCTCCGCTGTATTGAAATAACGCGCTCTCTTTCTCTCGACCGCTGCTAGGCTTTTGGCCTTTTGTATTCGACCTTTTGCATAGTTCGAGCCTCATCCTCCTGCGGAGCTCGTGAACGATGGGTACCCCTGACGAATCCCCAGTCCTCCGCCCTCGCCTGGGCCGCCAACGCTATAAGCCGCAGCTTTCTTGCAATTCCTGCCGCCAGCGAAAGTGTGTTTCGCCCTCCTGCTTCGTGGGAAATATCTCAGACCCCGAAAACTGCGGAGCTAACGCCGTGCGTAGGAGAAAGTGTGACCGACAAAAGCCTTGTTCTCATTGCATTGTAAGTCCCGCGTAAGCGGAACGACTCATCCCGAGAAGAAGAAAAGGAAAACATTGTGAAACTTACAACATCATGCAATGCGGATCAGAAATCCCACCTCGAGCCGACATGTACATACGTCAACTCTCTAGCGCCGGGCTATCCGTCTAGACAACTGCACGCTATCTCGCCCACTGCCCAGCACTTTCACGAAGATAACAGCACGTATGCCACCGAGCTAGGTGTATTAGCGACGCCGAGCAGCTCGGCTTCCATTGCATCGCCAGAGACTATAAATTTAGAATTAACGGAGTCTGGGACTGGCTTCAAAGATCCAACCCACTGGACCTCCGTGTTGAGCGGCGTGACAGAAGCGAAGGGCCAAGATGATCCATCATCATCACTCGATCAGAATGTCCTTCTCTTTGAAGGGTGCAAACATGCAACTAACCAAGAACTTCTCAGTTCGATGCCGCCCAGAAGAGAATCCGATGGCTTGGTGGCACTCTACTTTCGAGCTCAGGAATATCGGTGTAGGTGTCCACGCGACTCAAGATACAGAGCGAACTCAAGCACCCCTACTGACGCTATGTCTAAACAGCTGTAATACATCCGACCGAGTTTTTGAAGAGAGTAAGTCTTTACACATACCACTCGGAGAAGACCAATCACCGACCGCGTTAATCAAGTATAACGCATTTTGGGAGAATCCTAGTGCTACATCCGTCACCTGGCTCGGCCTCTTGTACAGCATCTTTTGTCTTACCAGCCAAATTCAGAGTCAAGGAAACGCCCGTTCGAGAGCCCAAAATAGTGTGTCGTCCACTTGGTCTCCCACAGCCTTGTATACCATACTGGGATATCGACAAAAGGTCGTTCAGTGCCTCGTCCGGGCTCAGTTCGCCAAGGGGGGCCCTGACATAATGGAAACCCTTGTGCATTACCTCTTGATCGAGAGCTATTTGAATAAAGATTCCAACATTGGAGTCTGGCTCTTGATGGGCAATATTGTCCAAATAGGTACGTCTTCATGCTGATCCGGGTTAAGGCTTTTCACTGTGAAGCCTTCCTCCAGCACCCCCAAAGCAAAGGTCCCCCACTGGTCTATCATCCCCGAAGAGATTCAACTGAGAATAGCTTGTACAGCTATCCGCATGGGCTACCATCGAGACCCACAGCATTTCAAGTCTCTATCCCCTTACCAGGGTGAGATGAGGCGCCGGATGTGGGCTATGATATACTCTCTTGACATAGGGTTCGCATCACAAATGGGCCTCCCTGGCAGCATCAAGCACTCGCTCAGCGACACCATGCCGCCTCGAAACCTTCAGGACCGCGACTTTGATGCCAGCTCGACCGACCTGCCGCATACGAGACCTATTGACGAACTTACCTCAAGCACCGTGATTCTCGCCAAGCTTCACGTTGCCACCAGTCTGAGCGTCATATCAGACAAGGTCTGCAGCCCCCACCAGCTATCACACGAGGATCTCATCGCGGCGATTTCAACACTAGACAACATGTATGAGACCATTCCCGACCCTTGCAAGTTCCGACCCACATCCGAATCTCTGTTGGACCCTCCAAGCGTCTTATTTCAGGTCAGTGCCGTGGCTCTCCCTCGCAGACGCAACCTCGCACCCAGTATACAATCCCAAATACCCTAAAAAAAAGGTCGAGAGCGAAAAAAGTGAGAGAAAGAAAAGGATGGGGGCCAGGAGAATGAGAAAAAGGATTCAATACACTACGGAACCTCCTAGCTACACAAGCCTAGTCTTTCAAAGTAGATGGACCTGCTAACATGCCCTTTGTCCTCAACAGCGGATGAACTTTTACATGCATTACCAGAGAGCCCGGATCCTAGTCAACTGGAAGTTCCTCAGTACCTCGGAGGATACGACTCGCAACAATCAATCCTGGAGTATCGTGATCGAGGCGGCGTTACATATCATGCGGCTGCAGCACCGCGTGGCAGACGAGTCCGAGGTCTTCAACACGTTCCGCTCTACTGTTATGGCCGACTCGTGTTTTATAAACAATGGTTACTTTCTAGCCGCAAGTATCGCATGCTTTCTCGTGCAGCATCGCAAGGACATTTTGTCAGTCCAGGATACATTGGAAGTGCGAAGCTTGCTGGAGAAAAGCCTAGCCATCTGGGATCGCACGAGCGACTTGTCGAGAGAAGCAAGCAGAGTAGTCACAGCTCTGAGACTCGTACTTGGAAACTCCGAGGACACTACAATAGAAGCAAGGGCGTCTCCTCAAGCGGGTGGAGGTAAGAACTCAAAGCTTGATCGTAAAGTTCCGGATCCAACTAACCTTGCGCTCGCCATCCCAGAAACCTTTGGCAGAAGTCCGATATCATTTTCTAGTCACACCTCTTTCTTTGATGATTTGCCTTTGATGATGGCAGATGACGATACTTCAATTTTCCTTTCATTGCCCTCGGTTCCCATGACAGACTATTGGCCACAGATAGTGTGAGGAGAGTGGTTGCTGGAATTAGCCTATTGGCAAAGCGCGCAGAAACAAGTGCTTAAGTGCCGAGGTTAATAAATATATTGAATTACAGCAACACGACCGCAATGGCGCCTATCGAGATGTAATAAATGGGACGAAATTCTCTTACGCATCCGAGAAATGCGATCTTCTTGTTACGGACCCGCAGGGGCAAGGAGACTTTAAAGCACAATAACCGAAGCGATACATATAAAGAGAAAACAGGATTATGTCAAACCCCTTTTCCCTGGGGCTCTCTGATCATCAATGCGAACTTTTGACTTCCCTCTCCACCACGCTCCGTGTAATCCAGCTGTATTTCCTCGACGATTCTCCACCCGAGCTTCAAATACACTGGCACTCCTTCCATCGTAGCCTCCAGATATATGCGGGCGTTACTGGCGTCTGCTCTCTCAATACCCCAATTGAGAAACGCCCTTCCTATTCCAATTCTTTGGTACTCGGGTAGGATGCATAGTAGTTCAAGGACTAAGAGGGATTTTAGCAATCAAAATTGTAGAAGTTTCATGTATGGTGGCAAAATGGGTCGACGAACCAAAATCATTCGCCTTGAGATGCAGGTTCCTACTACGCTTTATCATTTCCTCATAAAACGTGTATGTACCCTTGTTCAACTTTGGGGCATACGCCCACATATTCTGCATTTGTGCTTGCGCATCGTTGCTCAGACTTGTGTCTATGGCTCTTTCGAACCCGTAAATAGCTGGTATATTCCAGCGGCTGTATGCGATGATATCACCGGCTTCAGCGTCGACACCCGCTAAAATATGACACTCGGATTTGGCGAAATACTTGAGGGAAGAGACTGTTTTGAATGTGTGAACTGCCAATGGATCACATCCCTTGTATGTGCTGCGCATATAATTGGACGATGGAAAAGAGCGAATCTCAATGCTCACCAGTGCACTTAGGTCAGATGCATTGGCATACTTTATTTCAAAAGGCATAGATGATGTGGGTGCCATCTTCAATTGCAACGTGAGTATGAAGGTTCGATTCCAGTGCGATACATTAAATTGTACACTGAATGAGTCATTTATCAATTCCATGCCGCAACGGTATGATGACAATGACTCACGGAGAGATGAAACTTAAAATAGATCAGAGCATTCCGGAGTGTTTTTCTCCTTCCGAATCAAGTCGTAAGAGTATGGAGGTATCAACCTGCACAATAAGTCCTCGGACAGAAGTGACGGCGGCACTCCCGTTTTTGTCAGGAATTGCAAGAACGTAAATCCCAGGCGAGCCACTCCCAGGTCTCGCCGCTGGCTCCGGATCAAAAAATGCTGTTCTGATGTAGGATTCCCGTCATGGTTCTTTCTAGCATGGGAAAAATATACGGAAACCGGTAGTATATATAAGACCGCAAGACTCCTGGGGATGGATACCCTGCCTCACGGTCGGCGACCGAGAGGTAGCACTGCCCGACAAAACAGGACTCATGCAAGGTTCATCTTTATTGCTTATTCTCCTCCCACGTCTTTCCACTATGATCTAGTCGGTTGAATCATCAATTTTTGTGGCGGTTTGTCAGCTTTCAACGGACATTTATTTCTGGTGGGTCTGCGGGTCGGCCGAAGAGAATCTAGCTACAGTAAGATCTAAACATAGGCCCGGAATTTAGGGTCCCACTTGGCGCTGGACAAGACCGAGCCCTGGAAACAAGAGCAAAAACGAGATGACAAGTCACACAGAAATAGGAGGTAGCTCAGGAGGTTAGTGATCCGAACCAATAGCGAGAATGCCTCACCTGCAGGAGGACGAAAAATAAAATGTGACATGTGGAAGACAAGGCAGTAGATAACACCGACGCTAAGCCAAAATGGATTGTGGTGGATCATATTAAGTCTAACAGAGTAATTCGTTGTCCCCTTCCGATATGGTGTAGTGGCTAACATCGTCGTCTCTCACACGACAGCCGGGGGTTCGATTCCCCCTATCGGAGTTTCTTTTTGCCCTTTTTTTCTTGCCCGCTTCACGGCATACTGGGATTTGACCCTTTTTCCAGTACCATTTCGTTGTGTTTTTTTTGTCTTAATATCAAGGATCGAGAAAAGCACTTACCCAGAGTGTCCAATATATTGTGGGTCAAATCCAGGGCCCTGTTCATCTTGTCCTATAGTCGCCGCCCGCTGCTTATCATGGCCCCGGACAACCGCTGTCGTCGCACCATCAACCTACTTGGGTTATCAAACAAAGTCAACGCCAGATCAAGTAGTATATGACCCGCCATCTCCTTTGGTGAGTACTGGATATTGGCGAGCAGACGGCCCATCAAATCCGTCTCAGGCTGCGCTACTCTCGTACGTAGAGCGGTAGATATCAAGATTCCGTTTGTGATGGCTGATTTGCTGGCCTCTTTGTTTCAGGCCTTTAGGAGCGGTCGACGTGGAGACAGTTTCTGTACCGGGGGAATATTTTGCGGATGGCCGTGTGTGATTTTCCATTTTGCTATTTGCTTATAAAGTCGACGAGGAGAAAGTTTGACGGGGGAGGTGTAGATGTCAGCTTTTTTGTCTACAACTGGACGTGCGCGACGCGAAGGCTGAGATGGGGGTGAAGTTCCGAAATATTCGCCTGATGGGCTCTAGGGGCAAGACTATGCCTGCGTGCGATGCGTGACAAGAATTGAAAGTGGTGAAAGATCTCAATTAGGAATAAGGAAAGAGGAAGGAAGAAAGTAGAGCTCGCAAGGGACTTAATTTAAGAATGGGAGATCCAGGTCGTCTAGGGAGATCTATAGTTGAACACCTCACTAACGGCATTTTGCCTGGCGCTTCAATTTGAAATTAGAAGCACATGCTGATTTGTTGCGCGGAAATTGATTGACCAAGGGTCCTGTTTAAATGACCTCGCTCTGTATGTCGCCTTCTTTGGTGCTTTTCACAATCTCGACTGCTTCCTCATCGTGAACCATCTTCTTGACCTGCTTGCGAACGTGAAGCGTCATGAGGTCTGGGCGACTATAATGGCCGGTAGCATCTGCGAAAATCTTGGTGGCCACGATTTGATCCATATCCAAATCGGCATAAATGATCTTTTCCGTTGTACTATCAGCAGGCTCCGTCAATCTTCTACCATCTGGGCCAAAGATGGCCGAGCTACCTCCTCCAGGAGATGACATCAGCGCTCCCCCAGACGTGTTCATTTTCTCGATACCCTTTTGAGTAATCAGTGCAGTGCAATGGAGCACGAAACTCTGCGACTCTATGGCGTATGTTTGGGAAAGACTATGGCAGCCTAGAATTATCTTAGTAGATGTTTTTCTGAAGAGGCTAGAATGAACGTACCTTCTGCCGACATAGACCACAGATCTGAGCCACCACTGTGAGGAGTGAGACTAGGCCATGCTGAAACATGGATATCTTCCTGCTGGGATAAGGTGTGATATTTCAGCAGAGGCTGAATATGCTCCCAGCATGACAGTGCACCAACTCGTGCAAATGGAAGCTGTACGACACTTGCGAAGCATTCACCTGAGGCATCACCGAATATTGTTCGCTCCATGTGCGTAGGCTTCATCTTGCGACGATGAGCCTTGATCTCTCCATCTGGTCCAATCATTACCTGAGCGATATAAACCGAGTCACTGAAATTTTCCGAGAAGCCCAAAGAGACAGCGATTGCATTGGTGCTTGCGCAAAGCTGAATCTGCTTCATCTCGGGAGAATCTAGACGGATTGAATTCTTGATATAGGCTACATTAAGCTCAACGTCGAGTAGTCGGGTCCTATGGAGACTGTTAATACCAGTGGTGTTCTTGTCATCATTCCTGACTTACCATATCCAACAGGGATACCCGGGTATCCAACATTCGGGAAAGGCAATCAGCTTCGCCCCGTTCTTAGAAGCCTCTGTGATCAAATCACAGGTCTTTGCCACCCCGGCTGCGAGATCCAACCAGGCTGGTTCGGCTTGGGTGACGGCAACACGAACAGTTTGGGTCGACATGATGTATAAGCTTCCAAGGTTTCAAGATGTGGATATTGTTCCGATGAGGTCGGGAGATTCTAAGACGGGGGAATGCCACATTTATACTAAATCTCCGAGCACTACCTACTTCGCCCCCCTGTGACTTTTCGCCAAGTGCGGGATTGAAGCTTCCGCGGTCTTAAAGTATATCTCTGTCTTTATCTCAGTTTGGTAAGTTGTAATCTCCTTATCTTCCTATCAGGGTACCTTGATAAGGTCGATCGTTCTATTCAGGGTTTTAGTGATTATGGGGCATCTGCGGAGGTTATACTCTCCGCAGTGCGGGGAACCCAGTCACTGGCACCAATCACCTCAAATAATTTGCAATGATTTGCTTCAGGAAGGGCTATGCTGACTATTTTTTATCTATTCCCATTGTTTTTCCGTGGAACAAATTGTACTGGAAGATGCGGAAGGATAATGTCCGCAAATTTTAACGCTGTTCATATCCTGATAAGCGGAATCTTAAATAGCGCGGGGATCTGCAGCAACGTTATCGAATCACGAATTCTTGTTTCAAAGTATCACTTCTATCTACGTCCATTAAGTTATGTGGGGAGTCAAATTGTCACAAAATGAGCCATTCGTTTACTCCATCTTTGGCCTTCAATACCGCGATGGCGAACCGACCACCGAAAAAGAGTCTATGAGAAGCAACTTCGATGCTCTTATCACCGCCAAAGCCACTTACATCGATCGCGTCATCCAAGAAGATGCAGTTACCACAAATCATGGCAAAACCTTTGTCTGGCTTGGGTATTGGAAATCTCGCACAGAATACCTCGACTGGTGGACGAGTCAACCGGTATCCCACTTCTGGTCATCGCTACCTCTAGATGCGGGAATGTGGAGAGAAGTGATGATGCCAGATGCATCCCGCACACAACATGGCACCAACAGGACAGATCAGATTGGACTTGGTACTCTCGGATCCCGAGTGTCAGTCGCCGACAAATCAGGATACTGGGGCTGTTATCGGCAACGAATGAGTGCAACCAGTGATAGATTCGCGACGCCCCTCGCGAAGGATTTAAAACCCTGCCCCTCTATAACACTCCCACTAGGTCAGGTTTCTATCCGCTCTGAAAGAGTTCTCTTGGCCCAGTTTCCAGACAACATATGCTTCGTTGTCGAGGGCCAAGACCACTCCGAGATCTCACCAGAAGAAAAAGACTATTGGTTTCATAATTTTCACGAATCCGTCGAAACTTGGATCAAGGATCTCATGTCCGCAGAGGCAGATTCTGGGATCCTGGATGGCCGTTTATGCTTTGATGCGGAAAGTGGAGCCTTCGGGAATTCCCCAATCTCGGCGCTCAATTATAACAAAAAGATCCAGCTGTTCTATTTCAAGGACATGCGGCACATGGAGCGTATTGGGCGCAGTAACAAAGGGCATGCGCAGCTGCGGGACCGCTTTTTGGCGGCATATGGGCCAGGTGGTGATATGAGTGCCGGGAAGATTGGAATGTGGGTTGAGACGACGGTGCTTAAAGCAGGAGAAATGGAATGTGAATATGTCGGTTGCTTGGAAGGGACAGGATGGATGGCGTGGGCAGGTCCTGGATCCAAGATTGTGTAGATGGTGAGAGATGGACAATTAAATGGAACAAAGAAAGAGGATCTTGAGTGGAACCTGGAAACTATTTACAATTTACAGGGACTCTGAAATTCCCAATCTCTTCGACAACACGTCCAAGGTTATTTTTTAATGAATTTAAATTGCTCATTTGCAAATCCACATCGGCTCGACTGTGTAATGCGATTCATGTAATTTGTCTGGCCGTTTGTGATCGTTGTATGTCGGTGATTCTTTGTTGATCATTATCTTCTGGGAGGTTGGAATTTAAAAGAGGCTTTTCATTTTGGTCATCACCTTTTTGTTATCATCTCAAGCTTTAAGATTGCATTTTCCCTTGAACTTGATCCCATTTGACCTTGCGCTTTCCTAGAAAGCCTACTGACAACATCAAAATGTCCCCCTCGGTTCTTCCCACGTCGACTGCCCAGTCAACAAGTCAGATGAAAGTGATTCTCAAAAGATCCGTGTGGGATCCAGTAGACCGGAGTCCTGTGCAGGTGGAGGATCTAGACCTCGACAAATCCTACGTGGACGATCTGAAAGAGGCAACAAAAAAAGAAGGGGATAATCAAGACTTCAAAATACCAGCCAAACAGACCTGGATCAACCCCAACCCGGGAAAGGTTCCCCTATATGACATCGAGCAATTACCAGAGGGCTGGCATCCAGCAGAACCGGATCTAGACGATGAGTATGTCTAATGCACCTATCCGTTAAAGTGATGTTAGACTGATAGGTTTGGCACAGTGATACGGTGCGTCAAATTGAAAGATGTTACGAACGACTTGATGAGGGGATCATGCCCCATATCTTCGAAAGTAAGCTAGAAAGACTTGAAACAGCTCTCATTTGTAAGCAGTGAGTCTCTTGGACCGAGTTGACTAAATTTACACTTTCCAAGCTGCTGACCTGCCTTCGTATAATAGAATGTTCAAGCCTAGAGAGGACTCCACACTGCCCGAAGCAGTTGTTCAAAGATTGGAAAGCCTTGACAGCCTTTGGGAAAGCATTTACAAAGCTGGCGACCGATTCGAACAACTAGTTAACATCGAAGCTGTCATGGACGCCTATAGGTCCGGTGAATTGCTATGGAATGGCCTTGTCACGTATTGGTCCTTTGGTAGCCAACTCTGTCAGCCTAGACCTTTCAATTGGGACGAATTTGAGGCGATAAATGAAAGATACGAGGGGAGCTTGTCTTTCTGGACTGAAGGAGTAAGTTTAACTTTCGTCAAGTTCCAGTTTCTGGTGAAAAATATATTAATCAGTCGTCTTAGCTGGACGGACCTGGGGATGAACACTGGAAATATTGTATATCAACTAGTCCTTCTGCCATGCACAGGTTTCTACACGTGGTATGTCCGAATCTTCAGAAGCGCATATTGAGAACCACCAGGCTTAATAAACCGTTTAGTACAGGGTTGCCTTTCGTCTTCCCAACTTCCAGTACTGGGAGGAAATGACAATGTTATACGATACTGGGGCAACGATGACAAGAATATTTTGGGACGACGTCGTTCGGCTCCAAGGCGAATTCACCACAGATGGTCATCCCATCCCGATAGTGGGAGCAGTCCGCGCCGAGGAGATGACCTCTTTTACCGGTGCAACTGTGATAATGATCGAAGTCTGTCTAATAAACCAGGCCCAGCCCAACATTCGTGAAACACCATGGATCAGAATCCAATGTGCCGTCTCTGAGGGACCAGCTGATCCAAGATATCCCCAACGACTTGATGGACCCTGGTTACGGCAGTTTATGCATACTGCGACTGAACCAGACGGATACAATCGGATACGTATTGCGAGCAATAGAAGCGAGCTGTCATTGATCAGGTTTGGACTGCCTCACACGGTGGATCGACGTTTGCCTAGAATTCCATACTATACAGTTGAGCGGGGTGAGCTTGAAGTACCACCCGCCATACGACCGGCAGATTTTTCGGGAAACTCTTCAGAAGAAGCAGAGAGAAGAGTGGTTAAAAGGAGCAAGAAGATGCCTAAGGCAAGCCGACGTGGGATTGAAGACGATGTTGTTGGCTAGGGATGTCGATTAGGCTGTTTTCACTACTTTCCCCATTTAGAGCTTCTATAAAGTATCCATGAATTTAACTTTTTTATGCTTTGACGTTTAGTTTTCGTTCAATTGGAATAGAAGAGAGAACAGATAACATTATCATCGTCATTGTTTTTGGTAGGTCCAGCCCCTCGGGTGAATGATTACCCCACATTAGCCAGTCTGACTCACTGTGCCTCATCATTACAACACATCCTGATTGGCTATGCTACTCAAGGAACTCAATTCATGAATGATCTATAAAAGATACAAGAGACACGGCACCCATTCCATGTCATTCGGTACATCTCGAGATGCTTGTATCTAACTTAACATCGACTACAACTTCCACTTCCACAATGGATGATTTTCTTCCGCCCGGGATGCATGTCATCCCCTCTGAGTTGCTCGATACACGCCCCGACGGAGATATCGACTTTGACCTGGCTCAACCCCCGCCAGTGACTGGCGTCAAAAACATTTGGTTTTTTTGGCACTCTGGCTACGCCAGCATGCACCCATACACGCAGCGGACCGTGCGCGCATGGCACCGTCGATTCTCCAAGCAAGGATGGACTGTACGCATTATCGACCGACAACCTGGCTCAAAAAGCAATATCGACGAGTTTCTGGATGTCAGTGATCCCGAACTATTCCCACATGCCTTCACCAACGAGACTCTCACTGGTGCATACGCACTACAGCACACTTCAGACCTTGTGCGTTGGCCGCTTCTCCTGCGGTATGGTGGGGTCTACGCTGATGTAGGGTTGATGCAAATTGGAGATTTGGATAAGCTGTGGAATGATTTTATCGCAAACCCGGACTCTCCCTATGAGGTACTGTCCTACACGTCTACTGGCAGCGATTATTACAACTTATGTAATTATTTCCTCGCCGCGCTGCCAAATAACGCGCTCTTCGCGCGCTGTCATTCTTTACTTCTTGCGCTTTGGGGAGCAGATGGTGGCAAGACCTCCACTGAAGGGATGCATGCTAGCCCGTTATTGCGAGGTGCTCCGCTGATGGGAGGCAAATTCACGATCACAGAAAAAGATGGAACTTTCATCGGACCCGACGAAGTCAGCCGCATTTTGACCGATTATATCATCCAAGGCCAGGTAGCCACAGCGGTAATGGGACTGGTCGACACCGAAGATAAATGGGATGGACCATCCTATTGCATGGAACATTTTTATGCGATAGATTTTATGGAAGGGTCACAGCTCATCAATGAGCTAACAGACTGGGACGGACAGAAAGCGTTCGATCTAATGTCATTATCTATGCCGAAAGAGGGCGAAATAGAGTCCAATGAACAAGAAAAGGCTCGCGAAATTGTCGAGGCTTGTCTTTCGCGCAGCTTTGGGTTCAAACTTGCACACGGCCTCATACTACGGGTTTACAAAGCCACTCTTGGTTCGCTATGGCGGCAAAATCCTGACTCCGATATTGTGAATGGCACATACGCTGCTTGGCTTCGACATGGAATTTCGTACTGGAACCAAAACATGGTCCCCAATCGAGTAGTGCTGCCATCAATTCCGCCGACAAAAGTTGGGAGATTACTCGAAAATACTGAATAGAGATAGAAGACTGGGTTTGCGATACAGGGCCATCTCACGATTTTCAGTATAACAATCACTGATGAGGAAACTTTAATGCACAAATCATGTATCCATAGCCAGTTAGCGAAAAGCAATAAGAAGTACCCAATATTAGGTTCGGTATTCTTTAATCAAGTTCAAACCGGATCGATATCAAAAATCTACCCTCATCATAACCTTGTCGGTAATCTACGACCGTTACGTTCCTCGTAAGTCGGCTTGAGACTTCTGGCTGGCTACTAAAGCGACATTCTGCGTCGATTTATAGCGTGTACTCTAAGCGCGCGCCGTCCCCGACCGGGTAATAATGGTTCGAAGATCATGGATGAGACGGTAGACAAGTGATCTGGGGCCGTAAAGGCTCTCTCCTCATTCAATACTGTAGCGTTAGTCTTGGAAAGGCCATAAAGGTTCACATAAGTGACTGTTACCCGGCCATGTCGCTGGCTGTCTTCTGTGACACAGCTCTGACAAGTGCGAAGTATTCTCAATCGAAGTTTCAGCCATACAGAGCACGCAGATGATGCTTCGAGATATAGCTATTTCAAAAGCAGTTGTTATCACATCCTCCTTACCAAGTCCTGCTATCCTGGTCACAGTTAGTCTCGTCTCAAGCTTCTATCTACTATGACTACAGCAGGGCATTCACTTTGGTGCACTTTTTATTCAGTAATGGCGTTTCTTGCTCCCTGACGAGCAAAATCCCGGGTTTATAGACCGACTAACGAACATCAATAAAAAGGGCATACGAAATTTGGCTGATTGGTTTTCCAAGCCTGCGCACTGATCGTGCCCTCTCCCCGTCACTCCTTTCATGTAGATTGTCACATGACATGATGTGACACCCAATGAACACTGGCCCAAGGGGACGAGGTGTACTAAATAAAAGAGCTAAATTGAAAGGCCTGCGCAGACGGAAAATTCCAAATTTCGACAATTAATTGGACGGCAGATAGGTTCAGTTGGAGCCGGAGTTTGAACGGTCAACGGCGGCAACTTCTGAATTTTTGGCGATGGTACTGGCAACATTCTCAGTTTCCTCTATGTCAGAGGATCTTGTATTATCACGAGCTTGCTTTTCTTCAAACCGTTTCTCCACATTCTGGCGTACTTCCTGCAGCTTTGCCAGTTGTCTTTCGGCCTCGTTGGCAAATTTGGATTTAGCGCGCAATTTTGAGCCAAATCGGAAAAAGATAAAAGGCAAAGGCGTGAATGCCAAAGACAGGAAAGCAGGAATAGACGAGGCCCACTGAGTCCCGAGATTATTGTACATGTACGTGGTGAAAAGAGGGCTGTTTAGATTGATGGCTGGTCAGCTGCATTCATTAAAACCAAAAAGGGTAACAGAGGTTTGCATAACGTACAATGCAAAGCCAAAGAGGGCGCGAGCCATAGCGTTGGTAGCCGCTGCTGTGGCAGCAAACAGGCTATATGTATCAATAAGGTAGTTTGTCATGGAGATGAAGACGAGAACATTGCCCAACCCAAAGAAAATAGTGCCCACAAGGCCCACTGCCCAGTGAATACCAGTGTATGATGTCCACGCGAACCAAAACAGGCTGACAGGGAGCATCACAGCTCCATAGAAGGCCGGCTCAAGACGCATTTCAGGGTTCGGCACAACCGCTTTGCAGGCGATTTTCTTGCGGTACTTAATTTCAAGGACAACATAGAAGGGCACAGCAAGAATCTGACCGATCATGATGCCAATGTAGGATAAGCCCGACACACCTTGGCTCCAGTGGCGTTCAGTGATAAAAATAATGGGAAAAGCCGCGAAAATTAGATAGAGAATACCATAGATAATCGCAGCATACACAGCCATAGCAGTCGATATTGGTTCCCGTATTGCCATGACAATAGGCCTCGTGATAGCCGTGCTCAAGGTAGCTCTAAGAGTCTTGGGCGGGATGCCAATGTCGAGTTTGCTAACAAAGACTTTGCCGGTCTCCTTGCTTAGTATCTTTGCGCGACGTCGTAGGATATAGGGCGCGTAAGTCTCAGGCACAAAGACCAGACCGACAACAAACATCATGGCGAAGAAGACAGTGCATAGAACATTAACCCATCTCCATCCGGCACCAGCCGCGAGGAAGTTACCGCAGACAGGGCCTAAGGTTGGGCCAAGGAAAGGGAACATAGAGTATACCATAACGGCGAGCCCACGCTCCGCCGGTACGAAGATATCGGCGACTACACCAGGTGAGTTGGAAATTGCCGCCGAGCTAAATGAACCCACCAGAAAGCGAAGCACAATTAAGGCAGCAACTCGATCTGGCTTGCTAGCAGTCGCCGCACCCTCGAACAAGACCGACGCGCCCATGGTAATAAGGTAGATAGATTGGCGACCGTAGAGTTCGGAGAGCGGGCCCCAAAGAAGCGGGCCAAGGGCGAATCCCAGTACATAGAGGCAAACACTGAGGATTGCTATCTCCTCTCTCACGTGGAAGAAATCCTCAATTTGAATGATTGCGCCAGCGAAGACTGTCGAAGAAAAAGAGCAGGCAAGCGTGCTGAAGGCGCAGATCAAAACAATGGTCCATTTCACAGCTGCAGGCAAGTTGAAGCCATTCTTGGGATCGTTGGGAAGCCAGTCGACCATGTATGGATCTTCAGTTGTTCCACTGCCTGGATAGTCATAGTCACGGACTTGACAGGTGATCAAAGTCTGGTCTAAAACTAGCTTGATGTAGCTGGGGCGGCTGGGCTGATGCGCTACTTCACTTGCAACACCACTGACTGAGTTCAATATTGCCATATTGAATCAGAATTGAGTTTGATGCCAATGATGAGCGTGTATATGAAACGAACTGGCGAGCCGGAGACTCGGAGACTTGTGAAATTAGATAAAGCCAAATAGGTGAGAAAGAGCTGATATATAGGTTTCCAAAAGAAGACTACCATAGACTTAAAGGTATGATCCATCTAAGTATTGATGGGACATCTATCTAATTATGGCAATAGCTGTATGTAGTCAAAAACAACTGCGACACGAAAGCTTGGCGGAGATACCGGAGGTAAAGATAGCTCGGACATATTTCTCTTAATTCCCTCAACAGGGGTGCCCTACAACAAAACAACTGCCACTTAAGCACAAAAGCTACTCTGTAGGGCTGCCTGATGTATCAAGGCCCGTTCATCCGTTTAATAGACTAATTACTACCCCACAGGTCGTATGATTGTTCGATGTTTTATGCTACACATTATTCACATAGTTCACGACTGAGCCGCCCACCTCCACCCCCAAACACATGATAGATGCTGTTAATTACAGGTTCATGTTTCGAAGCCCAAGGCTCAAAATGAGGTCTCGACTTTTATCACAGACCCGGAGTTAAAACGTTGGAGCTCTGTTTGTATAGCTGAGTGGCCTAGCCCAACTTGCGGACGAAGCCGATTTTGCTTGGGGAGAAAGTGCTCAGCAGCCAAACCCTGCTAGGTGGTAAGCCTGGCTACTTGGTCGGAAACGGAGACCATTATGCCGAATTAGCCCTGAATGAGGAGCTTTGATGTTCCTTGCTTTCTGTTCCCCTTTTACTTCCTGCTTAGTTCTCCAGCTTCGGTAACTTGGTTGGGTTGGACAGATTTCTTTGACCTCTGAGGTCCATTGACTTGTTAAATTGATGGATATATTCACCAAATAATTATAGCCATTCATGTTTTGCCCGGGTGTTTATTACATCCTGTAGGATAGGCGGCTCGGCCCGCGAACCAAAGTATCTACAGTACTATACTAAACTTCGACACCGCGTAAGTCAAGCCTATCAAAGAAGCCTCCGGTGACAAAGTACAGCACTTTAGTACTAGACATGCATCGTAATTTATGAGGCTTTGTATAATAAGCCTTTGCAGGACCTTTATTATAGAGCAATCAACGGACACGTGTGGTAACGCCGGGCTGGTAACTCCGAGTCCGGAGTTAATTAAATTGATGCCACATAGGTCCCGCACGTCGAGGGATACACCATATACATACTGGGTCACGAGCTGGCCGGGCGGCACATATAGTAGGGGGGAAAAATAGGGAACTTTCTCTACCAATTCTAGGGTAGCTTTCCTGGTTTGAGTTGTGAGCAGTTAGAAAATAGCCCCCGGCGGTATTGTTAGGGGGTTTTCTTTGTATCTGGAGCGCCTTCAGTATGTACATTCCTTATCCTTGCTGACTATTCTGCACATCATATTCCAGTGAAAGTAACAGTTGTTCAGAAACAAAAGAGCTTGCCGCTCCGATGTAGGAACAGTGCCAGTAAATCGGTTTTAATGTCGGAGGAATATCTTTGTCTGGCGTAGAATTGCCGATCAAAATTGCTCTGGGTCAGGTGTGGTTAACCAGCGCACAAAAATCTCTAGACAGATCAAAAAAGAAGCGAGACTTATGGAACTTGGGTCAATCCCTTGGGACGCTAGACATATTGAAGAATCTTGTTTGATGACTTGAACTGCAGGCGTCTTCGACACTGTGGATATTGTCTATTGTGACATCTGTTCTTCGGTGCGCTGGCATGCTGGGAACGGGTGGTGTATCTAGCACCCCGTAGATGGTCTTGAATGACCTCGGCTCACGCTTTCACACCTCTCGTTTGATCCCCACGGGGGTATAGGAGTGTATGCTTTGAATTCCTCGTACGATCTATGTTGTTTTGTGTTGCTGGAACGATCTGCGCATCACCGAGTGTGCTGCCAACGGGCGTGTCCGTCTTAATGCGTATTGAAAACAGTACCACTATAAACAGTACCTCCAGGACTATGCCTATTCCGATGTTGCCACGACAAACCTTGGATTTTCAAACCTCTTGTCAGAGGCGCAAGCGCAAGCAATGAGAAGGTTTGCATATCCTTTGATGGCTTGTACGGCATATCTGTCTAATAAACCAACGAAGGCATTCATGTGTGCTTGCAATGGAAGACGTAAGAGAGATCTACGGACGTACGTGTGGAAGTGTACAGAACGTATGTGGTGATAACATGTGGTATGAAGAAGGAAGAAGTCTAAGCTACTGAAAGTGAAGGGATATGGTAGATACAGGTCAAGTGACCCAACAAGAGGCTTTCCCAAAAACGCGTGGCTTAGCTGGAGCTGCAGGGATGTCAGTCAGCCTTAAGCCGCACCACGGACGCTTATTCAATACGAGAACTCCCCCGCCCCTCACTCCGATCACTGGACTTCTGAGAGATTATCCAGTAGCCTCAACAATGGTGCTCAATTCACTGATAGCACTCATCATCGCAACCTCTGTAATCCAATTTTGGATTTGGCGCGAAACTCCTCTCCAAAGGCAGAAAAAAATGCGAAAGTGCCGATGACGTCCTAGTAGATCATGCCGAGCAAGTTGCGGTCGCATCCAAGCTGGCCGATTTGACCACAGGACTTTGCAAATCTGCAGATGCCTTTCCTGCTTTATATACAATCAATGTCACATCTGGTCACTGAAAAGCATGAACGGCCGCTGCGAGACTATGCACTGCGACGTAGGATATACCCTATTGACCTTGGTCAGAGTGAGCAACTAGAACTTCCTGTAGGAGGGCTCGCGACCAACCCGGTGTTGAGCTTGTTCGGATGATACTAAATCGAGGTGGCGATCCGAACGGCAGGCTTGGAGACCTAACAGTTTGGAAGTACTTTATGGGGTTGATCGACTGTTTCAACAAGGATCTGCAGGCCTTGATAAGGAGAGCATGCAACCCTGGTTTGCAGCGACAGAAATTATCATTCGACATGGTGCTGTGCGGGTCATCGAATCAGAAACAACTGTGCCCAGACAATCTTCAGGGCGGGCCTGTGTGAAGCTTGGTGGACGCGAGGTACTTGCGTACAAAAGTATCGCAGCAGCTTTTGGGAAGGAGGAGGGTGACATGTTAGGCTCCCTTGCCTGGCGGTTGAGTGTCATAGGGCAACATCTGTATACAACTTTGACTAGGACCATGCGGTCCTCCATTCAAAGCATATATAGCTAAAGCTCCCCGTCTTCTCAGCCGTACGTAAGCAACATGGGCTTAGGTACGCCGAAGGGTCATAAGTCGTAGAAACAAATTTCGCGTGTCGATCCGTTAGGTAGCCTGATCTGGGAAGGCAGTCATTCTTGACCTTATGGCTTGCGGGTCTATCCGGAGAGCGGCAAGGTGGTGTGTAAGAGCTTTGCAAAGGGCATAAGAGTCGGGACACACTGCATTCCTATTGGGTGGCTGACTGCCAAGATAACGGAGAATCCTAGCAAAGGGGACCAGCGTCGGAAGCGGCAAAACTAACCATAATTAGGAAGACAACGTAATTCCCTAGCGAGTTCCCCCGCACTCGCTCATTAGCTTTGTTTCTTTCGATTGGCAGTTATCTGATGACGATATTCTACGAAATGAATTCCTCAAAGAAGCCAACCATTATGCTTTTGCATGGCGCTTTTCATTGGCCAGATTGTTTTGATTCGATTACTCCGCTCTTGAAGAACGCTGGATACAGTGTGCATAACACCACACAGCTTCCAAGCACAGGCCATGGGTCTTCCAGCAGCCTACAGATGGATATCGATGCTGTCCGGGCTGCTCTCCTGCAAATCCTCGGGGGCGACCCTGGTCAGAATAATGGCCACGATTGCGTTTTAGTGATGCACTCCTATGGTGCCGTCCCCGCTGTCCAGGCTCTGCAAGGCCTCAGCAGTAAGGAAAGAGGCGCTGGTCAAACTGCTGTGTTAAAGCTGGTATACCTTACCTGCAACATTCCTCGTGTTGGGGAGTCTCATTTGCAACAATTTGGAGACTGGGCGACCCAGACAGGATGGATTGCTGAGGAATCGGAATCGCCTGTGAGCATCAATGTAGGTAGTTCGAAATGATGTACCAGAATTGTTCCAGCTTGGTAGTCTACTGATTATTACGGTACAGGATGATGTCGTTAAGTTTATTGGTAGTCCAGACGCATTATATAATGGCCTGGATGAAAAACTACAATTGACCTTATATCACGACCTCAAGACTCAATCTGCGTTGTGAGTGCTTCTTTCATTTTTAGTGCTGTCCTAGTCTATGAGGTTTCACATCCACTTACTTGTGTATTCTTTCAGGACGCTGTTGACTCCTTTGGAATATGCTGGCTATAAAGAAATCCCGGGTTGGTATCTGATCACTTTAAAGGATAAGTTGATGCCTCCCGAATTTCAAAAACTATGCATTGAAGCTGTCGGAGATCGAATGGAGCATGTAGAGGAAATTAACACGGGCCATTCCAGCTTTCTCGTCGAACCGGCTGCTGTCACTGATTTTATCATCAGAGCTGCAACTAGTACGGGGGTGTGAACGACAAGCTGTGAGGGTTTAGAAGTTCTTGGAAAGATTCGGGAAAGGGCTGAGGATTGGATGTGGAAAACTAATGTAACACGTTTCTATATTTTAATCTGAATATGCCCTCCAGAGAGTGAGTGGATTTGCTCCGATCAGGGTTTGATTTAGCCTGTTTCTTGACAAGCACACCCTGAGATCTAGGCAGCAGACTAAAAGGTTCTTCAGGTCCTCCGATCTCGTGCGGATTTTCCCACTCTCCACTATTGAAAGTCTCCGCCAACACACTCCGGGTTAAAAGGGCATCCGATAAATGTGCTCCATGTAGGATTCTAGTAAGCTAAAGTTTCTTCATTTTAGCCGGTCTATACCGCTCGTCTGTCACTCCATTAGAGACAAACATCTATAGAGTTCACCTAGAAAAGAGGGAAAGTTAGCGTGATAGATAAAGCTTACACTATCCTCATCAACGGTTTCTACTCTTCTTATGCTTCAGAACTAGATTTCTGTGGAACCCAACTTAACCCGGACCTAAAATAGGCCTTAATGTAGCGTTAGGCCCGGGGCCCTATTTTGGGTCATATATTTACTAGAAATGCTAAGACTCGTAACTTTCCACGTTTATATGAATCATGTATACGGTTCTTGCCTATATTATTATATATTCCCTTTATAGTAAGAGAAGTATGTATTCTAGTATAAATCTAATTCAAGTACATCTAAGAACTCGTAGAGCGAATTGTCAAAATCCTGCAACTTAACACTCGGCTTTTTTCACACGAATGACCCTTCAAGTATAAGTAACCGCAATGTTTCTACACTCGGGAAACGATGGAAGCGCATGTGGCCAATTTGACAATTCAAACGCGTTGCCGTGTTACATGTCCATGCGCTTACCGAATACGATCTCCAATTGTGGAAAAATCTCCTGTCCCTTACATCCCACAGTATTCCCCAGAGATAACAATATGACCAAGAAAGCCCTCTTCGTCATCGACACACAAGCCGAGCTTGTCTCGATTCCAAGCACTGCCATCCCCCACGCAGCACGCATTTGCGAAGTCGGTGGTGTGATCCTTGACCGCGCGCGACGCATTCCCAGCACTGAACTTGAGATCATCATAGTCCAACACTGTGAAGATGCAAGCGATCCAAATGCAACGCTAATCCCCGGCAGTAAGGAGTGGCAGCTGGCTTTGCCTCCTCAAGACGGCGCCAAGAATGAAAGGGTTGTCCGTAAAACCACTGGTTAGTAATGTCCAACGACGGTGTCTCGAGTATATCTTGACTGTGATAAAGGGGATACGTTTGAATCGAACCCTTCGTTGGTGGATGAGCTGAAGAACCAGCGTGTGGCTACTATCGTGGCCTTCGGGGTTCAAAGTGAGCAATGCGTGCGCGCTACCTGCCGAGGGGCTGTAAATGCGGGGTTTGCGGTGGTGTTGCTCCAAGGGGCACATTCCACCTACGACAATACAGACACGGGGGAAAGTGCAGAAGATATTGAGAGAGCAGTCGAACAGGAGCTAAAGTCTATCGGTGTTCAGATCGTACCGTGGGACCAATATACTTTCTAGGAGATGCAGGCTTGGATGCTTCATCGTAACATGTATTCTTTCATGGGTATCGAAGAGCCAAGATTGCAACTATTTTACACACATAAATCCACATCCTTCGCGAGCCCGCTCACAAGCCTTCTTCAAAGCCTGCTCCTCCACGTCAGTCCACTTCACAGTGAGCTCGTCCCACGGCTTGCTCCCTTTGAACTCTTCACGGTGCTTTCTGTGCATGGCTTGAAGCCGGCTGACCTCACGAGGGTCACCAGTGCCCGAATAAACCACAAACAATGTACACGGGGGGAGTGATTCGTAAATGCGATTAATGTCGGAGACGGTTCGAGCTACGGCATCGGCAAGAGCAGGATTGAATGCGGGTGCGGTAGAGCCATCCGCACTTGTCGTTGGTGTTGTTTCCTCCGGCAAGGCAGTCACCTCGGTGGATTCATTGGCATTGTTTGCATCTGGAAGGCGTGTGGCCCAGCCGCGGAATTGTTCAAGGTTGCGCAGACGTGCCCAGGTGAAATCCACACCGCCGCCAGGGACAGCTGGGTTGGAGGCATCACCATTGACGGTGGCGGCAACACCTTTCACAACGGCTTCGTCATCGGTACATCCAATGGAAACAGTTGCCTGGGCGCCGAAGCCGCGTTCTGGATTTCCCCAGTCCACTACTGCTCCAGTTCGTGCTTCCTCGGAAGAATTCTTGTTGGGGCGCTTGGTGCGACCGATGCGACGGAAGATACTTTCATTGGAAGCATCGCTGGTACCCCAACGCTCACCCTTTTCGCATTTCAATTTTACCAGGTCTAGCACAGCACGGGCATCTTCAACCGAATCGTGACCGGTAGTGCCCTGCTGGATTGCCTTGTTGAGATATTTTTGAGTAAGCCACTTAAGGCTGCACTTCAATGGTGGACCGCGTGGGTGGGGGTAGATGATGCCGGTATCCACGATGAAAGGATGGGTGAGTTTCAGTGCTGTCAGATCCGAATTCAGAGAGTGCCCGACCAAGATCGCGCGAGGTGTGAGAATAGAGAGAAGCTTTTTTTGGATATCCTCAAGCGTCGTTGTCACCGGATCGAGCATTTCCTGGGTGATGCCAGAGAAACGAGTAAGGTAATCGATAATCGGGCGCGGTGGCTTTACCAATTCGTCCAATACCACCTCGCCATCCCAACGCATCATACTGATCCGAGTCAGTTCAGACTTGCCGCCTTCTGTGAGACACATTTCACAATCGAGGGCTAGCACGTCCCGACCTGCAGTCATGCTGCCCTTTTCGATCTCATTATCGGGTACATCGCCAGCCTCCAAGCTAGGGACCAAAGAATCAACCCATCCATGCTCCTCAGACTCTCCACTTCGTCGTCGAGCCTCAGCCTCGGCAGCCTTTTCTTCCTCCGTGGCGAAGAAGGCAGGGTGTACCGTGTAGTCGTTTTCGCGAAGTTGGTCCAATGTGCTAATGAAATTTGTGATGGGTGTCCGCTGATCAACGTAGCCCTTGTCGACGCGCGCAGGGCGTGCACCCTTGCTACGAGCGCCCTCATCCTTGGGTTTTGGTACCTGTGACAACAGGATGGCTTGGAGAGGCGAATGCACCTTGTTATATTTGCTGTCGCCTGGGGCCCTGACAGGCCAGATGTGGGGGAACATATGGGCCAGAGGACGCAAGGGTTCGGGGAGGTCAACGGAAGAGAGAGGCCGAGGATTGAATCGATTAGACCGGTCCTCGAGTGGGAGGCCCTGCTTCCATCGCTCGAAGTCGGCGGTCTTTTCGTCGGTGGTACTCTTTTCGGTCTCGTTCGATGGCTCGGGATTCGGCTTGCTGTCTTCGATGGGCTGCAATGGGATGGTACCGTCAAACATACCAATCTCCAGTCCCGGTACCATTAGGGCAACCACTTTGCGCATATGTCCAGAGTGCTTAACAGAGATCCACTGTGGTGCAATACCATCCGCAAAGCAGTAGAGGAGCAGCCCTTGTAGGTCCGCGATTCGGATAGACGATTGAAGTTTCCCTTCAACGTAAGTCAAATCAGGGTACTTCGTCTTCTCGCCGTCCACACGCTTCTTTTTGGACTTGCGATTATGCGCATCGCGATTCTGACTCTCGTTCACATTGGCATCGGGAGCTGAGGGTGAGGTGGAGGAATTAACCTGCGACGGCGTTAAAGAGACGTCAGGTCCATGACTTGTGGTATCCACGACAAGATCATCGTCTTTCTCGCGCTTCCGCTTGTTTTCTCCCGTCATGATTGCGGGTGTAAGGTGTAAAGCCCAAGCTCCGCCGCAAGGTCAAATTGAGCAAGCCATCACGTGCCGATAGGGACCGATAAGCTCGGTGGCTGTAAGATACGGGTGCATCGTGTAAATTACCTGTTCCGGTTCGACGATCTGATAACGACGATCGCCGGTTAAAATTCGCCTCGTCACGCAATCAATCTTCATCCTCTATAGAACCCGCTTACAACACCCTTGCTGATTCACGAGGGCCTGATTCGTCCATCAAATCTCTTTTCAGCATACTCCACCATCCAATTGTCTATCTCTAGGCATTTGTTCACCTCTGGGACGCTCATCCCAACTCCCGCACCTTCTCCGATATCCTCCCCATATACCCCCCCTCATTCACGATGTCGGCACTCACCGAAGTCCTCACCGAGGATGACTTTTCGGCGCACTTGAGCTCGCTCTCTCCATCCGCGCTGGTTGTTCTCTACTTCCACACTCCATGGGCCGCACCCTGCGCCCAGATGAGCACCGTCCTTTCCGCTCTCGCCTCGCAGTACCCCGCTACAGCCCCGCCGACCATCTCATTTATCAGCATCAATGCCGAAGAGCTAGCCGATATCTCAGAGGAGTACGACGTGTCTGCTGTCCCCTTTGTCGTCTGCCTGCGCAGTGGCCAGATCCTGGAGTCCATTAGCGGTAGCGACGCCATCAAGGTCCGCGACGCTATTGAGCGCCACGCTGGTCGCGGAAACGGCGCCGCCCCTGCGGACGGTGCCCACCGAGCCCATATCCCCCCTCCCCCTCTCTGCCACTCCTCGTGAAGATGGTCCGGTGACGGCCACTCAGTCGCCTTACGCTTCGATGGATGCTGCTGGCCCTGCAGCCAACGCCACGCCCGTCGCCACCGCCCCTACCCTTACACCCGAGCAGTCCAAGGAAGCACTCTTCGCTCGTCTCAGCGAGCTGGTCAAGGCTGCACCGGTCATGCTGTTCATGAAGGGAACCCCTAGCTCGCCACAGTGCGGCTTCAGCAGGCAGTTGGTGGGTATCCTCCGAGAGCGGAGCGTCAAGTACGGATTCTTCAATATTCTAGCGGACGAGGACGTGCGACAGGGTTTGAAGGAGTTCGCCGAGTGGCCCACTTTCCCACAGTTGTGGGTTGGTGGAGAGCTAGTTGGTGGTTTGGATATTGTAAGTGAACCATTCTTTATCGCAGTAACAATCACTAATCGTTCAATACAGGTCCGTGAAGAAATCAACAATGACGAGAACTTCTTCGCGAACTACTCTGTTAGCAAATAGGTGATTGGCTCTGGTACGATACCCATGAAATGCGTGGAGAGCTACACTTGAATGGGCCACCATGATGATATACGTTTTTCTTTGGTATGAAAAGATATTTCAAAATGCGACGTCGATATAATTGATCTATGTTCAGTTCGAGTAGAAATACATGTAGCTATATTTCCCGGGTGGTAACCACCACTTTACAAGAATCGACCCTTCTTTGCCAGCCAACCAGCCATATAGTCATACGCAGTAATCATGGTATGGCCGAATTCCCCAGGATACTTTTCACATTCTAGGCAAGTTGCGATTTTGTGTGTAGCCCCTTCCACAAACGCGATATCGGTATCATTGCTAGCAGCATTTAGGTGAATCTTTTCCGCATTCAGATACTCCCAGTGACCAGTCATACCCATGTTGAGCAATGGAACCGTAACACCCTTGATAGACTCAGATGGAGAGAATTGGTTGGAAGCAAAATCGATACCCTTGAATCCATCAGGCATGATTTCGAAATCCTCGCCAGCTCGAATAGCAAAAGTACCCAAGAATCGGCGAATGGTGGTCTTGAGGGCACCCTGCATATACGAAGTCGCATAGCTTTCAAAGTTTACAGGCACCCGAACGGTATGCACAATCTGATTTGTGATCTTTCCGCCCTTGTGGAGCAGTTTCCACGGGTACGTGGTATGAGCGATGTAGCTCACATCCTGGGAGAAGAATTTGTTGTTCATGGTTCCGTACGCGGCATCGGTAATATACAACGGCTCGTCATCAGTCAGACCAGTCTCTCCAGACTCGATTTTGGCAAGTCGGTCCTTTGCATAGGTGATGATATCATTGTTTCGCTTCACTACACCAGCCTCGTACCTTTTCTTGAAGGCGTCGGTGAAGTTAGAGGAACCACCCTTGACAAACCCATTCGCGGGATTGAATAGGTTCAAACTCTGGTTCAACGTTGTCCCATGGGGACCAGTAAGAGCAGGGTTCAAGCTCAAAAAGGGCATACTTCCGAGCCCGTAATTGGCATCAATAAGCATGATACCATCAGCAGGAAGAAGATCAGCAACAGCATCGGTACAGTTATGAATTTTCTCCGGTCCCTGGCATGCACTGACGCCATTCTCGGCGACATCTTGATAAGCAGCCATCATAGCACCACCACCGCTGTGACCGAATAGCACAACCTTATCAATCCCGGTCAAGTTGCGCAGGTACCGCATTCCTTGATCAACCTGGGTGAGTTCATCTTCAAAGTAGATGGTCGACATCACGCCTGTCTTGTCTGCAGCGTTGTTTGCGCACAAAGTAGTGAAGCCGCGCTGCGGAAGCTCTGTACAAGCGGAGAACGACAGATAGTCACTTTCGGCGTGCATCACATATACTGCAATGCTGGACCTAGGGCTATTGACAGCCGGACGATAGAGCCCTCCGACAACACCATCGTCGTCAAAGTCGATCATGGTTGGGCTAGGTAACGCGGCAGCACTACTTAGGGTGGGTGTGGAGTAAGCTATCTGGCTTAACGCACCCAGTGCTACCAGAGCCGGCATGCCTCTGCTTTTGGATAGGTGCATGGTGGATATGAGCAGATAGGATAAAGGCTGCTCTCTGCGATTTGATCCGACGGAGTAATACTCAACACGAGTGCCAATGTAAGCTTTATATACAACCCCTCCCCTAGCTTTATGCCATCATGTTATCCCCGAGGTCTGTCATACAATGTGGAGTCAACTGGATGACGCGTATGGTGAAACCGGATCGAGTGGTCGTTTGGAGAATTGATCGTCGCTAATGAAGCCCTATTGAGCGCCTTTTGAGGTACTGCGATAATAATGTTAAACATCCAGGAAGTGCACCCAACCGTACGCAGGGCTGCAGCGAGGTGATTCAGGACCATTCAGACATGCAGAAATAAATAGCTGCACACCCTGGAGCTCGAGACTGATGATCTTCCATGATTGGAGCACAGCTTGTCGTTTCGTGCGCCTCCTGTGCATGAGTTAGCTCTTCGGATCCCCCTTGCATATTTGCATCAGACTAGGAATTGCTTCAAAAACAACACGCTAATCCCATAAAAGAAAAAAGGTCCGCGGCAGATAAAATTGGATAGCATCTCAATATTGAGACGCGTAATCTGTGAGAATCCGCCTCTGTATGAATTTAAATTCTACCTGACAATTGCAGCGTAACGGCCTTTGGTCATATCTGCCAATCGGTTTAGTGAATTGTCATGAAGCATTATCTCATAATCTCCGATTAAAGCCGCAAGTGAGGTAGATGGAGATTGGGTACCTACAATCGCATCGATTTGACATCATCGGTTTAGTGCGTCGTGGCTCCCCAGTTAATATTGGAAGTTGTGGGGTGTTATACTCTTCCGCCAGTTGTGTTTAATTGATTTGTTATAAACCGTTTATCATCTAGAGGCCGTGCTTATTTGATGGGAACTAAAATCATTACCTATTGAAAGTTTGTATACTGTACTATCCCTCGGCATGAGAATAAGTGAATTAGGAATTGTGATGGTGGACTTCACGGTCAGCCCGGGTCATGCGTGTTGCACGTCTACCTACGGTAGGTTAAACTAGAAGTCTAAGGAAAGCGTAACTTGAATATCTATTCCTGCAAACTCCTGTATCTCTAGAGCTTTTAGTCACGCATAAATCTCGACTTTTAGAAGAATTCGAGATTAATATTTACGATTCTTCAATTTTGCCGCCTTTTTCTTCCGCATTAACATCCACAGACAAGCTCATATAATTCTCACAATTCACGACTAAAATAGAAACAACTTCATCAGAGCTTACACATCCTTTTTCCTCGGGCACGGAATCTTGGAAATACACCCAATGGTTGCCAAGTGATATCTTAAATTCAGATCAAGAAAAGTGGAAGGCAGTCGCCAGTCTCCACTTTATCTCCGAGACCCACGCCGGTCGTCGTGCCGGAATGGGGCTAATGATTTTCAGTGTCGGTTCCTGTACGTAGATTAAGAGTCTTGGGAGAGCCGAGTAAGGGGGATTTGTTTTTTATGATCAATCCGCTGATCCCCGCGAATTGTCTTCAGATTTCGGTCCAATCCATGTATACGTATTCCCGAGGTCAGCTGAAGATAGTGAGACCAAGTCCTTTGAATCCTTATGTCTATATAATGTTGGGGATATATTCACTGACTAGTTCTTTAATATTGTCACTGAATTGCTACCTTTTTTTCCAAGTTCTGATCAAGCTTGCAGTTCATCTGCCATTCTCTCACCTGCACATGCTAGAGATCTCATGAGGGCTGCTCTGGTAGATATATCTTGTGTTCAAAGCTCATTCATTGTGCAAAATTCTATATTGTATACAAAGTCTAACCGGTACATGGTGGAAAAGAAACGAATGGACGTGGCCTAAAATCACATATGAAGCAAGACGATTACCACTCGGGCAAAGTTGAAGTCCACTTGTGGAGGAACTTGATGCGACGCTCATCCATCGAAATGGGTCCCATACCCCAAGAGTTACCCAGCCACATAGTCTCATGGGATGCGTTAGTGGAGGGCTTGAACATAGCCTGACTGTCTCCGTTGGGGTTTCCACTCCGAATAAAGTTAGCCCAGTAGTTTGACATCTTCTCCTCCACGACAAGATCATACGCGGTCCAGGTCACGTTGGAGTAGTCAGCGTAGGGAATGTTGTTAAACGCATACCAGAGCTCAGACCCATGGTAAGCACCTTCATCACGATTCTCAGCGGGCGCGTGGTCGAAGTAGTAAGTGTAAACGTTACTCTTGGCACCTCCAGCGGCCCAATCAACTGACCAGCGCCAGGTGCCGACACGGCTGAGATCTCGGTAGAACTCCTTAGCACTCTCGGAAGCCTGGGAGGTGTTTTGACCAGGGTACAGCTCGAAGAACTCATTCGCGAGTTTACCAAACAGATTGCCGTAGAGATCGTGGTACTCAGTAGCATTGTAAGAGAGATCCGGGCTAGCGCCGGACTCATCCTTGTTGTTCCCGGTGAGAATCGGGATATCCATGTGCGAGTTGTTGCGTAGTGACTCGCCGTAAGACGACGTGAAGACATAACCATCGATATTAGGTCGCCACAAAGGTGGTTCCGCAAAGCAATCGGAGATGTTGCTGAATGGGGTGCCCTCAAAGATAGTATCACTCAGCGAGTCATATTCGAGAAGAGCATCCATAGAAACATTCCGTAACTCAGCAATCGACGAGACATTCATCTCCTTCAAGAACTTGACACCTTGAGCTTCTGCGGCGGCTCTAGTGCGGTAGCTGGTAGCAGCCGTCCCAGTCATAGGATCATGCGTTCCCCGAGCACCACTCTCAGAGATGATACCTTCGGCTAGGCCCTTGGCCAAGGGTGACCACATAACATCCAATGCACTAGCAGAGCCAGCAGACTGTCCACCAACAGTGATCTGATCAGGGTTACCACCAAACTTCTGAATGTTCTCATTGACCCAATGCAGCGCGGCCTGTTGGTCCATGATACCGTAGTTTCCAGAGGTGTCATTGTCCGTTTCAGCAGCAAGCTCGGGGTGTGCCAGGAATCCAAAAGGACCAAGACGGTAGTTGATAGTCACGACAATGATATCCTTTGCCGCCAAGCCAGTTCCATCGTAGGTAATGACATCCCCAGAGCCACCGGTGAAGCGTCCACCGTAGATCCAGAAAAGAACGGGCAGATTAAGGGTGGTGAGATTGGTACCCTCCTTGTACGCAGGTGTCCAAATGTTCATGTACAGACAATCTTCGCTAGTGGTGTTTTTGCCGCTGGAGAAAATCCCCGCGTCACTAATTGTCTGCGCACATTGAGGTCCAAACTCAGTGGCATTAAGGGCACCCCAGTAGCTCGGGCCGGATACCTTGGTCCAGCGATTCGCACCGGTCGGGGGCTGGGCGTAGGGAATGCCCTTGTAGACGTAGGCTGTATCCCCACCGCGGAATGGAGAGACAGCACCGTGGATTGTACCATAGTGAGTGCTAATCACAGGGACGGAAAGCGAAGAGGCAGTAATGGTAGGAAGGCAGGCCGCCAGGCCGGCAACTATATGACGAAAATGCATGGCCAACGGGCGCCTTTCAATGTGGGAAAAACATAGAAAAAGAACGAGAGGACTTGTAAAAAGAATGCTCAAGTGAATGGGTGGTTATGTGAAGGCATAATAGGCCAGGCATCTGGACATAGCCATTCACCCGTTAAGTAAGGCTCAAGTTTTGGGACTGTACGCGTGGTGATAGATGATCGTCCTTCGGGCCTTCCATATTGGATTTCAAGAGCGAGAAGATCGTCGAGAAGATCATTGACCACGGCTGGGTACGGAGTAGGAATGCAAAATGCAAGTTTCATCTGTACCAGTGAGTGGAGCTGGAGATCCCGCGTCCTTACCAGAACCTTGGAAACAGGCATAAGCTACTACTTATTTCAAAGCAGTTGAAAGATGTGATTGCTGCTCGGGCGGATCGTTCCTCGTGCCGAGAGGACAATAAATATATATATATATATCTATCTACTTTCATTGACCCGAGCTAAGCTGATGGTCCCAAGCTTCAGAGATCCTGACATGTTTTCCTTTTGATAAGTGATGCATATGGAACGTAGAGTGATGAATCAATCCAATATCTGTGCCACTTAATCAGCTAACACGTCAAGTGTTTGAAAGGGGTTCCTCAAATGTGAAAGGCTCTCGGCTTTATGTTCTGCATATGGGAAGGATCAGCACGTCGCCCTTTCAGCCAAGACAGGATCCTTCAGGACCTGAGACTAGATAGCCGTTATATGCATGCTTCTCCGAAATCCAAGATGCTATCTAACTAGTGCATTGCATACTGTGTCGTGTAATAAGTGTTACTTAAGGGCTCTTGATTATGCCGCGTGAAATATACGGTTTGTAGTCATCGCATTCACATAGGAACGAGGAAGTGACGATATCCGCAGAGTTCATTCTCGAAGACCTGGCAATTGCTGTAAAGAGATTGTTGGCGAGGAAAACCTGAGAATGTGGGGTAAAGAAACAGAGAAAAGAAGAGAGACAGAGAGAGGGAGAGAGAGAGAGAGAGAGAGAGAGAGAGAGAGAAAGGGACAGGGGGGATGATCTCACTTTGAAACCATGCAAAGTGACCAGCGTTTATTTTTTTCACCAAATCCTACCATACGTCTATTTAAAAGCAAAGCCACACCAGCTCTTATAGCAGAGTGATGTTGAGCCAGGCAGCCTAGTCTGGAGCCTCCAGGTCTCCATGCATGGATAAACCAAGACGACCTCTATGCCATGGAAGAGTGACATTTTCCCACTGTACCCAGGATTAAAGAATAACTGCTTTACAAAGACCATCCCAATACCCTTATGAACAACGTCCTGGGGGTGATCAGAATCACTATTCGCATCGTGATTGAATCAGAATCAAGCCTAGGCCGTCGCCTGGTCCAGCCTTCCTGGTAGGAAACCTTCGTCGGCAGGGCGAGCCTCCTACTTGTCGACATCCTCTTATGCGGTCTTTTTGTCTTTATTTAAACTGGGAACGTGTTTCAGGGGATCCGCAGCCCGCCATGCATCTGGTTGTTTCTTCGAAGTCACGTTGAAGCGAGAGAGCACGGCGTCTGTGTCCACATACGCACCCGCTAGCCACCGCGAACCAGTCGAAGTGTTGAAATGGCGACGTGCATGAACAATGCGACGGTTATCAAAGATCACGCATTCGCCCGGGTTCAATTTCAAATCAAAGGTCATCTCCTTCGATTCTAGCATTTGGGTAAACACATCCAAGGCCTCCTTCAGAGGCTGGAATCGCAGCTTGCCCCGGATTGGAATGGCAGATTGGAAGGGAGGTGAGTAGTTGACGTGTCGAAAATGCTTGCGTGATTCATCAAGCTCAAAAACGGGCCGTTCATTGTAGTAGATTTGATCCTCGTGAACATACTCGTAGCCCATCTTCCGTTCAGTGAGTTCTTTAAACTCTTTCGGGTGCTGTCGCCTCATTTTGGAGGCGGCACGGAATGCATCAGCGAATAGCGACTCGCCCCCGTCGCAGGAGTTCTCCAGGCAGTGCAGGAACTGGTAGCCTGGGGGCTCATTCATGTACATAAGGTCCATGTGGAAGCCCAAGAACTGGTTAGTGTAAGCCACATTCCTGGCCTCAGGAACCGTCCGCACATCCCAGGTCATCCCATAGAAAGTATTTCGCAATGGGCCGATGCGCGTCGCAATCTTCTCGACCTCTTCGCGTGAATCAGGGATATCCTTGACGAAAACAAGACCCGCGCGTTGTAAGTTGCGCATCGAAGCTGCGAATTTGGCATCATTGGTCATGTAGTCTTCATAAGAGACCCAATGCTGATGTTTCTCCATATTCTTTCTGTCCCAGGTCACGGGCTTATTCGAAGCATCGTGAAGATCATGGGTATCGAGCGTGGGCTTCTGAAGGTAGCTATGATGCCATCGCGAAATGTGATCTGGACTCGCACCGGGGATATCGGTGGCCCATTGGATCTCTAAATACTCTCCATCCCACTTGATGTGACGAGGGCGAATATCGGTAGGGATGTCGTTCGTGCGGATATTGCGTTGTTTTGAATAGCGATCCACGCATTGGGGGCATTTGCAAATATCACGAAGATAAGTATAGTTCAATGATATGGTATGAACACCAGGAGCTGTGATAGACAGGCCGTAAGCACGGTGCGATACACTCGCTGGTTTCACGACCTCCACGGTGGCAAGTGATAGGCCAATGCGCTTGTCAGTTGCATGATGCTTATTGGAAGCGTCGGATGGCTTCAACGGGTGAACTTTCACTGATTCTACAACGGAATCTATCGTGGAAGCGATCGCGGGTTGGGCAGGCGTGTCCGCGTTGACCTTAAACCGGGCTGAAGTGACGAAACTCCGAGCAGGGCGCGGTAGGCCCCTCGTGAGCTGTCGAAGTAGTGGAGAACGCATTGGTAAAGAGGTAAGATTGCAGAGGTGAGGGGGAAATTGGGGTAGTGATGGAAACATGGGACGATGCACATCCCCGGACTTCGGCCGCACGGGCCTGTACCCCGGCGAGCCGAGGTCCAAGTTACTTCCAACCTTCCGTACCTTAACCATAAGATGCTGGAAATCACCTACCACTTATGCGCTTTGCTTACGAGTAGTCCTTATTGACTTCTTCTCATAGTTCAATTTTTATACCTCGATCTTTCCACCATGCCGCTCGAGACTAATAATTTCAGTTCAGGGTACATCCCACCTGCAGATCCACCTGCACACCTTCACACGCCCAACATGATTCCATTTTCGTCCCCTGCATGAAGGATAGATGAAGTACCAAATGACTTGAATCCAATCTGATAAGCCTGAACAATATTATCCTACCACCATTAATCTCCACAGCACTAGCATACAACTGACACCTCAGGCACCAAATTCCAACTTACGTAAAAAAACGCCAGATTCCTTAGATTCCAAGCAATTTGCCCCCGGAATTTCCATAACAAGAAAAAATGATAACAACCCAACACGTCATGGCTTTCCCAACCAACACATAACACACCCCCAGTCTACCAAGAAATGTCGGCCGGAGGCGAACATCTCAAAGATGAGGGCACAAAGCGGCAAACAGTGCTGGCTGGCGGGATAGCAGGATTAATCTCCCGGTTCTGTATCGCGCCGCTAGACGTCGTCAAGATCCGACTGCAATTGCAGGTTCACTCGCTGTCGGATCCGGCGAGTCATGAGGCAGTTCAGGGACCTATCTATAAGGGAACCTTATCGACTATGCGGGCGATCATCCGACAGGAGGGTATAACGGTATGTTTCTAATTCTCCCGAGGGAAACCGACCGGCAAGAACGAAGGTCGGATAGATACTAACGATGGATACTCAGGGCCTCTGGAAAGGAAACATCCCCGCAGAAATGATGTACGTCTGCTACGGTGCGCTCCAATTCACCGCATACCGAAGCACGACCCAAGCTCTCGCCGAGCTACCCTATCGATTACCTCCGTCCGCCGAATCTTTCGTCGCGGGCGCAGCAGCCGGAGGAATGGCCACAGCAACAACATACCCACTTGATCTCCTCCGCACACGCTTCGCTGCACAAGGCCCCGAACAAATCTACAAGTCTCTCCGCGCCTCGATAGGAGAGATAGCACGACACGAAGGCGTGGCCGGATTCTTTCGCGGAAGCTCGGCGGCCATTATACAGATAGTCCCGTACATGGGACTGTTCTTCTCTGCATACGAGGGGTTTAGACCGATCATGGCTAACATGGACCACATGCCATTTGGAACGGGCGATGCGGCTGCAGGTATCTGTGCGAGTATACTTGCGAAGACGGGTGTGTTCCCGTTGGATCTTGTACGGAAACGATTGCAGGTTCAGGGTCCCACGAGGACGCGGTATGTGCATCGGAATATTCCCGAGTATAAAGGCGTTTTTCGATCTATTGGAATGATTTTGCGTACGCAGGGCGTGCGGGGACTTTATCGGGGGTTGACGGTTAGTTTGCTCAAGGCTGCGCCGGCTAGTGCGGTCACTATGTGGACGTATGAGCGCGTGTTGCGCATCTTGCAGGATATGGAGGTGGCGGCGTTAACCTGATGTGCTGCTTGCATTGCATTGCATTGAATGGCGTTTTGGGGGGAATGCATAGACTATAGGGTAATACTCTTCTGTACTTTTATCTACAATTCAGGCTTGCGCCAAGGCACACAGGCTCAATAAAAGGTTCATTGATTTTGATATCATTAAAGACTTATCGAGGCACGAAAGAAGAGGAAAGTAACGCTGAAAGAGCTAGCTCGAACGGAAAGGGGTGTCGAAAAAACAAACGCAAGGGCCGGGGAGGGATATATTCTGACGGATGAAAGAATCACGGCAATATGTGCGAGGGAAGTTTCGGTGCGAGAAACCACTCAATCAGTACTCGCCGTGCTCATCAATCTCGTCCTCAATGGTGTCATCGGCGGCAACCTCCTCGTAATCCTTCTCAAGAGCAGCAAGATCCTCACGAGCCTCGGAGAACTCACCCTCCTCCATACCCTCACCAACATACCAGTGGACGAAGGCACGCTTGGAGTACATGAGATCAAATTTGTGGTCCAGACGGCTCCAAGCCTCGGCGATAGCAGTGGTGTTGGACAACATGCTGACGCAGCGATCGACGGGAGCAAGCTCGCTGTCGGGGACACGGACGGGCTTCTGGTAGTTGATACCCAGCTTGAATCCAGTGGGGCACCACTCGACCAAGTTGAAGGTCTCCTTGGCCTTCAGTGAAGCAACGGCAGCGTTGCACTCGCGAGGCACGACATCACCGCGGTACAGAAGAGCAACGGCCATGTACTTACCCTTGCGGGGGTCGCAAACCACCATCTGGTTGTGGGGCTCGACACCTAGTAGAGAATTAGTATCATCAATGCATGCAGGAAAAAGTCTGGGCGGTACATACACTGAGCGGTAAGGTCCTGCACCTTGAAGCTCTCGTGGGAGCTGTTCTTGATACCGATGACAGGAGCGTAGGAAATCAGAGGGTAATGAATACGGGGGTAGGGCACCAAGTTAGTCTGGAACTCGTTCAAGTCGACATTGAGAGCACCCTCGAAACGCAAGCTGGAGGTGATAGAGCTGACAACCTGGGCAATAAGACGGTTCAGGTGCTCGTAACCGGGGCGGGGGATGTCCAAGTGACGGCGGCAGATGTCGTAGACAGCCTCGTTGTCAACAAGGAAGGTACAGTCGGCGTTCTCAATGGTGCTGTGGGTGGAGAGGACGGCGTTGTAGGGCTCAACAACGGCAGTAGACACCTGGGGGGCGGGGTAGACGGAGAACTCAAGCTTAGACTTCTTGCCGTACTCGCTGGCAAGGCGCTCAAGCAGAAGAGCACCGAATCCAGAACCGGTACCACCGCCGAAGGAGTGGAAGATCAAGAATCCCTGCAGGGAAGAGCAGTTGTCTAGATCCAGTTAGTTCGGATCAACTGTTGGAAACAATGTCGGTTTGCGTACCGATAACCCGACGAATGCGATCCATCACATCATCAGCGTACTCCTTTCCAACGGTGTAATGACCACGAGCATCTGAGACTAGTTAGCCTGTCCCTCCGCACATCTTCACATTTCTGAACCTACAGTTGTTGGCAGCATCCTCCTTGCCGCTGATCAGCTGCTCGGGGTGGAACAGCTGGCGGTAGGTACCAGTGCGGATCTCATCAATGGGCTATCATATCCAACGAATTAGATATTAGGTTATATTCCTTCGCTTGCGGATCAACGTACCGATGGGTCCAAATCCACGAAGATGGAACGGGGAACGTATTTGCCGCCGGGAGTTTCGGTGAAGAAAGTATCGTAGGAACCCTTGGTGGTTTCGGAGTCGGCAAGGTCCTCCTTGAAGTGTCCATCAGGGGTGAGGCCGTGCTCGAGGAGGTATCTGTATAATTGATGAGAACGATGCCCAACAATCGTCAAGAAGCGGTGAAGAAACGTACAGCTCCCAACAGGCGTTACCAAGCTGGATACCAGCTTGGCCGATGTGAAGGTGACAGATCTGATGAATTGACGCGTTAGTCTATGGTGCCGGGGGTCTACTCCTGACAGTGTTTGGGCTGGCCGCGGAACTGGGTTGTTTTTTTTCACGGTTCAGGAGAGGGGAACCGGCGGGGAGATGCCAAGGTAAACAAAGGATGTGTTCGACGCGCCCGGGGGATGTAAACATACCTCGCCTCTCGTCATAATGAAAGATGATTGTGAATAGAGAAAGGAGAAGGGAGTAGAAGAATTGAGGAGACTCTTCTGGGGGGAGGAGTGGTGAGGAGAGAAAGAAAGTAGGGAATAGTGGGGCGCCAATCACCCGTGACTGTCCAAAAAGAAAACAATGGCGGTCACCAACAGAGAATTGGAAATCTTGGTTCTGAATTCATCTATTCTATTTCTCTTCCATCTCAGAATTTATTTGGAGCTTTATTTACTATACTTGAATTTTTCAAATTCGCAAACATTCTCGCTTATTTTAAGTGTAGAACTGTGTGCCGTGGAATGCGGGGTGATAATCGATGTGACAATCAATGCAGGCACAAACTTTCTATGTACAGCTCACCCCTGACCGGGACTGAAGTACATATGCCAAATACTACCTGGCCTATTGAATACTAGCATATGAAGCATCAATGTTGCTTATCAATAGCAAACACCCGCGATCGACGGCAACTGAAGATTTCCATGATAAGCCGAGACCCATAGTTCCTCTTAATATAAGGGCCCGTGCCACATTGCATGATATGAAACGCACATCTATAGGGTAGGCCACTCTATGTACAAGATTTCTGCTATTAGGTGGGGCATTCCTTTCCTAGCTACCGCCGCTTTAATGAGGGGGAACAGAGTCAGGCTCACTGAGTATGTTACAGACGATGCTCAGGCCTTGTGATCGTGTCAGTGTCGTCACGTGAGACATTAGTAATCACTCAGTAGGCCTGATCATCTGATCATTCGCTCACCGCCCACGCAGAGGGTGATCTAAGTACTTTATGCACCTAATCTAGTCTCTGACTAAATTAAACGTGGCGATATGCCCCGTGAGATATCTAAGTCTTTTTGACGGCCCTGTCACCACTCCTCTTGAGGTTCTCGATCCTTCACCACCCCTCACTTATATAGAATATCGCGCAATAGAGCGTATTGACCCGCAAATTAGAAGACACCCTTTAATTGATATTCCAAACCTAATGCCAATATAGACTAGTTTATATTGGGAATTACTCCGACATATCTCTGTTAGCCGGCAAGTATTGATTTGATTTTTTACAAAGATGACATAGTACCATAGGATATGTATTTGCTTTTAATTTCAAACCATCAGACAGCTTTGTCACACTTCAAACCCCAAAGGACATATGCCATAAGGTAGAAGCATAAAGTGCTCTAGAAGTTCCGATAGTCCGGTGCCCAGCTCGAACGTTTTCTCACCTACAAAGGAAATATCTTTGCTCGTCGGAACACATCTCGAGTCCCAGGAAGTCGACTTTGACCGCTCACCGCCATACTGCAAGGGGCATAATGGGCTGGCCGAACGCACGAATCGCACTATATGGGAGCGAAACACGCTCCTGTCCGATGCGAACCTTCCTTCTCCCTGGTGGACTGAGCTCTTAGATGTAAGCCTAATACCCAATGATCATTTCAAGAGCATGATAGAGGAGATCGCGAAGAGTGAGAATATTTACAGAGATTGATACAGTACGACTTTGATGGTTGATAGATTATTTGTACGCACTGGTAGCCAATTGTAACCCCAACTCCTACTGTACATGTAGTCCATCTTCCACAAATTGCGTAGTACCTTCCGTAGGAGCCTTCCAGGCCACACGGTCCTTGGTAAACTGCTCCATAGTGGGTCTCAGTTTAGTCTCGTGCAAAGAGAAATCATCCACACTGCCAACGCGCAGAATACTCATGCCCGGGAAGGCTGCACCGACGCGGTACATGAGAGAACCGCAAGTGGAACAGAAGTAGTTGGTCATGGTGTTGTCCTTGCCAGGAGTTTTGAAAAACACAGTGCGCGACTGGCTGTATGTCTTCAAGTTGTCGCGGCCACGCAGATGTTTCAAGTGCGTGTCATAGACCGTGAAGTTGGTCGCATGCATGGATGCCGTAAGTTTGTGGCAGTCGGAGCAGTTACAGACGAAGGAGCCAACGTAGCCAGGTCCATGGGTCGGCTAGGAGATGAGAGCCGCTGTTAGAGTAGCGCAAAAACCAAGAGCAATTTCGGAATCTATACTTACGAATGCCAGTTGCACTGCGCCACAAAAGCATGTGGCTGTCGCTTCATCCTCCGTAGACCAGCCATCATCAGCGCCTCCAGCAAGAGGAAAATACGGCTTCGACTTATCAATGGTGGGAGATGTCATGGTTTCGTTAATTCTGTGACCACGTGATAATATTTAGGGAAGATGATAAGGTTGTCGAATATCTAAAAGACAAAGGCCTTGTGGCTACAAAAAAGGCTTTATATACTTGCGAAGGAACGGAGTTCCGGTGATTTTTTCCGTCTTATCTCACGTCATTTTCAGCCACAATCTGATCGAATCCCAGCGCTAGCCAACCAAACGTGGTTGATAATCGAAGGTTAAGAAATTCAATTCCTAGGCCAGGAATGTCATAGCTAGTCGGATTATTCAGCTCCCGTCTATATGATCTGGAACCTGTACAATATCCCTCAATTAGTCTCCGAGAAGCACATCGAATCTATTTATTTATAAGCAACATGATAACCTGTGATCCCTTCGGGGCTCGTGCGACCACCTTACTTAGCCAGTCGGGACAATTAATAAGCCTCTAATCGCGCATCTATATTTTCGCAAAGATCTCCGAGAATGAGGGTCCATGGGTACTTGACGCGTTTAAAATGTGGGCCCTAGATTGGCGAGCCAATAGTATATCCGCAATACGAACGATCGAAAAAAAACTGCACGGATGCCGCCCCAGGAAATTGGTAGTGACGCAATTACATGATGACAAGTCGATGGATGCATTTTATCTGCCGATAGAGAAAGAGGTTGAGGTAGACGCTTCGGCCAGGGAGTGCGGTGGGGAAGTAGTATAGTAGATAGTAGTCGTCCTCTATAGGTACTCGATAGGAGAAGGTGCGCGCGTACTTCTACTGTATTAATTTCTTTAAAATCATCTCGCTCTCCGATCTCCTTTGAAATGCCCTTGAAATAATCATCGTAGTCATCCACTTGCTTTTTGAAAACAGCAAGATTATCTTGGAGCCAAATTGCCTCCTCCCCCGCCTATTACTCCTTGGTTAGCAATGCCTCGGATCTAGGAACCGGGTGACAAAATGGAAGGAGATTGATTTGGAGCAATTAAACGTACTCCTGGTACGATCACAACTTCAAGAGCGGCAACCATTTGCTAGAATATGATGCGGTGCAGTTTTCTGAACTTTCTCTCATCTTTTGCTTTCAAATCGCCCTTCTAAAGAATTGAAATTGGCGTTCCTACCACCTCATCCCACTTTTCCTGAATTCGAAGTGCCATTTGAATTTTGGTCAAAGCTGTCTTTTAGATAATTTGATCCAATACGGACCGTGCCAATAATTCAGTTAGGTAAACTTGGCTGCCGGGCTTCGCCTGACACATAGAAATCTCCAGTAGCCTCTAGGCGAGTGAAGCGCACCATCGCGAACAATGCGGGTGTCAAACATGCCGTCGAGTGCAGCAGACTTTTGATAAATTTTGCCAACACATCCTTTTGCTCCCGCTAGAGCGGCGGCAGAGCGGGACATAGTGACAGGCCTTATCATGAGTCATGATTTAGATTAACATGTCGAAAACGGTCCACTCAGAGAAGAATCATACACATCTCATGCAGGGGCATTTTTCAAAATAGAATACTATAGGTGGAACTGAGTACTGGTGATTCCGGATCCAAAAAGTATTTTCCTGTTAATGTTGAAGGCCGTGTCTTAAGTAGCTAAAAATATGCAATACTTCCGGTGCCTTCACTAGGGCTTTGTCGTACTAGGAAAGTCCTTATCTAGTAGGAAAGGTCCCTTCCGAAAGGATAACGGCGTGACGACGTCCTAGGAGTTTAATAAGTCCTAGAAACTATGCAGGCCGGTCTCTAAGCGGCAATCACTAAGAATAGCAGAACGTCCGCAGCCTACTTAGATATACGCAGTGCGCAAAAGCGGCGAGAGGGATGAGCACTAATACGGAAAAGGAAACCAAAAATCTGATACTTAGGTGCAGGTGCTGTTGACCTTGACATGAGAAGCTCGTTTGACAATGATTTTAGAGCTCACTAGTTGAACACCCCAAAGTCAGTTGAGCACCACACCATTTTCACTAGTATAGTGCAGTAATTGTAACTCAGAAAAAATGTTATGCTCAGCATCAAAGGCTGTCGCATCATATCGCTTAGTTCACGTCAATATACCAGATTAAGCTTCATTAGAGCCATGATAAAGGTAAGAAAATGTGGCTTAAGGGGTATCATTCCCTGATCACTTTAACATTCTAGCGTAGTCAAAAGAGTAGCGTGAGTAAGTAGGTACCTGGGTATGTACTCAATAGGTAACATTACTCCTTAAATTTTGGATACTGCGATAGCTGAAAATGCGGTTAGTGAGGGCGTGAGACTGATTTTGTGGTGTTTAATTAAAAAGTCCCAACAAGTAGGTACGTTCAAGGCATAGACGTAAATAATTTGAACTATCAAAGATAGAATTTATGCAAGAATGACAAGAATTCTTAGACCTAGCCTAGCTATACATGAATTTAGGGATATATGAAGAATGGGAAAAGATTAATGATGTAGAAGGAATGTGGAAAGCGCTGAAAATGTCCAAGAAATCTCATCTCTAACGAAATCATGAGAATAGGCGATCAAATCAGTCATTCTTGACTGGTGGCGGTGGAGAAGGAACACGGCCCTGCTCGATATCATCTTGATCATGACTAACGCTGCTGCGGTGACGGAAGAAGCGATTTCGAGTAGACGAGGCACCACTCCGGTAGCTGTGAGCATCGGTGGACAGACGAGGTTCATGCGACGGGGTACTGAAGTTGGAAGGACGACGATGCTGAGATGACGACGCTCGACTGCGGCGTTCTTCCTCCTCTTCCGCGACTCCTTGCATACGCCGCTCGGCAGCTTCACGGTTGGCGCTACGGACAACACTGTCTATACGCACGCCGCGATCTTCAAAGACATCGCCCATGACATCGTTTGAGGACATATTGGCCATTCCGAGAGAGAAATCAACATGTTTGCGGGAAGTAGAAGCACCCCGAGCGCGGGCTGCAGCTGTGTCCATACCCTTCCGCAAGATAGAATGCTGACGGGTAGCGCTGCCGCTGGTTGCAGCGGTGTTGTCCTGAAGCGAGCTGGAGCCTTGGCCGATAGGGATCGGCTCTGCCTCGGTTGCTTCCTCGCGTCGGGCCGACGGGGCGTGTAGAGGTTGGGCGTGGTGGACATGGACGGGGAAGTCCCATTTGGCACCCTGGAGGTTCATGCGCGAGCCCTCGATACCGATCTCCTGAAGGGCGATCATGAGCATACAGATGAACTTGTTGCGGCGTTGCAGACGGAGACCCTCGTTCTGCCAGTTGGATTTGTAGAAGAACACGATGTTGAGAGTAAGAGAGAAGTTGTCGGTGACCTCGCGCAACTCGGTGAGCATGTTGCTCTGGAAATCGCGCTTCTCGCTGCGCACGAATTCCAACAGACGCTGGCGGAGCGCATCAATTTGGTCAATGGTTGTGCCATACTTGATGATGATGGGGATGGCCTCGGCCAGAGCACCAGAGCGACGCTGGTTAAGAATGAACAGGCCGTTGAGATAGCTGTTTGGTGCCTGGACAACATGACCCTGCATCTTCTTGAACTCGGTGTACAGCAGGGTAATCTCCTTGACGAAATAGTCATCGCCAAGACCGGAATCACCGGCATTACCGTAGATGGTGACACGATCGCCGACATCAAAGGGGTGCTTGACGAAGACGAAGATGACAGACTGTAGAAATTCCTGGGCCGTAGCCGTGAACAACCAAGACAGAGCCAGGAGACTGGATCCAGCCGAAGTCAGAACACCAGCAGCAGAAGTAGAAATCAGCGACAAAAACACCACAATAACAATGACGAAGACGAAGAACATGAACACATTGTCAAGCTTGGAGACGACCGAGTCCAAGTCCTTCAGCGATGCAGTGATCGATTTTCGCTCGCGACCAATATCGACACAAACAGCCTCGAGCTCCTCCATGGAAATATCGCCGTTCATATCACGATCGAACATGGTGAATGCAGCCTCGGCCTCATCACCATTTTCAAACGCCTCTTTCAAATCACCCGAGAAAACAGTGTCGAATCCATCACGCACAAAGGTGCGGTAGAGACGACGTGCAAGGACCTGACAGCCAGATGTACTTCGCAATAAGGCCAGAACGACCTGGTACGGGTCATTGCTTCTAGCCGCTTTGCGACCAGTAAAGTCTGCAGCAACGGCACCAGCGACATCACCGACCTTGTTACCAACCTTCTTCGCGGCATCCTTGGCCGCACCGACGGCCTTTTTGTGGGCCTTGCCGGCATAATGCATCGGGGTCCTCATTCCAGTTGGGGTGTCGTCAACCGGCTTCTCATGGAAAGCCTCATCAGTCTCCTCAATACGGGAGCGAGACCAATCATACAATTTGGTCAAGCTACCGATCTGGAATTTGTTGATCTCGATACGATCCGCGTAGGTCCGAAGGTGGAAGCTGATCGCAATCAGCTGAATAATGACCTTCTCGATCAGATTCAGAATCGTCCAGACGAATATCACAATAATGATCTTGTTGCAAGTGCTTTCCCAGCTTTTGGTACCCGAGTTGCCGCTCACATGGTGGTTCTTCATAGTCGGCAAGAAAGATATTTCCACGCCTAACCACCATAGGAAAAGTGCGGCATGAATCTCCAGCTGCTTAGCCATATCACGCCATTTCTTCGCATTGTTGGTAAAGATACTGGCCACAAGACTGACAGCCGCGGGCAATCCTTTGCTAACAATGCGACCAGCCCAGAGAGTCAACCAGAAGATTTCTAACCAAATCGAAAACCACATCAACCGCACCCCACCAACATTGGCATCGGGGTAGACGAGGGCACCGATAAGAAGAGGGACCAACAGCAAGATGACAAGGGGTGCAATGTAGGTGATATACCGAACAATAAAACTGGACTGATGCAGCTTCTTAACAAAAGCGGAGAGTTGGGTATTGGGACGCTCTGGCGGGGTATACACTGCGGCCTTTTCGTGTAACGGGTTGGTCGCTTCGTCGAATTCATCGACTTCGGTGCGACGGGATCTCGACCGGCCAATCGACTCGCCTTCACCTTCCTCAGGCCCTTGCGTCGACCGAGACACCACGCGCTCGGCTTGTAGAAGCAGCAGATCATCTTCGAGACGGGTCGCCTGCTCGCGACGGGCAGAAGGCGTCCTCATAGGTGGAGGACCATCCTCGTTCATGGAAGTATCGACTCGTAACCGATTGCTTGGTTCGGCTGAAGGTTCGGCTGAAGGTTCGTACACATAGGTATCATCGTCGGAGGGCGATAGTTGGTCGGAGGTTCGTCTCTCATTTTGATCCTGGAGGTGCAAATTCTTGACTTCACTTGCAGGGCTCGACATGTTGGCACCAGGCCGATCGAAAGAATGTGGGTGGGTTTACTGTCGCGCTCTATGGATCAACCATGAAAGCAGGCGGAATGTAAAACGTTTATTCAGGAATTCAGAGGGTGTCTCGGGTCAGAAATAGGGCATATACACCCAAAAACGAAGGATAACAGCAGTAACGAATGTCGAATAAAGCACAGGAGAGACAGAAAATTGAAGCTTCGGGGGAATAGAGAGCAGCGAAGATCGTTACGAAAAATAGGAACCCTGGGAAAGTGAGACCCAGATGTGGGCCAAGTTAGATAGTGGGTCGGTAGTCTGGACCCGTAGATTAAGGGTCAGACTGATTTCATTAATTCTGATCTCGATAGAATAAGCAAAGATCAACTACTGATGTATACAGTAGAATAAAGGCAACTATAAGACAAAAGACAAAATTTCTGATCTGAAATTTCATCTTTAGATCTCAATCTCTATCGAACAGATTTCATAATTTCTCTATGAGATTATCCAATTGCTAATCCAACCACATCAACCCGCCAAGCCAGTCCGCGCAATTCGCATTTGTGGTCCATTCTCTGTGTCGACGGGCCCACCGGGTTGATCCCCACCGGGTGGCGTAGAAGGCGCAAGCCTACTCGGAGTTATTCACCCACGGCTTTTTTTATCATTTTTATCCTAAAGTTTCCTACCAGAACCGAAGAGGTCAAAGATATCTTGGTTAGATCCATCGTCATAAAACGCCACAAACGCCACCGTGCAGCGACCCTGCTTTTATAGGAAAGCCGAGCGAACTGCTGGAAAACACAGAAATTGTGATTTGCATAACTTCATTTCAGGTACAAGAACTTAAAAGAGAAGATAATAAAAAAGGACAAAATACCACAAAATACCACAAATTATAAATATCGTACTCGACACTACAGAGTCTAGAATAACTATCGTGATATCATATCTCCCGCGTGGGTCAAACGTCGGAGCCACGGTGATCCATGTCATCGTTCCAAATCCCATCCTCCACACAAGTCTGCCGAAAATATAATCAATACGAAAAACACCAATGCACCTCTCAGGGGGTCCGGGGAGAGAATGAACCCCGCGAGACAACATCCAATCGATGATTGTCGATCGCAACTGACCAACCTGACCGCATCAGTTCTGAACTGTGATAGCACGAGTCGCTAAATATGCAGGCGCTGCATCGATTGCTTTGTGTTGCGTGTGCACCGGCCGCTCTGGGCAGGACCTTTTTCCCCCAAAATAGTATGATCGTCGGGTTATCGGAGAACATTGACAGCGCCAAGAAATCGCGTTATCCGAGTCCTCGGCTTACCTGAATCTGGCATTCTGACTGGTGTGAGGGAGGTTTCATCTATGTTCCGGTCCACTAGAATACGTGGTGGATAGTGGAGGGGGGCTGTGGGGAGTCTAGATTCAATTGTAGATCTAGGAGTTATACCGGTGAAGAATGGTTAGTTCTATTCTTGTTTTGACTTTCGAATTTCATATTGGGACCGTTGTAAGAAGATAATATTTTTAGTACTGTAGCCAAGTACGTTTGATAACGATAGGACAAATCGGGTATGAAACATCTGCAAATGGAAACTTGAATCCAGTCAAATCACTGACATCTACTTATTTTCCGCAAACAACAACCGTGGATGATTCACAGAATGCATAAGAGAGGAAATAGAAAAGACGGAGACAAAAGCAAGTCAAGTTAAATACTCGAAATGGCAAGCCAGAGCGGAAAAAGAGAAGTAGGTCCAGGAAGAAACTGCCCGAAGCCCATTCTTCCATCCACACCAGTTGCATGTGATAAAAGGCAAAGGGAGAAAGTCAAGAAAGCAGAGAACCGGAACACCGTGCTCCAATAAGCCATGGAAACATAAGAGACGTGAGGTAACGCGTATGGTGACATGTCCGCTGGACAGTGGAAATGTTCCCTGTGAGTAGGGCAAAAGCGACAAAGAAAAAAGTGTACATGAATGAAGGGAGATGATAGCATATCATAATGTTGAGCTGCGGAGAAATCGTAAAGTAGAGATAGGGTGTGTGGGGATGAGGAAGTCGATCACAATCATCTCTTGAATGCAGAAGATAGATCAGATCGGTACCGCTCAGGAGGGCGAGGCGTCTCCTCGGTATCCAGACTCGGAGAAGGTTGCTGTGGTCGTGGAGTGGCTTCGGAGTCAGACATGGGCTTGCCGTCAGTGTCCGTACCAGAGGAATCAGCGCCAACGTTGATCTCTGGGGTAATGGGCGACGAGTTGCCGCTCATCTCTCGCGGGGTGGACGGGCCAGGCTTTGTAGCCCGCTCAGAACCTTTGAAAGCAGCGTGAGACGTAGGTGGAAGTCCGTTGTAAATCTCAGTGTTGTGGTGGGCAAGCGATGGCCGACGCCGAGAGCTTTTAGATTCATCAACTGGAGGTGAATCTTCCATGCTTAGTGCCTCCTCGGCCTCGGATTCTTCCGGGATACTGAGCCCTTCGAACCTTTCCTCCAGGCTAGTGCTAGCCGGGGATCCCAGAGGGCCATCGTCAGTGTCAGTGTCAACATATTCTCCGCTTCGGCGGCGCAATGCCTCCCGTTCTTTCTTGAGCAGTTCTTCACTGCCACTGACCACGCTGCCACGGCTATTGGTGCGCATCATCTCAATGCCTAGCTTTGATCCAGGGCGACGGCTACGACCGGGTGGACTCTTGCGGGCTTGAGAATTCCCAAGCTCTTCATCTTCATCGTCTCCGGACTCAGCCCCTTCATATAGTTTTCGCTCCAGGGATTCTCGCTTGGCTTGGATGGCTTCACTAGACCGTTGCTTGCGAGGTGTTAGACCTCCACTTCCGTCCACAGCCGCTGGGGCTGAGACCGCGTGAAGCAACTGTGGAACAGGTACTGCTTTAGGATCAGGACTGCCTGGGTGTGCATCCTCAGAGATTCCCAGTCCACCGTGGTCCCATTCGTCGTGGTTGCGACGAATGATGACTGGAACCTCTTCTGGCTTGATAGACTCCATGTCTCCAAACACGCTGCTACTCATTGAATCTTCACGACTTGATCCACGGTATGAGCTTGGTGGGTTTGGCACAAATCCAGATGATGTCGAGCTGGGGCTATTATCGTCGGTTGGAAGCTGTGAGGACCGCACGCTAGGCATTGGCACCGGGAGAGGTTGAGATGGGTCATAGTCCTTTGGAGGTGGCTTCCACGCGCAGAATTTGCACAGTGCCTCCGTGAGCTTTGACAAAGTCAGAGGCTTTTGGACGAGACTATTGAAATGATGCGTCTCGGGCAGATCTTTCAAATAGCCTGTGACAGCAACGATGGGAGTGTTTCTGTTGGCACTGCGAGTCTCTCGTATCATGCGAGCAAGATCGGCACCGTTCACTTGTGGCAACTTATACTCTGTCATGATAATATCGTACTGAATATCACCGAGGGCATAGCGCGCAGCTTCCGCGCCGTTGGTCACCGTAATAGTGCGACAACGAAGCTTTTCAAACAGGCGCTCCATTACCAATCGTGAGACTGGGTGGTCCTCGCAAATGAGAATATCCAGCGGCCTAAAGAAAGGCCCATCTTGAATATTGAATTGAGACTGACGACGAGAGCTCTGTCGCCGACGCTGGACCTTGAGCAGAGCTTTAGTACGTGGGTCCTCATTATCTGACGAGGATGGCGAGATGTCAAAGAGCTGACTTCGGCGCTTGTGGTGGGAGGGGACGAAAGTCTCCTTGGGGAATGAGGACAAATCACCATCTTGAGACCCTATAGTATGAGACCGAGCTCGACTGGCGGGGGCACTACCTTGACGCTGCATTGATGGATGCTTGTCCGGAGAGTGGGCGGGTATACGGTTAGCCTTCACAGGAGAAGATGCCACTGACCCAAGCCGAAGATTGGGCATGCGGTTTTGCTCCACAGATGAGGGTTGGAAAGTACCGCTGGACTGGTGAGATGCAGTGGATGATGACCCAGATGTCTTGCGTCGCTCATGGTTGTTACCAGTGCTAAACTGAACCAAGAGTGGGGACGATGGCTGAGATGGCCGACTGGGGGATGAGTTGGCTTGACTCAAACTGGATGGAGACGATGGTCGGTTGCTGCCCTTGGTCTGAGACAGAGTACGCTGAAGGGACATTGGGAGGGGACTTCCGTCCAGAGAAGGCTGAGAAGCAGTTAATGGTGTCTGACCAGAAGAGGAAGAGCTTGATTGACGATGCTGGGTTTGCATAGCCTCCTGGCGCATCTTTTGAATGACGTCTTTATTGGCCTTTTCCAACATTGGCAAATTTTTGAAATTGAAACTTCCAAAGTCATCAGCCAGTGCTGGCTCACTCAATCTTCGGCTGCGAGAATCGCGAGCATCACGGACGTGAGGAGGAATATGCAGTGGCATCAATGGACGCTTCATTGAATTCACCTGAGACCGAACCTTGAACAGAGCGTCATGAGGTCGATCTGGATAGGATTCTGATGCAGCGGCTGGGTGGGGGGACTGCTCATCATCCTCCATCTCCTCGGCAAATGCCTGAAGAGTAGCTCCACGAGCATCAAAGTATTCGGTGTCTTCAGGGTTCTCGAGGTTGGGAACAAACTCCGCCTTGTCCTCCAGAAGAGTATCCCAAATGATATCAGAGAACCAAGGATGAGCACGAATCTCCGCGCCACCATTGGGGTACTTTTCTTCCGCATTGGCTCCAATACGCTCACGAGGATTGAGGGTCATGAGCTTATTCATAAGATCCAATGCTTCCGGTGTGGTGTATTCTTCTGGGTCATCTGGCCAGTTAATTCTGCGATGCAAGATATTTTCAAACACCTCATCGGGAGTCGCGGCATTGAAAGGAGGATATCCGAAGATGAACTCGAACATGATGCAGCCCAATGACCACCAATCACTGATTTCGTCCTGTCCAACGCCATTGATTGTCTCTGGTGCCAAGTAATCCGGCGTACCAACAAAACGTCGGTCGTGATCTTCAGGATCGAAAAGCGCCATGACTGGCGGAAGC